GTATAATTAATCTAAAACTATAAATTCTAGACTCTTACTAGATAAAATTACACCTCTAATATATAGTAAGAAATATAGGTAATATATAATCTTAGAACTATATAGGAAGTATACTTAACCTAAATTAAGTAACTTTAAACTTCTAGTAGCTTATATTACTATATATATAGGACCCCTTATTTTAGAGTATAACTATCTTAAATTTATTATAGCTTAAGAAGAGAAGAATTAGAAGTAGTAGGTTTATTTAGTATATAACTTATAATAGTGTATAGGGGATACTTACAAATTTAATAACCTTACAGCAGAGTAGTTTATAATAATATAAAATACTATATTATAGTACTAGCTGTTTGTGTCTAAGTATTTTAATAGTAGGTAGCTAATTAAATAGGTATTATAGATAATATAGATAAACTATAAGAAAGCTACTACTTAAGTAGAAAGGAGTAGGTTTACTAGGACCTATATAAGATTTATTATACTAATATAGAAGACTAGCAAAAGAGAAAGAAGACTAAATTATATACAGGTTACTTAACCTATATAAAGAAGTTCTAGGTCCTCTAATTAATTATTAACTAAGGGCGTCTAGGGCTAGTAAATTATTATATTATATTAGTCTATATAAGAGGTTATTCTATATCTAATATTTTGCTAAAGTTTACTAGGGGAGGTATAAAGAATATATTAAGGTAGAGATATAAGATAGGATAGCTATAGTTAGAGGGCAGAGTAACCTACTAAACTTAAGTTAACTAATAGCACTACTTATATATAAGTAAACTAAGAAAGTATACTCTCTAATATTAAGCTCTACTTCTAGATATATAGGGCTATCTTTAACTCCTTTAGAATATAAGAATAAGCCTAGAGCTAAACCTTATAATAGGTTTAAGAACTTAGTACTTCTATATAGTATAACCTTATACTCTAATAAAGGTATATATCTTAGCAGTTATAGCTTATATAATCTAAATAGGTAGCTAATATAGAAATACTTATTCTAATTAAAGAGGCAGTAGTTAAATACTATTACTAGTTATTTCCTAGTAGGGTAGAGAGTTTCTTATAAAACTACTATATCTACTACCTAGTCTAGCGTAGATAAGCTAAACAACGTTAAATCTTTACTTATATACCTTTCTAGTATAGAATTACAAGGGTTATAAGATTATTAATATTTAGCCTAGAATAGCTAGCCTAGTAGAGACACTAAATTACTATAGGCGCTTAAAGATAACTGCCCTATAGATAAAGCAGATACCTAACTAGGTTCTTAACTACTATATAAGGTACTTAACTATATATTAGTAAACGCTAGTAAGTATATTAGTAATATATATAAAGCTTAGTAGATCTCTAATATAAGAGATATCTTCCTATAAGATATATAGCTAAAGGTTAGAACCTTATAGAACGTATTAGTATTAGAGATATTCTACTCCTTAGTAATAGATTTCCTAATAACTACGCAATATATAGTAATCTTAGAGAAATTTAAATTATTAGTCTAAGAAAGGTAATTATAACTAAATATAAAGTTATAATAGACCTTACATAATACGTATAATATATATAGCTAGGCTAATAGTTAGTTTAATATACGTAAAGACTCTAGTAGTAATAATATAAAAGAGATTCCTAAGCTATCTAATATTAGATCTAGTAGTAGGAAATGTATAATATTATTAAAAGCTATATTATTTTAAAATAATTGCCTTATACCTACTAACCTAAGCAATATAAGAAAGAACACTATAGGTAATAAGGATAACTAAGATAATAGTAATATATTTAAGACTAGTATAGATAATTTAGACGTATATAATAAATAAACTAGGTCTTTATAGGCTTAATATAGTGTTTTAGAGGATAGAGCTTTAGCTTAACAGCTAATAGATAGAATATATATCTAAGATTTTCTCTATATTTACTTAGAGCGTATATAAGTAACTAGTTAATATTATTATAGATTTTCTAGTTTAGCTAAAGGCTCTCTTAATTAAGTACTTTAACTTAAAGTATAGAAAAGCGCTTTAGAGGACTTTATTAATTACTTCTATACTAGTATATAGATTTCCTTATATAGGTAAAGGCTTATTTAATTAAAAATCTTAATAAAAAGTATAGAAAAGTACTTTAGAGATCCTTACCTATTACTCTAGTAGTAACTATACTAGTAGTCTAGTCTAATATTATAAAAGACTATATACTCTAGGCTGTTAAAAAGGCTAGCTTTAACCTATTAAAAATTTTCTTAACTTAAGGATATTATTATTATAATAGAACTAAAGTCTACTATATTATATACTTTAAGACTTTACGTAGTATAGTATAAGATACCTAGTTTATAATTAATAATAGATTTATTATTTATAATATAGGTAGTAGAATAGTAGATCTTATCTTATATAAAGTTATAGGACTTTAGCCTACTACTATTAAGGAGGCTATAGTAGAAAGTAGTAATAAGTATAGTAGTAGTTTTATTAATTACGTATTTTTTATAGCTACTAGAATATTAGCTAGGTACTATAGACTTTATAAGATTTACTAGCGTATATACTAAAGACATTCTCTATATATTACTATCTAAGAAGGTAGCTAGAATACTATAGGACTTTACTTTAAAGGTTAAGAGTAGCTTCTTAGGAAAAGGTATACTATATAGCCTTATATAATACTATATATAAATCTATATTATACTTAGTAGAATACAGCACTAGCTTTATAACTATAGCTACTATAGTAGTAATTACAGTAACTATTATAGGTAAACTAGGCAGTATAGACTTAATAGTTTTAGGTTATTAGAGTAATAAGCTAGTAACTACAGCAGTAGGCATATATATAGCTATAAGTATAAGTAGTACTACTACTACGTCTACTATAGCTATAGTAATAGCCTTAAGCCTAGTATACTTATCTATATCTATACTAATATAACATAGTACTAGCAGCTAATATATATTAACACTACTTAGGACTAAGATATTATAAATATATCTAATTACTTAGAATAATATACTTTACTTATATAGAGTATTATTTATAAAGTTCTATAATAAAGGAGCCTATAATAGTAATAAGTTAAGCAGTATAGATATTTAATTTTTTGCTATATACTTTTCTATTAATAGTAAGTAATCTATATTATCTATAATAGGGCTATAGGTATAATTATTTCTATTTAGATCTAGTATCTTCTAAGCAGTTTAACTGCTTTATAGCTTACTTTCCTCTAAACTCCTTATTAGGCTTAAACTTAGTAACTAGTATTATAGAGTTAATATAGTAGTCTACTAGATACCTTATATAAGATAATTATATATAACTATACTAACTCCTACTATAGTTAGTATATAGAGTCTCTGCCTCTCCTAGAAATTACGTAAAATATTACTATTATTAGTACTTAGTATTTAGGATTATAGTATAAGGCTAATAAAGTAGATCTTATTTAATATAAAGTATTAATTATTAAATTATCTCTAGGTATATTATTTACTATTATAAACCTCTAGGTATCTATAAATAGTTAAGTTTATTAGCGTCTCTTATATTAAAGTAGGAGCTATAATAATAGGTATAACTTATATAATAGCCTAAGTAAACACTACTTACTAACTACTATTATATAGGGTTTTTTTTCTTATAACCTTAATAAATACTATTTAAATAGGTAGGTTTAAGTAGCTAATATTCCTAAAATTATAGGTATTCTTACTATAACTAAATATTACTACAGCTTAGCCTATATATATATAACCTTACTCTTATATATCTTTACCTACTTTAACTTATCTATACTTATTTATTAACCTTAACCTTTTAATTTCTTTAACTTAGAAATAGCTATCCTTAATTATATCCTCTATTATTTATAGTTTCTATATTCTATCTAAATAGTAATTAATTAGTTACTGCCTACCTCTATACCTACGCTAGTCTTAATTACCTCTCTACTTATAGTAATAGGTATAGAGACCTCTACTACTACCTCTTATATAATAGTATTTACTATATATTTTACCTACCTTACTTTATAAGCTAACCTTAATCTAACCTTCTACTTTTAGTATTAATAATACTAATTATAGTTTATAAAATAACTACGTTAATAGTTACTAATAAGTCCCTCCTAACTATATATTTATATATAATAATAATAGAGTAGGTTCTTTTATAGCTCTAAATAGAGTAAGCTTAGATATAGCTATACTACTAATACCTAGTACTTTTAAAACTATAGCCTACTTCTAATAATAACTTTAGGCTATTCTAGTTAGAACTTACTTCTTTCTATCTAATATATACTACTATAATATCTCTACTTTAGGTATCCTACGCAGTCTAAATAGTATTCTAGCTATAAATAATTAATATTATATTATTATAGATCCTTAGACTAGCGCTAAGTATAGCTATATAGTCTTTGTAATATTCCTTCTATATTATACTAGTATAGTAGGTTACTTAAGTAATAACGCTGCTACTTAGTACTTACTTAACTATAGTAGGAACCTAATTATTATACTCTTTACTACTAAGTATAACTCTAATAGCGTTGTTTTTTAGCCTAGTATATTTAGGTTAGGTAAGGACTTCTTTATTATTAACTAATATAAAGTTATATTTTAAGCTGCCTATAAATAGTTTACTTATAGTAATATAGCCTTAATATAGCGTTTAATTTATTAGGCACTGTACTAGAATATATAATTTAATTAAGGCTTAGAAGGAGGAGGTAGTAATTATATAATAATTATAAATAAAAGTCTATTTTTACTTATTCTACTCTTTTTTCCTTATAAAGATTTCTTATATAGTAGCAATTTAAAAGTAATAAAGTATATAAATCTTTTAATATTAGTATAAATTACCTAGAATATTAGGTAAATTTAGCTAGATGTAGTATAAAAGTGTAAATTTACCCTTATACGCGGTGTAATTTTACCTAACCTGGTGTATTTTACACTAACGCGGTACCTTAGTGTCTGTTCGTCGTTCCCACTGTTACGCTTTTGTACTTGTTTTGCTTCATCGATCGATCCAACATTGGTAGGTATTCGACTCAAAGGATCGAGCAGTAGACTTACATCCAAACCAGGAAATGCCCGTCTTGCCGGAATCGAGAAAGACCTTGGCCTTGTAGGCTACGATTACAACACTGTTCTATCTATCTTCTACATATCTTACATTCTATTCGAGATTCCAGCAACGCTATGCTGCAAGGTAATGGGTATGGTATCTACATCTAGTTTCTTTGCCTATGCTAACATATGTGTACAGGTCCTGGATGGTTCTTGCCATTGACGACGTTTGGATTTGGAGCGACGACGGTAGCAACAGCTTTTGTGAAGAATCAGGCTCAAATATGCGCTGTGCGCTTTGTTCTTGGTATCTTTGAAGCAGGTGTAATGCCTGGTTGTGCATACTATCTAAGTCGGTGGTACAAGCGATCAGAACTCACATTCCGTCTCGGGTTGTGGATGACCATGGCGCCTCTATCCGGCGCGTTTGGAGGCTTATTGGTTTCTGGCATCTTGAAACTGAGTAACTTTGGGTCGTTACATCGATGGCGAATGTAAGAGCCCCAAACATTTTCTCAAGATAACTACTGATCGACATCGCGCAGGATCTTCGCCATTGAGGGGACAATGACTATGGCGCTGGCCGTCATCGCCTTCTTCACTCTCACCGACCGTCCTGATACCGCTCGTTGGCTCACGGAAGAGCAGAAGGAGCTCGCAACCGGCCGGGTTAAGGCTGAACGTCTCAATCAGACTATGTTGCTTGACAAGATCGACATGGCCAAGCTGAGGCGTGGTTTCAGCAACCCCATAACCCTCACGACGGGTCTCATCTTCCTCTTGGATAATGTCGTTGTCCTTGGAATCTCTTTCTTCCTACCTACTATCATCCGCACGATCTACCCGGGCCGAACAACCATACAGCAGCAGCTCCTTACAGTACCTCCATACATCGTCGGTGCTGCATGCACAGTGTTCATCACCACCGCCAGTTGGCGCTTCAACTCTCGACAATGGTTGATAGCATCAACAGGACCATTAGTCGCGGTGGGCTACGCCATGTTGGTCGCCACCACTAACGCGAATGTTCGTTATGCCGCCATCTTCCTAACCGCCAGCTCGGCATATTCGCTGGGTGCGATGACCAACGCGCAAGTCAGTGCGAACGTGCTTTCGGACTCAGCTAGAAGCATCGCCATCGGTACAAATGCCATTCTCGGCTACATGGGCGGTCTCATTTCGACATGGATCTACCTGCCTCATGATAGTCCACGATATGTCATCGGCAATAGTATTAACATGGCCTGTGCTATTAGCTGGACAGGTATCGCAATTGGGGCTGGCGTGTGGATGAAGTATGACAATAAAAAGCGTGATGAGAGAGAAGCGGGATCGCACGAAGAGCTTGCCGGATTGACGCAGAAAGAGATCCAGGATCTAGAATGGAAGCACCCCGGCTGGAGGTGGAAGGCATAAACACTGAAGATCGACTTGGATAACTGATTGAACAATATCAAGCGTAGTCTTATGCTTTCTTGTTCATGCAACGACCGGAGACATGTCAATACATTGATACTTCAATCAGCGGCTGTGAACACGTGGATGCATGAAGGTTTAGAAGCTGTGCGTGAGGCAATACATGACTATTCAGAATATATGAGAAAACCAGGACTTCACGCCCTTTATAACACTATGACGATAGTCATGGTCGCGGTTCCGCTTCCGCTTCTGCCTGTCAGGTTCCCGAGAGAGATCCGGGCTCCAAAGATCAACTAACCTTCTCGCAGATAGCTGGCTAACGAATGTTGTGGCGTTCGTACTGTTTGCCTCATCTTGGTACTTTAGTCGCTGGGCAACTGAAGCAACCTGTTGCACAAGAGACTCTGAATACTCAAAACCAAGAAACCGCAGTCCCCATTCGACAACACGCGCTCGATTCGATGAGGTCAGGTCGCCCGACCACAAGTTAGGATGATTGAGAACGTTTTCTGCAAGGACTACCGTAAACCAACGCATGATTACCTTTTCGTCTTCAGTTGACATCTTCAGGCTACGTTCGATTGTGTCCCACTTGAAGATGATATTGTCAGGTAAGCAAGCGTTGGCCTTCCACCATAAGCAAGCAGTGTTGAAATCCATATGATCCGGCAGCAGACGGGACCCGGCTTGTAAAACGTCCATCATGATCTTGAAGAGCCGCAACAGCGGTACATATGTCACCTCGTCATGCTCGAAGTGTTGAAAGAGCATGGTGGTTACATCGGGGTCAACTATATGTTCAGATGTTATTCGAAGCACTTGCCAAATCAGGACCTTGAGATGAGTCTTGAGCGACGCGTCTACGACGAGTGAGGGTTGTGTAATGTCGAAACCGTCTGGTCGAAGTTGGTCAGCACAAAATGAGAACGCCCAAAGCGTTTGGACGAACACAACGTGCTGTTGTGTTGTGGCCATGCTGAAGCGATGCCAGATCGCTCTGATATCATGTCCTGGAACCCAATACAAAAGGTAGCCGTCGAGAGGACATGTGCGACGTTCTGCACTCCACTTCGTAATGCAATCAAGACAGAAGTAGTGGTTGCAAGTGAGAAGGATTGGAATTCGTCCTTCTAAACCGTACACTTTCCGACAAATAGAACACTTTTCTCCGTTCCTGAGCGTTGTCTCCAAGAAACTATCTTGAGGCATTGTTGTGGAGTTTTGATGAATAGATACGATTGTCGGTGTCGACTTGTGGTGAGAATTTCCGGGCTTTTTCAAGTCCTAGCTACCTATCACGAATTTTTATTGCAGCGCCTAAGACAGTTCAAGAGACTTCACAACGGAAACTCTTAGGTTGTCGTAGGTATCGTTGGAGTTGAGTCAACTGAAGTGTCTCCATAAAACTCGTCATTTCTACAATTCGACTCTCATCTAGAATAAAATCGTAAGACAGAGGAACTAACATATCAGCCCAAAGAGTGTGGTGAATGGTTTCAGAGTTGCTATGAAAGGCATTGTGATTCGACAGTTTTCCACAGCCGGCCAACACTGTGGCACAAGAAAGGCGAATCTGTCTGATTCGCTCAAGTCCGCCCGGAGCCACGTGAAAACATGGCCTCCAAAGAACTCGCACTTCGAAACAGTGATGGTGACGCACGGGCATCAGACGGTGACGAAGTGCGATCGTGGTGACTTGAGGTTGGTGGAAAGTCTGGAAGTGGGTCAGTTGAGTTAGGCTAGCTCCATAAGGGCTAGCTTTACACTGAAACACCTCTCTTCGCGCCCACCTTCTCCATCTCGTTTCCATCGCCAAGAAGGACTCCAGTCTTTCTCGGACACGTTGCAACGCTTTCCAATTATGTTTAGAAAATCATCAAAGGCTAGATCTCGCCTATTCACGCTTCATTGTTCACACACCGCGTTTGTTGTCATCCGCATGACCTGACAACGCCGTAAAGTCATCTCCTGCCCTGACAACACTCAGGTATGCAGTGTCTCAGACGAGGCTGGACCATCCTACTCGGAGGACTTTCTTCGAGTAGGTTGGGGCTTATGGCTCTGCACGGAGGCATACGCGGGGCGACCTGACTCGTCCTGGCGCGTACCGCAAAATACTGCAACATGACATCCGCTGTGGCCATTTGAGCGTAACGATAGCAGACTGCCGTTGCTACCGCTTATGGATATTCCGAGGAGGAACTCGGGTCAAACAATAGCCTCATGCCACACTCGCTATGCGTCACCATGGTGACTTGTTCATGTTCGCCAACTAGCAGTGACTCCAGTATTTGAAGAGCAGCAAGCAGGTGCTTTTCACGACCCAACTTTTGAGAAGACAAACCACCTCCACGTTGTTGCTCTTTCACGGACTTGTCACCTACGCAAACGACTACTCATTGCCAACACCTTCACACACTCCACCATCATGGCTACTCTTCAAGAGCATTTGGTCTCTTTTGTTCACACCGACGCATCTGCATCGACTGCACGCTTCAACCAGACCTCCATGGACGCCTTCATCGATACACAACTCCACCCTGTCGACACTTGCGTTGTGTGCACAGAGCCCTTCAGTGCTAAACACCAGCCCGTCACGTTGCCATGCAAGCATATCTTCGGTCACGAATGTATCAAGAAATGGTTGCGCAGTGGTCGTGGGAATACAAGCAGTTGTCCGAATTGTAGATTCGTGTTTTTTGAGAAGAAAAACCCCAAAGCCGCTTTCGACGCGCCATCAATATGGAAAGCATTGTGCGATCAGCCTCCGGAGCGACTTCACGCTTTCATGGGCAAAGTCTGGGACGGGCTGCGTGTGCTCTGGCAGCGGAAGCCAGACGGCAAATTCTCGGTTACAGAGATCTTGGATCAGGCGATTATCCCTGCGCTGGTTCAGACCGCAAGTGGTAGTGGAGCGCAGATCCAAGAACAAGATGCTCTTGCAGATTGTTACAACCTTGTCGCCGCATCCTGGGATTCTCTAGGACGACCAAACAGTGCGCATGGATTGGCCATTCCTCTCGTTCGTCTAGCACGTTTGATGTCCGCCGCATCTAGCATGCTGCCAAAGTGGCTGACGACTGTGCCGCGAACAAACCGACTATTCTGGAAGGCAAACGCGTGTCTTGGTCTCACCGAGGAGAAAATCAACTGGGATTGTTTGATGGAGGCGGCGAAGTTGGAAAACGAGCGATACTTTCCGCTGCTACATCTTTACACCATGCTCGCATCGCAGAGCATCGCGCACAACGCACAACCCACGCAATGGCCTGTGCGACGACATGAGGTCATGAACCTAGTTCTCGAGCGGTGTTGTGTAAAGGTTGGAGGGGATCACTGGAAAGGGAAGCCGTCGAATCAATTCAAGGACGTGTTGGTCGTGGTGTATGAAGAGCTTAGGCGGTATCATCTGGAGAAGAACAGGATGAGTCTGAGAGGGCACGATGGAGAAGAGGGCGTTGTCAAGGGAGTCTGGGCACTCTCGAGTTGGATCGTACGGAAGGATGGTGCTGCTCGTTGATCGACACGCACAGGAGCATTGACAAGGCGTTCCGGGAGCACCTAGTGTGAAGGTGTCTTTTGTTTTCTTACGCATATGCAGGCGTTCGGACTGGGTTATACCATATTCATTGTATTCATTATTTCCTTACCCATGTAGATATATAGACAATCATGGACGAGCATTCAGACACAAGACGAAATTGCTTCATATTTCAATGATTGCAGTGCTTTACTATGTCATAAAAGTTACGGGTGATCTTTCGTTTACAGAGTAAGACGCTACACAAAGGTAGAAATGACATTGTATTTGTCTTTCCTGTTCGACGTCAACGACAAACAGATGCGAAAACACCACAACCATGTACACTCCAAATGTGGCTTATCTTACTTCCCTCAACATAATGCACACCCCGGAAACCACACCCAAGCAATTGCGCTCACATCAGTCGCAACACAAGCGAGCTGTAATATCTCTTAGTCGGTCATAATTGCATCCGCCCACTCAACATCTATGCCCATGTCCTCAACGCCCGCCCTTCTCCTCATCTTGGAAGAATCGACCAATAGAAATACTAGTATTCGAACCCATCTGGGAAGTGAAATCCATCGGTCAATCAGACGGTGAACTATCTATGTGACAACCAGTCGGAATTGTATTAGCCTGATGGTGGCTGGTGATTGTCGTATATCGATTGCTTGCCGGCTTGTGTACACCGGAGCTGGGTTGGAGAGCCGACGAGCAGCATAACAGGGCGCGCACAAGTCAAGATGCAGTCCTCTTTTACTTCTTCGAACTCTGAACGAATTCCTTGAGCTATCCTGCGCAACATAATCCCAAGCTGTCGAATATTCCACATCACGATCTATAGAGAGCAAGTGCCGGGTATCGCTCTTCTATCCACGCCATCGACCTAACATCTCGCAACTAAGATTCCGAGATCGATACTTCTCTGAATCTTGCCTCCAACAACAAGATGCCGGCTGCCATACGTTCCCTCGAAACAATGGTGCTCCAAGCACATCGCGCCAAAGGCATGCGCTACCCAACACACGGTCAAAAAGAGTACTTGAAAACGTGGTACTCCTACACCTTGCGCCGAGGCGAAGTGGAGAAAACTAGTCCGATGGTGATGCGAGAGTATGGAAAGCAACTACGAGAAATGAGGGAGGCGGCGCCGGGAGGACGGACCTACTTGTGATGTCTTAGTGAGTTCGAGATCATCAATGACTGGGACATCACTAATGCTTTTCGTACAGGTGGATGCTGGATGAGGTCAATTTGTGATCAAGAACTTCGGGAGATGCAGATTGTTTTCCAAAGTCATCTGCGGGCTTTCTCTGTTCCTGCTCTGTGTTCGCGATCAGCTCTGGCTCAACTTTTAATGCTTGGTTTTATGCGTTCGTGTGTTGATCAGAGAAGTATAGTCTTTGCAGGTTTCGAGTTCTCATAGTTGCGGTCACTTACTTCGTGTACTTTTGTAGTAAATGGCATAATTATACTGAGTGTATCAAAAATATGCTTGATCTATATCAATGCTGCCAACTCCATGTTGATGAGTACACCCTCTCACTCAAGTGATACATCCGAGCTGTTGTAGCATACGTACGAGAATTAGAGAAGACGAAAAAGAGTATGCTAGACGCAGCGCAGTTCGAGCTGGAGATGAGATGTAGCAAAGGGTGACTAGACATACCCGATTGAAGCTAGTCTCGATCGAGCTAAAGTTATCTTACATGCAGAAGGATCATTTGGTCTATCCAGGGCTATGTTTCGATTTTGCCTCTACTTCAACATATCTTCGCGTCGTCTGTTCTTCGCAAATTCCTCTCCATATTTCTCAAGTGTTTGATCGTCGAGATGCTGTCCAAAGGACGTCATACATGTGTAGACCGAAAGCGGGGTATCCTCCAGTAGTACTCCGTACATATTTCAGACTGCCGAGTAGTACCCTCACATGACCCTTCGACTATCACGTCCAACTATTTCTGTTAAAAGTCATCACGTCTTTCTCCAAACACTCGCTCTCTAGCAAAAACCCATTGAGCACTTGACAATGGCCGCCTCGTTCCGCTCTATCCTCGGCATGCCCGCCAGCACGGCCTCAACCTCCGACTCAGCCCTCATCATCATCGATGCACAAAACGAGTACGCATCGGGGGCGCTCACGGTGACAAATGCCGCAGCCAGCGGCAAAGTCATTGCGGATCTTCTCGAGAAATACAGAGCGGCGAATGGCAAAATCATCCATGTGCTACACAAGACGCCCGAGGGGGCACCAATCTTCACGCCAAACACTGCGCTGGCTGAAGAGTTTAAAGAGCTGAAAGCGAAGGTACATCTCCGAGACTTCTCCGCGTGTGCGAGTGGAAACTGATGGTGTTTAGGACGGCGAGGAAACAATCTGGAAGCAGTTCCCCGGCTCGTTTGAGCAGACATCCCTACACTCTACATTGGAGTCGTGGGGTGTCAAGAAGGTTGTTTTGACTGGCTATATGGCGCATGTTTGCGTGTCGACAACTGCGCGTGAGGCGTTTCAGAAGGGGTATGAGGTGATTTTGGTAGAGGATGGCATTGGGGATCGCGATATTCCTGGTGTCAAGGGGGATGAGGTTACGAGGGTTGCGCTGGCGGAGTTGGCTGATGTTTTTGGGACGGTGGTTAAGAGCGCGGATATCAAGTGATGGATACGTTCGAGTTGGTGCCATTCGTGTGCTAGAAGAATATAATAGAAACTCTCAATGGTAGTTCATCCGAGAACGCAGTTACTACCGACTGGCTTCTTCTAGTCTAGAGAAGGTTCATCAACGTTGAGATTGTTTGTGTATAAACACTTTGTTGATTTAATGCTTCTCGTGCGCAGGTAATTCAAAACGTGCAAGCGATGTTATGTGTAGTGCATCTGTCAGGATGGATTGGGTCCTTGTGCTGGTGGAAACGATGTAGGTTAATACGAGGTACAAGGGAGACCTTCAGCTATATCTATATGTACGCCTAGCCCACTGTGTCAACTCGAACGCGACGACACGCACAGCAAGAGGTAAAAAACGGCAGTGCGTGCGACAGTGTGATGACGACGGAAGTAATCAAGTGACGCCACAATTGTGGAGAGTTCCATATGGTTTACCCATTTATGTGTCAGCAACTCTCTTGTCACTTCTATGTACATGCTCGATGAACCCCTCTTTTAATGTTATGAACCTGGGTAGCGAAGGAGGCTAGGCATCGCTGCTGCTCATTCTTCTACGATAACGAGGGCAACCCCATACCCAACGAATGTTTACTAAGAAGACACTGAGTGCAACCATTTCGATCATCTCAAAAAACTCGAGCTCAGATGATCATTTTGTGATTGTCACGCCGCTTCTCGCGATCATGAAAATATTGTTCGTGATACCCTGCAAACAATAAGCATTTTGTTAGACGTCGAGAATCTGACTTACTCATCATCGGCAGCGTCTCGTTTCTCAGTGATGATACTTTGTCTTGTAGCAAGGCTTTCCGAGAAGAACATGCTCATGATACTTGCATGGATCGTTGAGATTGAGAGGATCTTCCATGGCATCGGCGCTCTCTGTAGATCTGACAAATGGGCCAGCTGCAGCGAGAAGTTCCCCTAGAAAAGCGGGAGGAAACTGTTTAACCGCCCTGTTAGAATACACGGTAGGAGTCCATGAGTACAAGGCTATGTCTACCGCAAACTGCCGGAAGGGTGAGTCCTCTCGGGTATAATCGTAGATCACCCCAACAGCCGTGTAATGCAAGTAGAATTTCTTGGCTTCGGTATCACGACTCTCCAGGGCGATCTCGACAAGAGCATCCACGAGAGCGTCACGAAAGTCTAAGTCTTGGAGGAAGTCCGCAGCCTTATACAGTTTCAAACAGATATCAAGATCTGGTAATCGCACGGTTTTGTCACCTATACTGATCACAGCAAGTTTTTCGCTGAGACTGACATAGAGAAGTCCAGTGCTGAGAAATTTAGCGTATGTCTGGAAGTGTACCGGCTCCATATCTGGAAGCGTGACAATCCGTTCTGCGACTTCTTTCCAGTCTTTGCTAAGCGCGTTCTCGAAGAAAACAGAACTATTTCGTAAGAGGCGTTCCGAAACGTAGAAGGTCTCCTGGTCCTCCCCGGTCCCAACTTTGACCGTGATGGGGCTGTCGAAGCTGCGAACAGCGTCAGAGTAATTCGCCCCATGCGAGTACGGGTTGAATTTACCTTGGGCCAGCTGTCATAAGGCGGCGCACCTTTTGCGGAGGTTCGCCACTGTCCGTTGTAGCCTTGTTGGCGGTCGCAGGAGTCGAAGGCGCCATTTTGGAGCGACTGTTGGTGGCTGCTGGCGGAGTGTGGGTGACGTGGAGTGTAAGACGAGGTGAGGGGCAGAGCAGAGCACGCATTTTGTATTTTCCCGAGCGGATCAAACGCGACAGATGGTGAATGTAATAATGGGAGCGAAAGTGAAAGTGAAGTCGGTATGAAATGGAGTGATAACATGTAGGCAGAGCGAACCATGTAATATCAGAGTGGCAGTATAAAGGCGCATGGATCCTGATTGGAAGTCTCGAGCATGGCAAAGAGGAGAGAAAAAGAAACACAGATCTCGGGGTAGAAAAAGAGATGAGTGCGGATGACCTCAAGTAGGAAACATCCAGATATCTTCATTTGAATTCATGAACGCCGGCCAATGCACATATAGAGTACTACCGCTCAGTCCTGAGCAGCACTGGAAAACTCGCCCTTGTAGTACTGCACCAGCTGTCAGCTCAGAGTCAAGATAGATACATGATCGTCAGGATGTCGAACATTCAAAAAGGTAACACTCACTTCAGACACCTTCTTTGCCAGCTTTGTGTTCTTCAGCTTGCTCTCATTTGGCACCTTCCAGTTGTTGACTCCCCACCACCACCTGCGCACCCTCGCTCCAACGCCCTGGCCGCTGAACTTGGCCGACTTATTCCAATGCCGCCAGCCACCGAGGAGAAGCGTCCATAGCATGCCCTGCGCAAAGCACATGACAACCTGTACGCGTCAGCAATGCATCCCCATATTGCTACCGTATGCGCCATACCTGATCCCTCAAGGTAATCCATAGCACACCCTGCCACGACTCGGCCTTCTCGATGCTCTTCAGGTAGCTCTGCTCGAACCTCAAATCCGGCAACGGAGGCATGTTTTGCCGGCGAGGAACGGGCTCCAGCACGCTGAGAGGAATCTCATCTTCTGCGATATCAGAGTCTGCGTCTGGGTCGGCGTGCGAATTGAGGCGAACGGGTTGCTTCTCGGACACGGTGGTCGACGGGTTGATATCGTGTCGCGGGGAGGGGTGGCGGTTGATTGACGCGCCCTGCAGCAAAGACGTGATCTCGCCTGGTATGTCGGAGTCCATCGTGTCTCAACTACTTGATATCGTAAAGCTGGGGAGATTATCGCGGTGTTGTACCTCGGAAATCAATCCATCTCCAGACTTGGCATTGACGTTGAACATCCCTGCCCGATTAGCGGGGCCCGAGCAGCGGGATCTCGAAGTTGACAACCCCACGACAACAGTAACGTACAACATACGCCACTCCGCCAATTCTTACTCTCACAACATTGTCACCATGGGAAACCAACCGTCCGCGATCCTCGACAACATAGCCTCCGGCTCGAATTGTACGTCATCGACGAAATAGAGGCGCCGCTCGTGTGAGCGCCCACAGGGCTGAAAACCTGGTGCTGATGGCCTGCAGTCGACCGTGATGAGGTGGACCGCCTGAGAAAGCGGTTCATGAAGCTGGACAAGGTACATGCTCTTGTCCAATCCAAAGAGTGCAGGCAGCCAGGCTGACACACATGCAGGACAACTCAGGCACTATCGAGCGCGACGAGTTCCTGGCCCTCCCGCAAATATCTTCCAACCCCCTCGCAACACGCATGATCGCTATCTTCGACGAGGACGGCGGCGGTGATGTCGACTTCCAGGAATTCGTCTCAGGGCTTAGCGCCTTCAGCAGTAAGGGCAAGAAGGAAGAGAAGCTGCGCTTTGCGTTCCGCGTCTACGATATTGATCGCGATGGGTATATCAGCAACGGCGAGCTCTTCATAGTACTGAAGATGATGGTCGGGAGCAATTTGAAGGACCAACAGTTGCAGCAGGTGCGTGCACCACATACTGGGAGACTAGGGCGAGTACTGACATGCGCAGATTGTTGACAAGACGATTATGGAGGCCGATTTGGACCGCGATGGCAAGATCAGCTTCGAGGAGTTTACAAAGATGGTCGAGAACACGGATGTGTCTATGAGCATGACCCTAGACCAGTTCTAGGTCTCCGATATGGCAATCATGATTGAAACGGCATCTTTGGAAGTGACACTTCTCTGGCGAGGCGTTCCTGGTGTTATGGTCTACCTGGAATAGGTCTGAAAATATTTAATATCCTTCAAAGCAGGATTTGACGTCCCTCCGTAGGGGTTCAGATTCTCTTGAGGCAATGACATGACCATGAAGTACATCTGATCGCTAACGCGACCCAAATTGCGTTGATCGATGCTTATGCTCCCGTTCGTGTTCAACTTTTCTTCCTATGCGACGTGCCAAATTACTGTGCTGGAGAGTTTTGAAGTCCATGATCTCAGGGCCAAGACATTGATTTTCTCGGATGATTTCTCGAAATTCTGAAATCCCCTTGGTTCACTCTCTTTTGTGACATCAGAAGCTCTCCTGATCTCAAGGTAATGTCCTCGGCTGCTGTCTATGCAGGTACGGGTTTGATTGGTTGCCAACTGTGGGGTCTGTGCATGGGCGTTTCTGGTTATCACCACCGACTGATGTACCACCTATTCCCACATTACCTCCACCCACTATCGTCTTGCGCTGAATCTCTTTCTTTTGCATCCCAGTCCATTTCACTGGTATGGCGTAGGGTTCTCCTCGCCACGCCAACACTTCAATTTCGTCGACAACCATGAAAACAACACTATTACGCACCACGTCTACCATTCGACTGCCATCTTGGCGCTATCTTCCACGTGATATCAATGGTATTTGCACAAAGCACGTTCGACACGCATCGTCAAAGTCAAAATCTTCACATCCAACTCCTTCGATATCGAGTGCGACGAAAACATCAAGAAGCGACTTGCCACTGCCTACACATAAGAAAACATCAAATTTGACAACGAAATCCACTGGTCCTGTCGTGCCGCGGTCACAAGAGCATCATATTGGCCATGAAAATTCGAGCGCACAACCTGGACCTATTCCTATCCGCTCGAATGTGGGCGCTGTTCGCCCATCCTCCGCTTCAAGAACCGCTAGTGGCATTGTTAAGAGCGGTTTGATTCGCCAAACGCAAACAGAGTCAGATTATATCATCAGTCCTGGCGATTCACAAACCCTGAAGCTCCCAGACGGGCGAATACTTGGCTATGGGGTCTACGGAAGCAAATCTAGAAAGGCGCAAGTCGTCGTTTCACTGCATGGCACACCAGGCACGCGCTTGAACGCAGGCGGCCTCAACTCCGTCGGCGAATACTTGGACTTGACTTTCGTCAGTCCCGAAAGGCCTGGTTACGGTCTCTCTACTCTTAAACCTAAATACACTTTGTTGGACCACGCGGAAGATGTTCGAACGCTGATGAAATCATTGTGCGTCCCCCGCTACAAAACGCATGCAGTTAGCGGCGGTTGTGCGTATGCAATCGCTCTCAGCCATATTGCTCCCAAGAGTGAGCTGCTGGGTACAGTCTTGGTAGCGCCAGGGTCTCCGCCAGAAAGTCCACGAGTCGGGGAAAGGATAGGAAGCTTTGTGTTCTCACTTCGAAGTTATCTTTGGCCTCGAAGGGCTGCAAATCTTATGTCAAAGGAGATACGCGAATGGTCCATAGCAGACTCCAAAGACACACGCACAAACGCTGAACTGCGTAAGACAAGCAAGGGCTCACAGGACTTGGTACATCGAGCACAATACAATGCTGTCCACGCATGGGTTGCTGACTACGCAGCCTCCGATCGCTACTGGGGCTTCGAACTCGAAGCCGTGGATTCGAATCGAATCGTCATATTCGCTGGTGGTATGGATCATCATACTCCATTGACAGGTGTCAGATACTTGCGAAATCGACTCAAAAATTGTGAGCTGCAAGAATCCCCTGCAGATGATCACAAGTCTCTTCAGCGGGACTACGGCCACCGATCTTTCCAAGTCGTGAAGACCATGTGAGGTTTGAGACTGTCATGGAAAGACGCGGGAATAGTTACTGGTGATACCAGGCCACATGCTTGGTTCGAAAGTGTTACTCTCCCTATGTTCTATCACACTTATAAATGTAGCGTTGGACTGGACGAGGAGAATTGTAGGCTTTGTATATACTTATCAATAGTAATCCTGTTACACATAATCTCAAAATCTTGGTAGTTTCATCGCCGAGTCACCCCTTTTAGGATCTTTTGAATCGGATATGACCTTGATCATTCGAATTGAGAAGCAGCGGCAAGAATAGGCTTTGTGAGTATTGAGTGATTGCTATCCTGAATCCATGTAACAGCTTTTGCCGTACATAGTACAGGTCGACAGGAAGCAATGTACATGTACGTGCTGGGCAAGAAAGCACGTGACTACGCATTAGCGTGTTCTCGCTAGCGTGACGCGTCTATCGCTCTTTCCATTCCGCGCCACTGAGCCGTCAACAAACCTGTGTTCTTCCTAACGCCCAGTGAGATGCTGAACAACTCCCGCCTATTGCCACCATGAAACCCTTCCGGCCTCTCACTTTTGCACGACCAGACTCGCAGAACGGTGAGCCTCCGGCAAAAAGACAACGAATCTCGTCCGACACGCACATCCCAAGCCACCCAGCGGCGAACCGAAAGCCCCTCGATACGATTAGCAATCCCGTACTTCCTCAATCGTCAGCCAACACTGAAGGAAACTACTACACGGTGCTATGGCGCAAGTACACAACCAAGAAGAACAAGACATGGGATGGAGATGGCGTGCTTGCCGTAATTGGTGGGTATGCCACTCTTACAGATAGCGATAGTGGGAAGGAATTAGGCAAAGGGGCGTGTAATCGGCCGCTGCTCCCAGGCTCGGCGCTATCAATCGGGGGGAAAGAACTCGAGATCGAGAGTGTGGTCGATAAAAAGGATTACCTGTCTGGCCGCATGTTTCTGGGGTCCGGAGGCTCTGCGCCGGCCATGCAAAGCAAGAAGGTGGAGACGGGATACAAGGCGCTGGCTGCGGGCAAGACAAAGCCCAAGACGAAAGGGAAGCGAGAGAGTGAGGTCGAGGGGGGCGTGATTCCGGAATACCAGCCATCTGTGAACCGGAAACAGCAGTTCAAGACACCACTACTTTCGAATACCGTGCTTCCTCAGCGGAGTTCCTCGATCCCGCAGCCACGGCATGATCCGAACCTGCCTAATTCGCTGGTCATGAAGAGGCCAACAATTTGTCCGAAGGGGAAGCAGATTGTGGACGTGGTTGTTGACCCCGTGTTGAGCAAGCACCTGCGAGAACATCAGCGCGAGGGTGTACAGTTCTTGTACGAGTGCGTCATGGGCATGCGTTGTGAGGGCGAGGGCGCTATAATGGCCGACGAGATGGGCTTGGGCAAGACACTGCAAACCATCGCCCTCTTGTGGACGTTGATGAAGCAGAATCCGATTCACGACAGCCCACCGGTTGTCACAAAAGCCCTGGTTGTTTGTCCTGCTGGTCTGGTGGACAACTGGAAGCGCGAATTCCGCAAGTGGCTCGGAAATGAGAGGATAGGCGTCTATGTTGCCGATGCCAAGCACAGGAACATTTCCAATTTTACCAAGGGAAAGGCATACAACATAATGATAGTCGGGTACGAGATGCTTCGTATCGTTCAAGACGAGTTGAAAAAGGGCGGTGGCATCGACATCGTCATTGCGGATGAAGGTCACAGGTTGAAAACTGCAAACAACAAGGCTATGCTTGCGATTCAATCCCTCAATACTGAACGACGCATTATCCTGTCCGGCACACCCCTCCAAAACGACCTAGGCGAGTTCTTCACTGCCATCGACTTTGTGAACCCAGGCCTTCTCGGGCAGCGGTCCGCTTTCAAGCGTGCGTTCGAGGTCCCGATCTTACGAAGTCGACAGCCAGATGTCAGCGAAATAGAACTCGAGAAGGGTGAGGCACGATGGAAAGAGCTCGTGTCTCTGACTAGCCAGTTTATGATTCGACGGACTGCAGAGGTGCTGAGCAAGTACCTCCCACCAAAAACAGAACACATTGTGTTTTGCAAGCCAACAAAAGCGCAAGCAGAAGCGTATCGCGCTGTCCTGTCCTCACCCATCTTCGCAGTTGCCATGGGAAACACAGACATGGCGTTGCAGCTTATCAACGTGCTGAAAAAGATTTGCAATAGTCCTTCCCTTCTCAAGTCGAAGAAGGACAACGACGACACTCCATCTGAGATGCTGCAAACACTCTTGCCACTTATACCGCCCAGTGTCTTGAACTCGCATGCCTCCAGTACTAAGCTGCGACTGCTTGATAGCCTGGTACATCGCATCTACACAACGACAGAAGAGAAGATCGTCATCGTATCCAACTACACAATGACGCTAGACATGATCGAACGCTTGCTGGTCTCGCTATCATACACGTATCTGCGTCTCGACGGAAGCACACCCGCCTCGAAGCGTCAGGGTCTTGTCGAGAAGTTCAACAAAACCCCCAAAACCGCGGCTTTTGCTTTCTTACTCTCTGCCAAATCCGGTGGTGTTGGCCTGAACCTCATCGGCGCGTCTCGCATCGTGTTGTTCGATATCGACTGGAATCCCGCCACGGACTTGCAAGCCATGGCGCGCATTCATCGCGACGGCCAGAAGCTGCCGTGCAAGGTGTACCGATTCCTCGTGAAAGGCGGTCTGGATGAGAAAATCTACCAGCGCCAAGTCATGAAGATGGGTCTTGCGAACGCAGTCGTGGATAACAAGGCCTCCGCATCTTCGTTCTCGAAAGACGAGTTGCGCGACTTGTTCCGTTTAGATGAGCGTGAGGGATGCCAAACGCACGACCTACTCGGCTGCACGTGTGACTGCAAAGGCGCCCCGGAAGTCAAGCTTGAAGCCCCCGAAATCGAAGACGTCGATGAAGAAGACGACGAAGAAGATGATTACCCTCTGCTGCAACAAGCAAGTGCGGTCGACATGGAAGCACAGGAAGCTCGGCTCAAGGCTCGACGTGCGGCCAAGTTGCCGAAACTGAGGATGTTGATGGAGTATCGACATATTGATGCGAAGGCGATGCGTGGGAAGGACGAGGAGGATATGAAAGCTGCGGTCGATGATGACGTGTTTGTGGATGTTTTGAAGGAGGAGGGGTGTAATGTCGGGTTCTTGCTGACGAAATCTTCGTCGTAGGGAGGTGGTTTGACGGAGACTTGCAGATGAGGTGCATGGTTAGGCATGTGTCTTGATGCCTTAATTCTACGCCCTCTTGTTGAAGAATCTTACTAGACAACATCCTCTCATTTCCGTCTGGTGATGTGAAATGTTTACCTCTATTCATATCATATATTTCTATGTCTTCCTGTTTACAAATCTTGAGCCGTTAGGATTGTACCGGTCAGATCGATATCAATATACACATGGCACTCCTGTTCTGGACGTCTTCGAAGAGGTGTTCTTCCTTGTGCCTGGAGCAGGTTGACTATGTCGACCTGTGTGAGATTGGTATTCTCTAAGACACGGGGTAATTGTGTTGAGTATTTGAATAATGAAAGATAACCCTCTAGGCCGAGCGGTTGTCAGACGTTCATAGCACGTGCATGCTCTCCAGTGTTCTAATTGTAGAGTCGTTATGACAGGATACTTGACTCGGCGTGCTGCAATGCTAGCCAGACAGAGCTAGACAATCGCGAATCGTCCACCAACCCCACCACCACGTTTCCTTAAGATCGATGACCCTTATGTTGTGGGGGCGAATCTTCCCCGACTTCCAAACGCGCTGGATGATGTATTGACGAAGTGTTTTGCTCGCTCCTGCTCGCCGAATACGAGGGAGGCTTAACAACCGTACACGAGGGACTGCCACACCAAGTAACTCCCTGCATGGACACACACAACACCACAACCATGGCGCACTCGTCCATGGCTATGCTCACGATGCCGCCGCGCTTCCAAATAGAGCTCGACCGAACCGACCCCGATGTCCCTCTCCGCGCCTCGCAGTCGCACATCCACCACACGTGGGCGCGCACCTTCCACGCCCGTCCGGAGTTGTATATCCGACCGCAGAGCTTGGCAGAGATACAGAAGGTTGTTACGCTCGCGCGGCGCATGCGTCGTCGTGTGGTGACAGTGGGATGCGCACACTCGCCTTCAGACCTCACGTGCACGTCGGCGTGGATGGTGAACCTCGACGACTTCAAGGAGGTTTTGAAAGTGGATACCGAGCGTCAGACCATGACCGTGCAGGCGGGCATACGGATGCATAGTTTGAACGCACAGGCGAAGGAGCATGGGCTTACCATGCCGAATCTGGGGTCGATCGATGAGCAGTCATTGGCGGGGGCGATTGGGACAGCGACACACGGCAGCTCTATGCGCCATGGACTGTTGTCTGATCGGGTGCAGAGTCTACGTATTGTGCTGGCAAACGGGCAAGCAGTAAAGTGTTCGCCATCACAGTCGCCCGATCTCTTCCGCGCAGCATTAGTATCACTTGGCGCATTGGGTATCATTGTTGAGATTGAGTTCCAGATGGTCGAGGCCAACGACATTGAGTGGATTCAGACGATAAAACCTATAGAAGACGTGCTTGCGGACTGGAACAACGGACTCTGGACATCAGATGAATTCGTGCGCGTCTGGTGGCTTCCATACATGCGCCGAGCAGTCATATGGCGAGCAAGCAAGACAGACAAAGCCCACGTCAAACCTGCATACAACTGGTACGGCGGTAGTGTCGGCTACCACACCTACCACATTCTGCTCTGGATCTCCCAGTACGTTCCACGCGTCCTGCCCTGGGTCGAGTGGTTCGTATTCGGCATGCAATACGGCTTCAAAGATGGCGCTATCATCTCCGCCGTCGAAGAACAACGCACCGGTCTGCTCATGAACTGCCTCTACTCCCAATACGTGAACGAATGGAGCATCCCCCTCGAGAAAGGTCCCGAAGCCCTCACCCGCCTCACCAACTGGCTCCACGGCGACGAAAAAGGTTCCGGCCTCCCCTTCAGCACAAAAGGTCTCTACGTCCACTCTCCCATCGAAGTCCGCATCGCCAACACCGTAGGCAGGGAACCACGTCCATTCCTCGACACATCGTTTCCCGACACGCCATCCCTATACCTAAACGCCACGCTCTACCGCCCATACAATCAAGACCCACCCTGCCGCGAACGCTACTACGAAGCCTTCGAGCACCTGATGAAAGAATTCAACGGCCGCCCCCACTGGGCCAAAAACTTCCAGTCCGTCGACCACACCTACCTGTCCTCCGTGTACGGCGACGACCTCGCCGAATACACCCGCGTGCGCAACGAAGTCGACCCCGAAGGCATGTTCCTCGGCGCCTGGCACCGCCGCACGCTCCTCCCGTCCAAGACCGAGATGCCCATCTTCCCGCTAGAAGAGAAGGAGGTCATACGCCGGACGCGCAGGACGGGCGGTATGGACTGGATTGGCGAGCAGGCGCGCTGGTGGGACGGCGGCATCGATGTGTTTGAGAAGGCGGGGAGTGAGAGCGGAGAGAGCGGAGAGAGTTTCGATTATATGACTGGGGCTGAGGCGGAGAATAGTGTCTTGCTTGAGGGGCTGAGTGATGGGTCGATGTCTGATGATACGGAGCATGGGGAGGAGGAGTTTGAGGAGAGCTCCAGTACGCAGGTTGAGCAGAGGATTAAGGAGGGGAGTGGGAGTGGGACGGGCGTGTTTGATAAGATGTAGAGTTTAGACTTGGAAAAGATTTTCGTGAAATGTGTGGTTGTAGGAAGCTTGATCTTTTTTCGGCCGTGCATGCCAACTCCACGGTCCATCTCTCCGCATTGTTTGTAGTTTCCCTCCGTCTGACTTACATCTTATATACGTTGCGGCAAAATTCTCTACAAGTAGCCACTCGAAGTCCACGACATTGAATCCCCCACTCTACCACCCTCCATCTTGCTGTTTAGAAACTCTACATGCCGTGATCTTCCCAGTCGCACTCTACTCAGAAAAGTCCCTCTGAACGCTTGAACTGAACATGGAAATATATCAGCACAGTTTCTTCACTTTAATATCAACCACCCTCTACCCCCCCGCTCCAAAATTACTCCTCAGACCGTCCCCGGGACCAGCACCCTATACGCAAACCCGCCATCAATTGCCCTTCCACCAGTCTCCGCACTCCCCGCCCACAAACCCCTAACATTCTCAAACTCCATCTGCACCGTTTTCCGTCCCCTCTCTCCCACCACCCCTTCTGCTTCTCCCCCAACCCACAGCTCACCCCCAAACTCCTCAGTAAGCACATCCAACAACCACCCCGCCGCTCTACGCGCGATCCCCTTCTCTACTAACGCGAGAAGAAAAGATGAGCACGCTTGAATTGCGGTACTTATCGGTGCGTCTGATAAGTCGATGTCCCGCGCACGCGTTAGAATGACTGTGTCGATGGCTTGGAGAGGGAGTGCAGTTATTGTTGCGTAGAGCTGGGTTTCTGCGTCTTTCACGCGGGATTCGGATGTATGTAAGTTGAGGGCGAGGTGTGCCAGTTCGGGTAGGGATGTGGGTAGGGTGAAGGCGGTGATGTGCGCGTGTGAGGTTGTGCGGAGGTGTGTGAGGATTGTGATGCGGGCGAGGGAGTGTTTGCTGTGGGGGTGGTTTTTGGGGGACTTTTGGGCGGGGGAGGGTGAGTGGGGGGTGGTTGGGAGGGGGGAGGTCATGTTGGTTGGTGAGATGGTGATATTTGTGCGCGTGTTATAGGGTGGTTGTATGGAAATGAAGGACGTGAGTACGTAGACGGAGCGGGAGAAGCAGTTAAAGCTGGGTGGACAGAATATTGGAAAGGGATATATACTGAGGACATGAAGTTATCACCTCCTTTTCATCTCAAACAGTGGATGTAGAATCGAGCGAACATAGTGAAAAGGCTTGATAAAGAAAAGAGATAAACGTAGGCGCAATGTTGAACAAACACATTGTTTTCGGAGGATAGAAGGGCTAAACTTATCATGATCATCAGTGTACGGGGATGATGAACATAGTAAGATTGAGAAGTTTTCTGCGAATGAAGCGATGAGCACTAGTAAAACAACATTTCAAGTCGGTCAGTGATGGTTTCGTTTCGAGTCGTAGAGAACACAACCACAATGCCATTCACACAACAACAACCCACCCACTCCCCCAGAGAGTCTACCTGCAAAACTCACCCCAAGTAGTACACCGCGAAGCCCCCCTACCACCCCTATCCCTGCTCATCCCCCTCCCCGCGTTACTCCTCATATGCCTACCCCTATCCTCATCCCCGTCCTTCTCCCACTCCCACTCTTCCCGTGTCGGTGTCAGCGGGGGACTTACATCCACCACTGCGTACGCCTCCTCGTCAAACGTCACGTCGCCGTACGCGCTGTATATGGACTGCGGGCGTGGTTTGGGGAGGTTCGCTGGGATGGGATGTTTGGGGTCGTCGTAGGGGTTACGCGTGTGTGTGTGCGTGTTGTACGTGTTAGCTTGATTAGCGTCCCTATACCTGTCATAAACGGGGTTTGGATGATCAGGAAGGGGAGGATGATCGGCGTGAAAGCCATTGGGATGGAAGCCGCTGGGACGGGAGTAAATGCTAGATGGCGGTCGTCTGGAAGCCGCCTGATTCCTGCTTCGAGCTTGTCTATGATTGTGGACCGAGTCGTTGCGCGACTGCGTGTCGCTGTCTGTTCGTAACGTCGAACTCGAAGACGGCTCGTGTAGGCTTTTCTCCCTTCGACTTGGAATGTCGAACCCGACTTTCTCCGCGGGCGTCGTGGGCTCAAGACCGTATGGTCGAGGTAGCGGACCTAGTTTCGCGTCATCGTCGACTTTTCGTGACCAGTCTTTCGGGTTGAATGGCTCGCTGATGTCAACGCCAGGATTGAACACCTCCTCGTCGTCATGAACCGGCCCACGAACATCTTTAAACGACTCACCGCCATCCCCCCCACCCGCCGTAGGATTCGTAACTTCCGACCACGGCGGATAAACAGACCCCTCACAACACCCCCCACGTCTCCATTTCTTCCTCGCGCGCTTAAGCTCCTGTCCAAACTGCCAAGCGTCCCACGCCCGCCGCTCCCCATCCCCATACGCCATAATCCAGTAGCGCACGAAACGAAGGCGTTTGCTCTTCAGCGCGCGAAACTCGATGCGCTCGCGGTCTTCTCCCCCGTGGCGGCCTTCTCTCCTGTGACTGTGACTGCCACGCTGTCTGCGCATTCTGCCCGCCATGCCCGCGAACAGGGCAAACAGCACGTCTTCGTCCGACCCGATGCGCGCAAGCATGCACGCCGCACACCCATCGTGCTGTGTCTGCCACTTCGAGTCGTTGCGGATCGGCGAGCGGCCCGGCGGCGCAGACGTCTCAATTTTGAAGTCCTGGCGCCACATTTCCAGCACGGGTTCCAGCTGGCGGGCCCGCAGCTCCTGAGCGGGCGTCAGCGCATTGCACATGATGACAGGGTACAGGAAGCATCCGATTGCGCCGTCGAGTTCGTGGCGCATCCACGACCAGATGTCCTTGATGAGGTTGTGGTCGAGGTGTTTGTGTGTGTCGCAGAGATGTGTGTCCCGTGTTGATAAGTGCTGGTTTAGGGTGCGTAGTTTGAGGGGCAGGGATTTGATGTCGTGTTTTGCGTGTTTGCGGTAGTGCGCTTCGTTGCTGAGGGTGTAGGGGGAGGGGACGCCGCGGAGGGTGCGGACGAGTTTCTTCATGTCGGTGTTTTCGAGACGGCGGGTTTCCATTTTGCGGAATAGTGGCATTGTGGATTGGTTGAGGTGGGGGGTTTGGGTGTGGGCTGGGGCTGGTCGGGCAGGATATAGAGGCCGCGGAGCATGGTGGTGATGATTCTAGACGTGGCGCTGTGTGGCGACGTTGTTGTGAGCGTGTAACGCATTGTGATGGGATAGAGTGGATGGTTCGAGGAAAATCGTGGATAGAGATTGAACCGACGAGCCTGGTGATTGTCAAAGTAAGCCGCACAGTGACAATGAAGACGGTGAGTGTGAATGTAGTGTAAATGTGATTGCCATTGACTAGAAAGCCTAACGAAGAATAAGGTTCATGTTCTTTACCACGACCCAACCTCCCAAACGCCATTCCCATTGCCTTAAAGTTCGAAACGAGCGATGGCCTCATAGCCACAACAATGAGATATTAACCCAGGATAGCACCTTGGGTAGATAGCAAAAGAATCCAAAACGACCAGAAGATTCGAATGGTCGAAATGGTGCAAAGAAATGAATCGATCAAACGCTTTCGGTAGTGGTACACACGAGACTATACATTACCCATCGTAAACAGTTGTACTCTGTACATGGATCTTTTTCTAGTAGGTTCAATCTTTGCCTTCACCGCGAGCTTTCCAACCCCAAAACGTTTGCTCTTCGACCGTGGAGGTTCTGGTTGACCATGTTTGTCAAATCCTTGAAGTTGCCAGCCGATGAAGAAATGCTGAGTGCCTTCTTGCGCGACATGCGTGGTGTTGAGACTCCTTGTGGTAGGATGGTTTCCTCGTTTGCTGATGCAGGAGCCATGGCAGACTCTGCAGGTGCTGCCTGTGCCTCGTTCTCTTTCTCTTGGTCAAACTTTAGCTGAGCGGTCTGGCGCGAACGCTCGTACTTGGCAGCCGTGTCGCCCTTGTACATGGTTCCGCCAAGCCTGTCCAAATAGATGAAGAATGGCTGCGAAAAGTTGGTCTTGATGCCCCAGCTTTGGTGGTGGATGTCGTGGTACGCGGCGTTGTTCGGGAAGATGAAGTGGATAGGGTCGAAGGGGAACGCGTAACCGCCGTGGTCAAGAACGGTTTTCATGGTGGAGCAGGTAAAGAACCACATGGATTGGCGCATCGTCATTCCGGTGAGAAGGTAGCCGAGACCAGCACCCAGGGTATCCAGAGCGAAGCCTTCGAGTGGGTGGTTATACAGAGCACCGTATGCATATGGGACGTAAAGGCGATGGTGACGCGAGTGGAAGGTCACTATTATGGTCAGTCTACGATCGAGCAAACGAGAGAGAAATTATGCATGTCCAACTTACCATACAGCCACTTGTTCATGTGCATGGCGCGGTGTAGCATGTACTCCCACGCATCGATGATGACAATAGCAGCAGCGAATTGAAGTGCTGGAATAGCGTACCAGTACACAAAGCTGGCAGCTGTGAGCTCCCAGGAGGCAAATGCAGGGACCATGGTCTCCAGTCCAGCGATTGTCGTCGTCTGTGACAGACCCGGGTAGCTTCCTCCCATGACGACTGAGGCGAGCGAGGGCTGCGAGGCGGACAGCTTCGAGGCCAATGCGGTGGTATCCAGTCCGGCCATGGTCAGGATAGACGGGACAGCGCGCTGGGCGACTCTGATCTTCTGCGCGTACCAGGCCACATCGTAGTCTGCCGTGCCTGTCGTGAGCGGCTCGTCGAAGTAGGAGAGCCCGAGGGCTGCTATTGTCTGGATAACCTGCTGGAGTATGACGTCGCGCAGAACTTCGTAACGCGACACGTGGTTGCGCTTGAGAACCTCTGCCGGCGTGTGCAGCCTGTACTGTGGGAATAGGTCGTATACGTCGATGACGTGGAAAAACAATGAAACGGCCCAGTACGCGATGAACGGCAGCGCAGCCTGTATGACGGCGTCGGGAGCCCAGGAGACGAGTCGTGGGAGGGGCTTGAGGGTGTATTCTGGCAGCGGAGGGACGTGGTATTTCATGTTCGCGGTTGCCATCTTGTGGCGTGACTGGTCGAGCAGGGTCGCAGGCGGATGACTAAGGACGCTTTGCGAGATGCGGAGGGTTGCGAGCAGCCAGGCGGCGGGTGTGTGGTCGTGGTGTGTCGCAGACGTCGGGCGTGCAGTCGTGCTGGACGGGTGGCGGATCAACAAGGCCGGATGCCGCGGATCAGCGAGACGATGGATGTTCAGGGAGAAGGCGCGAGGCAATTAGCGGGTGCCGTGTAGGAGCCGAGGGGCAGATCAGGGCGACACAGGTAGGCGGGTGGGCGGGCTCAATAAGGAGAGGCTGAGGTGGGCAGAGCGAGGAGCAGGCGTGTCGTGTGAGAGTGGTGATGTACTCAGGCTACAGGAGACGACGGCGCATCATGACATTTCTGGTCCGCCGAAACAAGGCCGTCAACATTCGCCTCCTGGCCCCGGCTTGATACGAGCGTCGGTATTTTTGTACGTGCGCGACTGGGTGGCGGCGATACTTAGTCAGCTCGCGACCCTTGGTTCCAGCCGTCGCTAGGCCGTTGCTTCCGGCTTAGTCTCTATCAAAATTCGAACCCCACCAACCCCTCGTAGTCGCCCGCCCCCATCGTTCAAGAATTCAACTCGGCCTCTTCCATTCCTTCACTACACGTCCAACACACACCCGCTCTTCACCATGATTATCTTCAAGGTGCGTTCTTCGCCTGCGTGCGCCCACCCGCGCAACTGCCCCACCTTCTCTTTTGGGCGCCATGATGCTTTTCCATGCTGCCCCTCTCGATGCTCTGACCGTGCTGTGCTGACACACCTGTGCAGGACGTTATTTCCGGCGACGAGATCATCTCCGACTCGTATGACCTGAAGGAGATTGACGGCGTTGCCTACGAGGCCGACTGCGCCAGGATCACAGTTGGAGGCGAGACATTCGGTGCGTCTCGCTGCAGATCTAGCCCCTCCACGCCCTAACCATGTGCCAGATACCGGTGCCAACGCGTCCGCTGAGGAGGCCGAGGAGGGTGCCGAGGACTCCCAAGCGACTGTCATCGATGTCATCCACTCTTTCCGCATGAACGAGACTGGCTTCGACAAGAAGGGCTATCTTGCTTACCTTAAGGGTGCGCGCATCTCATTCGAACTGTTCACGCCCGACGCAACTGACATGGTACAGGCTACATGAAGAAGGTCAAGGCGCATCTCCAGGAGAAGAACCCGGACCAGGTCGAGGCCTTCGAGAAGGGTGCCCAGGCTTTCGCTAAGAAGATCATCGGCAACTTCAAGGACTACGAGTTCTACACTGGCGAGTCCATGGACCCCGATGCCATGGTCATTCTCCTCAACTACCGCGAGGACGGCACCACTCCCTACATCACCGTCTGGAAGCACGGGCTTAAGGAGGAGAAGGTCTAAATATGGAGACGAGGCGCATGTGGGGGAAAGCGGGGTTTCATTGAATTTACGAATACCTATTGCATGATCGGATATTTGCCGTGGTGCGAAAAGCATACGAATCTACACGACCTTCTTGAATGTTGTATCATGATATTTCAACGTGACATACCAGTTGGCTGCCCATTATTATTTGACACGCCTGAGACAAGCCGTCTTGTCATACACAACTGCAGTATTGCGAGCAGAGAGCTGGGATTTACTGTCACGCCACATTGCAGAGTCGGTAGATGAATCTTGTCTGGACAGATTCGAATGACTTTTGAGATGCAGCAAACGCCCGTGCATCCCCCGTGATGGCGCGAGAAAGCGCGCAGACGTGTTTGTGGGGGAGCGCACGGAGCAACTACAGCCTCAGGCACATATTCTCAGCCTTCCCGGGCCTGCCTCCGTATTCCCTCTCAATCGCTTCTGTTGTCACTTCTTTTGACATTCTTTTTGACGTTGCTTGACCTTTTGAATTGTTTTCGGCATTAGTTGCATGGCCTTGGAGTTATGCGACGGTCCCCTCGTCTGCAAGGGAACGGCAGAGGCGGTGCGGGTAATCGCCCTGGGCCAGCCTTACCCGCGTCGGTACCGCGCACTCCACACCACCCAAAATCTGGAGCTGCACTTGCCGACCTCATTCGCTCGCTCGAGTCGAAGTGGCAGCTTGGTCTGAAGGTTCAAGACGGGCGATCACCCGCACAAAGCCGTACCATTGCAGACAAAACATGCCGCGCGATACAATACTTGTTTTACTCGAATCGTGGTGGTCTTAACGACGCTTTAGCCATCTTCGAGCAATCAGGACCTTTCCTTCGACCTGAAGCACGTCTGGAATTGCTGCATGGTAAACTGAAGAGCTTGTTGCCGCAGTCACCTGGTGGTCCAAAGATCGCAACACCAGTAAGCGCAAGGAACAAACCGCTGAATAACATGAAGTCGCCGCTATGTAAGTTTCCAATGGTCTAGTTTTCTCTCACATGATCATACACAGCGCGTACGTCAAATATCAAGGCCGAAACCGCGTAAACCACATCACCTGTAACATTTGCAGTACGAGTCCATGTATTATGTACTCGTCGAGCCTTATTTGGCCTCGGCTTTTGTCTATTGAAGCGACCCGATCAAGTCTTCCACCCTTTTCCCCGCCCACTTTACTTCTTGCCTCATTTTACACAAATCTTGGGGGATGTATCCACTGTCGCTGAGGACCCACGAAGTTCGGACCTTTCACGTTTACTAACAAGACAGCAGCAAGCCAGCCATCTCGGTCCGCAGATATCTTTCAAGGCTATCGAACGGGACAGGCTGAGCCACAACCCCATCTCCAACTCGCAACTACCTTCGATCCAGGCTCGCCTACCGATGAGGACGACAACAACAACGACGATGATGGCTACGTCACACCGCCATCACCGACCGTGTCTTCGCGATCAGCACAGAGGCGGGTACAGGCAAGTCCGCGTTTTTCTTTAGGACCCACTGCTAGGAAACGACCTTCGGATAGCTCGAATGACTCTGAAAAGTCTCCCAAACTGTCCAAAATCTCGAGAGGAAAACAACCCGCCATCAAGTTCACAGCACCAGGATCTTCGAAACCCTGTATTGCTCCGAAACATCCCTCTCCTCCAGCATTCAAGAAGCCAACACGTGAAATGGCGCGTTCCTTTCATGCTGCCCCGTCCATCTCCTCCTCAGTCAATACATCGTTCAATACGAACACCGTCTCTTCCTCCCAGCAGACACAGGCAGACACAGTCAACACCTCCTTCACCTCAAACTACGGTGTAGATGATCTGCAACGCCCTGGGATGACGAGAACGAGTTCAACAACAATGGGCTCATTGGATGATAACGACATAGTGAATCTATCAATGAAGCTTGAGTTCGAGGTACTCAAGCAGGAGCAACTCGCACGAATTTCTTCCCAGGATAATCGAGAAAGTACATCGACTTTCGGATCTGTAGATGAGGATGGTCTTATAGATGCATCGTGTAGAGCTGAGGTTGAACACATTCCAGCCTTTCCTCCTCTCTTGCGACCGCCTGTCGACACTGCCTCAAAGCTGGACGGTACATCGGGGTATCGTTCACCGGCTAAGTCGAAACTTTTTGACCGTCAACCACCCGGAACCACTACTTCTTTTCCAGCTGCGGGTAAGATCACTTCCCCAGATCAACCGATTCTTCGACCCAGAAGTTCGTCGGTTGGTACGACGCCATCTCGTGCGGTCCGTCCGGGAGCTCCCACCCCAGTGGATTCTCCGTCCCGTGTGTCACACTACATCAGAGATATACCCAAGCAGGGTCTGTTCGTTGATGATCTTCCAGATGACCTGAAATCTGTGCCCTATTTTCTAGCTTTCATTGGTCAACGCATAGCTCTCCAACACTCCATTCCCATTGGAGACCTTATGCGCAAAGTGGATATTTCATCATCCAAGGCTGACCCAGACACGTTTTGGGCATCTATTCAGACCCATCCAAAAATTTCGCATGTTCGATTGCGGGAGCCGAGCGGCCTGTGGCAAGCCCGAAAACGTCAATTTGATGGGTTCACCTTCAAGGGACAAATCACACTGAATTCCAAGCGATCTGGGCCGGTGTTCAATCTTCAGCTTCAACCTGTGCAAAAGGATGCGTCGTGTCGTTTCCAGAGGAAGTTCGGATCGGATCGATTTCTGTATCTTCAGGCTCCTGTTTGGGCTTCTAAAGCGAGTCGCTTCAATGCGGCAGAGATGAAGTATATCCAAGAACGTTGGAAGACATGGTTGCTTACCGAGCACTCGTTTTTAGGACGGAAATGGAGGGTGTTTCATGTCGAATCACTCAAGAGAAAATCAAACGCCAAGAAACAAGAGGCGTTGTACGACAAAAGACTAGTATTGTTTGCCGTTGACGGTTGTGGAATCGACCAACCGCATACTATCGGTGAGATGCTCAATTGGTTCTTGCCGTTTGCCCACAACGAGAACCAAACCTTCCTGAAAGCATTTGCTCGATTTGATTTGGGCCTTTCTCGAACGGTTTCGACTCTGATGTTTCTGCCGTCGTCGATTCGTTTTGTAGATGACATCATGTCAAACGGGGAACGGGAGACGACGCAGTTCAACGACAGAAGACTTCGTTGGAAAAGTGTTCCAAAAAATCAAGTCATGAACGACGGCTGTGCCGTCATATCTGTAGGCGCTGCAAAACTGATTTGGAAGATCTATAAGGAAGCTACTAAGTCGACTGAAACGTTGATGCCTAGCGCCTTTCAGGGACGCATCGGAGGGGCAAAGGGACTGTGGATGATCAGCGCCGAATCATATACGAAAGATCCGGAGCATACAGCTGTTTGGATCCAAATCAGCAAAAGCCAGCTGAAGTTTGATCCACACCCTGAAGACATGAATGACGACGGCGCCTTCGACCCCCATCGTCTAACGTTCGAGGTCTCTAACTATAGCTCCCCGCCTACCCCATCGGAGCTTCACATATCGTTCATCCAAATCATGGTTGACAGAGGAGTTCCCGGAAATGTCATCGCTGAATTTATGACTGAACACCTCGATGCGGAGAGGAAACAATTGCTCGAAATACTCCAGTGCCCAACGAAGACGTACGAATGGGTGCACAAAAACAGTGCGAAAACTAGGGGTTCTGGTGACACACTTTGGGAAGCCGCGTTACCTGTTTCTCTAGAGGAAAAGTTGAAGCTTATGCTTGAGTCAGGGTTCTCCCCTGTCAAATCCGAGTTCCTTGCGCAAACTCTTGGACGGTTTATCCAAACTAAGCAGATTTCACAAGAGTCGAAATTGCGTACTCCCCTTCCAAAATCTACCTTCCGTTATGGAGTGGCTGACCCGTTTGGAGTCTTGAAGCCTGGGGAGGTGCATGTCCATTTTTCGAGACATTTCCTTGATCAGCTAGCGGACGAGCAATACCTCTGCCTCAGAGATATGGATGTTCTTGTTGCGCGCCAACCAGCCTGTCGACATTCTGACATACAGAAGGTGCATGCTGTGATACATCCAGCATTATCCCACCTCGTTGACGTCATTGTGTTTCCATCGAGGGGCGAATATCCATTGGCAGGCAAACTGCAAGGCGGTGACTACGATGGAGACATGTTCTGGGTATGCTGGGAACCCAAGCTAGTTGACCCCTTCAAGAATGCTCCAGCACCGGTCACGTCACCAGACCCCGCCAAATATGGCATTAAAAAGGACACCCGGAAGCTTGGGGACGTAATGGATACGACGGATTTGGACGATGTGGACGCTCTTCTTCGAGAGGCCTTCGAGTTTCGAGACAACCCTTCATTGCTTGGTATGGTGACAGTCATGGCCGATAATCAGGTCTACAGAGAGAACCGCCTGTTTTCGGCTGTGCTGGAGCAGCTTTTCGACATACACGATCTTCTCGTCGACGCAATCAAACAGGGATATACTTTCATGCAGGCTGACTTGGATCGCTTCGTGAAGTGCACTCTGAAGATAGAACCCCCGAAGAAACCAGCATACAAGGCTGCGATGGGGGAATCTCTTGCTGCAAAAGAAACGAGCGATGTTGAAAAGGTCCGAGCCAAGAATTACCGACACAAATCCGATCGGGTGCTTGACTATCTTTACTTTGGGGTCCTCCGAGCGCACAACATCGAAACCATGAACCTGGTCAAAGATGAATGTTCAAAAAGCATCGAGGTGGATGAAGATCTTCTGTACATGTACAAAAACCTGAAAAGCAAACAGCACCCGGTCATAGACGAGGTGCTACGCACCATCAGAGAGAGCCTAATACCTATCTACGCCGTGTGGACCAATGGTTTTCACAAGGATAGCAAAAAGGAGAAGAGTATCTCCCCTGTAAAGGAATGTTACGAAAAATACCTCGCCATCCAACCTATCCATTCCTCTGACCCTGAAGTCAGGCCCTGGCTCGAGCCCTACACTGACCCCCATTCATCACTGTGGGCTCAACTCAAAGCCTCGGTCTTGTATGCGAAATACGATTGGCCTAATAAGCAGTCGTTTGTGTTCAAAATGGCAGGCAAGGAACTTGCTCATCTAAAAGCTAAGCATTCGCCGGGTGCCAGGCTTGTCATTTTGGCCATCCTTGGAAACATGAAGCCGAAGCCGATCAAGGCGCCGATTGAGCTCGATGAAGAGGAGGACGCGAGTGAGGATGAATTTGACAGCGCGACAGACCAGATCACTGGGTGAGCGATTCGATCATGTGTCGTGGTTGAACGATGAGTCTTCACTAGTTCTCTACTACCACCTTCCTTGGGACATGTTTCTCTCGTTATTCCGACCCCCACGCTCATATCATCGCCGTCTCACAAATTGCGTCATTTATTCCGACCTTCACTATGCTTTTCACTTCAGTCTCACCACAAGCCTTTTGGCGACTACGGTCTTTTCCCTGGACACCTTTCGTATTCCTACATTCGTTTTCGCCAGCCATTTTACATATTCTACAACCAAGCAACCAATTAACCAACCAACGACCAACAAAAGGCACTCCCGAACCACTCACCGCTCATGTAGTCGTTCCGAGCCAGCCCGAAGTTCTCACTGAGCCATTCAACAAATATATCACTAGGATATAAACTTTAGAAGGAGGACGTAGGAAGAGGAATGTAAGAGCAGAGTGCTTGTAGAGCAGTGTCTGAAGCTATCTAGGAGCATACCGTTCATTTGAAATCTACCCTTTTGTATCCCCGCGATCTTCTGGCTTGTTCGCAGATGAATTTTACTCACACTCGTTTTCCAGCCAGCTAACACTCGTACTCACATTCTTAGCATCACTTCTCAACTGCTAACAGTACAGGTCGGCTCTTTCTAGTCCCCTTTAGTGGGAGCTCGAAGAATGTCTACAACAAACACACGCGAATGTCTTGTCCAGCATATCACTATCTGGCAACACTGTACGATATAGCACGGCAAAGAGAAATCTTCTAGCAGCGAGGAACCATAGCACGCATGCACGATCTTGCTGGAACTAACACGTCAACAGGCAAAAAAGACTAGTAAATAATTAAAATACATATATATAACTAATATTTATAATTAGCTATATTGTGAAGGTTTTAATTAACGCGAAAGAAATAAATGTAATAATAAGTTCATATATTAATATTGATATTTTACAGATTAGAACTAGATATAACGTAGTATTAATTCAAAACTATTTCTTGAATAGTTCACTCATACTAATATAAGCTATAATAGAGTAGTAGTTTTATAGAGTCTTGGCAGAAGTATACTAATTACCTATCTATACTAACTACCTGTAAGGTACGTTATATAAACCTTTTAAGAATAACATCCTTAGAACTCCTATCTAGTAAAGAAGCCTAGAAATGTTAATCAAGTGTTGAGTTTTGGTGTAGTTTTGGCAAAAGTGGCTCGTTAACCTAGGTAGCCCGTTGACCCAGGAGGTACGTTAGTAGTTTTCTATTCATTTGCTTAATTCCTTGCTTCGGCCCTTCCAAATAGTTTGTCTCCTACATCGCCAGGGTACGGCACAACATAGCCATGCTCGTCCACTCTCTCCGCAGTCGCGGCTACGATAACGTTTCTGACTAGGGGATGTTTTGCCACTGCTGCGAGTCCAATAGGCGAAACATAACATGACAGGATGGTGACATGCCTTTCTGCTGAGCCGCTTATCGCCATGAGCTCGTCACAAATCTTTAAAATGGTGCCGCCGGTCGCGATAACAGTGTCGAGTAATACGATGTGCCCGTTCTTGGGAACCAGCGGGATTGGGCGTCGTCCAAGCCAGTCAATTCTGACGGATGACTTTTCCTGGGCCCGAAAGCCGCGTACGAGGACGCAAAAAGGATCGGCGAAATGCTGTGAGGCGGCCACGTACATTGGAAGAGCCCCACGAAGGATTGGGACTAGAGTGACTGGGATGCTGTTGAAGGATGGATCCTCTTTCTTGGCGGCAACTACCAGCTCGACCGTCATGGATTGAACGACCTGATGCATAGTCGCTTCGGTTATGGACGAGTCGAGAAAAGTGGGAAAGAGAGATTGAATTGTGGAGTTGGAAGATAGCAGTGTGATAACGGGTGCTTCATGCTGGGAGGAGCCAGCGGCTGATTCCAATTCATGGTTGGAAGGCATCTAGATAGCGGTATGCGGAGAGAGGTGGAAATGGATAGATAGAACATGAAGCTGAATGGTCGTTTAAGTACAGGGACGCGGCGCGAGCCGAATAAACACTAGATCAACACTAAATTTGCGGGCCGTCTAGCTGCATGAAACAGTCAGTAGTTATGCAAGTAATACAAGGACACGGCGCTAGAAACCCAAGGAGGAAAAGAACACTGGGCAGCAGGCAAAACATCATGTACAATGGCCGCGTTAGTACCGTGAAAACTGGACCGCTCTAACTTGTACTAGTAGGAGGCAAGTTTGTGTAGGAGACAGTAGATAGATTACAACCCTCAAATGCGAGTTTTTACTCAGCTGACAATGGGTACAATCTAATCTTGCTTTATCTAACGGCGCATCTGGCCTTACCTGCGATGATCTTGAAAACTCTGCTCCATTGTTGTAGCAGTTTCAGCTGCCGTAAGGGCGGCCTTATCTTATGCAGTGTGACATCCCTCCCACGCGACCCTGCGAGGGACGTGCGGCGCTCGGGTAGGTATTTACATCCTCGCACGATCCAAGATTTCTTGGCTATGTCTTTTGCCTGCTACTTCAAGCCTAGTCACCAACACCACGATCATAGCGCTTTGTTGTCGCCCAGGTCTCTTTTCTCATATCGCTAGTGCCTAACGCGGGTACCACCGAGGGCTAACGGCTGCATTACCGCTATCGGGCTCATCCTTGCTATGCTTCATGCAGGGCCTCACAAGCTGATACTTTCACCCTCGCTGCGGGTAGCGGGTCGGGTTGCATGGGGCGGGGCGCGAGCGACTTAGCATACCCTTATCATCCACTAGGCACCTCTTTGTCACATATTCCCTATTGCCTGAACACTTTGCCTGTACTTTCCATTTCCTCACCTTTGGCGAACTATCACATCAACATACCTCTTCCAACACTACGACATGGACAAGACTCCTTCGTCTCACACCGTAGCACAAGCGGAGGCAAGTCATGCTGAAAAATCTGCTTCGCTACAGTCTACCGCCTCCCCAGACACAGGTGACATTGACGAAGCCGGATCGGAAGGCTATCTGCCTGGTGCCAAAGTCTCTCTCGGGAAGAAACAGTTCTGGAGTGTCTTCTTCGGGTATGCTCCTTTTGTTCATGAATGATGCGATACTGGCCTAATAGTGTACTTGTAGTCTGAATTTGGGTATGCTGTTAGTGGCCATCGATTTCAACATCGTTGCCACGGCCGTTCCAACCATCGCGTCCGAGTTTCATGAATACAAAAACTCTGCGTGGCTTGCCACTGGCTTTCTCGTCTCCCTCGCCCTAGTGTTGCCAATCTATTCTAAGCTTGGCAGCATATTTGGCAATGATATCATGTTTAACATTGCCACTCTTATCTTTATCCTTGGTAGTGGACTCTGTGGCGGCTCTAAAAGCATGAAAATGCTCGTTGCGTCACGAGTTATTCAAGGAATTGGCGGGGGTGGCATCTATGGCCTGGTCAACGTAAGCGCTTACTTTTGAGAATTTTACTTGCAATGTCATGTTATATTGATCACTTCGCAGGTCATTGTTACCGATCTTGTCCCGTTGAAGGATGTGGGCAAGTATCTCTCTATCACTGGTCTTATTTGGGTCGTAGCAGATGTTGCCGGGCCTCTGCTTGGAGGTGTTTTTTCTCAGTACGTTTTCCCTAGGCATTGTTTCAAGATTCTAACCTTGCTCAGGTACGCTTCATGGAGGTGGTGTTTTTACATTAACCTCTGCATCTCGCCGATCAGCTTAGCCATCTCCCTCTGCTTCCTGAAGCTGCCCAAGACCTCAAGGGATACGTTTACAACTAGCTTTCTCCAGCTAGACTATCTCGGCATTCTCGTCCTGGTGGGCGGAACGGTCTGTATCCTCCTCGGCGTCTCTTGGGGTGGCAACACATTTGCTTGGAGTGACGGGCAGGTAGTGGGCTGCCTTATCGGGGGGTTCGTGCTTCTGGTCCTCTTCATCGTTATCGAACATCGTGTGCGCGATCCTCTGATAGATCCGTCGCTATTCCGCAGCCATACCGTACTTGCTATCACGGCTGCAGAGTTCTTCTTTGGGGCCAATCTCATTGGCCTCATGTACTACATTCCGCAGTTCTTTCAACTCGTGTTTGGAGACTCAGCCACTATATCTGGAGTTGGCCTACTGCCTATGATGCTGGGCCTTGGGGTAGGCAACCCTATTGCGGCTTTCATCACGTCACGGTACGAATTGAGCCTCATCAATGCTCAAGTTGGGGCTGCTTTGATGACACTTACAAGCGGTCTCATGGCCCGCTGGAATGTACACACGAGTCGCGCTGAGGCTGTTGTTCTCCTTATAGTCTTAGGAATGGGACAAGGCGCGGCCATGTCCGGACTGCTTCTTACTGCCCAGGTCGCCACCCAACCGCATCTCATCGGCATTGTCACCGGTCTCGTCATCTTCGTCATGACAGTTGGAGATATTTTCGGCGTCGCCTTTTTTGCGGCAGTGTACATCAACAAACTTCGAGCGTCTCTCGCAATCCTCACACTAACCCCTGCTCAAATTACCGACATTTTACAAGACGTGCAGTCCATCAAGCATGGTTACTCTTCAGAGTTGAGGAAGGATATAATCGCCGCCTATGCAGAGAGTATGCGTAACGGCTGGTGGTTAATGTTTGCATGTGCCGGTGCGTTGTTTCTATTGACATTTCTGGCCAAGCAAAACAAGTTCAAAGCTCCTACATCAAGTTAGACAAGGAAAATGTGCGAGGAACGTGGCTTGGTTTACCATTTACTGGGAATGTACGGGTTCAGTCCAGCTCAGGTGTTGCTTGTGGTTGGGCCTTCATCGCTGTAGTATTGCTTACGAAATACCACGACCTGAGATATCATGACAATGTAGAATGTATCTGAATGAATACTACACGTTTCCCCCGCCCAATACCTCATATACCTAGCCCAGAGAATTTCTGCGACAATCGAGGAACCTGTCAGTTGCTTGACGAGACATTCATTGATAGGCTGCCTATTCTAGATAGCCCCAATCCTTCAAATCCACTGTTTTCTATGAAAAGCCGGGTCTTGCAGCGAACACGTTGCACTGTGCCACGAAAACTGATACCGCTAAACTTTGGTTTGATGGAAAATGGCCTGCTGAAGGTGGCACAGCCAGGAGAGGTTTAAAGAAGGTCTAGTGCAACTCGAGGTGGGGCCGAATACAACTTCATGTAAACAAGGGTTGCATCGTGTAAATTATTATCAGCTCTGTTGCAAGTCTTCTTCTCAATACTATTCGGGATTATGTAACAATGTTTCAAACAGTCATGGCAAGCATTCACTTTACCCTTGCATCAATGACTGCATGCTCAACTGCGCTGTTCCTCCATATCTTATGAATTTTGAAACCGCAATCGCCAAGCAAATCACGCCACTGCCTCTCTGTACGTTCAATTCCACCAATGGTCATCATGTTGAGATCCTCCCAAGCCATTTCTCGAGCCGCACCTACATTGTCCACGACCATATCGGTGATGATCAGGCGTGAAAATCCTGGAGTCATGGCAGCAGCGACGTTACGCAGGATGATCCGACAAGGCTCGTCGCCCCAGTTGTGCAGTGTGCGGCGAATAAAATACATTTGGGCTCCTAAAAAATATAAGCGTAAGCCTATTGTGTCACTAATCTTGATGCAGGTGAGACGTACCGCGGATAGGCAGACTCTCGAAAAAGGATCCAACTACTGGCTCTATCCAGGAAGGTAATCCGATTTCTATAGCTCTGTCGATAACCGGTTTTAGATCGAGGAGCACAAACCGTCCTTTTAGCTCTGGATGATCCGCGCGGATCTGCTCAAGAGCCTGGCCCCGGCCACCACCAAGATCAATGATGGTAACCCCATCTTCGATTGCCTCGTGTCCAAGTTCTTCGCCGAATGCAAATGGCCCGCTGCTCTTCTCTGTCGATAAGCTCGCCACAATCTCACTCCGCATTCCTGAGTCAAACACTTTCCTGCAGTCTTCGTTTTGGTCGCGATACTCCCACATAGGCAATTCGGTGCGCGATCCGAACATGAAAGCACAGTGCTCATAAGTTCCTGGGTCTTGCCATTGTCGGCTTTTGAGAAACTCGGGGAGAGCGAAGATAGCGCGGCCATTGTAATCGTACATCAGGGTTATCAAGTCACGGTTTGCAGATGAGATCAGCGCGCGGGAGATGGCACTATGCGCATAGTGCTGCTCGGATGTTTGGGCTATAAGGGAAGTACTCGCACATGCTTGCAATAGGCGTTCTAATGGGTTGCGTTAGAGATGTTCACTCTGGTGATGAAATAAGCCAACAGTGAACATAATGATACATACTCAGCAAGTTCTTCTCTGCCCCTGTTGATAATCCCAGCTCGTCAGTGCTAAGAGGGCTTCCATCGAGGGGTAGTAATGAGGGTATACCGAGCGCGATCGCACATCGAAGAGCAGCGTTTTGGGCTGGCTGCACATGCCATGTTAATACCATACCGTTTCGGTGACGTTTGAATGTGTAAGGAGTGATCACCTGTTGTGCAATAGCAAAAAGGTTCTCCTCTGGACTGCGCGCTGCAAGTACGAGTCTTTCGGCGGCTGATACCAGTTCACACCGCGAGATATTGGATGCAAAAGTATCTCCACTTGTGAGAGAACATAATGATTGGTTTATGAGTTTAACGAGGGCCAATATCTCCTCAGGAGAGGAGGAACTAGTGAGCATTATGGCAGAAAGAAGTCTGCGATGGGAGGAATAGGTGTGCTTCTTGAAGATTGTCAAACAGTTGTGATGAGTGTTAGAGGACGAGAAGTACCACAGATCTAGCTAAGATTTATGGTCTAGACTGGGAACATAAGTTGGGAACGATACTGTGGTACCCCTCTGAGATTTCAGCAAATCCATAAAGTGGGGCCCAATAGGGTTGCCGAACCCCCCCGGAAGAACCACAGTGCATAACTAAACTTTGTAACGTTGCATAATGATTAGAAAATGGGGCTTGCACGCAACGGCTCAAATCCCCGTGCCCCGGCAATCTATTCGACTCGTGCGGGACGCACTCAAAACTCTCTTAAGAAGATGCCGGACTGGGCTAGGTTGGTAAACTTGACTGTTGAACTAAAAGTGTTATGGAATGATACAAACCTAAACGATCTTACTACAGTATTCCTCCAGCACACCGCTCTTCCTTCCTAAGACTCTGGACCATGTCCTCCTCCACCTCCATCCCAGCTGAGCTGAAGATAACCTTGCAGAGCCAGGTTGACCACTTAATTGCTAATTCGGCAGGAAGGTGGCGGGTCAGCAACGATGGTGCATCTCTGGAAGCCAAGATTAGCTTTCCGACGTTCAAAAAAACATGGGTGAGTAGGCGCAGAAATAGACTTCCGTATTGATGTCACGTTTTAGCTGTTTCATGTTCTGATGTCTGCGAAGCAGTTCATGGACGCGGTGGCGGCCAAAGCAGTAGCGAGCAAACATCATCCGGAGTGGTCGAATGTAAGTGATGTCGACAGTAATCAGACTCAGCTTAGTAGTTGACCCACTTAGATATACAATCAAGTCTTTATTCGTTGGACCACTCATTCTGATTCGATCCTTACGGACAAAGACGTTCATATGGCTGTTTTTTGCGAGGAAACTGCGCTTGCGTTCGGTGCTACACTAGAGACGACTTCGAGTTCTGGGTTAACAAGACTGATCGATCAAATAACTGGTTCAAGAAATGTCGCAGAGCACATAGTGGTGTAAAAGGCCGAATCTAGAGAAGTATGAATCCCCGTTGAAAAAGCTAGTTAAGGTTACTTTGGTGTCAGATATTGGGCTCGAACCACAGGGGTGTTTAGGGTGCATGTGATATCACAAGATTGCAGGGAGAATCGATAAAGATATATTGTCCGTTTTGTAATGCCAGAGGCAGGATGCTTAAGCTATCACTGGTAGTTGCAACATGTAACGTGCTCTTCACAAGACTCTGGTCACCGCCAAAACAGTAGATCTTACGGAAAAGAACAAATACAAAACAACCAACTGCTTTAGCATCCACCTTAATGAGTAGCCAACGCGATAACAGATAGTCCACTGTTACATGCAAAGCATGCATGATGCCTCAATATGCATGATACCTCAGTATGCATGATACCCGATATGCACGATGTCCGAATATGTGTCACGAAAGATAGCAAAATATATATTCATATGAAAACACCGAACAACGACTTACTCACTACCAACATTCTATCCCTTACCAGTTTCATGATGGCTTATACGCAACAAGCCTCGATGCTGTCACAGATACACAGCCCTCATCATTTTCAAAAGATCAAAAGGCTACAATCGGGCGTAGAATGCTCTCCTTCATCGAAAAGCATCAATACTTCTGCTCGCCTTGCAAAGTCGCCACCTAGGAGTCTTACCCTCTTCTCTGACACTTGTCATACATACCACCCTTCTATCAGCTGGCTCGATGGCCTCATTTCGGATTATCCTCTCTTTGACGAATCATCGCGCATACATGAGATCATCACAGCTATGAAGAGCAGACTTTTGCATTATGCTCTAGAAGGATGCAGAGCAATTCTAGCGCCCCTGTTATCTAAATCGAACAGTGCAGACAATCTTCTTTGTAATTCGATCAACACACGGCCAGATGTATGGAAAGCAGTACTTTCAGCCCAACATTACGGAGTTATTTATCTTGTTTCGCGATCCGATGCCCGCGACATTTACCTATCCTCTATAAAGGCTCATCCAAGTGAAACACAAGCCATTGATGAGTTCCTACGAGTTGATGCCGCAGGTATTCGGGCTATAAACTACGCCGTTCATGCCTACATCAGACGCGACGGGCTACGAGTGGATCACGCTAGCAGTTTTGTGCCTCCAAATGCCATCTCGTCGGTCGGAGAGAGGCATGTGGTCATTCGGGCCGTAGACTTTGAACGAACTAGCGAGAGCGTGCTGGCAGAGACGATCCCACTATGGGATCTCCATGACTTTGCACACCTTAGCTGCGCGACGCTGTGTCCATCTCTCTTCGGAAACAAATACCAAACACACCTGGCTCTATTGCACAAAAGCCTCACCGCATTGGTTAGATCGCCAGGAATGAGTGCAGGGACAGGGCCCAAAATATCTGACGGCATGATATTCAGTCAGTTGCTCACACCGATGTTCACCGAAGCGCTGAAGCAGAACAAGAGTTACACATACGCATCCCTCACGGAGAAGCTTGCCATTGATCTGGCTGAGTATCTCCTCGGACAAAAAGCACTGAAACATCTTTCAACTGGGAACATGATGACGCTCTCTGAGCCGATCACGCCAATACAACTCGCGGTGCTGGTACAAAACAAGGGTTATGAGCTTCCTGCCAGCGAGATAGAGCAGCGAGTCTTCACTCGCGGTGGTCCAACCGGTTCCTCTGATGATGTCCTACTTCCCATGTCAGCGAAAGAGCGCATTGAATATCTGGCGACTAGTAGAAGTTGGATGTATTTTGAAGTCAGAAATACGATCAAGCATAGAGCACACAAAACAGCATACAAAATTGTTTGCTCGAGATTAATGCAGAAGGCTAAAGAAGGTTCAGATAAACAAAAGGAGCTTCTGTGCATCATCAAGAGCCACCTTATGTTTGAGGATTGGCAAGCAGGAGAGCAAATCAATCTCTGGAGTTTTCTAGCAGAGAAAGAGTGGTGAACAATTCACTACCTGAGCCTGTGCTTCCTCGAAACGCCCCAGTCGACTTCCAACTGGAGCTTCCACGACTACCAAGGGCACGACTACCTCATCGGCTGGTATCTATTCCCTGAGCGCGACGGCGGCATCAAATCCACGTTTGAGGTCCAGAGCCAACACGCTGATCTGGACTGGGCGAGGGCTGTCTCACTGTACCCGGGCACTTCCTGAGCCAGTTAACCAATGCGACACCCGAGACGCTGGTAGGCAGCTTGCTAGATATGTAGTTAACTGAGGATATCATTGCTTGTAGCAAGTATATAAACTTTCTACTTTCAACTAGCTATACTTCCCTCGCCGCCCTAAGCAGATCTCTAAACCTAGACTCTGCTACTTAAGCTAACTTAACAACATTTCTAGTCTCTACTATCTTACCTGTTACTAGAGTACAGAATTGTAAATACGCTAGTAAATAGGTAAGAGTACGTTAGTAGGTAAGTTAGAACTAGGTTAGAGTTAGGTTTTAAATGAGTATAACCTAACTTCTTTCTAACTCTAACTTAACGTATGGTCTACTATAACAAAACTCTAACCTAGAATTTTAACACTAGAATTAGGTTAAAGTTATATATACCACTAAACCACCGATGCGATGATTGATCTTTGATGTGATCGATGGGGCGGATGACCGTGGAGCAGTTCACATTCTGAGAGATTGGCCTTGCGATGGGGCGGTATGGAGGGGAGATGGTAAGGGGCATAGGATGGGGAATGGGGGAGGGGAAAAGCGAGGTTTGACGAGAGACGATATACGTTACGGCTGAGGAGAGCGAGCTACTTTTTAGGGTTGGAGATGAGTTGGATCAGATTGGGAGTAGGAAGAAATGGTTTGGCAAAAATAGCCGCACATAGTATCAAGTCACATACAATAGTCCGTCAGATATCAAATTCACAGTTCGTCCCTCATATCGAGCACCAACCGCAAATTATTCCTTACAACAAAAATCGGCCACCAAGTGGTTCGACGGACTAGCTTGACACCGTACTAGCAGACGGACTTTCATCAAGTCCGTTAAGTCACGTGAACATGAACATTTGCCTGTGCCGGAAAATTGGTATACTCCGATGAGTTTGATTTATATACCAGTGCATGATATCGTGTGTAAAAATATTGTTTTGCTCATTCTAGCTCGCGCCCGTTCTTGTTACCTACAAATTGTGAATATCGGTTCATCTGACTGCGACGCAAACGACTGTAAAGGAGAACACCGTGATACTTCGTACTTGGTACTACGCGCAGATATCGACAATTACGCCATTCAAATAGACATACAATGACCTCGCCATCCCCAAACCAGCACGGCATCAGCACTCCCCCACCCCTGACCGAGAAGTCCCCTCAAGATATGTCCTCCGACACCAACCCCTCGGAAGCATTCCAAAAACAACAACTTACAACAATCCTCCTCCTAACAGCCACCTCCCTAATGGCCATGTTCCTAATCGCGCTGGACAGAACAATCGTCACCACCGTACGAACACCCAGTCGTGTTCACACAAGAAGCCAGCTAATTGAATACGAGCAGGCCATCCCCAACATCACCGATGAATTCACCTCCCTCCCCGACATCGGGTGGTACGCGAGCGCGTATCTAATAGCGAGCGGCGCGTCGCAGCTCCTATTCGGCAAGATCTACTCCCTGTACAACGTGAAGACGGTCCTACTGCTAAGCATCCTGCTATTTGAAGTTGGGTCTGCTGTGTGCGGAGCGGCGCCGAGCTCGGTAGTGTTTATCACTGGCCGGGCAGTGGCTGGAGTTGGCGCGGCGGGGATTCTGGCTGGATCTGTGAGTTGCGGTGTCGGGGACGCAAACTGGGGTTCATCTGCTGACGCGTGGGACTAGGTAGTGACGATAACGCGTGTTGTTCCGCTGGAGAAACAGCCGGGGATGAATGGGCTGCTGGGCGCTGTGTTCGGAGTTGCGATTATACTCGGCCCTTTGGTTGGCGGCGCGCTTACGTCGAATACGTCGTGGCGGTGGTGCTTTTATGTTAATCTGCCTGTTGGGGGAGCGGTTATGCTTGTCCGGGCGTTTACGATCAAGGTCCCCAACTCGAAGACTGTTAGCCTCTCGTGGACGGAGAAGTTGTGGCAATTGGATCCTCTGGGCGCTTTGTGCCTTGTACCTGGTGTGATCTGCTTGGTGTTGGCACTGCAGTGGGGAGGTCAGGCTTATGCGGTGAGTTTCCCTGCCGGTTATAAACATTTTCTGGACTGACAGCGTGTAGTGGGATAGCGGCCGTGTTATCGCACTATTGACTGTCACGTCAATCTTGCTCGTCTCCTTTGTTGCTGTCCAGATATACTTTCCAAAGACGGCAATGGTCCCCCCTCGGTTACTCAAGCAACGTAGCGTCGTTGCAGGTTTGTGGCAAATGTCCTTCGTCGGTGCCGGGATGTATGTCATCAGTACGTACAGAATCTCCAGCAGATGCCACAATCACGACTAACCTGCTTCACAGTCTACTACCTCCCGGTCTGGTTTCAAACCGTCAAAGGCGACTCCGCAGTGAAAGCAGGCATCAAACTCCTTCCGTTGATGTTGTCAATGCTAATCGCATCGATTCTCTTTGGGGCCGTCACCCAGAAGCTCGGATACTACACGCCAGTCGGGATTCTTGGAGCTGCCATCATGGCCATTGGAGCCGGACTGTTCGTTCTACTCGAAGTCGACACAGGCCATGCAAAGTGGATCGGCTATCAGGTTGTGTTCGGCTTCGGCATGGGTCTTGCCATGCAGACACCTACCATTGCTGTTCAGACAGTTCTGTCGTCACGCGATGTTCCCATCGGGATGGCCTTGCTGTTCTTTGGGCAGCTCGTAGGTGGCGCGATTGGCGTCCCTATAGCGACGAATATACTGAGTGTTCAGTTACTGAGCAAGCTTGCCCGAGTTTCTGGGTTCGACAAGTCGCTGGTTACATCTGGCGGTGTCACGGGACTGATCAGCTCGCTGCCGGTGGAAATGAAGCCGGCTGTTCTTGAGGCATATAATGCGGCGCTCCAGGACGTATTCAAAGTTGGGGCGGTTCTCACGGCGTTGGCTTTCCTCGGCGCAGCAGGGTTGGAGTGGAGGAGCACGCGCGAGGGTGCTGTTAGATCCCCTCCAGCAGATGAAGAGAAGGACGGTGAAGTTGTTGAGACGAGTGCGACGATGTTTTAATGTCTGTCATCAATGCCAGTCGAGAAAGTATACCACAATACAAAGTGGTATGTATCGAGGATCGAGGACTTGTCGTCTCCAAAGCGATTGATAGGAAGTCGCTTACTAATTCTATGACCGAACTAGCCATGACAACTTCACAGGAAAGCCTATCGACAATTACAACTGTCCCATAAACACCAATTCATTATTGATCTTGCCTGAGCTTGATTAATCGATTCGAGTCCGTACATAAAGTTTATATTAACAAAACAAGTGTAAAGCCTCCGGACTCACTATTTTCAAGACACTGTACCATTGTTGAAGTATTTATATGCTCTCACACAGTGCAGACCTTGACGAGTCGATGAGTCATTTTTGCATGTTTAATAGGTTATGAGCCCGGTTAGCGCAGTTGGTTGAGTAGGGGTTACGTTAGGGCATAGCCCGAGTTCGAGCCTCACTTACTACTGAGAATTTATACCTTCTTTTCTGCTGGTTGGGCCAGTTGAACCGGTTGGGCCAAAATGGCATCTAGGCACCTAGGCATCCAAGCATCCTATCAAAGAAGCCTACCCTGTGCAGAGCATGGGGGAGTGTTGAAGTATTTATATGCTCTCACACAGTGCAGACCTTGACGAGTCGATGAGTCATTTTTGCATGTTTAATAACCATAAACCAAACATCAATACATTCATTTCTACCTGTACAAGCTGAGCCGACCAAACTTCAACAATACACGCCTATAACCCAACTACACCAATCCTCACACCCACAATGTCGCCACCCCAGCCCTCAACCTCCGCCCCTAAATCAAAACCCCACCGCCTCCTAGCCTGCACGCTCTGCCAACAGCGCAAAGTAAAATGCGACCACAACACCCCCTGCGCCACCTGCGTAAAAGCGCGTGTGCAATGCGTGCCCGCAAAGCTTGTCCCACGGCGCCGGAGACGCCGTTTTCCGGAGGAAGAAATGCTTGTGCGTCTGCGGCGGTATGAGGAGATGTTGGGCCGGTGTGGGGTTGAGGTTGAGCGTTTTGGGGCTGGGGCTGGGGGTGGGGGGGAGGAGGGAAAAGAGGAGGAGAAGGAGGAGGAGAGGACTGGCACGAGTACGCCTGTTCCGAAGATACAGGAGCAGAAGTATGTGTTCATGAAGAACTAGGGGGTGATGTAGGATGTGCTAATTAATATGCTAGGGGTATGTTCAACGCCATGCGTGAAGAGGTGAATTTCCCGCCCTACCTACTTACCTAACATATACAAGTCTTGTCTTGTCTTGTCTTGTCTAACAGTGTCCAAACAGATCGACAACGACGACCCATCAGACGACGACGTCCAACCAACCGTCTTCAAACAAGCCTGGGACGCTACAATCGAAGACGACAACCACCTCCTCTTCGGCCGGTCCCAGACCCCCGTCGCAATGTACACGCTGCACCCGCAGCCAGTTCAGGGATTCCAGCTGTGGCAGCTGTATCTCGACAACGTGAACCCCTTGTTGAAAGTCACGCATACGCCCAGCCTGCAAGGCCAGATTATAGAAGCCGCGGGGAACATCTTGAACATCGCGCCGAAACTGGAGGCGCTCATGTTCGGCATCTACTGCACCGCCGTCTCGAGTCTCAGTGAGGAGGAGTGTAGGGGAATGTTTGGGACGAACAAGTCGGAGCTTTTAGCGGCGTATCATCTGGGGTGTCAACAGGCGCTGTTGAATAGTCGGTTTCTGCGGTGTACGAGTCGCGACTGCTTGACTGCGCTGTACCTTTATCTTGTGCGTTGATCGGCTTTATATACCTGCGCTTTCTGATCAAGGCAGATCTCCGTCAGAACCAACACGACCCCTGAGTCTCTGTCCTCGATGCTCGGCGTTGCGGTCCGTATCGCGCAACGTATGGGCATCCACAGTGAAGCCGCGCTGGCCAAACTCACGCCCCTCGAAGCCGAAATGAGCAGACGACTCTGGTGGTCGCTCATCCTGTTCGACACGCGAATAGGCGAAATGGCCGACTTCCAAGCCACATCACTACTGCCCCTGTGGGACTGCAGCGTGCCTCTTAACGTGAATGACTCGGATCTGCGACACGACATGAAAGAGGCGCCACGTGTGCAGGGAAAAAGCACCGACGCGCTTTTTGCCGTTGTGCGCAGCGAGATGGGGGAGTTTGTTCGTCGCACCGTGTTCCATCTGGGCTACTACGCGCCGTCTCTCCTGCCCAGGGACGTCCACACGGAAGGTGGGGAGACAAACCGCTTTGAGAAGACAATCCAGGCCAAGTACCTCGACTTCTGCGATCTCGATAACCCACTGCACTTCACAATCCTCTGGACGACACGCGAGACTATCGCGAAATTCCGCCTCATGGAGCACCACTCGCGGTACGCCGGCTCCGCACTCCACCAAGCCGAGACGCAGCGCGAAGCAGCGCTCTCCTACGCGCTCAGGATGCTGGAATGCAACACGAAGCTCGTCAGCTCCCCCCTAACAAAGGGGTTCCTGTGGATGGTACACGCCTACTTCCCGTTCGTCGCGTACATCCAGACAGTGCAGTATCTGAAGTGGCGGCCCGTGGGTGATCAAGCCACGACGGCGTGGCGAGTGATGAGCGAGAATTACCACGCGAATGATGAGTTGCTGGCGGGAGGATCGCGCTTCTTTGAGCTGCTGGCGGGGTTTGTGCTACAGGCTTGGGAGGCGCGCGAGGCTGCTTCTGCGTCATCGATGGAGATGTCGCGGCTGGTGGTGTCTATTAGGCAGCGGTTGGCGCGTATGGCAGAGGTTTCTGGCGCTCGGGAACGATGTGATGATGTGGCGGTTGGGTTGGCGGGTTTTGTCACATCCACGGATATGGGTGGCAATGTCTACGATCCCATTCATGACATGGGCGTGCTCGATGATTATGCATCATCGGGGCTGGGGTCGTGTGTTGATCTACCCGGGCTGTCTCTGCAAGATGTCCAGATGGATGGCGTGGACTGGTCTGCGATGAACTGGGATGCTTTGAATGGTGGGACAGGTGCGGTTGCAGGCCAGGAGCAGCATGATCAACATTGATGAGCGGATGGGAGTGCACTGCCGTACAGGTAGAATCGTTGATTACTCTTCATCATGTCGGTCTGGCCTTGCCTTGGCGATTTGTTTTACTGGGCAAAGACAACGGAAACAGAAGTTTGTCGGGTCGAGTGAGTTGAGTGAGGCGACTTGTTCAGTTCAGCCACTGACTTCAGACTCGTTTTGAGATCCTGGAGCAGGAGTATATGCGAGACAAGTGAAGCGGTTACCGTGCAGATGGATGGTTCTATCTGGATGTGGTGGTGGGGCTGTGTTACTGTGGCGTGTGTCTGGATGGTCGTTAAGAGGGGAGTGTGTTGATTAGAAGACGATGTTTGTAGGACGTCAGGGATGTAAGATATTTGGAGTAATGGAGATGCTGGAGATGGAATGGTCTGAGTGAGATATAGAGTTATGTGGCTGAAGCAATCAAAAAAAAAGTATACTCATTCAAGACATCAGGATATATATCGATGTTGAGGTGAAAGTACATTCACATGGGTAGGCGACGGATGACCCGATGCAGAGTAGCGTCGCGTGGCAAGGCCGAGAATTAGCCTCACCTTTCCCGCGCCCATGGCTGGATGGTGCATCATCGCTGAAGCCACGCGACGCTCAACTTTAAATATCCACCACCGAATCTCGACTTGCGCCCACAGTCCTTTCCGGCAGAACGCGAACAGCCTCGAACTACGACAAGACTTGAATTTCAAACACCGTCTCGGAAGAGGTCGATTATCTACAGGCCAAGATGGCGGACGGAGGAGTAGACGTGGCCGCCCTCAGCGAAGACCAGCAGCTCGCTCTCCAACAGTACACGGCAGTCACGGACCAGGATATCAAAGACGCAATCCCCCTCCTGCAACGCTGCCAATGGAACGTGCAAATATCAATCGCGCGCTTCTTCGACGGCGAGCCCGCCGAGGACCCCGTCGCCGCTGCTGCTGCCTTGCAGCCCACTCCACAGGACGTCCGCCGGCAGGAAACACTGCTGAACGGCTTCTCGTCGCCGCGCTCCTCGACTTCCAGCGCCCGACGGCAGCAGCGACTCGAGCCTGCCCCGCGCGTGGTCCCGCAGCCAGAGAGCCAGGTCACCACCCAGGCGCCGCTCGTGCTGACGCTCATCTTCGCGCCCATCTCGCTCATCTACTCGCTGCTGTCAAAGTACTTCCGCTTCATGGGCTGGCTGTTCCCCTTCATCCCCCGCACATGGGGCCGCCTGACCGCCAGCAACATCACCACCCCGGCCTCCCAGCGCTCCGCCAGCGGCCGTCGTCCCCTGAACCCCCGCGACACCGCCGCCCGCTTCATCCGCGAGTTCGAGGAGGAGCACGGCACGCACAACCTCCCCCTGTCCGAGAGCGGCTACGCATCCGCCTTCGACCTCGCAAAGAAGAACCTACAGTTCCTACTCGTCGTACTCGTCTCGCCCGAACACGACGAAACAACCTCCTTCATCCGCGCCACGCTCCTCCACCACGACGTCGTAGCCTTCCTCCGCAACCCAGCCAACAACATCATCCTCTGGGCGGGTAACGTACAAGACGCAGAAGCCTACTCCGTCTCCACAGCCCTAAACTGCACCAAATTCCCCTTCTCCGCCCTCATCGTCCACACCCCGCAAATCTCCTCAACAGCAATGGGCATCGCGTCCCGCATCGCCGGCCCCACTCCCCCCCAACAATACATCGCCACCCTCCGCGCAGCAATCCAAACACACTCCGAACCCCTAACCCGCGCCCGCGCTCAGAGAGCAGAACAGCAATCTACGCGTACCATCCGCCAGCAGCAGGACAGCGCGTATGAGCGCAGTCTAGCCACGGACCGCGAGCGTGCCCGCAGGAAGAAAGAGGACGCCGATCGCCTCGCCCAAGAGCAGGAAGAAGCTCTCGCCCGCGAACAAGCACAGGCCCAACACGCGCACAACCTCGCCCAGTGGCGCAGATGGCGCGCGTCCACACTGGCCCCCGAACCAAGCCCCGACGACAAAAATGTCGTTCGCATCAGCATCCGCCTACCCAGCGCTGAGCGCGTCGTGCGCCGCTTCGCCGCCCAGGCTTCCGTCGAGGAATTGTACGCGTTTGTGGAGTGCTATGATGTTCTGCAGCTACAGCAGCGGGATGGGGAGAAGGTAGATCGACCAGAGGGCTTTGAGCACGAGTATGCGTTTCGGCTTGTGTCGCCTATGCCGCGGGAGGTGTTTGATGTAAGTTCTGAGGGGAAGTTGGGGGTGAGGATCGGGCGGAGTGGGAATTTGATTGTTGAGTTGGTTGGGGGGGAGGGGGAGGATGATGATGATAGTAGTAGTGGGGGGGAGGGGGAAGAGTGAGAGGGAGGCATTGCATAAAGTGGTGTTTTTGGATTGTTTGGATTGTTTAGCGGGGCTTTGGCTGGGGTTATGATATGATATGATAAGACGTGAATAGAAGAGTGTGTACATGCCATGTCCATGTATATACATGCACAATAAATTCACGAAAACCACAAAAAGTTATCAAGTTCAAAAATTGCATATTGAATAAATCCTCCCTCGCTCGCTACAGAACCAGTGTTTACAAATTAAGTCGCCAAGTTTTTTGAATCCCCACTCTCGCTTTCCCCCACCCCGATACAATACAGCAAGGGTTGGGGGGTAAAATCTCACTGGGTAGGTAGTACGTCGTCTCCCTACCCCCCCAAGGCTCTGTTTGCAGATAGGTAGGGAATGCCACCCACACTACACCACACCACCTACACCACACATCGCATCACATCACGTCACCGTTGCCACATGGTTGATGCTTGCCCACTGCCGTACACGCATTTTGGGATTGTTCCGGCATGAGCCCTGTGCAGAGCTACAGCAGCCGGGCAAGGTGTAGCGAGAGACGGTCGAGACGTCTGAGCAAAAAGTCCAGAAAATGGAGCAGCCATGGAAGCTGCCGCGGCTATGCATCAACCTCCCTGGCCGTTCGGCGGCGTGCGGCCCCAAGAGCTGTGCGCGTTGTCCTGGTACGAGCTGAACAGAAGTGGGCTGGCCATGTGGATGTTGTTGTAGTTTGCGCTCTGATTGCCGCTGAAGCCGCCGTTCTGGCTGCTGTTGAAGCTGCTGCCGTACGCCGGGCCCCAGTGAGACGTGTTGACGGTGGGGTTCCCCCAGGCTGCTCCACTGCCGAGACCGCCGCTGATGGGTTGCGGATGACGGACTGTGCCTGAATCGACCACGTCGGAGCTCACGAGCGAGTTGGAGGAGTCGCCTCGAACGTGTCCTTTCATTCCCGACGATGCCAAACCCGTCGCCGACGGTCTGCGCACGTCATTCCCGTTCCCGTTCGCATGCAGCATCGAAGGCGACGAGGGGCCTGGCGTACCGTTGTAGCTCCGGTTCCAGATCGAGTCCGTGTTCCACTGTCCATCTGGAACAAAAGGCAACGTCTGTGGCTGACGAATCGACGCTGTTGACCCGGTCCTGTGCATTGGCGCAGAGAGCATAGCCGGTCCAGGGGCAGGTGACAGGGGCTTGTAGTTCTTTACCGAATTGACCAGATCGCTGATTGAGAAGGGAGCTGGTGCATACACGCCGTCACCGACGATAGCCGTGTCTTCGAAAGTCTGTTCGGGTGGTGTCGGCGGTATGTCCTCGTCTTCTTCGGGGAGGGGATCCAAACCATCGTCTGCTCCAACCAAATCGTCGACCATTCGGTGCATGGCGTTGTCCTTGGCCAGTGCAGTCGATGCCGAGTCCGAAGCTGCAGCAACGCTCGGCGTCTTCTGATCCTCGGCAATTGGCACTTCCGTAGGAAACATTGACACCTCGACTGGCAGTGGCGAAATCATGGGGGAGCCATCTGCTTGGTTGCTGGGACTGGCCAATAGCTCAGAAGGAAGCCCTTCTTCTCGGTAGATGAAGCGCGATCCAGCCAGGTCCAGCGGTGCATCCGGATTCTGCGTAAGCACGAGACCGTCAATCAGCAGGTCCTTGACCCGCATGAGCATTTCAACGTTTGGATGATTTCGCTCCAGGTCTGTCCACTTCTGCTTCATCGTCTCGCCATTGTACCACAGCTTCATAGTGTCTGGGGAAATCAATGGCTGGAAGCCAATTGTTTCCGTGTCTTCCTCCAACATGTAGTTCTCTTGAGGTAGCTGGTCGACTGGGAAGCTCGAAGTCAATAGCGTCAGCGTCGCAGCGTATGCCTTCCAAAGCTCTTGAACGTCGACCGTGGTCAGAGTGTCGGCGATGTTCGCATTGAGCACCTGCCAGTACCGCGCGAACCACGTGCTGTACAGTCGGAGTCCAGGGAGGATTCGGCGGGCTACGGCGGTGATTTTGTCGGAGAGCTGCGTGGCGCGATCGTTGTTTGGCTGGGTGACATCATCGGCCCCGGAAAGACGTTCGAGTTCGGGCTGCAGGACCTGGAGGAGGATGAAGAAGGTCTTGACGTTGAGTCGGAGGTAGTAGAAATAGGTGCGCATGATGTGAGGGGGTGGAGAAGAGGCTGTTGACGTTAGCATACACATGCGACAAGTAATGGAAAACGTACATTGCATCTGCACAGTCGCAAAGTATTCGGCTGCAAGATTGATGAGTATGATCTTGGACAGGATAGAATCCAAGGGGCGCTCCTTGAGCTCAATGGCAAGGTGGCTGAGGACCTCGCCCTCCAACTCATCGTGGGCAGCAAACTCCTCGCCCTTGTAGATTTTGCTGTGCAGTCTGACGAACCAAGCCACGAGAGCGCGCCCGACCGTGTTGCCATCGGGGGACTTTGAGCTGTTGATCAGCTGGCCTTTGTCCCAGGCAGCAATGATGCGCCTAAACTCGGTCTCGAGGTTTGCCTTTGCCTGCGGATAGGGCAGTTTGCTTGCGAGCGAGCGGTAGAGGTGGTAGACGGAGCGGAAGTGGTCGCCGTCCTCGCGCGAGATGACGGCGAGCTGGTTGTGGGCGTGGCCAGAGTGGGGGTAGATCTCGGCGGCCAGGCCATAGTAGCCCTTGGCGGGGCCCCAATTGCGCTCCTTGTCCTTGTCGACGAGCTCCGTCTCGCGGTAGCGCGAGAGGTCGCCGAGCTGGATCAGCGTCTGGTGGCACGAGTTGAGGACCTGGCTGTTGAGCGCGGCGGGGATGCGCGGGCGCGGGGACGGCTTGGAAGCTGGACCGTGTGAGCAGCAACAGCAACAACAAGGTGAGGGTGCCTACCGTCATCCTTCCATTTCTGGGCAATCCGGCGCAGCTCGGGGATGCCGTCGAACTGGGCGTCGAGGTTCAGCACGTGCTGGCGGTAGAAGCGCTGGCTGGCCTTGATGAAGTGGAGGTAGTTTTTCTGGAACTTGCGCATCTCGACGACGTGGTCTTTGGAGCGCTTGAGCTGGCCAAGTATCAGCATGCCTCGTGGGGCGCGTGGAGCGAGCCTGACGCACCAGCCTGTGTTCCTGGCGGAAGACGGCATTGACCCGGAGGTGGGCGGCCCACAGCTTCAGCTCCGTGTCGGAGGCCGCGGCGTGGGCGAAGTCGGCCAGCAGGAGGGCGTCGCAGGCAGCGCGGTACCTGTGGGCCATTAGCGGTCGCCGTGACGTGGCCAGCAGGTGTCGCACTCTTGGAGCACCGCCGCCAGCTCTGCGCTCGAGGCATCGCCGTCGGCGCGCTTGGTGAGCCCCTGCTCCATCGCCTTGGCCCGTCTGCATGTCGTCAGCAGGCTGTCAGTGTCAGCACGTGTGGGCGGGCGGCGCACCGGTCGAGCTGCTCGATGTTGGCGGCCATGGCGACTGTGCGACAGGCTCACGTGTGGCTCAGCGGTGACCCCACGGTCGGCGGACAGGTCAGACCAGGGCACGGAACACGGGTCGGCGAGCGTTGTGGACGGCGTGCTCCATTTAGAGGTGCGATTCTGCCCTGGGCTGAGGACAAGCGGCGGGCGGCGGAGCGTCTGGAGGGCAGGCAGCGCTCGGCACGCGTGGGCAGCGTCGACGCGAGAGAGAGGCGATGGCGGAAGTGTGTGCGAAAGGCGAGAGGAACGTCGAAACTACTGACTCTCATGCCGCCGCCAAGAATCTCATCAAACACCCCCCACCAAACACCGTAACGTCCTGACTGCGCCTCCTCCCCATCCAGTCTGCAGCGTGCAGAGAAGCCCTGCGAGACACGACACTGACCCGTCAAAGGTACTGCCCTCTTTCATACTACGCAGTCCACCCAGCACACTCACCCATCTCATCATGGGAATCAAGCGCTCACGGCAGGACTCTGTGTCGTCTTCAGAAGATCCCAGCACCCCCTACTCGCGTGAGCAGTCCGTCGACGTCAAGCTTGTCCACCTAGACACCCACTCTGCCATGTCTGAACAGCCAGCCGTGATAAAGTGCTCCCTGCCCCCGCACCAGCCGCTTGAGTTTGCCTCGTTTGAGGAGTATAATGTCCACCACAAAAAGACGCACATGAATAGATGTTCAGAATGCCAGAGGAACTTCCCAGATGAGCACTTTCTGCACTTGCACATTGGCGAGAACCACGACCCCTTCAACGCTGCCAAGCGCGACGAAGGCGAGAGAACGGTAGGTACAGGATTCAGTAGCTTCTCTTTCTACCAACCTAGCACTACTCCTCAAACCTAGCGCAGTCGGTAAAGACGAGGACAATACCGAATGTAGGTTGCCCTGAGCAGTCGCAGTCTCATTTCTCAATTGCAGTCAGTCGCTGAGAACTCCTTAGTATGCCTGCCTCCTGCCAGACTGCGACCGTCTCTGCAGCACGCCACAGAAGCGTCGCCTGCACTGCATAGATAAACACCAGTTCCCTCGCAACTACGACTTCTACATCGTCAACGATGGAATTGATCGCCGCAGCAGCATGCTACAGTCTCCTCACAGACGGAGGAGCAGCACACTCAATTCCAGCAATGGAACCTCCACCGCACCTGGTAAACGGGGAGGAGAGTCGTCTGCAAACACGGCTGGGGAGGGCATGGACGTTGTGAAAGATCATGACGAGGACCAGCACGAAGAGGGAGACGAGCAGGCAGATCGCGTCAAGCGCACCCCCGTCAAGCTGCGAGGTCGTGGGGGATTTGGCCACGCTCGAACACCCAGCCACGGCCAGGTGACACCAGCAACCGTGAGTCATCCCGACGCAGCTTCACCTTCACAGACGGCGTCCAAGGATCCCATGGACAGCCTAGCCTCCAGCATGTCAGCATTACAGTTTGTTCCCCACAGCGTACGGGCTGCGCGTGGTAGAGGTAGGGGAAGAGGCGGGTGACTAGGCTCGTGACACCTGTAGACGACGAGACACACGACATGCATACTAGAAAAAGAAGCCTCGAAACAAGACGAGAAAAGACAAAGTACATAGAGCTGATGTAGAAATGACTCAGCACGCTGTTCTCGATGGAAACATTGAGCTTGCCAATCTCCGTGACGCGGGAGCCTCGAACCGTTTGCTTCCGAGGTTGGCCAAAACTCAACTCAACTTGACCTACGCCATCACCCCCTTCTTCTCTTCATCTCCTTTAATCCTTCCCATCATCCACTGACCGGTCCACGGTGTTGTATTTCATTTTTCAAAGTCCTTCGTTATCTGCGTGTTGCTCGAGCTCTTTGCAGGTGCGACTTGACCAGAGAACCCTGCATCCCAACGTTTTTTTGCCGCGTGATGGTATCACCAGCATCGGAGTGGCAACTATAGCTTCGTCTGCATCGGTACTACTGAGCTCGGAGAAGCCCAAAGCGCTCGAGTTCGATAGAACACAGGACAGGTTTTACGCGTGTGGAATGCGCTGTGTCGCCACTGTATCGCGTTTCTCAAGCACTGTTTACCTGCACACACACACACACACACACACACCTTTGTCCACCTGGACACAAGACACTCGTTTGACGCACACGACACTTTCTTTTAATACCCATACGACACTCTTTTAAGACGCACTCGTAATGCATAAATCAACACTCGCTCGCTGCACCATCACCAGCGAGGCACTCCGGCGGCGGAAGCAAAGAGAACGCGACAACACGACACGTCCTCGGCTTGTTGACGTCACGCAGCGTGTCAGCTTCGCGGATCTGGGCGTCGGGGTGGATCGGGCTGCAAGCGAACTCTCGAAGCAGGCGGGCGGCAAGCATTTATCAATGTTGACGTCGGCCGACGAAACAGCGGTCAGCGGCGAGCCTTCTGATTTTCGCGCGGAGACGCTTGGCAATGCAGGTACGATAGCGAGATAAAGACGCACATTGCCCCTCCATCATTCTTACTACGCACCTCAGCTCAGGCTAACCTCGGGGATCCAGCACAATCTCACCGCTCTCACGACTCAGCGACGCAGCTACTGCGCTCCAGCATGTGGTCACCGGGGCTCAACGCACATCGCAAAAGCGGCTCCATCTGCGCGGTTCTCAGGCGGGATACGGACCACCCTACCCGAGGTGCCTACTCCGAGTCGTCGGCCAAGAAGCACCCGCCGCTCGACGCCGAGCAGACGTGGCTGTCCGAGGCCCAGGATGACGAGGCAGAGGAAGTCGCCTCACCGGGAGCCTACCGCTGCCTGGTCACCCAATGGGACGAGGACGCCCAAGAGTACAGGTCCAACACCAAGATCCGCCAATACAACTCCTTCACCCCGGCCCGCTCCCTGACCGCCGACCTCTGGGAGTCCTTCTCGCCCTCGTCCGACACGACCCTGTTCGAGGACCCCAACGAGTACTACTCGGACGATGACGACAGCGTTGACGCCTACTTCTCTCTCGACAAGACGGACGACAAGGACTCCATCGCCACCCACGACATCCACAGCCACAGCCCCGCCGACAGAGACATTCACTCTGCCGCTGGCAGAGATGATTTAGCCACACCCATTCAACGACCCCAGCTCCTCAATCGACGAGCAGCCACGACCGATGGACCACCCGAGACCCCGCGTCGAGTGTCGATGCCTCTCCGCGGCCGAAGCATGACAAACAAAGGCATGCTCGAGCTGCAGCTTGGCAAGACCCCCGCCGCCACGCCGGCGACCGAAACCCAGAGTGGCAAGGAGCCCGTCACGCCGGCCGCCAAAAGACATTCACGCAAAGTATCCCTGGGCCTGCCCATCAGCATCGCGAGATCCCAGACGAGCCCTGCAAACCCCACGCAACGGCCTTGGACCCCTTCGACACCCACAATATCCGAGAGAGTCGAGCGATCCGAGAGACCGGAAAGGCCCGACGGTGTAGTCGAAACCGCCCTTGTTCAAGAAGAGCGCGAGCTAGAATACAAACACCGCCACACCTTCATCGGCACCGCCTCCCTCGACGACTTTCTGGAGATCCTCGAGGTTTCCTCCAACCACATCACCACCCGGGCCTCCGTAGCAAAGGCCTTTATTTTTCTCGTATCGGCAGAACACCTCCACGCTCGGCAATGCTCTATCAAGCCAGAGGGCTGGGATCTGGTGTCGAGAATCACGACGGATTCCTCAAACAGCGATTACGTTGCGCAGGCGCAAACTAAGCTAGGGGCAGTCACGTTGAAACAGTTTTTGGACCTCATCCCCTTCGACGACAAGGGGGAGGTGAGTGCGCTGAACGTTGTTGGGGCGTTTTCTGCAGGTAGTCACATGGACGCCAAGGCAAGTGCGGGGGTGGGAAGTAAGGCGGGCATGTTCAGGAAATGGATGGTCAAGCAAATGGGCATAGGGGCTTGAAGATCCAATCGCATTTGCGAAAGAAAGAGTTTTTTGTGTTGTACTTTTTGTACACACTGCATTGTGTGCACGATACGGTAATTGTCACGCACAGGGGTTTGGGTGTTTTGTCGTTTTGAAAAAAAAGGTATTTAATGGAGGGTATGGTGAGTTGCATCGCATTCTTTTTTCTCTTCTCCTTCTTATCAGTATACCCCCACGTCCGTATATCGTTATAATCAGTCTCATCTCTGCCCATCCTATCCAAGTCTCATTTTTTTTCTTTCCCGGCCGTATGCTCTTTTGGACTGAGTTGGCAGTCTCCACAGACGCTGACGTGGATCCAATGGGGCAGCGCTAAGACTGCCAGACTAACACGGCTGCGCCTTGCATGCATTTTTACTCTTATCCGCCCGCGCAGCGCATACCATCCGTTTGAGCAAGAGACGTTTATCCTACGCGCTCCAGAGGTTACAGCGGTAGTTGGTTATCTGACATGCAGAGCTCAGATCCTGGACGCGGTGCAAGAACCAAGTTTCGCGCAACTCATCGCTCTTCAGTGCAAAAACGGGTTATTCTAGAAAACTCGCAACCATTACCGATTACGGCTCGATCCTCGATATTCGAAGCCCTAGACTCGAAAGAGCTCATAACAATGGACTTCTCCCTAGCAACTGGATTTGGAATGACAGCTGGTGGGGCAACGGAGGATGCGGGGTAGCTCTTTGCCGCTCCCGACCTTGTGTCACGTCATTACGAATCTCCCATGTCTACCATGGGCAATCTATTTATAACTTATCTGAGAAACAAACTACAATCGAATCTTCTGCCTTTTGCGATGCTCCCACACCCCTGCCACCCCCAGCCCCCCCATCACGCAAGCTCAAGCTCAAAATGCACTTGGACAAGCAGCCTGACAGCAAGGCAAGCGCAAAAGCAACCATCCCTCTTCCGCTTGCCCAGCCACCCGCCGCCAAAGCTCTAGACTCGTCCGCCACCAACCCGTATGAAGCAGCGCGCGAAGCTCTCCTACGCGACGGCTACGTCATCCTCCCCGCCTCGCTCTTTCCCTCCATCGACCTGCCCGCTCTGCGCACCGCAGCCACACGCCTAACACACAAAGCCCGCACAGGCGAATGGCCGTACATCCGCACGCTCCCCAAGCAATTCCCACCCTGGCCGCAGGACCCCGCAGACGGAATATGGGGCGTCCAGCACCTTCTCCACCCGTCGAACCCCGACGCCTCGACGTTCGCAAAAAGCTACTTCGACGCTGAACTCGTCCGCTGCGTCAGCACGCTCGTCGGCTGCGCAGAAGATGAGCTGTGCATGGAATTGTACAATATGCTCGTGCGCCCGGACCGCGACTTCAGCTTGCGCTGGCACCGCGACGATGTCCCCGCCACCGCGACGCCGGACGAGGAAATCGCCCGGCTGGCTAAGCCGGGGCGACACGCGCAGTGGAATCTCGCTCTCGCTGACGATGAGAGCCTCGTGCTCGTCCCGGGGAGTCATAAGCGCGCGCGCACCGCGACGGAACGAGACGCGGATCCGTACCAAGAGCACCTTCCAGGGCAGATCACGGTGAAGCTCCAAGCGGGCGAGGTCGCGTTCTACGATAACAATATTCTGCATCGCGGCGTGTATAGCTGTGAACGGGAGCGCATGACGCTGCATGGGAGTATGGGCACGGGCGGGCAGAGGGCACGGAATGTGCTGCAGCATGGTGTTGGGGAGTGGGTTGGGGGCTGTGATTTCACGGCGCTGGAGGAGGGGTGTCAGGGTAGGGCGGAGGGGATGAGGGATCGGCTTGTGGTGCTGGGGAGTGGGAGTGGGGATGTGGGGTTTTTCGCTGAGGGGGAGTAGGCTTGGTGGTGTGGTGTGGTGTGGTGTGGTGTGGTTGTTATACCCTGGGTGTTGTGTTGTGTGGGTTGCGTGGGATTGCATACTTTGTCTTTGTGGGTAACTGGGTTGATTTGTTGTAGAGTACTACACTACCCTGTCGAGAAGAAAGGAAAGAAGGAATGGAAAACTCTCAACACGTTTCTTTCGCCTTGCTTGGTTCATCAACTCCTCATTGCTTGCTCAGAAAGTACACTATGATCCCACCACTTCATCTCCATACACACAGTATCACGTAAATCTTCACTACATCCCCCCCCCCCCCCTTCCAACACCCTAACTCCCCAATCCCCATCCAACAATCTCCCCACTCCCACCCTAATCACAGTTAAAAACATAGCTCCACCCAGTGGACTGATATAAACGGCAATCCACCGCAAAACAAACGACAACGCGAACCCTTCAATCACGGAGTACACTGCCTTGACATGCTTGCCCCGCCATGCGTAGACAAGACCAGACCAGACCAGACCGGCAAGCAAGCAAGCAAGCAGCTTATCTTCCGTCGGCGTGGACTACAGACGGAACGGAATAGCGACAGCCTGAGCGTTTAAGGTGTGCTGGACTGGAAACCATGATGAGGAGAAAAGAAGAAACCACCTAAGATACAAGACGAAAGCTAGAGATTGAACATTGGGGTTTTATGCTTGAGACGTATCGCTATGCTTCACTCCAGAATAATCGGTATTATCACTTCCAAGTAGTCCGATTGTGCTTCACCAACGCCCTTAACAGACATCCCAAACGAGTTCCTGATAAGTACACGATCGACTGCCCCCCTCTAGGCCAAACAGAACTACTCGATTATCACTATCCAGAGCTAAACTCTCACGGATCGGTATGTCATTCGAAGATTGAAGTCTGATCCCCATGCTTGCCGCTGATGACTTGCCACACACCACAGAAATATCACCTCCCCAACTACTTTACTTGCCAGTCCCTCCATGCCTGCGACCGCAAAATAATCTAGGACTGCGATGGAATCGCCAGCAAGCCATAACAGCATCTTCCAGGCTGCTGGCCAGGGTCCACGACAAACCAGCCCTGCCATCAAGCTGCGAAGACTTTCCGCGGACTGGCAAAACTCGCCTCTCTTAGCGATTCGCAGAAGACAGTCCGTTTCGACAACAATGAACCGCGGGAGCTCCATCGTCGCCACGCCTCGAGACTTCTGCACTTGGGCGTGACGGAAGTAACAGCCCAGGAACACGGCGGCAGTCATACTTCACACACCGCCGCACTCAAAGACGGAAGTTATGTGATCTAGAGCAGACGTCATGTGCATAGGTACTCGTCAATGGACTCAGTCAGAGTGTAATTCCACTCCGGATCTTTCTTGACGGAGAACTTCAGCTAGGCTTCGCCAACACATGCCCCGTTGGAGTTGCATGGCGTAGACGCATAGCCCAGCCTATGCTGCGTCGGAACCTGAGAGTCGAGCCTAGTAGTCGGCGCCGAACCAGAGAAATTCGCCTTTGGCTCTTCGGAGACCCGTCCAGGTCAAGTTTGCGACAGTGGCCTATGCATTGCTGATAGTACAGGTGGAAGTAGAGTAGACGACCTTACCGACCATGGAGAACGGACCGAGGGAACAAGCTGTAGAGTCGCTGATAAGGCCGTTAGTAACACCGTCCGGATAGCGCGGGACGAGCATGAACCCTTGACGTCCACTTTGAGGGCAACTGCTCCAGTACGAGTATTTCGCAGGCTGGCCATGGAAGGAATTGATAAGATCTTTCGCGGTGATAGACTAAGTTGCAGAGTGCCACGCCTAACTTCATTATAAGCTCCTGAATCAAGCCCATGATTGGGTAGTACGCGTATAGGGATCGAACTTCCCTACCTACACCGTATCACCATATCAGGCCTCTTTTGTGATGCTCATGTCTGCTTCTCCTTCAAACATCAACACCTTCAAATGATAATTAAGACAAAATACTTTTTACCTGAACTCTAGAAGTACTCATAGCTATTGATATATTGATTGATTTGATTTAGTTGCTTAAAAGTAGCATACACTTCCGGGTATCCATCACATGGCTGTTGAAAGGCCAATTCTCCATTTTAACTTTGACGCCAAAAAAGCACCCCTGAGCTGCCCTAGCTAGCCCAAACCCGACCTCTGGCTCGGCTTGAATCGCAAGTTGACTCGGCTCAACTCACTCGGACTGGCTCTCGCAGATTGTTGAAATACTCGAGCTGTGGCGCTCCTCGGTGAAGCGCTTAGCTGGACTTGTATGTCTGCTTGGGCGACGGGTACGATGGGCCCAGTTCCTGAATGCTCAGCTTGGCGAGCCATTGTCCCATGTCGATGGACTGCTCGAGCCCCTTGCCCTCGACGATACCGGCGACGAAACCGCCAGCGAAAGCATCACTGTGTATATATTAGCACATGAACAATCGTCATCTTCCAGGTCTTCACTCACCCTGCACCGTTTGTGTCGTTGATCTTCTCGTCTCCAATGGCGTGTACTGCCACCTCCTTGACGTCAACATCACCGCCATCCTTTGCGCTTACGGCAACGGTGGGATCTGTGCCCTGCGTGAAAACTACTGTCCTCGCCCTCTTCGAGTTCTTCTTGGGCATGTTGGCAATAGCCTTCGCGATCTCCTTGACATCCTTGGACTCGATACCGTGCGACTCGGCGAAAGCGGCGGCTTCGGTCTCGTTGCCGATCAGGATGTCGACGTATGGGAGGACCTCGTCAAGGGGGTCCTTGAAGAACTGGGAGATGAAGGGAGCAGACAGGTTAAGAATGAAAGTCTAGAATATGTTAATTCTCCACGATGTCTCAACTTGCCAAGAGAGTACCCACCTTGTTCTTGGAGGCCGCCTCCTCAGCCAAGGCCTTGATAGCCGGCACGCAGACGGTCAAGTGGAAACCACCAACGTAGAAGACCTGAGCATTCTCGACCTGCTTCCAGATGCGCTCCGACTTCAGGTGCTCCACCTTGTAGTTGTTTGCAGCCGCGAGATCCGTGCACAGCGAGCGGTTGTGGCCCGTGATAACGACACCGCAGCGACCGGTAGGGGTCTTCTCGTCGTAGAGGTACTCGGTCTTGACACCGGCCTCTCCGCTGATCTTCTCGAGGGTCTCGCCGTACTTGTCCTTGCCGATGCAGCCAATGTAGACGACAGAGTCGGGCTGGAGCATGTACTGTAGGTTGCTTGTTAGCGGATGCTGCGGGAAGGTTTCCGTATATGCAGTGGCAACAACGACATACCTGAGCACCTCTCGCAGTGTTTTGTGCTGCACCACCCGCGATGAGGACAGCCTTGTAGTTCTGGAGCAGATCCTCGTAAAGCCCCATGTGCTTCTCCTCAGCGAGGATGGCATCGTTGGCCTTCAGGTCATACTTGTCGAGTAGCTTCTGGTCTCTGTTCAAACATCGTGTTAGTGGTATGCCACTACGGTGCTCAACCTCTCCAATCTTCTATCACACGCTTCGAATCAAGCTCTCCTGCCCAAAATAGTTCAATTAGCGGAATTGCTACTTACGCAACGCCCTGGATATCCAGCAGCGGGTTCTCCAAGCACAAAAGTTCGAAATTTCCCTTTGCAGCCATTGTGAATGTGGTTTGTAGGTTTTGTATAGAAAAGTTGATGGGGGTAATGTGGGGCAGAAATGTCGACGACGAGGGGCAGCAAGCCTCGCGCTAACAAGGGTGTCAGCCAAGCGGCACTGGGGAAAGCAGCCGCTGCCGAGAGAGTTGGGAAAAGATCTCAAAACTGGAGAGACGTACATCACTGAATGTTAAAACGTTGTTCATTGAGCTAAGAATGGCTTCTCCTTCCCATGTTTCTTTCCACTGCAGTTATGCAATCCAACCATCGATTCAACTTACGCAAATGTTTGCTACCTCCTCATCTCATCCTACAACATATGTTTTATGGACCCATTCTTTGTGGTCCATACTCCCTATCACAGTACCTCCCTCCTCGATAATCCCCTCCCCAATACTAGCCGAACGGACTGGAATCAGCGGAATCCTATTTCCCTGAACTACGCCCCGCTCTAAGCAGATCCTGAAAAGCCGACTCCAGAGCCCTCTTCACTTCACGATAGCTGACGATCAAAACATTCTGCTCGTCTCTGCTGATGAGCGTAACCTTTTCGTCAACCCCTGCGTCGAGTTTGTTGAGACAATCAAGCACGTGGGCCAGATCTGTGACCGGATGCCCATTCGCATCCACTTGGTGGAACACGTAATCGCGGAAGAGCTTGAGGTAGTATCGCTCGCCCGTTTCCGCCCAAACAGATGAAGGATTGGCAACCGTGCTTCCTGGCACATGTTGCGATGCATCCAATTCAGGGCGTTCGTTGATCATGTTGAGTTTGACAACAAGACGCACCAATCTCGAGGACTCCAGCTCATGGCCAAGAGTGTTCGTGAGCGTATCCTGCGCATGAAGCTCGCTATCGAACACCGAAGCAAGCTGATCCGCGATACCAACCAGGAAGGTATCGATGTCTTTTTGCATGGCAGGTAACGTAGGTGATGAAGGCGCGCCAGATGCAGGCTGGGGGTTTAGCAGCCACTGGATGCATTCTTTGAGACGAGCTGTATAGCCTCGCGTAATATAGTCCATGGACTTTTGCATGCTGAGGTGAGCTGTGAGGTTGTTGTTTGCAATACAAAGAATCAGACGTCCAAGTTGCACGAAATCGTCTGCCTGGAGGTCAGATATAGACCGCGCATTGTCGAACTGAACAATGTCCATAACACTGCATGCGTTCAGGCGTATTCGGTTCTTGGACGTTAGCAATATTTTGGATGGGGTAATCAGCCTTGCAGCCAAGCCAGACCCATGTATCGCTTTCAAAGCAGATGCTATCTGTACAACATAGCCCCAAAGAACTTGCTCTGGGACATGCGACGATGTAGCCTGCCTACCATGGAACCGCTGCACCGGCTTGAAATGCTCGTCTGCTAACGTTTTTGAATTCGGGTGATAATCGGTGACCAGTATCAATGAGCTATCGCCGAATGCTCGAGTAGTGAATGCCTCGTGAATGGTAACAACACTCCCGTTCAAGATGCGCTTCCATGGCTGTGCAGAACGGATGGCGGTCTCACTCGTGAGACGAAAATTCTCAAGACGTCGCAGCGCGTATGTTTTCCCGTCTTTACTAGAGACGGCTTTGTATATCAGGCTAGTGTAGCCAAAAAGGGAGTTGTTTTTTTGCGGTGATATGTCGAGGCAATAAAGGGAATGGAATTGCTCAATGGCCGGCAATGTGCTGGTAGGAAGGACTTGACGGGCAATCTCCGCTTTCTTTTGCAAGTCTTCCCGAACCACGTCAGGAATGAAAAAATCGTGTGCGGTGCGCTGATAAGCAAGTAATCCAGTGGGCTGTGGCCCAACTGGCCAGTACAAGTGGTACGCTGGTGTTGCTTGAAACGCATTTGCGTTCTGATAGTACGACGCTCCCGAAAGTCCTGAAGAATCATGCGCATATGGATTGATAGTGGACGTTTGATGGCCTGAGGCAGTGAGGGTAGAGATATTCGATGATGTACTGAAGGGGTCGTACCCAAGGACCGATGCCGTGGAATTAGGATCATTCTGTATGAAGTCAGTAAATTGTTGTACAAGCATAATCTATGGACGAACTAAATATGTCATGATACAGTACAGCAAGTATCTGAGCTAGCGGGCGCGTAGAATGATAAATGAGAAAGAAATTCGAGACACACCATTTGACCCTCGAACGTCTGTGGCACGAACTCTTGGAAGTCTTGCGCATGCCACTCCATAGAAGGCTCCTTCGTATGCAAACTAGGGGTGCTTGTGGCTGCAAAAGTTAGTATACGGAAAGAAGACGCAAATGAATGGCACGCAGAACTCACAAGAGCGTTGCGACTTGGGCGTAAAGACGGCTGCGTTGGCAGCTTTGGGTGAGATTGCAGCACTACGAGACGAAGGGGTCACAGATCCATTGGTACTTGCCTGCAGAGGTGTGAAGGAGGGAGAGTCGACATTGAATCTTTTCTTCGCATTCTCACCCTGGTTCAGCTTGGAGTCGTGGATGTAAGGGCAGGCTGGACAACGGGTTACCGCATATTCAGGAGGCACAGGGTCCAGCACTCACTGTTTTCATACCGGCAATGTCCGTAGATGGTGACATTGCGGCAGAAGGTGTTCTTCGCTTCTGCAAGGATAGTGTCAGAGACGGCGCGTGCTTGCACGACTGCTGGAGGTGCATACCGCGCCCTTTTGGTCGGGGGGAAACGACTCCTCGCCGCGAGTCACCCGAGGAGCCGCCAAAGGTCGTTGCCATGAATCGTCCCTGTTTGGCTGTTGTGTTGCTGGCGGCTAGGAGGGGTTGCTGGCGCTGCTTGGGCGCAGGCTGGGGGGAACGGAGCGACTTGTCGGCGGGTTTCGCGGTCTGCAGTTGTGGCGCCTTGCGATGCGATCCTGTATCATCCGAAGTTCCTCCCTCCTTAGTCCATTTGGCGCTCGACCTGGTCGACTTTGTACGTCGGTAGTTCCGCGCGGGCTTCTGGGGCGTCGTGATGCCGCCGCTCGTGTGGGATGTCGAAAGAGAGTCGCGCGACGTCGTCGACGACGTCAGCTCCGAGGTTGATTCGGTGGCAGAGGAGCTCGAGCTCGCAATGGCATGCGCATGTGTGTGTCCCTTGGGGAAGGGGATGGAGGCGGGGCGCGTCGGCGTCAAAGCGGGTGAGGACGGGCCTTTGTTCGGCGTGTCTGGGAAGAGGTCAGAGAGCGAGCCCATCAACAGGTCGGAGTGGTGTGGCGCGAACAGCTCCTGGGGATTGCCAGGGACGGGGACGGGGACGGGGACGTTGTGAGACATGGCATGCGGGACAGCGGAGACATGGGGTACGCGATACCTAAAGGACTGCTGGCTGGCATTAGCCTGCAGCAACTCCAGCGTTATGTGACTGCAGCAGCCGCCTCTCCATCGGCAGGCACAAGGACAAGCAACAGGGACAGGAGCGTTGGACGACGTGAGGTGTGATAGCTGAGCCCCATTCGCTGCGTGACGCGTTTGGGCGCTTAGTCACTCCATATCAGACTTCACACCTTGTCTAGCATTGTACTCAGTCCTCACCCAGTCCACTCTGCCAACCCTCGTTCCTTTCTGTGAGCGACAGCCTGCCTACCATCGCCGTCGACAGGGACGCTAAGTATCCTATTTGCTTTACTGCGAACACATCTGCTGGCTGGTGGACATCTTCAAGAACATGTTCAAGACAAGCTCTGTCCCAAAGCGCGAATACTACAGCAAATTACAAGAAAGCACAGAAGGAGAGGTCATTGAAGCAGCTGTGAGTTTGTGTATAGCGAGACAACTTAGAAGTAGAAATGTTGGTGACTGCACTAAATACCACGACCTCGCAGTCTTGAAGATAGCAATTTCTACGCTTTGACAACTTCGGAAGCCTGTATTGAGATTCCCGAGACTTACGTTACATTCGTGTCATCGATACGAATTGTCGGCCGTCGCCTGGACGCCTAGCTTGCCAATAGCACTACAAATGTGTAGCTTGTAATCCAGTGATTGGTAGCCGAGATCAACATCTTCTTTGTTGCCAGATAGGTCGAGAGCGAACTAGTTAAGATTCCAAAAAGCAATGCGGAGAACAACCTCAATGAAGGAAGCGTCCCAGACTTGTGACCTAGTGCCGAATTTCAATAAAGAGCCTCGTGATAGACGACCAAACAATGAAGAAGCGAGACGCGTCTTCACCCCACGAAGAAAACCTATCTTCATCCTCTCACTTGCACACTGACCGATGAGAACTGTCGCCGCTTGATCTTTTCCAAAATCACTTACCACTCCGTAATTCATCCTCAGACATAACTCCAACTCCATTTCTCCACAATGCAGCCTCCCAGCCCTACCGCGTCGAGGCACAGCCGCAAAAGGTCCTCCATCTACGGAAACATCAAAGACATCTTCAAGCAAACCATTGATGAAGAACCATCACCCGCTTCCAACTTCTGTGTAAATTGTGCAGAGACTGGACACTGGAGCAATGACTGCCCAAATTCGTGTACCGCCTGCCACACTCGAGGCCATCAGGCAACAGACTGTCCAAGAAAGAGGGCATGCACCGCCTGTTCTGGCTGGGGATACATGCGGCAAGAACCCAACGCCGATGCAACAACAGCTGTGCGGCAGCTACAGGCGGCGATACAGAGCGTGAGGAGGGCCTCGGTACAATTCGAGACTAGTCCTGAAGGCGAACTTGTCCAGACAAAGGCTGTCACCAGGCGACATGACTCTGTACAGTGTAAGTGGAGTGCCATCAGTCAAAATTGTTGAAGACTAACAAGCACTCGCAGTGCCACCTGATGCTGTGAAGGGTCTCCACGATGAGTTGGAACAGATCGCGTTGTTGGCCGACAAAGTCGCAGGCAAGGTGGAGAACCTTGACTGTTGTAAGAAACAGGAGTATGGAACAGCAGCGTCGTCGGTGACCTGGAAGAGCGACCTTTGGAGCCAGCCCGAATAGCTTCAGCACGTCACGATAATTCGCTCAATAAGATTAAGAGGCATTGATTTCATCCGGGTCTCTGTTTGAAGGGCATCGAGCTCGCCCTCTGTGGATACTGTATGGCGGGTCCTTCATCGCGCTGGAGAATACAATCTGTGCTCTCTCGCATTCTCCCCACGTCTGAACTCATCGCAATCATCTCGCTATGCGGCGTTGGAAATTCAATATAATTCAACTCATTCCCTTTTGCATTCGTGTTCTTGCTTGATTGTTTCGTATCACTGTCTCTGTTGCCAGACGCTACAGTATTGAATCTTGGCAGCTCACCATGTCTCGATGTAGACTTTGAGCTTGAACTAAAAGAACTCGTGATCTTTTGTAAACAACTGTATAGTGGCGAGCTTGATGTTCGCGCTTTGGCTGCCATGTTTCTTACAAAAGGGCGAAGCGTTGCTAGACATCCTGCTATGATGCCGATGCCTGCTTCGATCGTAGACCAGGTAGATATGCTGACCACGTTCCAGAAAAAGTCGTCGAATTGCGTAAGCTTATCAACATATTTGAAACGGATCATAGAGCATATGCAGCCCCTGAATAAAGTTAGCAAAGTCCTTCTGCTGAAAGGGTCTGGAGCCTATGTACAGAGCGCCTAGAGAGAGAATGACCCCGACGGAGATTTTCGACCTTTTATGCATGTTTGCATTCCAAAGGAGTGTGATAGGTAACAGAACGAAGACGAGGTCCGTTATGGTAGTGATACTGGCTATCGAATATAGGGTAAGCTCGAAGGTCGTTTTGATCTGTGTTTCGATCCCACTTACCTTGCTGGTAGGCCATGAAAGTATCCAATTTCTTCGATGCACACTGATCTGATAACTGCCGGATGATGTATACATTGATGTCTGATCCACATCGAAATATAACATAGAAGAATGCGGTGGTAGATGAACAGATGTTGATTCCGACGGTAACGTAGATCATGTTGAGCTGCCAGCGCTTGGCTACGATACGTTTGAAGAACAATCCAAGAGAGATTTTGAGAATCATCATTGTAGCGCAATACGATGCTTCACTAACAACTACCCACTGTGCACATTAGAAAGAGCTAGGCAAGGTAAGGGCACGACTTACTCTCACAAGCATTTGGAGATGATGTATGTTGGTGATATGCGTCCCACCACCGTTTGCTTCTATGTATAGTTGTGATGAGCAGAACACCGTGAAGGTGATCTATAAGATGTGTCAGCTCAGAATTCGAAAGCTTCGACATGAGTAGATTGTTCACGTACCGCGGCGAGCAACATGGTCGAATCATCCCAGCCAAAACTCGAGATGATTCGTGTACGAGTCCATACTCTGAGGAGTATGAAGATCCATGTCAGCACTAGGAATGCAAAAGTCATCTTCTCAAGTTGCCGACCCGATCTCTGTACGTTGCCAGGACTGTGTCCCATTTCGAGTCGAGTGTTGGTTGTCAAAATCGCAAGGCGAGAAGCACGTTCTTCATAACAGCGTATGTACCACGCGGAACAAAAGGCGCTTGACCGTTGAACGCAACGGTCGAAACGTGAAATATCAAGAAGTGATGAAGCGTTGAGTGGCTTGAAACTGCATGATGGGAGCAGCTTAAGGACATACCCACCGTTACACGACTCTAAGCACGCCACGCTGAAGGCGTGGATGCACTGGGGTAGGACAAATGAAAACATCAGGTCGTACCTGACCTTGAACGAAAAGAAAGGTCGGCGATTCGGAATAGCCTAAACTGCGGGCCCTTCCCTTGTTGCTGATGCGCGAGAGGCGGCGCAAGAGGAGACGAGTATGGCCCTGCCTAGATCTTTCAAGAGAATTCCTTTTCATGGCAAATGCCGGTGTCAGGTTATGATGTTCCTACCATGATGCAAAGATTCATCGTTTCTTATTTGGGAGCATGCAAGATGGGCCAGTTAGAGCAAGCCCTGGACGCCATTGATACTCTGACATCCAAGGAACCTGTAGCGGTTAGAGCTGGTGGCGCTTCGATCCGGGCGAATCTCAGCACATTTTGGAAGTGGATCACCCAATAGGTATGTCAATGTGCAATGGCGACAAGGAGCACAATGAATGTGGAGTAAGTGTAAGGTAGGACGCGAGAAGATGAAAGGGGCCTGGAGTCGCACGCGCTTGCCTCGACAGTAGGAATAAGTGGGTCCTCACTTTTCTGAGACCTTCAACCACGATAAACAACACTCCGAGAGCTTGAGAGAAGCAACAAGTTGGAGCACCGACATAACACCGCCTCCGAACCCGTACACAACTACTTACTCTTGCTTCACCTCTGGTCATTCAGAAGCGCGGGTATTGCGTGCAATCTTCCCAACGACAACACATCAAACGGCTTCACCACAATACTATCCTGCAGAGAGAATCGTGATAGGCAACATCTCCGCCCGCTCAATCCGTCGGGTATAGGTGCCCCACCTTCGGCCCAACCAGCCATCGAAGCAGGTACTTGTCGACGCGTGTAACTCCACGCCTTCACCAGATCTCAACGTTTCAACCCTGGACCCAAGGGTTCGCGCCGTAGTTGCATATAACACCCGCAATCCTTGTCCCTGTTTGCCCATCGGCATTTATCAGGCTGTTCCGCCTACCAGTCTCTTCCAGTTGTGACATCATCAGTGCTTGGATTTGTAGACGTGTGCAGACATGCCGCCGTCACTAAGAAGAAGAGGGCATCAGCACCACTTGTCACCGCCCCCACAGGATCAATTCTCAGATAGTGGCGATGAAGCTTCAGAAGAGGATGACATGGGGGTTGAAGAAAATGGTGAGGTCATGGGCGATGAAATGATCGCAGTAGAAGGCGAAGAAGAAGATCTTGAAGACGAAGAAGCACTAGGTTTGTCCTTTCTCCATCTTGCGCATAGCATCTTCCTTCCTACGTCACCCGAATCAACCGCTTTTTTTTGCTTTTTCTCAACATTTTCACACGCGGTTTCAGAAACCCAAGAGTCGTCACACATGTTTTCAGGCCATACTCTCACCCCTGCACACTAACGCACGGCAAAGTCCTTTTGGATAGTAACAGTCACGCTCTCAGAAATTTGACTAACATCCCCAGCATCACCCAACCATCCCCTCCCAAACCTTGACCCCCCGCCCTCCCACCTCCGCGAGATTAGCACCCTTGCTTCCTGGACTGTATCGAGCTCAAAACCTGGCTGTTCGATCCCGCAACTCCGGCACCCATCAACAGCCCTCTTCTGGCAATCCGACGGTCCCCAACCACATTACTTGAACATTCACTTCTTCAAACTCGTCCGCATCGTTGGCTTGCGCTTGTACCTGGATTTCGAGCAAGATGAAAGCTACACGCCGACACGTATCATCTTTCTTGCGGGCAGCGGAATGAACGATCTGCAAGAGTGGGGTGAGATGAAGCTCGAGAGCCCCAGGGGATGGATATGGGCAGATTTCAGCGGCGTAGGGGACCCAGACAGCGATTCCTCCGACGCAGACGAAGACGAAGGAAGAGAGGAAGAAGAGGGGAGAATGATACTCGACGCTGCCCCTCAAACGTCCGCCCACGACCCAGAAGACGACACGGATTCCGAGTTCGAAAACTTCCTGCCCCCTCGCACACGCAGCTCTGCCTTCCAACACTCCCACACCAACCAGTCTGCCCAGACACACTCACCCCTACCCGTCATGGCCTATCACGCGCAAACACCAAACCGCACTCCCTTCACTCCTGTCATCCCAAGCCCCCCACGCCAGAGTCCGTCGCGTCGTAAACCCCTCAGTAGGCCCGCCCCCAAGATGCCCGTCCTCCGCGCACACCTCGTGCAAGTCAAGATCCTGGAGAACCACCAGAACGGCAAGGACACGCATCTCCGCGGTTTGCAGATCTTTGCGCGCAACGACGAGGCGGAGGGTCGAGGGTCCGCGGCGGTGAGAATGATCAAGGGGAGCGAGATGAAGCTTTTGACCGGGAGTGCGAATGAGGTGGGGAAGGGCGGCAAGAAGGGCGCGAAGAAATACGAGAGGCTGGATTTGGGGACCGGGAGTAGGAGTGCGTGGGATGTTGAGCCGAGTATACGGTGAGAGGGTGGCAAGGAGGTCAGAAGCAGATGAAAACGATGAAAAGGGATTGGGGTGTGAAGAGGTGCTTGAGATACTGGTATGCATCTCAGGACATGTACACAGCTGTGTACTGCACAACGGACTCAAAGGCAGGAGATCTGAAACGAAAGGCCTGTAGAGAGTTTGCCATCACCAGGTGTGCTCATCACTTCAAACGCATTGTATCATTGACGGTGGATTAGAATTCTTGCAATACTCTCTCTCGATCCTCTTCTCACTACCCATAGCTAAAAATCAATCCGCGCTCAACCCATCCCACTCCATCCCACCCCATTAGCCATTCCACCATTTTTTGTATTGTATAGTCCATTCTTTTTCCTGCCATCCTGGTTCTTCGAACAAACCACACCCTGCTTACGCTAGACATGACAGTCGGTCTCCAGAAAGTGCAAATGAAGCGTGTGGGGAACCCTAGAAGAATACCGTTGACCAACTATCTTCCGCTTAGAACTTGCCCCTCCCCTCACCCTCCTCAAGCGTGTTGTTCAGATCCTTCGGCTCGGGCTCCCTCTCTACAATCACCATGGAGGAGCTAGACTGGTCAAGAGGCCTGCTTCCTGCGTTTTGGGCGCGGTCTTCGACGTCGTTCTTGACGTCCACGGCCTTCTTCTTAGGGCTAGGAATCCGGGACTCTTGTGTCTTCTTCTTTCCCTTCTTGGCTAGCTGGGCCGCTTCGTCTTGGAGTTTCTGCGCCTGCTTCGCAGCCTCCTCTTTGACATTCTGCGAATCCTCTGCCGCCTCTTCCTTGACGTTCTGCGCTTGCTCTCCAGCTTCCTCTTTGACATTCTGGGCCTGCTTTCCGGCCTCCTCCTTGGCCGACTGTGCTTGATCCACAACTTGGTCTTTGATTTCGCCCGCCTTGTTCGCCGCGTTATTTGTTTGGTTCTGGGCTTCCTCTTTCAAGTCTTGCGCCTGTTCGGTAACTTCGTCCTTGATCTCGCCAGCTTTCTTCTCCCCATTCTCCAACTTCTGCTCGACGTTCTCCTTTGCCTCTCCTAGTTTCTCGCTTCCTTGTTCCCACTGTTGCTCAGCCTTTGTCTTGGTTTCTTGTGCCATGTTGGCGAGGTTGTTGAGGGCGTGCTTGGCCTTTTCGCCTGTAGCTTGTGCACCCTGATCAATCTCCTGTAGACGCTGGCTTACCTTCCTGCTGACGTTCTGCACAAAGTCCTGGTTGCCTGGGCTGAGGTCCGACCTCGATTCTTTCAAAGCGCCGTTCGAAGTAGGTTTGCGTCCACGGACACCGTTCTGTGGTTTCTCGACACCAGTAGCAACACCATCAGGAGACTCGTCCAGTGACTCGAGTTCGCGCTCCACACCACGGGCAGCGTCGCGCGTGGCTTTTGAGACGGGATGCTTGGAGGACTTAGTATTGGGCGAAGTGCGGCGGAGGTAAGACTTGACGAAGAAGCGCATGAAGAGGATGGTGAGAGGAGCCAGGTAGATCAAGTTGACGTAGACAGCGAAAGCTTCGCCGGATGTGTCGATGCAAGGAACGTGCTGGTACTCGGTGCGGTACACAGTCTTGTTCCTGTGTTCTCGGTGGAAGAAGTGCTGGATGGGGTGCTCGGGATGGGGTGGTGCCAAATGCCCACGCTGGACAGGCGTTGGCACGCCGGGAGCAGGTATGTTTTCAGCGAGACCCTCGTCACCTGCAGCGCGGTAGATGAGCTTCCTAAGGAAATGTAACGCAGCTACGGTGGCGGTGGGAAGGACTTCGGGGGCGGAAGTAGTGATCGAGGCAACAGTCGAGGTGACGACAGAAGTGACCGGCGCAATCTTCTCAGTAACCTGGTACGCAATTGCGACTGGAACCGTGTACGAGATGAAGAGATGGATAGCAGCGAAGGCAGATCCAACGAGGAACTGCATGATCTGCATCGTGGTGAGAGTTCGCTTGACCGCGTTGGGGACACGGAAGCCAAGAGCTGAGAGCGTATAGTACGTGTACTGCATGTTGTTAGTAGCTGCGTCTGCAGGGGGTTTGGTGAGCACATACCATCATCGCGTGGATGCCAGAGTTGACCAGGACGAACATCCAGATGGGCGGGGACATGAAGCGCATTCCAGCCCACATGGACAGCATGGCGCCGGCGTGGTGGTACTTCTGGAGAGTGGTGCTTCGCTTGCCCTTTGCCAGAATGATAGCCGTGTCCAGCACCTCGTAGAACTTGGAGAGGTAGAACCACCAGCCCCAGAAGGCCAAGCCCTCATTCCACATCCTGCCGACGTCTGTGTAGTCTGGCAAGCCCTCTGCGCCGAGCGTAATGTTGGCGTTCTTGCTTCCCCACTCGTGCGCATCAGGGTGGTAGGTGACGGCGTCGCCAAGTCCTCGCGGACCATGAATCTTGCAGAGCGCGTCGACGGTGCCCACAAACGCGTTGGGCTCGCTGTAGTGAGGGAAGGAGCGCTTCAGGCCTCTGAACATGGCCACGCAGGTGACGGCAGAGTAGAGAGCCAGGAATACATTGTGGGCGATGACGAAGGCGTAGAACGGGCGCGTCTTTGAGATTCTCCACGCCTTGTTGCCATGCTGACGGTTGTACCAGTTCAAGTAGGTGACGACAACAGCGTAAACAGACGCGATGGTCAACGGCACCTTGTACGACAACGCGCCCTGGAAGATGTCGGTGGGAATGGGAAACGGATTCGCAAAGGTCGCCTCGCCGTCGTATGGGGGAGGGATTGGCGCCGGCGCAGAGTCAGGTGGGAACTTGAAGACGGCCCATGAAGGAAACTCTGCAGGGTAGAGAGTCGGGCCTGAGGCAGACATGGCGGCGGTGAGCGTGTCAACAACGAGCGCGACAATGTGCGGGTGTGGGGTGGCTTGCGCGGAGGGAATTGAGGTGGTGAACCTTCGACAGCGATTGTTGAAAGGGTAGGCGCGTTCGCGTTCGCGTCGCAATGGGGTGGGAGCAGGAATCTGGCGCGCTGCGGAAAAGAAGTTCCTGCAGGCCAATGACGACAACGGCTTGCCGTCACGCTACAACCTCTCAACCTATCGCTACACCTTGGACTTGCAGCAGGTTGGATCCTGCGATGTAGCTGCACGCCTTTGGGATTCGAGATGCGTTTGTTGGGCACGCGACGATACCGTTATCGAATTCGCTTGGACCGGCAACGCAGCGCACTCAACGAGAGATATAGCAATCAAGGAGAACAGACACTGCTCCGTCTCCTGCACGTTTTTGGCGCCCAGACGTCGGTGCTGTTGCTAGATGTAGCAGGCAAGCACTTTTGGCAGCCGTTTTGCTGGATGAAGAATTTACGGCGGCCTTCCAGCGAATCGCAGCTATGCCACCAACCGAGGCCCCAGCCCTTCGCTTCTGGAAGGTACCAGTGTCGCAAGGCTAACCATGAATATGCAAGTCTTTTTGTACCTTTTCTACATTCCAGTGATGGAGGACGGGTGAACGGGAGCAACAGCTCCAGCAACTATGTACGTTTGCAGAATACGTGGGCAAGGGTTCTACTCGACGATTTTGTTGACACCTTGGCACTGCATCTCAACACCATGTCAACCGAACCAATTAATCCTACTCACACACCAATATCTGAACTTGAAGCAGCGCCATAAATCGGTATTGAATGGGTATCAGCGAGAACTCTATCCAAATACTTGAAACTACGTAAACTTTGGTTTGCTGCTGAGAGGAATAGGCGGTGGCTCCCCTGAACTCCCACTCAGCTCTTTCTTCTTCGCCGGCGGCGGTGGTGGTGGAGGTTTCTTGCCCACACCTGGTGCTGGTGACGTGCTGGATGAACCAAGGTTGTTCACCCTATCCGCTATGCCATACTTCTGGTTCAGCCCGTTTGCTGCCCGCCAGCCAGACGCAGCCTGCTCCCCATGCCTCTGTTGGAAATTATTGGCAGTTGACGCTGCTCCCTTGAGGTCCGACACCGATACTTTGGAAGGGTCGTTGCGGAGACTGCTGGCGGTTCGAAGAGCTGCTTGTTTATCTGCCCACGAGGTGCCTGTGCTGGGAGCCTGCGGTTCGGCGGATTGAGTCGACATTCGAGCAAATCTGCCTTGCAATTCGCTCAATTGTGATCCTTGCCCTTTTGACGCAGGTGGCGGTGGAGGTGCAATCGAAGAGTGGCTATTCTGGCGAGGCGGTACAGGAGGCGAGGGATTGTGACGAGCTGGAACAGGAGGAGACGCAGTGCGGCCGATGCCAAAACCAGGTACAGAAATCCCAGCCTGTCCCAACCGTCCCATAGCGCCTTGATTCAGCATTCCTTGTAAGGGCGTTCCTTCTTGTGTCGCCTCGTTGTATGTGGGTGGAGGAGCCGGAGCATATTCGTCGGGGTTAGAATTTTGTCTCGGAGGTAGTCTCGGTGGTAGGCTGGGCTTTGGTCTTGCAGACGAAGTCGGAGGAGTAGGGGCAGCAGAGTTTGGTCGAAAAGCCGGTGGCTTGGGCAGATGCGCTGTATTCAAGCCTGTTGTGTCTGCCCTGTATGGGACTGGGGGTGCCTTACTGGCTTCCTCCTCCCTTTCCTGCAAGTGGTGTCCGGTGGATCTAGGCGGTGGTGCAGGTACTGGGCGCGAGCTTACGGATCCGACTGAATCCACACCGTAGTTTCCTCGTCTTGGCGGAGGAGCAAATGAGGATGGGTCTTTCAATGACGAGAGCGGCGTGGTCTGATGTTCGCGAGAGGTATCTGAGCTGCTTTTCCCCCTACTCAATAGTCCTTTCTAACATATCAGGTTAGCAAACAACCAAAGCATCGCGAGACAAAGACCTTACCACCTGCCCAAACTTCGAGTCACTCTGCCCGCCTGAGCTGCCACTACCCCCACCAAGCTTTGGCCGATGCAAATCCTTTGTTAAATTCTTGAATCGGTCAGTCATATTAGCGTCGGCGTCGAGAGTTGAGCACCGTGGAAGAGGTAGGAAAGACACGCCGCGATAGCGTGCTGCGTGCTGCGGCCCTATGAGCTAAGCCAAGGAAGGATTGAGCAATGGTCGTGCTGAGCTGGCCGCTGGAAGAACACGACCCTCGAATTTGAGTGCGACATACTCTCTCGATTAGCTAGATATGCTTCTGCTGAGTTCGGGGATTTCAGGAATTACTCAAGATATACACGACTTGTTCACGACGATGTCGTACTACAGAAGCCATGTGTAAGCAGTTGCTTATCTGCGTCATGTTCTTCAAGAGAAAACTCAGAGCAACAGTGCTCCCTTGTATTGTCTGTGAAAACATTCAATGTAGCTTCCTCCATCCTTGTAAAATGAACGAGCATTCTTCAGCTTCAGGAAGACGGAGAGGCGGCCTTCGTACTTCCGAAGCCACCGTGTTTCAGGTATGGATGTGGGGCATGTCCGTTGGCTGATCGCCCTCCGAATCCGTGCCACCCTGCACCTCGCAAGCAGGCGGTTGCAGTAAACTTATCAGAGGTCCACTAACACAAGTTGTCAGCCTTGCAGCCGCTCAACACATTCACTTTCGGATTCCAGCAATCTGTCAACAACAAAGAAACGGATATCGAAGACACAGCCTCGTGTTGGCGACGCAGAAACACATTCCTTCTGAAGTTGGACTTGTTAAGTTCCATACCAAGCATCTTGGATCGACAGCTAGAGTCATCCCTAAAAATACACCATCCCGAGAAGGTGGGGTTGTTCGTCTTGTGTTTCCCGCCGTGCAGGCAGAGTCTGTACCATCTTACACTTACTACCAGCCCCCAACCAACCATAGTGGTCATCGCCAGCCGAAGCCCGCATGTAGACGCACTTGCCTGACAACATGCGGCAGAAGTTGCCTATCGTATCACGTCTGCGCCTCCTTCAGCTGCAGCCATAGCAAAGGGTAGCCCTCCGCACTTCTGTCCTGGCGGTTCCTGTGCCTCTACTTTGGGGCTGCAATGTTCTGCCCGTCGTCGTCTTCTTGACTATGTGTTGCAAGTGAAGGAATTTCATCGTGTCGGTTTGGTCTTCACGTCATCAATCTCTGGAATCCATATCCAGACAGTTTGTTTTGGTCCGCTATCCGGCCCCGCATCTTCTTACAAGTGGTCAAGAGTCCAAGAATCAGCAATCCGCTCCAACTTCTATTTCGGTCAGAGGTGGATGTCGGGCACACCTGGGAACAAAGAACTCTATCAGGAATATTGACAGTCATCCAACCCGCATTGAGATCTGACACGACCCATCCTCATCTCCACAGTAAGAGTAAGGATCTCTCGTAAGCACAGGTCTGCCTGATTCGCATCAACATCCGATGGCACCTCAGCGAGGTAATCATCACAGAGAAGACAATGATCACGACCCACCCTACATCACAGACGAGGCGGAAGAGCTCTATGGTCCTTCAACAATGACCATCTCAACTTCGATGGGTAGACCCACTGGAACTCACTTCAATCCCCCAGCTGGGGTCATCAGCCAAAACTACTACTCCCAAACAAGAAAGCCCGAGCCGTGGCCGACTACTTCTGAATACACTTCGATCAGCGACTATCCGCCGTGGACATCGGAGCCCACTTCCAGACCCTGGACCACGAGAGCAAAACCAACATCCTACTTCGAATGGGATAGCCAACCGTTTTCCTCAACACAGGTTTCGATTGCTTCCAACAACGCCTCGCCGTCTTGCACCACTGCCCCCGATGGTGGTTTCGGGGGTCAACGTCCTGGATTGAACGAAGCACGGGAGCATTCCAACCGTGGAGCGGTTTACGCCGCTGCTGTTGTCGTTCCTATTGTGATCCTCGCAGCTATTGGAGGCATCACATTTTTATGCCTGCGCAGGCGTAGACGGCAGAGTCAAGGGATCGTCGTCGCGCAAACAAAAGTTGAGGAGATGAAGATGCAAAGTAGACACGAGGCCCATCTTTATATGGCACCCCAGTGTCCATTGCCACAATATAGCGCGTCGCCAATTGGCATATCGTCGACTGCCCCAATTTGCCCTCAGCCAGTCATACTTTCCGGCTTGAACGGTGCGTATTTTACCGGCATCGATACATCCGACATGGTCTCGGTGACTTCTGGTAACAACGTGCGGACCGACCCTTTCGCAGACAACAACAGCCTCACAGATGCCCCTCCACCGTACCGCCCACGTAGTCTTGCTACATTGAGCATCGCTCTCTCGTCCCGTCAAAGCAGCTTTCGATCTACGGCACCTCCGCCTGCGTCTTCGCAGACACACCTTATCGAGCATTCGCCATTTGAAGACCCTGAAGATGAAGACGATGTCGTTTCTGAGCTAGAGGGGCCCTCACACGGAAGGAGTATGGATGCGATGTCGGCTGTGTCAGATCTTTCGTATCAGGAAGACCCTGTCGTAGGAAGATCATCTCTTCAATAAGGGATGTTTTGTAGCTTTACGAGAATATCTTGTGTTGTGTTTCCCGTACGTATTGGGTTGGGCCAATCCTGCTCTCCTATCTTCCTTCTTCTGAACATCTTAGTGGCGTAAGACGGTACTAAAAGCAACGGATCCATGGTCGTAATGAAAATGTGACGTATGCTCATGACGGCATTGTTTACCGTTCCACATGTGAGGTGCATTTATATTACCGTTACTTCGCAAAGGATGCAAGTAACTTTGACATCACATCAGGAGTTGATGTTCAACGTCCGTGCAAAATAACGTTGGATAAGGAGACACATCATCCGGCGACGCTAGGACAAAAAACCTACCGAATGTCAGACGCCGCAAGTCATGATAGCGGTCTTGGGACCGTTTCATATGGTTCCCCGTTGCTGGCACGACCAAATCATGGTGTATTTGTTTGTATCGTAGTAGGGGAGATATTCGGAGTTGACCACCATCGTGACATGATATCGACGTCAACATCTCGATTTAGCGATCGCACGATTCCTCGTCGAGTTAGGGGCCGTCAGCCATTGATGCTTGGATGGATGCGGAAAGTGCCATCGTGACGGCTGTTGCTCCGGTGGAAGCTCGTCTAAATTTCCGGTGCATGGGGTTTTGGGCCTTGACCATGCATATTGAAAGTGTTGGCTGAGCTGTGACAATTTGACGACGCTCATTTGCTGCCCTAAAAAGCAGCGCTCAGGAGTTGCAGTGGTTTACATGGTCTGCCGAGGGGTTTCACGCACGAATTACGTTCTAGAGTCGGCGTTCGCCCGCGGGGAGAACCTTGGTCTTGGCTCGGTTCGTCTAAGGCGACCTCAGGTGCCAATTCGATGCTTTCCCATCAACTCTCTTCAGCCATGCCTGTGCCGTCGACGAGCTAGGGCACGTTTTTATGTTCCTGGCCTAGCTCTTATTGTCCGCTTGGATCGCTTGGATCGCTCGGGGCAAGCCTCGCCTGCTCCGTGAATAGCTTCGTAGCCCTCCATGTCTCCCTACCACGTCGTCCTGAGCAATCTCTCGCCGCATTCCTGCAAACATGTCCTCAGCCTAAAGCGGATCTACGCTTGACTCGCTACCTCCTGCCAGATCCTAGGGCTGTAGAGACGCATTCCACGAGGTTGCTGGTGTTGCTCGGGACTACAATCGATAGCCATTCTCATTATTCAATCTTTACCGAACTTCCTCCACTCCTTGTGCAGCTTTCACCGGCCCCACAGTCCTTTTGGAAAAGAAAAACCTCGCCGTCAGTGCTGACTACGAGTCTTGACCCCTCGGCCTGTAGACGTCTTCTGCTCTGTCCTGCTCTGTCCTGCTCTGCTCCAGTACGCAGCCCTAACGCCCCTCGACGTATCGCCGTACCTGCATTTGCGAAGAAGTGTAACGGCACTAGCATATCGCTCGCTAGTCAGGCGTCATACAAGGCTTGGTGCTACAACCTCGTCACCTCGTCACTTTCTCCTAATTGCGTTCGCTTCTCACCGCCCGACAATCAGAAATCTCCGTTGAAGCCCGCCGTCTTCCACCTCTATCGCCCCTCGACCTTCTGCGAACCGTCTCGCCGCTTTCCGCCTCACGTCTCTCGATACATGATCTGAAGGACAGGAATAAATTGTCAGTCAAGTCATTATGACTTTCGATCAGGCTTTATACGGGTAGGTCTACAAATCATATTTCTCCTGGGTCGAGTTTTGGAAATAGCATACAGTAACTCCTGGGTGCGATGGAGGTTCACGATGGACCCACAGAACTCTCAATGGCTTTTCTGCCTGCTGGTGTGGCGGGATCTGCTATTTACAAGATTTCGTTGAGGTCTGGACTAGGCAGAGGCAGCAGGCAGCACCGTGAGGGTATCTGATTCGCCGATCTCAAGGGGCACCCCTCAAAAGTGCATAACGCCATGATCATGCTGCCCGAACGGACTTGATCTCATTTCTTACTTAAAGAACTCCGTCAACACTATTTGAATCTTTATTTTGCTTTTACCAAATGTTTGAGGGCTAACATGGACCATTGTGATAGATCGACGGATTGGCTTCCAAGTCCTTCCTCTACGCCCACTACTTTTCGAGAATCGAAGACGCCGCGCACCGAAACTATTCCCCATTCACACTTCCTCGATGCTTGGGCAACACCTCGCATGCATGGGCAGCACACTCCAGTGCAAACGCCGTCATTCACATTATCAACCCACTCCGATCGGCCGTTGAGTTCATACAACCAGAAAAGGCTCACGCCTGAGGACCGAGAATTCTTCGTGAACCATTTTGCTCCTAGTGCTCTCAACCTGCCGCCTGTTGAACCGCAGCGAAGGCTGTCATCCTCGTCAAATGCAAACTCGCTGAGAAGGACGGGTGCCGATCTAGCAAGCAACCAAGCGTCTCAACCCCATCCAGTCAGAATGGACTTCTCGCAAATACATACGCCGCCGCCAACAAGGGATGCCACGTTTGGAGGGGGACATCAAAACACAAGCGGTGACTGCAGTACCCCAGGCACTGTGATACGGAGAACAAATAAACCAATGCCAGCATTGGAAGGATTGTTCAGTCAAACGCCATATGGTTTGGGAAATGTGCATTTCGCCCCAGACCTGCTTCAGTTCACTGGCAATGGATCACTATCGGCACAGCATATGCCACGCTCCAGTTCATTCTGGGAGCAACAACACCATAGTACGCAGATGGACGTAGATATACCGTTTGGCGTGGATCCTTTCGGTCCTACGCCGTATAAGACTGAAGCAAATGTGAATTGGCAAAAGTTTCACACGCCTGCTCTTGCCCATACAAGCTCTCAAGCTTTGCATTATCCTTCTGGTGTGTCGACATCTGGCCCGGCCTCATCGTTTGCAACAACTAGTGCAGGAGACGACAGAAGCTCGAGAATCAACTCTTACATGTCCACATCTGCAAGCGTCGACCCTAGTATGCTCTTTAGCTTCTCTGACCCTAACATGACTACATCGTTTGGTAGCATGCCGCAACCGACAATGAGTGCAGTAGAGAACAGACAGCCATACGAGACTCAGATGCAGGATTCCATGCGAGAGAAGCAGCTGGTGAAGAAGACAAGGAGCCAGCACTCACGAACAAGCACGACTTCGTCATCGGGCTCGAACGAGACATCTCAACCCAGACTACGACGCAATGGTATTGACACTAGCTTGAGTATGAAAAGGTCATCTTCGATGGACTCACGGTTGTCGGGCTCAGTTACCAGCCATAACATCCCACGTCGCTTATCGCCACTGAAACGTGACGGTAGCGGATCGCTAAAAGCTATTGCTGAGTTGCGGAGGCCGCGGACGCGGCTGGTGGTTGATGAAACTGGTCGTGCTCGCACGGAGACTGTGCACATGGAGGAAGAGTCTGCAGATACCCCGAAAGTCACGCAGAAGACTTACCAGCAAGACTTGAGACACCAGTACCCCGGACTCTGGGATGGGGATGAGACGGAGTCTGAGGATGATGAGCCTGCGCCGGTGATTAGCCGTCAAGCGTCATTCAACATGCCTCAGCCAGAGCATCGTTCTTCAAAATATGCAAGGGTAGACAGTGTTGGCATGGAAAGGTCCAACTCGTACCAGATGTCACGGCCCTCTTCAAGACTCTCTTCAGGAACTTCTGACAGGGCTTCTTTTCAGAATGCCCGTCATGTAAGAAGGTCTTTGGTCAACACTTCTCGGAGCCTTAGCATGGTAAATCTTCCAGCCTCGGTCAACAACTCCAGGGACCGTCTGGATCAGCAAATTCCCGATGCGCCTGGTGATGCTTTGGGAGCACTGAAGAAGGTGGTTGCCGGTCGGCAGCAACAAATGAGTACGTTGCTCTGGACTTGCACACCACTACCCTATTGACCAGTTGCAGAACGCGCATCTCTCAACTCGTTGAGGGCACACAATCAACGCTGGGCTCAAGCCACGACCGATCGCGCGAACGGCCATTACGATCCATACTCCAACTCGTTCAACGGTTCGCCCAATACAGATGAGCTGAACACGCCATCGACCGACCGAGGTAGCATCTCCAACGAAAACACACGCTGCATCTGCAACGGCATGGACGATGGTCAGCCGATGGTACAATGCGAGTCGTGCAACAAGTGGCTTCACATGGGCTGCCTCAGATTGAACTCAAGCAATCTACCACCAGTCTACGTGTGCGTCTTTTGCACGGGACACACACCTGTCGCGAGGGGTGGCCGGGTTAGAGGACCCATGTCATTCGACTCTCCGCTCACGCATAAAATGATGTTCCGACGATAAATCTTTTCCACGAATGACCTTCGCCAGCCCTTACACCCAGCCTCCAATGAGCCTCAACACATCGTCTCAAGCCGAGACCCATATCACTCGACCATCTACCCAGATATCTTTCCTTTGGCGTGTCACAACATTTCAGCATCTCCGGAGCTCAGTACAGCAACTTTCGACCCTATCTGCCGCATCTCGCTCTCCATCTCAATGGCCCACGAAACCCAAAAACACAGCACAACAAAATTTCGGTTCCCTTTACACCAGTACATACAACATATTCCCACCAGCTCTATGACCGTATCTCACAAACTGCAATAACGTCTCCATATACCCTGAAATTCCACGACATGTCTTTCCAGTGCCAGTCGTTGCTGGTCCAAGGCCCGCATCTGGAGCCTAATACTATTCCAAATTTCCTAGTTTCCCGTACGTTCAGTGGAGGATAGAGTAATTACCGAGGAAGCTCACGTCACATTTCCTTTTTTTTTCCTGTACATTCGCTCACGCCCTGTTTACGACTTGAATGACTATTTCATGCTATGTGGAGTTTGATGGGGGGTTAAGGTATAAATGTGTGTGTGTTTTGGTTACATATAAAGTGCGAGATAATCTGTATATAACGTCTGTTGATCTATCTGTTTAATCTGAACACTGTTCTCCGATCTTGGCCTTGCTGTCTGTTCTTTTCTCTCACAAAAAATAGAGATTGTCAAAAATATATCCAATTGACATAGAAGAACGACGCGACGAAAGCGAAAAGAAGCGACCCCTGCAGGGCTCGAACCTACAACCTTTGGCGACTTTCAGATGAACCGAAAACCAACGCGCTACCATTGCGCCAAAGGGCCAAACTAATTCTTATCGAATCTTGATGGAATGTCGCTAAATTTTATCGTCTATATCACTTCTTTTAAATGCTTTTCGCTGTGCGGTAGTGATTTGAGATCCACTCACCTTGAATATAAATGCTCCAAGTTACCTCCACTCGACAATCCATTTGTTTTAATCCAAGTTTGAACCTGCTTCTCTTCCAATCATTGATGGTGCAAAATAATAGACGTCTTTGTTCAGAGGGTGTTAACGCCCCGTTAGTTGAATCAACCCAACTCACTCTATTTCCACAAACGAATTCGTAAAAAAATGGGTTTGGTTCAAGAGTTCTAATGCCGGTTTAGTCTGTAACAGGCCGATGTCAGTGCGGATCGTGTTACTGTTGCCGAGTTTCGTGTAGAAATACAATTCGTGTGTCAAGCGGAACTATGATGTCGAAGTAGTTTCCCGAAGTTTGAGTGGATCTGTAGTAACGAGGGCTTAGATGTACTCCACATGCTTTCCATGCGTGTGTTGCGTCATGGGTTGTTGCGGTTGCAAGGATGATCAATTCTGTATTGTTAAGAGGGGGATCCTTGGATTGGAAGGTTTGTTGTGATTGAGAGAGTTCGCGTGATAGGTAGGTTGACAGGCTAGATGCAGTGAAAGAGAAATCATATAGGGTCAGTGCGATAGAACAATACTGAGTCAAAGACATCACTGATTGGTATATTGGAATGGAGATGATATTCAAAAAAATTGCATTGCAATCATTATTCAGAGACTATAAAATCAAGCATACCTAAACGCCTCAAGCTAATCACTAACCTTTACCTGATCCTCCTTCCATGAGCCTCTATAGGCTCCTGTCTCTACTCGATATCCACCTTCTTGATTTCCACAAATCCAGTCTCTCCCAGCTTTGGCACCTCAACCCTCAGGATGCCATCCTCCAGTTTAGCCGTGATACCCTCTACATCGACCTGGGCTGGGATGGCCCTCGTACCCAGCCTGACCTTCCTCTCGAATGGCCCGACCTTCCTCTCATTCATGGCGAGCGTCTTCAAGAGCTCCTCGTCGCCAGGACGGTAGATGACACCGGCAATGGCCAGTTCGGACTTCTCAGCGTCCCAGTTCACACCCACGTCTTCCTTCTTCGCGCCGGGGAGCGAGACGTGGATCACGTATGAGGACTCGGTGTCGAAGACGTCTGCCTCGGGGGAGAAGTCGGTGTCGGCGGAGTCGGATGTGGCGGGTGCGGGTGCGGAAGACGAGTTGGGGTTGACGAATTGGTCCCAGAATTGAGCGACGAGCGCAGAGGGGTCGAAGCCGCCACCGAAGCCACCACCGAATGGTCCGCCATGACGGCCCCAAGGACCGCGGGGTCCTCGACCACCGTGACGAGGGGGCCCGTGGTGAGGAGGGCCATGACGAGATCCAGGACCGTGGTGAGGACCAGGACCGTGGTGAGGACCAGGACCGTGGTGGGGTCCAGGGCCGTGATGAGGTCCAGGGCCGTGATGAGGTCCAGGGCCATGATGAGGGGGTCCATGGTGCGGTCCACCACCGTGAGGGGGAGGTCCACGGGGAGGTCCATGACGGGACCCTGGGCCGTGGTGAGACCCAGGACCACAGCGAGGTCCACGTCCATGAGGTGGGCCATGGTGAGGTCCGAAGCCTCCTCGTCCACCAGGTCCATGGCGACCTCGACGACCACCGCAGTGGCCGTGGCGTCCACCACCACGGGTGCACTCCTCGTTGTCAGAGCCTGATTCACCAGAGGGGCCTTCGCCGCTGTTGTCGTTGTCGTTTTCGTTATCTTCGTCGTTTTGCTCGCCGTCCCTTTCGCCTGCATGCTCATCATGCTCGTCGTGCTCGTGCGGAGGAGGGCCAGGAGGAGGAGGGCCTCGGTGGGGCATTCCCCTGCCTCCAAAGAACTGACCCCATCCCCAGGGTCCAAAGGGTGGTGGTGGAGGATGGTGACCTTCGTCGTGTTCGTGTTCGTGGTGGTTCTCACCGTCGTAGTTCTGGGAGAAGAACGGATTGTTGGAGCCCTGCTGCTCCATGTTGGCGATGAAGTCCCAGAAGGGAGCCGATTGATTCATGTAGGTGACTCGAGAAGGCATGTTGATGATTGTGATGAAGAGAAGATGATGATGATGATGAAAGAGAATATCTTCGTTCTACCTTTTCGGGAACTTATACACTTTCAAGGCTCCAGGCATCAAAACCACGTGCAAGTGTACGCGTACGGCCATATCGTTTGCCACATGCCGTCGCTGTCGCAGAGCCAATAACAATCCATGTCTGGAAATTCTACGAAGCCAGCGGAAGCTACTCGAACAGTCATGGGAGATAGGCTTCTCTGCCGCGTATCACAGAGCGCGCCTGGCCAGGGAATGCGTAGGCATGGAGGGGGTTGCGCGTCCAGTGTGGTACGAAAAGGGTATAGCGGTTAGTAAAGTCGGAGTTTTAGCTCCCCGATGTGGCGGAAGTGTGGCGTGGCCGTGGCAAAAGCGTCGTCATTGGTAGCATCGACCTGTCTGGAGTTGAGAAACCCGTCTAGACTTGCTGTCTGGGATGTATTACTTTGAAGACATGACATAGAAAATAGGTGACAGATCAGAGACAAACAGAGATTATAGGCCTTCAGACCGAGAGTCTCTTGACTGGGGACAAAAGATGATGATGGAACAAACAGGAAAAGACACTAACTCCCAAGAATGCTGCTTGAACCGTTCCTCAAAGATTTGACTTTGTAGTTCGTAGTAGCCGAGCCGAGACAGAAGGATCAAGCTAGTCTCCCGAGCGTGGGATTGAAGGTTCGTGACGAGGCGGTCGCTCAGAGGCAGGTGCAATGCGGGGGAGGGGCAGCTGTCAATGACGCAACACCCAAATAATTTGCTCCCCCTACCACGACGTGTGACATTTCGACCCATCCAATCTCGCAACCCCATCCATAACCAACCAAATTTACACATTCACCACAGACCCAATTGAACCATCATGTCTGGCAGCATCCCCACCTCAACCTCCGTCAGCGAGTCAGCCGTCATCGAGGCCTCGTTCAGCGACGTCTGGCACCTGATCAAGCTCCAGGACTTCAGCAAGTTCTGGTCCAAGCTCGAGAAGAGCGAGTGGGTCAAGGGTGCGTCCGAGGAGACAGACATTGTCAAGTGGACATTCAAGGATGGCGCCGTCCTTGAGGTGAAGCAGGAGGAGCACTCGGTTCGTCTTGGCCTGTTGACTGCCTCACATAAAAATATCTAACACTCCTGTGCGCAGAGCATCGACTACTATATCACCTACAGCGTCATCTCGTCGAAGCCTGAATTGAGCTATTCCTCAGTCGTCTCCACGATCCGCGTATACCCTATCACGTCGGGCAAGCACGAGGGACAGACCTACATCACCTGGTCCGGCAACTTCTCGAGCGATGCCGATGCGAGTATGTGTAGCACTCAATATTTGGCGGACATACACTGACAATCATAGGCGTTATTCAAGACGCCAAGTTCAAGCGCCGTGAGGCTCTTGCCGACTTGGCACAGGCCGCCTCCAAGAAATAGGCTTCAAAAGGCATACATATGGATACTGTGACGGCCATGGACTTCACGTCTTAGGGTGACTACCTCCCCATGCCTCTTGGCTTCTGGGTGTCCAAATGAAGCTGCACGTCCATGTGGGAAGGCATGGAATGGAATGTAACTATACAACCACGACTGTATTATATCACGGCCAATCTGCTTGAAAATGACTTGGGATGATTTCCTGTATGACCGCTATATGTTCTTATTGTGACGTTGTCGTGGTTGGTCTATTTCTTGACACACTCAGCAGAGTACTGTGTAAGTATTGAACATGTGTGAGGATCCATACCTTCCTATGTATAAGAAAAGTACAGAAGAGGGTATTGAAATATCTAACCCTCACGACAAGATAAGGCTGCCCGTATTACTCACTCACTTATTTCTCATGTTCGGATTCGCAAAGCACAACGTCAGTCAATACGGGCTTTTGGATTTCGCACACTCGATTTCAGGTGAAGCGCGACTTTCAGAATAATTCCAAAGCACAGCAAAAGAAGGGCGAAGGTCTCTTAGACATGAATTGTATAGGATGAATTGATGTTGGTAAGACTGCATACATGCCCACTCAATCCACAACCACCAAGTAAAAAACAATCATCTTATCCACTACAAACATGACCACAATCCAGAACCACAAAGTCAGAACAACAAGCCAGACAAAAACATCATACCACCACAAATCTCTATCTCCATCTTCTCTCTCGCTCTCTTCCCTGTCTCTCATTCCCTCTCATCTTCCCAGCTCCATACAAAGAGCAAAAAATTCCATCTCCCCCTGAAAAAAGAAACAAGCAAACCATAAGGGGGTATCTGACTTTTTGTGGATGCCGCTCATAACCCCGAAAAACGCCTCTCTTTCTTTCTTTCTTTCCCATGACCCCATCCATAATCAATGACCGAGCCCATACCCGTTTCCGTATCCATATTCCATATCCATGCAAGCATAAATGCGCTCAAAACAACAAGAACAACAAGAAGAGGAAGAAAACGCTAATCACACTACACTACACTTCAAAGACACTGCGTAGAACTACACTGCGTGAGACTACACACCACTCCACCCCATATCACCCCCTCCCGCACCCGCACCACCCTGCTGACCCTGCCCCGGCATCCTCTGGGCCTGCAGCTGCGCCTGGCGCAGCATCATCATCTGCTGCATCTGCTGCTGATTCATCTGGGGGTTATTGATACCCTGCAAGCCCTGCATACCGCCCATATTAAGGCCCTGCATCTGATTCATATTCATGCCCTGCATATTCCCCATGTTCATGCCCTGGACGTTATTCATCATGCCCTGGGGCATCTGGCCGCCTTGCAGCATGGCCTGTTGGCGCATGGCGTTCATCTGCTGTTGGCGGGCCTGCTGGGCGCGCTGTTGCTGCAGCATTTGCTGGTATTGCTGCATCTGCATGGGGTTTTGGACGTTGTTGGCTGCGGCGTTCATTTGCCCTTGCATGGCGGGGTTCATGTGCATTTGGGATTGCGACATTTGCTGCTGGGCTTGCTGTTCCTTGGCTTTAATGGCGAGCTCGAGCTGTTGCATTTGTTGTAGGTGCATCTGGGGCACGTTCCCGCCGAAGGTCTGCACGAGCTGCGTCCGACGTTGCTGATACTGCTGTCGGAGCTGTGTGACACTCATGTTAGCCACGTTTAGACCCTGCTGGTTGGGCATGCCGTTTTGCGGCACACCTTGAGGAGACATGCTGGCCATGGGCTGCTGTTGTTGCTGTTGTTGTTGCTGCTGCTGCTGCGCTTGTTGTTGCTGCTGCTGTTGTTGCTGCTGTACTTGTTGTTGGCGTTGCGCTGCTTGCTGCTGCTGTTGCGCTTGAAGACGTTGGTAGTACTGCCCGGCCATGTATCGCTGATAGGTGGCCGGATCCTGGTTTGGTGGTATTCCTTGGGTTTGAATGTGCTGTGCCGCCTTCTGCATTGCCATTTGTTGCAGGGCTTGGGTGTTGCCTGGGGACATGCCTTGCTGCTGCATTTGCTGTTGCACACGCAATCGGTGCATCTGTTGCTGCTGCTGGAGTTGTTGTGCTTGCTCGGGAGTCATGTTTTGTCCAGGCTGAGGTGTCTGCATCATGAGGGGCGTAGCTCCCTGCACTGCTATGGACGGGCTGGTTCCATTCAGACGAGGCGTAGGCGTCATGTTACGGTTTGGCATGGCGGCATTCATCACAGGCGTACCCTGGGTGATCTGTGGTGTACCAGTTCGGCTCATAGACTGCATCTGCTGCTGGCTTGCTGTGCGGGCCATTGGATGATGCGAGATGGAGGATAGAGGTCGCGCAGGGCTGTTCATAGCTTGGTTCGAGGCGGTGGGGATCATCGGAGTACCACCAATGGGATGTGGAGCTTGCCCACCAACATGTGGAGAGGCAGCCGCAGCAGTCAGAGGCGTCTGATGTCGAACAACAGGGGAGAACTGGGACTGGTTCGCGGATTGTGATGTCTGCGACATTTGCTGGACTGCAGCTGTATGCGCCATCTGCTGCGCTTGGGTAGCGGCTCGGAGAGCTTCGTTCTGTTGGAGCTGGTTCTGCTGGAGTTGTTGCTGCTGCTGTTGTTGCTGACGCAAAAGTTGCTGCTGCCTCTCCTGGATTTCGGCCTGCTGCCGGCTAGTCTCCTGCTCTCGTCTCTTCTGAACTTCGGCTTCGATCTGCGCCTGCTTCTTGTTCTGGGCAATGCGCGCGTCTTCCTCCTTTTTCCGTCGATCTGCCTCTTCGTGACTGGCCCTGATCGACGCAATAGTCTTGAACCTGGAGAAGGTCTGCGAGTTGGCGGCTGCGCGTGCTGCGCCCTCGTCCCCGCCAGTCGCCGTGGTCACCATGTTGGCCTGCTGTTCATCACCCGCCAGCATGAAGCGTTGTAGGTTTGCAGCATCAGCCTCGTCAGCGGCCAGTTCGGCCGTCGTCCTCTTACGCGTCTTGCGCACGGGTGGTGGGTTCTGGTTGTTGGGGTGCGTGAAGGCTTCGATGAGCGCCAGGGACTCCCCAAAGTTCTTGGTGGGCTCCAGATAGAGCTTTGGGCAGGTTGCGTTGTAGACCTCGGCCTCGAACTCGTGCAAGTTGCTGTCGTCGATGACCATCTTCTGGCGCTTAGCCGAGGGAAACGTGGGCGTGGGCGGGACTGCCGTCAGGGGGGTCTGTGGCAGCCTCCCAGCAGCCTGCATACGCTTCAGGGTGGCAGCATCGGGGACGGGCGTGGTGGCCAGTTGCTGCATGTCTGCTATGTGCGACTGCGGGGTGGGGAAGAGCACGACGGTGACGATTTTGGCCTGGGCAGGCTGCTTCTGCGCGGCCTGGCCCAGGGCTGCCATGTTCTCCTTGTCCTCCTTGAGGTCGGCATCCTTGGCGTGCGTGTCGGACTGGCCGGGCGTCGCGCCGGGCTTGGTCGAGGGATAGGGCACGTGGGGCGAGGGCGTGATGAAGCTGTTGTAGTTGTGGATGGAGAAGGCATTGGCGCCCAAGCCGTCGTTCGCGCTGGTGGCATCGTCCTTGGGCTTGACGGCGCCGCCACGGTAGTCGTGCATCTCGACGATCAGACAGTTATCGTACCAGGGGATGCCGACGGCGTCAAAGTCCTCAATCATGTTGTGCGGCACGCGGCGGGCGCGGATGGCGTCGAGCAGCTCGCGCATGGGCGAGGCGTACGAGAGCGTCTCCTGCGAGTCGTTGAGGCGGAAGTGCTTGGGGTGCAGGTACACGCGCAGCGACGGCGGCTTGCCCCTGTGCTTGGCCAGGACATGTTGCTGGTTGTTGACTGCGTGCCGTGTTAGCTGCTGCTACTGCGAGGTCGCACTCTCGGGCTGCCTACCGTAGCGCTTGACGTCCTGCTTCGCGCTGTCGTCGCTCATCGTCGTCGCCCGTGTTGCAGAGCGCGCGACGCCTGGACGCTGAGACTCGCGACGCGCACGCAGAGCCTGCGTCGGCCGCGCTGTTGCAACGGCGCCTGACATGGTGGTGAGGCTGATTAGCTATTGGTGGGGCCGTTGTGGGACGCGACGTGGTCTGGGGTGTCGCCTGGGGAATCCGTGTGTCGCCAATGGTTCCACGGAGGATGAGAGTCGCAAGTCGAAAGTGGTCCAGGGCCGGCGCAGACTGCGCACCAATGCCCGAGTAGACTTCAGGCGACGGGGTGGAGAGCGGGATCTACTCGAAAGACCGCTGTGTCCGCTGTATGTGTTGCTATTGGACGTGTTGCGGACGGGGGTGGGATGATCGCGTTGCTGCTACTTGCATGCTCAGGATTCATGTCCGACCGTTGCCTGGCGAGACTTGGCAGTTGCATCACCATCACGTGCCCTCGCTTAGCTAACATTCTTCGCGTCACAAGCAAGCTCATACACTTAAACATCGAATACTACATAAGGTAGGCTAGGCAAATACACGTCATGTGCAGAGTGTGCAGGTTTTGTTTGAATCTCCTATGTAATTGTCAAACTGTTGCATGATCTTGCTGGACCTTGGATGCAGGCTCTCGACCAATCGAAATATCAGGAACCAGGGTGCAGCGAAACTATGCAACAGCTTAACAACTACAACTAAGTTTAGTGTAGAAATCTTGTGCCTAAATTTTAAGCTGTACATGCTATGCGTGCACTTTAACAAATTGCAATTGCGTAGTTTTGCGGCTTGTAGGAGCTATAAAGAATGTAACTTACTTCCCGCTTTTGTAGTTGACCGAGAGGCAGGTACCTCTAATAACCGAGAGACTGCTAACCGCCAATCATGAGTGAGAATAACATAATACAAAATCACAAAACCATTACGTGAAGATAAGTGTGAATGTTGTGAGGGTTTTTCGACGGGATATAGGGGATGGTGTGGAGATGGGACGATAGTAATTTTCTCCATAGAGAGATGACTGGAGGTTGATAATTGCCCAATATAAGATTCCATAGCTGAAGTAGACGAATAGTAAGGCTCTCAGGTACGGTTTTGCCCTGCGTCGATAATCCCTGATAGGTTGTACATGAAAAATTATTTATTGCAATAGGGACTCGGAAGAATAAACAGAACTAGGACATCCGAGCCTTAGTGAAAGATATTAGTACACTGAATATGAGTTTGACAACATTGAGGATGTGTACGCCGGAATAAGTCGTGATGAAGATGTAAAAGTAGTCGTAATGCAGAATATGTCAACGAACTTTCAAGAGAAAGAATGAGTATAAAGTGTGTATTGAACATTAATTATTTTCCACTATCGCTAGAACGGCATACCGGCTCTCATAAGCTGAACAAAAAATGCATCAAAATGTTAGAAACGACAGGATATCACCCCAACCAGATCTTCACCACCTTCTCCTCAGGCCAGAATCACCATCAGCCAACTTGTCCTGCGAATGCGAGTCCGCCCACACCTTCCAGTTTCTACACCCCTGATTCATAGGTGCTAGACTGCCAATCGAGCTCTGAATCTCGTCCACGCGCTCCAAGAACTGCACACCGAGACCGGCGGAGACGTGGAATGGGATGTGGCAGTGCATCAACCAGGCGCCTGGGTTATCCGACTCGAATGCGAGGACGAGGTAGCCTTGGGATGGTAGCGTGGCGGTGTCGCGGCGGGGAGGGTTGTCGGTCTTTAGGCGTGAGATGTCACCTGACCAGACGGCGTTTGCCTGGGCGTCTAGAACATAGAAGTCATGGCCGTGGAGATGGATTGGGTGGGGAAGACCTGGAGGACCGACACCGATGTTGGATCCTTGTTGAATGACCCAGTATTGCCACTGTAATACTGTTAGTTTTATGCTAGATTTCCGATATGGGAAGGGAAAACGTACCTTGTCCTTCTCGCCGACAGTCAGCACATGACTGCGGTTACCGTATGTCATGTTTCCTTGCATCACCGACTGGAGCGTAGGGTGAGCGTAGTCAATGAGCATTGGCGTTCCGTTGATGAGCCATTGAACCATGTTGCCTGATCCGGCGGTGCTGGTGAATTGGAGCGTCAGCTCTTCCGGCGCATTTTGAGGAACCGTTGTCTTGACATAGGGCACAACTTCAGTTTCGTCGTAGCAACCCGTGGGCAATGCTGTCTCCGCGGTGGAATTAGGGTTGACCATTGGTGCGCCATCGTATCGGAAGATGCTCTGAATGTTTCCTGTGTTTGCCTGGGGACCATCACAGTCTCCTCCGGTGCCGAATCGCATCCAGTAGTTTCCAACCTCCGCCTTCGCGTCAATGATGACGTCGTAACGTTGGCCGACTGCTATAACGATGGAACTTGTCTTGTAAGGCACGATTGGGATGAAATCAGCCGCGATGACCGTGAAATCATGTCCATCTAGTGCGACGTGGACGAAATTGTTGATTCCCGAGTTGATCAGACGAAGACGATGAGTCTTTCCGGGAGTCAGAGTAGTAACGGCGTACTTTCCTCCAAATGTCGATGTCATTGAACCATTGATCAAGAAATTGTCTGCGGTGGTAGGGCCCTTTGCAAACAGAGATGCAGCGTTGATCGTGAAGATTGGTGCATGGAACCAATCAGTGAATGGCAGGGCACCAAGATCAATGTCATAATTCGCTGTCGCGGGTCCGTTGATGATGAGCGGTCCAACGAGTCCATCGCCCCATTGAACGGAGTGATGCGAGTGGTACCATGAGGTGCCGTACTGCGTAGCCTTGAAGCGATACACCTTCGAATCGCCCGGTGCAATAGGACATTCTGTGATTCCGTTTACTCCATCCATCTCATTTGACCCGAGTTGGCGCATGCCGTGCCAATGGATACTTGTTCCATTCACTTCGAGTGAGTTGGTCACTGTAATTTCAAGATCATCGCCCCAGTCAGCGACGATAGGCTAAAGAAAGGTTAGTTTGTCGTTGTTGAAATACTATTGTCATACTGACTGGACCTGGATATTGCCCGTTGAAGACTAGCATAGGCTTCGCAAAGCCATCCGGAGACATAGTGATATTCGAGACATCGAGATGATACTGTGTGAAGCAATTAACATCTTGTTCCTACACAAAACTGCTGACATAACATACCCTGACAGTCTTTCCAGTGTTAGGCCACGTTATATCCATATCGGTGTCAATATTATGGGTGCCATCCCAGCAATCTCTCGATGTCGGTCCATGAGTAGTATTTTGAGCCCTCCTGTATGGTGGTAATGATAATGCGGTGGCGGAAGGGAGAAGCAAGGCCACAAGGCCGACCAGCGTAGCGATTGAATGCATGTTGATTATGCAGATATAAAATGAATGAAGCAGTAGTTTTGATCAACAGAACCCTTCAGACCCCAGGAGTGAATGCCAGCTGCGAGTAAGGAGATGAGACAACCTGAAAATTGGCAGAGACGGTAGTACAGGTTATATAGATTCCTGAAAGCCTCGTTCTTCATTGCCATCTAGGCACTGATGGAAATGAACTAGGACCAGGCGCTCCACGATAGTGGAGCTGACAAGACTAGTTCGGTCTCTGCCGCATGTTTGGGAATTTCCTAGGATCGTCATCGGTACAAAGTGCGGCAAGCAAGTGGCGTAGTGGCCGAGTATCGTATAGGGCAAATCTTGGTTCTGCGTGGAAGCTGTCTATATTGCTAGACTCATTGACAAGGATGGCACCCATTGGCTTGTTCTCCCCTGGCTCGTGTAACGGCGTTATATTCGGCTAAGCGTACCAAGCCTTGCATGCAGTAGTGGTGTGAGCAGGGGGAGATGTAAGATTCTGAAGGCAAAACCAGATGCTCAGCAGGAGAATGCGACAGTTCTCGATTGGTTCGGCAGGGTTGGTTGCCGCTGTAAGCTATTGACGGGCATTCATCGTGCATCAATGCATAACCATGATGCAGATCATGAGAAAATTCACCGGAATAGGCGCTCCACAGATGTGGGAGCAAGGGCCGCCTCGAAGGGCTTTGATCAATGTGTTGTTGTCGGTCAAACCAAGATCAACCCAACTGGGACGTCCGTTCGCTTATTTCCACAGTCTAGGCTAGACGTAGCCTTAGTGCTGATCCAATCCCCATGTTCCGCTGTGGCGTTCTCGGACGTCCGATGGGGAGCCGACTAGTGCCGGTTCCCAACACCGCTCAAACAACACCTCGACCTGTCAAATTTCGGATGACAATAAGGTTGTGTATCGAAGACATGTACAACTCTATTGTTTACAGGGATGTTGTGCCGTGCTGATAATGTCCCAGGACGAGGCTTCGCTAAGCACATGTTGGCCAGGAAGGTCCATGGAGCATCCAGCTGAACTTCGTGGCAATCCGCGGACACGTTGGAACGGCCAGATGAAGTAACCATAATATGATGCACAAACGAACACCGATTTTACCTATGAGGACCTTTGCAGACTGCAATCCGTGGTATCAAGTGCCAATGCTCACATTATCAACAGTCCTAGACGACTGATAGTGATACAAAGCCTTGGCTGTTGGCACAGCTGTAGTCGGATAGTAATTTGGAGTAAAAGACGTTGAGCGGCAGAGCATGACACCGAGACCGCCACACTATCGATCTGAAGTGGCGAGACCATGTGTATTACATCAAGCGGTAAGAGAAGCGCCACACCTACATCTCCATACGATCTGTTGAAGATGGATAACAACGCATGCGGCTCGACCGAGGCTGTCAGTTACTCAAAGTAGGAAGTCTCTGACGTATGGGTCGCGATGGGAATAGTCGATCGTGGTAATCTCTCAATACAGACTAGATTCGCGTTAAGGTATTTGTCGGAGACGAGAAGCTGACCTGGAAGGCTACCATGGTGGCAATACCGAAGCAGTCGTAGCGTTCGAAGGTATTCCCTTCCCCACCGACACTGACGGATTGAGGGTATTGAACAGTTCATCAGAAGAGCGACGAGAGGGGTGAATCAAGCAAAGAGGAGGCGTATGGCCGATTATATCTATCCTGGAAGAATCGGGATGGCTGGGGAAATTCCCGAATGTTCAGTCGAGAACAAATGGGTAAGCCTGCCTTCCTTGACAAGCATTAGAGACACAATACAGCCTTGTTCAGGATGCCACCAGCCACGACATGACAGAAACGAAATGTCTCGTACCGCCATCCGAAGCGAGACTGCAGCAAACTTCCATGCTTTTGAAAACGTGCCATTAAGTAGTTTCCGCAGCTGTGTGACATTATCCCGTTATTGTCACACGTAGCACACTGAGCTTTTATGCGAACACTCCAGACAGGGCGCGGCTGTTGCACCGTCAGAAAAGCCATTGCGAGATTAAGGCACCCGGCCCAGGTTCATCATCTACTTACACAGCCGATGTTGACAAGGGCCGTGGCCTCCAAACGCTTCGCTTCGTCAGTCTTCAATCGTTAGAGTGAAAGAACTATACAACAGCTTCCCTGCTCCAGGCGTTGGTCCAGCCCCATACAAGACGACGTTTTCCCCTTGTACGCCAGAATTGCTTCACCTGTTTGCATCTCGGAGATTAAGACCGAATAGCGTCGTAATTGGTTTTTGTCGTAGTATGTGGATGCGTTGCCAGACGAACGGCGAACGAGGCGTCTCGCTAGCCACATGTACTGTGATCCCCCCTTCCCCAAAGTATAAGTTCTTCCCCACTTTACGTACTAATCTCCAGTGCGTCGGGATTGCCGATCAGGAGAGTTCCGACCAATCTGTGAGCATCCCTGGAAGGTACCTGCAAATGACAGATGTCATATACTTCTAGTGGGGGATCATAATAGTCTATATCAGCCACCAATAACCATGTGTAGAAAAAGCGATGGAATACAAACTTCCAACTTTGTTTTACATAACGCAAGATATCCGTTCCCGCGTACTACTAGCCAGCGACTCCAGCATAACAATGGCTTTACTTGTCGCTTCAAACTACCACTTACCTACGGGACAGCACTTTGCCATGATGGGATACACAGATGACGACTCCCGTTGCCATTGTTGAAAGAAGTAGAACATGAACATAAGAGCATACAATGGCCTGCAGTTCTCTTTACAGGATCAGCACGCTTTATCAACTTCAAGACGTGGTTACTCATCCGCTGGTTCCCCATGTACATATTCATGTTGATAGCCGGGACGTTCAGGATTGCATGCTCAAGTCCAATTCATTCCGAACCCAAAATCTCGCTTTCAAGCGACAGCATCGAGCTTCAGGTACTTGACAGCAGGGGCCGTAGGAGTAGTGAATCTGACAGAAGTTCTGTATCTAGCAGAACAGTAAGACACTCATTTCACGTATAGTTTGTTGTAACCCGAATCTACTGACACTTCTCCAGAGCTTTAGTTATCAATTGTACTCTGATCACACCAACCCATGGAGCTGTTGTCGGCCTTCTGGAGCAAGCTGTTGCAGAATCGCTGCATAGTACCTTCTACACGACTTTTGCCTGGCGCCAAACAGCAATGGATTTTCTAGGACGTATTTCAAGTTCATGATTCTCAGATTTACCTTGACACGAGGAAAACTTTTACGGCCGCTCATGACTTTTCGCGATACGATCCTGACGATCAATATCATGACACGTTTACTATCTCTCATATACCTATCACGACAACTTCTCCACGATCACAGCCGAAGGCTCTCCTTCGGGATTACAATTAATTCAAATGTCGATCTGCTCCTTCCCGTCATGGTTTGACTACTTCAATATCCTGCCGGACGGGCCGTCCGACCGCGTCTTGTTATCTATCCGTGTGATTATATTCCATCCGCGCCATACGATCTTGCACAACCATCGACTGTCAAATCTGACGTTTCACAACACAATGACGCCGGAAGTGCCGCGTAGCACAACAGCGGGGAGTACGCTTAACCCAATATACACACTCTAGGATCTCAAGCCTTAGGCAAGATCAGCCACCTCAGAAAGGTGATTCCATATGTAATGCACATGCACGCCTGCATGCAAGGTCGTAATGTCCCCGCACGGGTCGGGAAAGGCGCTCCCGTGACCCTGGGCCATCACCAGATCGTACGTATGAGGCGAATTGCTTAATTCCACCAGGGTTTCAAGATCTTGTTTCCAAATTTGATCGGATGGCGTTTGCGATTGTCACTTATTTTAACTTATCCAGGGCTGACTTGAACGTACAATTCGCCTACGCGTCCAATCACCATCTTTCCGTCTGCCACCAGACTAATGTCGTGTCAAGCTGTCAGGTTCCTTCAAGCAAAGTGGCCGAGAGCATTACATGTCAGTCTTGCCGGCATCGGGTAACTGTCAACCTCAACCGAGCCGCTCCCGTCCGAAACCTGTACCAGGCAATCGTTCAACTTCTCCATACCACTACAGATGGCCAGATAGGACCGCTGATATATACTGGAGCACTTGCAACTCGACTATGGCGTCTGAACACCAATCCCATTACGCAACTAGTCGCTTTTGTATCGATCCATATACTCCATTCTCTCAGTGTTGTAACACACTCTTGTAACCAAACGTCACCTATCTCGACTTCCCGACTCTACAATGCACATCAAGACACTCACTATTGCAGTTGCTATGGTGACCATAGTCATTGCGGCCCCCATCCCCCTTCACCATACGAACACCGAGCGTCTTCCCAACCATCCGGCCTCGACACCAGACTTGGGGAGCAAGACTCTGTATCTACAATCACACGAGACTGCGATGATCACTGGTCAGGGCCATGTTGTTGACACATCAACTATGGTACCAGAGAGTGATCCGGAAGACATGTCTCTGTCTTGCGAATCTTTACACGCGTTCGTATGGTGGTATTTAGGCAGGATCTGGGAGAGCGTCTGGCTTATTGTTTGAATGGAGTAAATCATGCATTATACGCTTTATTGTATGCCTCTTTTCCAAGGTATTTGAATGCCTGCACGAACAAAATCGTTATGTTTGTATCCTTTCCAGACAAAGCGCAACCAGATATTCGAAAGCAATGTTATATCCCTCGCCCTTCTTCTCTCTCATCACGCACCACCCCTCTGCAGCGCATACGGCACCATCTGCTGAAAGAACCCAAAACACCTACTCACCGCCGTCCAATCCGCCAGAAACTCCACTCTCAGCACACCCTCCACAAAGCACGCCATAGCATGGAACCCCCACGGCCCGAGGCTGCCCAACCCCCGTGCATTCACCAGATCCGGCATGCCGCCCTCCTTGCGTGCGAAATCCACCAGCCACGGCAAGTCGGAGTAGTCGAAAATGCCAGCGTCTTTGAGGTCGAATTCTGTGGCTCGGCCGGTGAGATACGGCCATGTGGTGGGCCAGTGGATGTCGTCGTCGCGTGTGAAGGCGGCACGGCCGAAGAAGTAGATTTGTGCGGCGCTGGGGTGCTGAAGCAGTGGCGCTGTGCCGGAGAGGTTGATTGACAAGCGAACGCGCGGGTCGAGGACGTTAAGAGTTGTTGCTACGGTGCCGCCTAGGCCGTGGCCGACGATGGCATAAGACTGTGTGTTGAGTGCGGAGGTGAAGTTTAGGCCTGGGAATCGGTCTGGCAGAGCGAGAGTGGTGAGTTGTTGGAGGACGAAGTTTATGTCTTGAGTTCTTGTTTCCATTGCCTGCGTTATGGTAGCGTTCCAAGATTTCATCGCCTCGAAGGGACTGAGTGGGATGGTGCCGTTGTTGTAGATCGTTGGCTTGTCGCGTGCTTTCATGAACTCGACGATGGAGGAGTCGTGAGGGTGGTCGACGAGGACGACGGCTACTCCATTTGCGCTCATGAACCGCGCGAGAGTAGTATATAGCAACCTACTAGTCCCAACCTGAGGCTCGAGAATGACGACTGGGTACTTGGAGGCGTTGATACTCTCTGTATTTCCTCCACAGCATGCCATATATGCCATCTGCTCGAAGACACCAGCGTCACTGTGCTCGAAGAACTGTGCGTTTGAGACGCGCGCAGTGTCAGGTGGCATATATGCCTTCTCGCACTCAGTCATGCAGACACTCTTGTGTACCGGCATGAACAAGCTGACCATGAGCTTTCTGTCCTCAGTCGCAGCGTAGACATCTTTGCGCGTAATGTCAACGAGAGGGAAGTGAGCAACCGCCACCTTATAGTCGTGAGTTGAAGGATTCGGCGCTGAAATGATGACGCTGGCGCTGGAGCTTCCAGGAAGAAGCAACCCCACTAGAAGGCCAACGGCGAGAATGACAGCTGAGAAACCCATGATGACTGTAATGAAAATCCAGCGTGGGTGTTGGGGCATCTGTTTGCAAGAGGCTGGGTTGACTTTTTAGTGTGGGGATAAGACGAGGAAACAATTTTTATTCAGTCCGACGAGGTAAAGACTTTGATAGAAACGCTCGGCCCTGCCATAGTCTCGCAAAGGAATAGTGCGCTAGAAATCCAGAGTGAAAGATGTTGCGAAGCTGTTGATTCCCTACGCCACGACACCTCTGCCCACTCACTTTCATCGCGCCGGTATAGGCCTCTGTCAGATTTTGGAAGGGAGATACAACCCATGTTCATACAGAGAAATAAGACAATTCCTAATAAGAATAGTTTACGACTAATTCTTCCAATCGGATACCACCATACTGGTAACGAGTAAAACATGTCCTTAGTTTCACTGGTCCGGATAGATGCTCCCGGATCTACATTGCTTGCTCTTTCTAGCATTCACAATCGATTGAAAGCCAAGAGTGTGAGTGGTCTCGAGTTGATTGAGTGGGTGACACGGTGAACGGGACTCAATAGCAAGATGTATGCAGCCAACGGTTGGCGAAGCGACACCCGTGTGACTACTAGATACCGGGCCATCTCTTAATGATAACAAAATATCATCCACGTCACGCTCGGCATGGTTCTTTGGAACCTAAGTCCGTCCCGTCTCTTACGGTCGAGTTTTCTTGGACGGAAGCAGACAAGAAATCGGAGCATGGAGAGGAAAGACATGAGAGACTTTTGAAAAGTATAATTTTTCTGAGGCGTCGAAAAGAGAACGACAGATAGACAACACTGAGGTACAAAATCGGGTATTTTACCCCGCAGCTTTGGGGTGTAAAAAACACAGAAGAAAGACTGCGTTTTACACCGCAATGCAGTGTAAAACGTAAGGTAAATTTACACTTAATAGTATATATATTATATACTTTTTTACACATTTATAGACAGTTAATATGTATTATTTATTTATTCTATCTATTTCTATATAACCTACCTACGAGCTTAATTGTAAGTTGAAATCTAGCTTAATTGTAAGTTAAAATCTAGCTTAATTGTAAGTTAAAATTCAGCTTAATTATAAGTTAAAATCCAGCTTAATTGTAAGCTTAAATCTAAGCTTAATTGTAAGTTAAAATCCAGCTTAATTGTGAGCTCAAATCCAAGCTCGATTGTGAGTTGAAATCCAGCTTAATTGTGAGCTCAAATCCAAGCTCAATTATAAGTGGGCTCGTGGGTGGGCTCGTGGGTGGGCTTGTGGGTGGGCTCGTAGGTGGGCTCAATCGTGGGTAGGCTCGTAGGTAGGCTCGTGGGTGGGCTCGTAGGTGGGCTCTATTGTAAGCGTGTAGATGAGATAGTGTTAATAGTTGAGTTTTCAGCTTATGTGGGGTAGGCCGGAGCAACGTTGTTGCGATTAATAGTAGTGCTGGTAATAAGAAAATCTAAGAAAATTACTAAGTACATATATACGCAGTGTAAATTTACTTACACGCGGTGTAAAGTGTAAATTTACCTAATTCTGCGGTGTATATTACCTAATGCCGGTGTAAATTACCACGCCGCGGTACCTCAGTGCAAGGACGTGGTACCTACATGGAAGAAGTGAAACACCAAATTTCCCTCTGTACAGCCCATACTCGTGGCTGCGGCGTGGTCTTCTTAACAGCGCTTGCAACGCCCTAACTCGACCCAGAGAACCGCCCAGGTTTTTGGTGTCAGGCCTCCCTCCTTTTTTCTCCGACCACGAAATCAGGCGCGCGGCTCTAAGTTTCAAAACGTCAGTCGGTCGGCTGTGCAAGCAACATTTGGGGGCCATTTGCTCGATCCGCGCACCAATAGAAAGCCCAGGAAGAACTCAGCGTGGAGTTGCACTGCAACTCGCAAGGCACAAATCTTTCGCGCTCCATCAATCGTCTCCACGTCACCAATCCGCCTTGCGCATGGTCGCTTCCGCGCTAAGAGAGGCTGCTACCGAACGCCATTGCTGTGCCTCCACTTCACCTTCCACCACAACACATACGTGCATGTACGAACTACGAACTAAAGTAGCACCCATGGATCGTGCTGCCCCGCGGCCGCCTGAATATCTATCCATGTCCCTTGATCTGCGTTGAAGCTGCACTCACTAACCTTCGTCACTCACTAATTGCGTTCATACCATCGGAGCATTTTGCAACAGCTTTCTAGTCAGCTCTTCGAAAACGTTTGGTAGAGTTTTAGCTTCTAGCAGCAATATCACAGTTTCTTGGAAGAACTACTTGGTGTTATCGTGCGGCAATCGAGGCGATTAAATCCTTGGAGGCATTGACTCAGACCAATATGGAGGTACATACACAGCTCACATATACTCCCAACAGCGAAAGCTGACCCCCTCAGAACACAACACAACACCCATATCGCGACTCGCCGCCATCCTCGCCTAACCCATCCACCACCAAGCCTCTCTTACAACAACCACAACAAGAATCATATCGCGACCACCCAACAGCATCATACTCACATCTACCCTCCCAACACCCACCAACACCACCCTACTACGACAGCCCGCCACAACCATCCACCCCCACAACACCACACGCCAACACCCACCACGACCCCCCACCGCACTACACAGACGACGACGTCCCGCTAGCCCTACTCTTCTATCCCTACGAAGCACCACCCTCCTACGCCGTCGCCGTACGCACACCCTGCTACCGTGACACGTTAATCCAGTACATACCCAGTCGGCGCGTGGACGCGGATGAGGAAGAGGCAGGGGAACCCGACGACGTGCGGTACGTGGAGCGCGTGTTTGCCATGTTCATCGTTGTGGTGCTGCTGCTGGTTGTTGGGGGTGTGTTGGTGTGGCTCGCGGTGGGGAGTGGTGTGATTTGAGGGTGGGGTGGTTCTTTCTTTCTTGAATACCATGGAATTGCTTTAGCGTTATGAATGGTTGCGTACTGTTTCTTTACTGGGTTTGGGGTGGGCGGTGTGCATGGCACTGGCGTGTTGAAAGTTTCAGATACCGCTGTATATGTCGCTGGCTGATCCATACTATCAGACCAAAGCACGTCGCATAAACAAAATAACATCTTACAAAACTCACTCATGCGCTCCCCAGAAACCCCCGGGCGAGATTCCGACTCCGCTCCACAGTATACGCTTCGATCCTCACCCCACAAAGCACGACCTGCATCCTCCTCCCTTCCCCCTCAGACGCCACACTCTCAACCCTCAACCGCCAATGCGCGCGCTGAACCACCCACTCAACTTCTCTCTCACCATTCCCGCAAACCCACGACCCACCCCCACCAACGCGCCTTATCCCCAACCGCCCCTCCTCATCAGCCGCAACCTCCGCGGCCCGCCCATCGACTTCCAGAACACAGTCCGAGTCGAGACGCACACGCACGCGCCGTTCGCTCACGCCCGAGTTCTCGGGGTTGACGGGTTGGGCGGCAACGCCGGAGCCGGAGTGCAGGTACATGAGGCCGAGGGGCTGGGTAGCGGGGAGGCCCATTTTGGCTGCGATGACGCTGAAGAGGGATGTGATGCGGGCGAGTGCGCTGTTGTGGAAGGTGGCGCGGAAGGAGAGGGATGATGCGTGATCTGGCGATGGGGCGAGGGAAAGCGTCGTTGATTCCGGGGATGAGAGCTCGAGGATGAGGGCCGAGGGCTGGGACTGGTCGTCTATGTAGGGACGGGCATAGGATACGTAGCCATCCTGGGGAACGAGACTTGAGGGTGAAGATTGTGCGTCGTCGTCGTCGGGCGCAAAGGACACGCCCGACTGCCGGATGTCTTCTAGGCGCAGCAGAATCTCGGATTGCTGACGCTTCAGGTTGTACGACACCTCACACGGTATGAGATGTTGTTCCAGGCCTCTGAAGTGGAAATAGCGCGCATCGCGTAGGAGTTGGGCGCGGTGCGTGTCGTTTCTGATGTCGACGGTGTATCCCTGGAGCATCCTGATCAGCTCGGCGAACGTTTCGCCGCTCTTGTTCGGCACAGTGGGCGGCGAGATGGATGGTGGACGAAGTAGCGCGCTGCGGTCCAGTCCGGGGAATACTTCTGCAGGCGTGGAGAAGAATTGCGCGAAGCCCAGGGAGAAGTAGTTTGGGCTGTTTCCTGGAGCGGAGAAGAGGTCTCGTGGTATTTGGAAAGGTGTTCCGCCTATGCTGACGAATATGTCGGTGTTGAATAGCTGTTTCGTGAGTCGGGGCACTGTTGTGGTTAGAGTCAATCTATATCCAGCACGATTTGACAGACTTACGTGAATAGAACTGCGAATCTGCGAATAGTTTCACGAAATGCTCGCCACTCCTCGGAGTGATGTGGTAGCCCTGGAGGTGCAATGCAATGTCGCGAAATGTGTCGGGGTCGCGGTCGATGTAGAGAGTCCTCACGTCGCCAGCTCTGCCACCGTTGTTTTGCAGCTGCTCGCTGAAGAAATGAGAAAAGTACGAGGGTGCTCTAATAGTCTCAGTCTCGCAGTCTCTGTATGAATGACCTGGGGTATTGCTTACCATCTGAAGATATCGACGCGCCAGACAGCCTGAATAGCTCCGACCCAATCTGTATAGGAAACACTTTCCCGGCAGGCAGCATATTAGGACCCCCAGACGATTCGATCACTCTTCTTGGCTTCGAGACGTCGATGACTTTGCCCTGTGGACCGGTCCCCTTGCCCTGCTCTTGCCGTCGATGTCCTTCATTGTTGGCCTGCGATGTTGACCTTGACGCGTGTTCGGAGGTCGCCGATGCGACAGCAGTTTGGGTATTCGCGGCGTTAGGCGTAGCTACAGCGGGCGACGCACCTGACGATGTACGCGACTGATTCGGGCGCTTTGTCGGGTTCTCTGCCGTGACGTTGGCGCTTTGCGACGCAGCCGAACTGGACTCAGACTCGGCCTTCCTCTTCATGCCTGCTTGTACAGCAGAATGCTGTAGCGGTTTAGGCGGTGGCGACAGCGGGTTTTGTATGCCAGGAACCGCGCCTTGAGCCTGATGCGACAATCGATATGCTGGCTCTACGGTCGAACTCAGATGCGCGACGTTGGGCTCGTTCATAGAGACGTCCAGACTCCGAAGCTCCTGCATAAGTTCGCCCTGCGGTTCGTAGTGGTTTGCGAAGGCGGGGGACTCAATCGAGCCGTTCCAGTCCCACGCTCCCGAGTTGAAGCCGTAGGGAGGAAACTGCCCTTGGCGTGGATCTTGCGCGTTGAAGGCGGGATAATCGCGAATCTGGTCTTGCGCATATGTCTGGATTGATGTCAAGGGTGCTCCCGCGGCGTTTGGGTCGCGCTGCGTGTCATAATGAACGAACGGGTGTTGCCCATGTTCGCCTGTTTGAACTGCGAAATCTCTCGACGAAGTAGCGCCGGAATGGTCAGGCATATGTCAAGCTAGCTTCCCGCAGGTTGGCTCATAGTCTTAGGCGACTGGATGCCCGAGTGCGGAAGCAAGCTTCGTAGTGCAAAGATGTGAAGCTTGGGGATGCTGATAGATAGCTGAGTAACGTTGAAGCTTGCGGGGAGATAGCCGAATATGGATAGCGCCGTGATTGACGATAGGGAGTTTGGAGGTGTCTAGGAAAAGCTGCGCAGTTGAAGTTACAGATACGATTATTTTTCAGCAGGAGCGTTCCCCTTTAAAAATTGACAGTATTGACTGGGCAGTCTGGAAAGGATTGGCATGCGCCAGTATGGTCTGTTCAAGTGTGAGGCTGATGCTGACATGCTTCTAACCCGTAAAATTATGCAGGGATTGAGCTGCCTCTCGGTCAACTGCAAAAGCGGGAAGTAAGCTGCATTCTTTGTGGCTCCTATAAGCTGCACAACTACACAAGTAAAATACAAAAATGTATACGTAAGGCGCATACAGTTACAAATCTGGCGCAAGATTTTTACACTAAACACAGTTGTAGTTGTCAAGCTGTTGCATGATTTTGCTGCACCTTGATTCCTGGTATTTCGATTGACCGATAGGCTGCCAACGGCTCGCTGATGTGCTGTAACTGACTCGAGAAACCGAGGGATCAATTCAAAGACATGGTGAACACCGAACGGATTTCATCCAATCGGAAGAAAGATTTCTGTGAGATTTGTATCATGTTGATATTAAAAGACAAAGAAGGTCCGACGCAATATTGCAAGCTAAACATCACACCATGCTTATTACACTGTCCATATCTACCGCGTACTCATCACTAAACATCAGAATACGGAACATACGGCACTCCACTCTCCTTCTCCACCCTCTCTCCCGCGCGCTTGTAGGCATCTCTCTGCTGCAGCTTCCTCATGTAAGTATACAGCTTAGGATAACTCGTCTCACTGAGCGGCACACGCTTTGTCGCGCCTTCGAGCGCAAAATGCAACATAATATCCGCGCCGGTAAGACTATCACCGCAGAAAAACTCGCCATTGCTGGGCGGCGTAGCGAGGTAGTTTTCGAGGAATTCGCAGTGGGATTTGAGTTCGGGGTTGGTGAAGAAGTCGTCGACTTTGCTGGCGATGCCGCCGGTGATTGGCTTGAGGAAGAAGGGGACGGGGGATGTGCGGATTCCTTCGCTGGGTTAGTAGCTGGAGAGGGTGGATTGGTGATTGGAGTGCTTACGAGAAGTTATGAGGGCTACGATGAGGGGCGTGAAGAAGGATCCCTCGGTGTAGTCCATCAAAAACTGCGATTTCGTCAGCCACAACATTTCCAATCTCAACCATCAACAAAGCCAGAACATACCTTGTACCTCATCCACTCCTCGGTCTCTCCGCCTACCGCACCCTCCTTCCCCTCGGCCCACTTCTTCGGAATGAGATGCTTGCCAAAATGTTCGCAGACATAGTCGATGATCGTCTCGCTCTCCGCGATGATAATCTCCTTCTCAGAGTCTGCAGGCGTGATGCCAATCACAGGAGAACGTCCCAACGGATGAACTTGCCTCAAGTCATCTTGCGCACGGAAGTTTTCGTCACGCTTGAAGACCTTGACCTCATAGTCGAGGTTCAGCTCCTCGAGCAGCCAGATGATACGCTGGCTACGAGACTTCTCGAGCCTGTGGATATTAGAGGATGGAAGGAAGTGGTAGAGTTGTGGCGTGAGCATGTTGGGTGAAGGAGTATGTATATGTACTTACCAGTACACCGTGATCTTTGCACCTTGCTGATTGTCCGACATGATGATAAGCTGTGAATAGACTGCGATTTCCCAAAACTCAGGCAATCAAGAAATCTGAAGCAAAACTCAGATAAAAGTTGGAAAACACCTCGGTCTTTTAAGCATTGTCACAAGCTCTGTCGGCTCGCCTATCGGCGATAGTTCAGGATCGGCCCACCGAGGCCTTCGTCATTCACCCCTCCTGGGAAACAATCGGCGAGTTGGTCTTGCACTCCATCGGAGGTGTCGGTGACATCCCTGTTTGTCGTGAAGAATAAAGTTTATGTGCTGCGAGGCCGAGTAGGTGGGATAGAGTGACTGAGGCGTTGGAAAGTTGTCGACGAGGAGCGGGCTCGGTGCTGACCGACCGACCAAGTTGGCAATGCGGGACTCTTTGCATTGTCTTATATTTATATGTCTACTAAATCTCAAGACCATGTTCGAAGGATCCATACAGATACGCACGTGATTTCTTCTGCTTCTTAAAGAGACTCAGATGGACAAACGTAGCAACGAACTCAGGTCTCATCATTATAAACACACGACAAGACGACACACGACGACATGAATCAAACTCTTGACAAATCGACGTTACGTTGTTGGAACCAGCTGGACAAAAATGCCGACCTTTTCTTACAAACAATCAACCTCCAACTTGCGGCTGAGCAATGCTACCATGCCCATCTGCGCGAGGCAGTGCACGGGAACATCTTCAGCCCATGCGTGCTGACAAGCCCGATGAACAGGTACAGCAAACACACGCTTCAGCTAGGGAGCGTATTACCCCGCGAACATTCGCTACCGTATTACGCTCTTCCTACGAGGTCATTGCTGGATGATGTGCGCTTCATTTTTACGGCCAGGACGTCAGCTAAAATGATGCTTGCTTAACGTCAGTCAGTCAACAAAGAGACTTGAATTCAAAACCGTTACTTGAGACCAGGATACAAGCCTGAAGGACAACAACGTCATTATGTCTGGGCGCCAACTCTGGCTTCGGGACGTTGCAATCTGACAAGAAGCTCCGGGGAAGCTAGGGTTACAACAACAACGAAGGGCGCATGTAGATTTGGTGACGCGAAATGACTTAAGAGGTAAGATTGGTGAGATGGGGTCAGCACGCTCAATGGCACACCGTACGAAGACTCGAGATGGACGTATTTCGACATGGGACATTTCGAGACGTGGGCCTTTGTGTGTTCAGAATTCGAAGATTTGGCCAGACTTACCCGTCCACCAGGAACGAGACCGTGCATGCTGTGGGTCAGATGCTGACAAGGCACGGTGAGCAGAAAGTTGCTCGCACTGCCTGTTCGAGGCGGTTCAAGTAGCTATCGTGGGTAATTGGCGCCCGGCCAGGGTTGCAGTTGCCTTTAGGTGGCTGAGGCCCCAAATGCAGCTTGTCCTCCGCCTCAGCTACGAAAGGCGCTGGGCGTCTGCCTGTCTAGCCACAGCATCCCTCTTTCATTCTTCTGCTCTGAATACTCTGACTTGAAAGCCTAGATCCGCTTACAAGTGTTGCTACTACTGCTGTTGTCGTCGTCGTCAACGTCCATCCATTCATTCTGTCTGCCGCGGCTGATCGACGTCCTCATATCGCAACGATCCGCAGAAGCGCTGTTGTAAGGCTGATCACCGTCAACAACGCGCAACTCGCCAACTTGGAGGGCAGAGGAAGCCTACACACAATCCTCGACTGTCAATCACCGCGATCCAACTTCATCCGCGCTGCATGGTTATTGCTGCGACAGGTTGTCGTCATTGCGCTCAGCACCGAGCTCAGACATTGACATAGCTAGCCGCTAACCTTAGGCCACCACCGCCGCGTCAGGCGCGATGCGCTCGGGCTCTCAGAACTACATCAACATCGACGAATACCGGGCAGAGCGGCGCGCGAGCACGCCGTGGTACTGGCGTCTGGTGGCCCTCGCTGCCTCGTGGATGATACTGGGAGGGTACGTCAACCCAGCTGAACAACGTTGAGACGAAAACTAACCCCCCGCCCAGATACCTTCTACTCCCCGGCCTGTACGCAAAAGACGCGCAGCTCCGGTTCAGAGAATCAGTGCTCTCCGTGTTTATCGTCGCGCTCCTCACAGCCGGGTACTCCTTCACAGCGCTGCTCTGCTTCGCGTGTCGCAATGAAGTCTTCCAAGCCGAGGGCGTCTTCCTGTGCGCTTCCCCCACTCCAACCCTCACGCACGCACGCACTAACAACCCCGCAGCCCCGCCCTGACATCGTCCGCCCTAGGCCTCCTCTCCATCGCCTACAACTTCTCCTGCTCGCGCAGCTACACATGGGCCATGCCCGCCATCACGGGCGTCGTCGTCAGCACCACGGCCACCCTGCTCTACAGCGGCCTCCTCATCTGGCAGCACCGCCGCATCATCCACATCAAAGCACACTCGCGCTCGCCCGAAAACCTCTGGAGCGACCAGACCTTCTACACAAACTACGTCCAGAACATGTACCCGACTGCCGTGACCAACCACACACATACGCGATCACCCCCGCCGCCCCCACCACAACACCCCACGGAGGACGACCGCGTCAATCAGCAAATGGCCCTCCTGCAGATGACAGACTCGAGGCCTAGTCCTGACGCGAATAGCTCGACTTTCAGGATCGATATGCCCGAAGATAGGAATGGGGATAGGCCGGAGAATCTGAGCGAGAGACAGGCTTGGGATCACTGGCAAGAGCGCGGGCGCACTGCGCAGCGGCCGGTTAGTGCAGGGGCGGCGAGCAATCACTCGAGGGGGTTGAGTCGGGAGGAGAGGAGGAGGGAGATTGAGCTGGGTCATGCGTGAGGGACAGGAAGGAGGAAAAGTGGGCAGAATATCACTGTTTTGCTGGGGCGTAATTGATATCTATCTATCTCGGCAGCGATGGAGTTTTGGCTGGGCTGGGCTGGGTTGGTTGGGTGTTTGTTGGGGCTTTCCATCTCGGCGCTATGATGTATTTTGTTGGACGGGGGGTTTCTACGGTGCAATGCAAATACGAACTTCTCGGTGTGGTACGGTACGAAAGAGTTTTTTTTAGTGTGTGTGTACGCGCATACACCGTGTCCATGTCCATGCATAAAAGACGCTCCTTGACAACTACACCTACATACATTCGACATTTTGAAAGATATCTACGTGGAGTGTTGTAGGCTTCAGATTCGTTAGACTGTTTTCTAGTAGAGTCTTGTACTCTTGTGAAGTAGGTCGGCTAGTGCTAGAAGTACTGTATTGTTTTACCATTGGTTGTGCGGAGACATGATGCTCCTTTGTGTAGTGTGTTGGGAATAAGTACGTATGTTTTCTGTTGAGTGCTTTGCGCAGTACCGTATTATATTATATTGTGTTAGTGTATTGGATTTGGCCTGTCCTGTGCCGTGATTTGCGTGTCTGTTCTAGATTAATCTTCTACATCACACACATAAGTCTATCAGTAAAGCAATGCAATGCAATACATCGACCGAAAAGGCGAGAAAACAGCAAGGCATACATGATCATTCACTCCGCACACATACCTGCTATGTTAACCACCCCTAAAAACAGCAAGTAGCCCAACAACGAAAAACGCCCGCTGGACGCATACCGCCACCCATCCACTCACAAAACTCCCACACTGCATTTCATTTCATTGTAGTCGTTTGTCTAGTTAGTACATAGTTCTTACATTCCGCATATTTCCCGGACCTGTGAGTTGCCTGTGTGGAAGGGAAAATTAGGAGGGGGTGTATGGTGAGATGGGATGGGATGGGAGGGATTTGGTGTAGTGTAGTGTAGCTAAAGAAGGGAAGGAAGAAGGGATGGTGTGGAGGTATATGGATCTTAGTAGACAGACTTATCCCTCTATGAGGAGAAACGGAAACGGAAAGAGAAAGAAAGCGTAACTCTCCCGAGTAATCGAAATCAACAGCTTTCAACAAATTACAACTGTAATTATATGGAAATCTTGTTACCTGGGTTCGTAATTGTGGGCGCATTGTGGGCAGGTTCTAATATTTTACCATTTTTACTGGCGTTGTTCTTTTCGTATTTTTTGCTGCTTGTGGGAGATACAGAGAGGGCGGATTACTTCCTGCTTTTACGGGTGATTGGGAGGGTGGGGAGGAAAGGAATGGGTGGATGGATAGGCGAGATATGAACAGCCTCATGTTGAAAACTCAGAAGGTATGCTAGGATAAGGTTAGAAATAAAAGTTTAGCCATTCCCATTCCCATTCCCACAGCCATATATCAACTCATATAGATGTATAACACAATGGGGGGTATGCAACACTCTGTCAATCCCCCTCACATCCCCTCACAACCTCACATCACGTCTCACATCAACCATCAAACATCTCCCATCAACCATGCAATTCCACCCACCTATCTAAACCTCGCCGTACACCTCCCCATAACCTCGCCCTGACAAACCAGCTCAGCATTAAACTCCGACCCATCAAGCGTGAGGTAAATGTCAAAGTAGACGCGATAAAACGTGCCCTGGGGGGTATCCATGCGCTCAAAGTCCTTTTCGAGGTTCTTTCTTGAGAGGTCAGAGGTGAGGGTTACTACTTCCTTGATGCCTATCATCACACAAAAATAGATTAGCGAAGCTGTACACAGACACACAAACGCACGCATACAACATGGAAAACAGCAGTGATAATGAGATAAAAAGGGACGGGGGAAAACTTACGAGGATCCTTAGTATACTCCGGACACACATCATCGTCACACACATACAGGATATCCTCATACATGAGCGTCGCGCCAGGCGCAACCTGTCTGAAAAAGGACACTTTAACCGGCTCGCCGATCTTGACGCGCTGGCCCTTTTGCACAAAGATCTGGCGCGTGTACTTGCAGCGATCCTTACCGTCGAGGGAAGGAACGCGGTACTGCTCCGGGTGGTGGCCCTCTTTAAAGGGTTGCAGCGTGGCCATGAGGTAGTGGCGGCGCGCGACGCGGTGTGTGACGATGCGTTCGGTGATGCCTGCTGTGACGGCGCCCTTGACGATAGCGGCGACTGAGTCCATGGGGCGGACGACTTTGGACTGGAATTGCGGGGGCACGTGGAGTTTGATCTGCTGGAAGAGGTATTCGGATGCGCCGAAACCGCCGACCACGAGCACGTTCTGTTCATTTCATGTTAGATAAAGTCAAACACACAACTGAATAAACTTACCTGCAGCGCTCTGTTCTGCGCCTGAATAGCAATGATCTGGTTCCTAACCAGCTCCAGAATGCGGTTCACGACGGGCTCGAAGCACTGCAGAATCTCCTCGTTGGTAAAGGTCATATACCCCTCCTCGATACCAGCCTCGGGGAACTCAGCCTCGATACCGACATCGACAGCCCACTTTTGGCCGTTGTTGCGGAAGTCTGCTTTTATCCTGTTCTCAAAGTCCATGATGCACTTTGCGTAGACCTTGCCCGCCGTCTTGGAGCCGTCTGGGAGTTTCATCTTCCTAATCTTCGCGCGCAGAATGTTGCTGAAATTGCGGTTGAGCGCCGTCGAACCGCACGAGTCACCGGATCCGGCTGTGCACTCGGCAACAGAGAATGGCTGTTCCTCTTCCACTTCGTACGCAATCAAATCAACGGTACCACCACCGCAATCGACGATAAGCACAGCATCATGGATTTTGAGGTTCAGAAGGCCCGTCTTGGAGCAGAACATGGCCGCAGCCTCGGGTTCGGTGATGAGCGTCAGTCTGTTGTCGTTGTCGTCACGAAGGAAGCCGGCCTGGATAGCGGCGGCACGTGTCGCAGCCTTTCCAGCATCGTTCCAGATGGCGGGCACGGTCAGGTAGTAGCGGATGTTGCGCTCCTCGCGGTTGAAGACTTCGCCCAGCGTCTTCTGCAGCTGGTTGCGCATGGCCTGCCGCAGGTGGAAGAGGTAGTCGGCGGCCACATCGATCTCCGACTTGCCGGGTGGGAGAGGGGGCAGGTTGATGGGGTCGATGTATGTGTTACCGGACAGCATCAGCTGCAGCTTGAACCACTCGACCTTTTGCACGCCAGGCTTGGGGTAGCCCGTGGGGGCCAGTGCGTCGGCGATGTCAGGGCCCCACCCGACGACCTTCTGGTACTGGTCGTAGTAGAGCACGGTAGGGATCTGGCACGGACGTGAGTGGGTGATGTGGTGGGGAAGCGGGGAAGCTGCTGCGTACCTTTTGCTTGGTCTGGTTTCCCGCGCCCGGCCATTCGGTGATGATGTCTTCCTTGGCCTCGGTGTTGGTAGCAAAGGCGAAGGCGACGCCCGAAAAGGTGGTGCCCTGGTCACTTCACGTCAGCTGGTGCGCCACACGCGTGGCTGGCTGGAGCAGGGCGGGACTCACAAAGTCGATGCCCACAATCAGCTGTGCCTTGGAGCGCCCCTCGCCCGGCGCCTCTGAGATGACGGGCGGCCTGTTGTATGCGGCGGGCGGTCCTGGCGGCGGGGCACCGTAGCCCCCTCCATAGCCCCCAGCAGCGGGATTGGCGGCGGGGTTCGGGGGGTAGCCGGGCGGGCCAGCTGGCGGGGGAGCGCCGTATCCTCCTCCGTAGGGAGCGGCGCCGGGGTTTGGATAGCCCGGCGCGCCCGTGTTGATGGGCGGCAGCGGCGACTGCGGGCGGCCCTGCTGGTGCGGCGGGCCCGGCGCAAGACCGCCGGGCGGAGCGTACGTGTACGAGGGCGGGCGGCCCAGATTGGGGTTGTTGGGATTCATGGGGAGCGAGGCGTTGCTGGAGTTTGAGGCCTGGGGCGAGAGCGAGGTTGGGCGCTGCGAGCCCGTGGGAGTCGAGGTGCCCTGCGAAGCCTGCGTCGGCGTGTGCGAAGAGCTCTTGCGCTTCGAAGAACCAACCAGGTTCTTGAACCTCGCGTTCATGGAAGTCATGGAGCGAGGGAGAGGGCTGGGGACACAGGCGGGGTGTGTCAAGGATATCGGGGAGCTACGCGGCTGACGGTCGCAGACCTGGGCAGCCACCGCCTCAGCCAGCACTCGAGGCGCAGTCCCCTGCCACTACACACGGGCTGAGAAATTCACGCCTGTGCATGCACTGCACAAGATCGCCGCCAACGCCTCGTCCGTGTGCCTGGGCAGGGCGTAGTGGCCACGCTCTGGGGGGGTTGGTAGAGGGGCACTATCCTCACCGAGCTCTCCACGCGCGTCCGCTCTTGTACCTAGCATACCGGTGAGCCACCCATCTAGCCAGAACCAGCCCTGCCACGCCCCGCGTCCAATCCCTACACCACATTCCTGCGCCGGGCCCACAGAAGATGCGGCGCCAATGGGGTCAGCGCGGGTGTGATTGGCCCTCTGCAACCTCAGCTCGCTGACCTCGTTCTGGCTGCAAGGGAAAGCAGGCCTAGCAAGCGAGGCGAGACACCTTTGGTCAAGTGTGAACAGCGAGAAGTAAGCTGCCTCCTACAATCCGCATAACCATACCAATTGAATTTATAAAAGTGCACGCGAGGCGTATACCGCTGGAAATACAGGCACAAGAGAACTGCATTGTTCTTAGATGTAGCTGTCGAGCTGATGCAAGAGTTCGCTGCTCCTGCTATCTCGACTAACCGAGCACATCTGTCAGCCATTGTCGTGGTAATCAATACACATCCGCTTAGACAATCTCACACACGAAGCGTCTTGCAAGTGACGAAAATATGTATTATGCAGAGGCAGTATCGCTCCCCAACCATGAACTTTTCGCACAATCCCCCAGATACCGCCAATACCAAGTTTACCCCAGCCCTTGGGATATGATGCAGTCCCTCCTCTGCCAAAACGCCAGCGCTGATGTGATGTGATGTGATAAAAACCATGCAAATGAATATAAACAACGGCAACCTTACCGTCCCGCGATACCCGGCGGCCTCCTGTCGTATTCGGGCCTCTTCTCGTCTCGGTCCGTGTTCTTGAGCCTGGCAAGAATCGTCGTGAGCGTCTTCTTCTCCCTGCCGTCGTTCTCCAACACGTGCACCAGATCGCGAACTTGGATCCTCGCGCCAATGTCCGTCTGCTCAATGCTATCGCCAAACGTCCTCTTCTTCGCCCGCAATCCCTGCTCAACGGTCGGTGCCGCTGGCGTAGCTGCACCAGACCCACTTGCAGCTGTAGTTTGGCGCGGTGTGGCAGCGCCTGATCCTGCACCACCGCCGCCACCACCACCACCTCCCCCTCCGCCTCCGCCTCCTCCACCACCGCCCGTCATCCAGGAATATTTCTTCTTCTTTCCCAGAGCCATGCTGGCAGTCTCGTTGGCTTTGCGATGGAGGACATCATCAGTTTGACCCGCCTTGGCTCTGGCTGCAATCTCCTTCTTTGTCATCTTGTCCAGCGGTGGAAGTGGCAACACTTGAGGCGTGTCTGCAGGAATACCCGAACTGCCTTGCTGACGTTGTTGCCGCTTCTGAATGCGCTGCTTCTCGAACGCCTCGTCTATTTCGAGTCGTCGCTTGAGTGCTTCCGCCACGTAGTTTTTGCTTTGGAATGTCCGCTGAGGGGTCGGGGGAGCTTCACTCGGAGGCGTGGGGAGTCGCGCCGCATTTGGCAATTCTGTGCATGTTAGCTACGCTTGAACTGTATGCACGCCATGTAGACTTACGTTTGTTGGCTGTTGTGGAGGGGCTGACAGCGCTATCTGGCGCTTCCCATGGCGTCTTCAGAAGGTTGACAGGTGCAACCATCTTGGGAGCCGCATCGTTCTGTACCGCAGCAATTTCGAGCAGCTGGGGAGGGACGATGCCGTGAGATGTGTTCTGACGCCCCTGGCTCAAGGCAAACGCGTCTTCCACAAAAGCCCGTATGCGGTCCTCGGCAGCCAGTGTCAAAAGAGAAATGATTTCTACCAACGGTGCGTTCTGGTTAAGTAGACTGGCGGCCTCTAGCCCTACAATCTGCTCGCCGTTGGCAGCAGCCTGTGTCGTCCGCGTGATATCTCGAGGCGTCTTTTCAGGTATCTTGTCAAACAGTCCGTCGACGTTGATTGTGATGCCGTGCTCGTACGCCCGTCTAGCCAGCCGCTGTCTGATGACGTTGGCAAGCAGGAATGGATTGGTCAGTGTCTGCTGGGCTGACTCGTTCAGCGTGCGGGCGGCCTGCTCGTGCTTCCTGAGAAATTCTGCCTCGTGCTGCTGCTGTGCCATGGGCTGGCTCAACGGGCCGGTTCCCTGGAAAGCGCCGTGGTTGGACTGTTGACTCCAGTTGTTGAAGCTCCCATGCGGTGATGCCGTGGACGTCGAAGTCTGTGAATTGAACGATGCTCCGTAGTTGCGAGTCCCATAGCTTTGCAGCAGGTTATCTTCCTCGGCGCGCAGATCGATGCCAGAGCCCGTGAGCACATCGCTGATGTTATTAACGTCCAAGTCGCGCGCATTCGCCTTTTCCAGCTCCCCGTCCTGCGCCTTGCTGTATGGCACCTTGGGCGGCGGCATAGAGCTCGGAGGTGGCTGCTGTGGCTGGGCCATGTTGTTTGGACGCTGGTAGGGCTGTGGGTGGTGGAAGGGCGCTGGCTGCGGGGCGACTGGCGATTGCGGGAGAGAGAGGTAGCCCGTGTTTTGCGGCGACGTGGCGTAGGGCGACATGGGGTACTGTGGAGTAGCGTAGGGCGACTGGAAGGGAGCAGGCGATGGCGGGTTCGGCGAGAGGCGCTGTCGCTTCGCGGGCGGGATGCCGCTGCCCATGGTGGGCGACATGGCGGGCGACGACTGCTGCTGGTACGCGTGCGGCGAGAAGGGGCGCGGGGGCTGTGGTTGGTTCAGGTTCTGGGTCTGCACCGGCGGCGGGTACTGCATGTTCTGGCCATATTGCTGCTGCTGTTGCTGCTGGCCGTGGTTGTACTGGGGGTGCGCCATCTTGGGCGGCGCTCCGGCCTAGCGTCGTATCATGCGGGGGTGCTCTCAATCACGGTCGCGTCGGGGGTGATGGCGCGGAGGGCTGGAGCGGTCGTGGTGAGTGTGGGCGATGGGCACGGCGCGTCGTTCTCGGGCATGTCAAGTCGGAGAGCACAAGTTCGTCGAGCAACGCCAACGCACAGACCGTGGCTTGGCAGGCGCGCGCGCGAAACAAAGGAGCCGCAACGGGACTGAGCACATGCACTCTCTCACTCAACGTCTCCATTCACCGTAGACCGTTGCAGCTGCACGTGTCTGTACAGCTGCCCGACACGGTCTGTCTGACTAATACTTTCAAACGAAAAGACCCTTCCACGGCCTACCTGGCGCGTTCTTCTGCTCACCGTACTCGACTAACCTCGCAGCTCTGAGCGTCGTGTGACAGCAGCATGGCGAGCAAGAGAAAGGCCACGGCCATGGCGCCCGAAGACGAGGAGCCCATAGACCCGTCCGATGAGCTCATGTTTCTCTGTCTGGGCGGCGGCAACGAGGTTGGACGCTCGTGTCACATCATCCAGTACAAGGGCAAGACGGTCATGGTGCGCAAACACGACGCGAATCCGGAGAGCTGGCCATGCTAACGGGGACAGCTTGATGCGGGCATGCATCCTGCCTACGAAGGTCTGTCCGCAATGCCCTTCTACGATGAGTTCGACCTCAGCACGGTAGATGTGCTCCTGATATCACAGTATGTATATGCGCGCTCTGCTATCCGACTTCAGCATCACGAGGGACGGGGCCTGGCGCATCACTGCAGTCGGACTGGCGTGGAGGACACAGGCAACCCAGCATCATGTATATCAGAACAATGGAATATTATTTGCATCATACCAGTTCGACTTCGATGATGTGCCATCCCTTCTTCTTGTACATATCACCTCTCGAGCCCTACTAGTTCCCACCACCAGCCTCTGCCACTCCCCTGCTAACACCATGCTAGTTTCCACGTCGACCACGCTGCCTCTTTGCCCTACGTTCTGGCCAAGACAAACTTCAAGGGCCGCGTCTTCATGACACATCCCACCAAAGCAATCTACAAATGGCTCATCCAAGATTCTGTCCGTGTCGGCAACATGTCCAGCTCGTCTGAAACCAAGATCCAAATGTATACCGAGGAAGACCACCTCAACACGTTCCCGCAAATCCAGGCCATCGATTTCTATACCACCCACACCGTCTCTGGTATCCGAATCACACCGTACCCAGCTGGTCACGTTCTAGGAGCAGCCATGTATTTGCTCGAGATCGCCGGTCTCAAGATCCTGTTCACTGGAGACTACTCGAGAGAAGACGACAGACATCTTGTGTCCGCTACTGTTCCGCCCAACGTCAAGATCGACGTGCTCATCACAGAATCCACATTCGGTATCTCGACACATACACCGCGCATGGAGCGCGAAACACAGCTCATGAAGTCAATCACAGACATTCTAAATCGCGGTGGCCGAGCACTACTCCCCGTCTTCGCGCTTGGTCGTGCTCAGGAACTTCTGCTTATTCTGGACGAGTACTGGACAAAACATCCACAATACCAGAAGATACCCATTTACTACAACTCGAGCTTGGCACGTCGATGCATGCAAGTCTACCAGACATACCTGGGCGCCATGAACGATAACATCAAGCGGCTTTTTGCAGAGCGAATGGCAGAAGCTCAAGCCGAAGGCGATACCGGCAGACGGGGAGCCTGGGACTTCCGCTTCGTACGATCTCTCAAGAATCTCGAGCGCTTCGAAGATCTTGGTGGTTGTGTTATGCTGGCTTCCCCTGGTATGATGCAGTCTGGTACTTCGCGTGAGCTCCTCGAACGATGGGCACCAGACTCGAGGAACGGTGTCATCATCACGGGTTACTCTGTTGAAGGCACAATGGCAAAGCAGATTGTCCATGAGCCTGATCAGATTCCTGCCATCATGACGCGATCATCAAACAACTCACGCAGGCCTGGTCAGAAAGAGAACGAGCAATCCTTGATACCGCGACGGTGCACTGTCCAGGAGTACAGTTTCGCTGCCCACGTTGACGGAAAGGAGAATATGGAGTTCATACAAGAAGTTGCTGCGCCAGTAGTTGTGAGTTTCATCCTACTCACATATCGTGGGTTCCGAACTTGCGTCAGTAAATACTAACCACACCATCATTACAGATCCTGGTCCACGGCGAGAAAGGTAACATGACACGTCTAAAATCCAAGCTGCTAGGCTTCAACGCGCAAAAAGCCACCCCAACCAAAATCTACTCACCAGCCAACTGCGAGGAAGTCCGCATCCCCTTCAAGAAAGACAAAATCGCAAAGGTCGTCGGAAAACTCGCTTCCATCAAGCCGCCTCTACCACGCACACTAGGTGACGGCGAGGAAGCCGACGGAGAAGACGACGAGGCAGAGAAGCTCGACCTAATCTCCGGTGTGCTCATCCAGAACGACTTTAAAATCTCCCTCATGGCGCCCGAGGAGCTAAAAGAGTACGCCGGTCTTACCACGACGACGATCGTGTGTCGCCAGCATCTCACGCTCTCGGCTGCGGGCGTGGACCTAATCCGCTGGGCGCTCGAAGGAACATTCGGCGCCATCAAAGAGAGCAGCATGACCGACGAGGCGGTCGACAGCAAGGAAGTAAACGGCAACGCGAACGGCGTTCACAAGGAATACGCCGATGAAGACATCCCCCGCTCACACAGCAAATTCACAGTCATGGACTGTGTCAACGTGCTCGTCCGGCCCGGCGGCCGTGTAGAAGTCGAATGGGAAGGCAACGTGATCAACGACGGGATCGCGGACGCAGTCCTGGCCGTGCTCTTCACAGTCGAAAGCTCGCCCGCTGCCGTGCGCCGTAAGTCCCCTTCCTTCTTCCCTTCCCAAACCCTAACTAACACGCCCCCCACAGAATCCTCCCGCCAACACTCCCACCACCACCACCCGGAAAAACCCCCCCAACAACACCTCCCCCACCGCTTCAAAGCCCCCCACCCCCACCACGCAACAGACCCCGCAACCCGCCTAGCCCGCCTCCTCCTCTTCCTCGAAGCGCAATTCGGCGCCGACGCCGTCTCGCCCCTTGCTCTTCCACGCACTTCCTCCTCATTATCCCAATCCCCATCCCCAACAAACAGCGAACTCACCCCCGAAGATAAACTCGAACTCCGCCGCCTCCACCAATTGGGCATCCCGGTCCCGGGCATTGAAATCAAATTCGATCGTTTTGTGGCGAGGGTGTGGCTTGAGGATCTGGATGTCGAGTGTGAGAATAAACCGCTTAGGGCGAGGGTTAAGGCTGTGGTTGAGAGGGGGGTGGAGACGGTTAGTGGGCTGTGGGTTTAGTTCTTTTTTTTTAATGGGGGGTTTGAGGGGGTTGGTAGGGGAAGGGAAAGGGGGATGGGAGGTGTGTATGTATGAGGGAGATGTGTGTGTAGATAGATAGCTGGGTATGAATGTTTTTTGTTCGGAGCTGTGCTGTCTTGTGCTGTTTTGTTTGTGTTTTCCTCGTCTGGGGAAGTGGAAGTGGAAGTGATGGTATTGGCTCGTCGTAATCTTCTCACTCAACGAGTGTTTTTGGTTAGACGCACTTGGGATCAAAATTGTTGTTCGTTGTTCCCGGCATAAAAGACGGCGAGAAGGGAAATGCTACATGCTGAAGTGAGCGAGGCGTATACATCACTCAAAGTGCACAAGCCTTTGCTGCGTGTAGTTCTCGATTTCATACCGAATCGGTATGATAGTCGTCAAGCTATTGTAAAACCTGTGACCAGCAGTCCCCTTCCCACCTCCCCGCACCTAACCTACTCATCCCCCTCCCCCTCACCCCCTCTCTTCCTCTTCTCCCCCTCCTCCCCCAGTTTCCCCCCTTCCCCCTCCTCCCACACCCTCAACCACGCAATCTCCTCATCATCCGGCGCAACAAACAACGGCCGCATAACAGCACGTCCCCAATACATCATCGACCGCTCACTAATCTGAATCCCAGGATCATCATAAACATCCTGCAGCGCCGCGAAAAACGCCACACACTCTTCTTCGAGGCCCAGCACGCGCAGACAGCGCAGGATGCGTGTGATGCGCAGGTGGTTGTGGTCTACTCTGCGGGCCCAGTTGCGCGAGGCGCGGGGCCAGTGGGGGGCGCGTACTATGCTGTATGGGGTGGTTTCCTTGTCTGGTACTGTCGTTTCGGGTTCGTCGTTCGTGCGGTCTTGGTCTGGCTTCTCCACCTCTATCTCCGTCTCCTCACCCCCACCCTCAAGCATAAACCCATAAAACCCCAACATACGCTCAAAACTCCTCTTCAACCCACTCCTCAACTCCCCCCTCGCCCGAAACGCCAGCATAACCTCCCGATCAATGACCGGCGCCGCGAAGTTGAACGGCGAGCCCTCGGGCAGCGGGAACAGGATCTGGATGTAGTTGTGGCAGGCTTCTAGCTCGTTGTTGGGCCATGCGAGGATTTGGGACTGGGTGCGGCCGTGGCTGTCTTTGGCGCGGGTGGTGGGGTCGTAGAAGCGGATTATTAGGGGGGTGCTGGGGGACTGGGTGGCGGGTTTGGTGGGGCGCATGTTGGGGAGCTTGAGGCGCTTGGTGGTGGACATGGATCGTGTGAGAAGAGTTTGGAAGGGGGAGTGTTTGCGCTTTTGGGCTTGGAGGGTTGTGGTGGGGGTTTTGTGATGGGTTTGTCTAGTATGTCTGTTGGGGTTCTCTTTAGTAGGTGAGTGGATTTGAAAGCCTCTGCCACTTACATTCTAGAATTGACGGTTGTGAATGCGTGGTGAGATGAGGTGGCCAAAGCAGTGGTATTGCTGTGCAGCGTGTTCACACCGGAGTGATAACGGAAGATGTGTTGAATTGGATATTGAGGCTTTGCTCTAAGTAACTGTTTCGGGGCGATTGATTTGGTGTAGAGGTTCATGTCACTGGTTGTGAAAGTCGTAGGTGGTAGCAAATATGTATCTAGTCCGCAAGGGGCTAGTCTGGACCACGGCTCCAATGTTCTTTCTATTCAATGATGGAGTTATGAAGTGTTGATGACCTCTTCGTGGATATGCATGGACTTTTCGACGTTGCATGGGTACAGGAGACCTCCTGGATGGTATGCGGAAGTTCAAGGAGGGGTTGAGTGAATCGAGAACCTCCTGAGTCGTGTATAGCTTGATATCCAGCAATGATAGGTTATACGCAGCCTGTTCGACGGTGAAATAGTATTGTTTAGCCTCAAACCGGCTATCGGCCTCAACTCAAATCACAGATGTGAAACATGTATCGCAGTTCGGTAGGATGCGGCTGCGTTGCGCTACACGCGGGGTGTGACGTCAATGGCGCGTCTTGTTGAATATGCTCAATCCAGTAACATCTAGAACACAAAAGTCACAATCTCTACCAAGAATGCCATGCTAGCTAGCACTACGCCGATACCGGTATTTTCGCTGACTACAGGGAACACCGTTGAATAAACCGGTTCGGCCACGGACGCTTTCTCTGGGCGCCGGAATGACATATGTACTAGACATGGGCGGGCTGAAAAAGTCTTCGACCTCTTGTCAACTTTCTTTCTCATATTATTCTGCCCTCTCTTTGTTTTTGAACTGATATATACCCCACATTGATACGTTTGTTCCTGATAGGTACTGCATAGCTGAGCAAATACGACTTCATCATGGGTTCCGAAGGTACTTACATCCCGTGATCTGCTATCGTTAAACCCCAAAAAGATTAACACAGATATCAGAACAAACCCCCACTCCAGAGAACACCACTCTGTTCCAAGGTTTCGAGTGGAATGTCCCTGCCGATAACAAGCACTGGAAACGTCTTATCGCGCAGGTTCCCAAACTGAAGGCAATTGGAATCGACAACATCTGGCTCCCCCCAGGTTGCAAGGCTGCTTCGCCCGAGGGAAATGGATACGACATCTACGACCTGTACGACCTGGGTGAGTTTGACCAAAAGGGTCAGAGAACCACCAAATGGGGGCCAAAGGAAGACTTGCTCGAGCTTGCCAAGATCGCCAAAGAGAACGGAATCGGGCTGTACTGGGACGCAGTGTTGAACCACAAAGCCGGCGCGGACAACACCGAAAAGTGCCGCGTTGTTGAAGTCGACGCCGACGACCGCACAAAAACCGCCTCAGACCCGTATGAAATCGAGGGCTGGCTAGGTTTCGACTTCCCTGGCCGTGGCGAGAAGTACTCCGCGCAGAAATACCACTGGCAGCACTTTGGCGGGACAGACTACAACCAAGCCAACGAGCGCAAGGCTATCTACAAGATCCTCGGCGACAACAAGGGCTGGAGTGGGTCGGTTGCCGACGAGCAGGGCAACGCCGACTACATGATGTTTGCGGATATCGACTACTCGCACCCAGAAGTTCAGGAAGACGTGAAGAAGTGGGGTGTATGGATCACCAAGGAGATAGGCCTCAAGGGGTTCCGACTCGACGCGGTGCAACACTTTTCTGAACACTTCACACACAACTGGGTAGACAACCTCCGCGACCAGTGCGGCAAGGACATTTTCTGCGTAGGCGAGTACTGGTCGGGCGACGTGTCCGTCATGAACAAATGGCTCGAGGCCATGGAGCGCAAGTTCTCTCTCTTCGACTCGCCCTTACTCAACAACTTCTCCTCACTCTCCAAGACGGAAAGCGCCGATCTACGCAAAGTCTTCGACAAGACCCTCGTCCAGTCCAACCCCGTAAACGCCGTCACTGTCGTGACAAACCACGACACGCAGCCCGGCCAGACGGTCGAAACGCCAATCGAGGGCTTCTTCAAGCCCCTCGCCTACGCTCTCATCCTGCTGCGCAAGGAGGGCTACCCCTGCCCCTTTTACGGCGACCTCTACGGCCTGTTGGAGCCCCATGAGACGCCACCATCCTGCGGCGGCCAGCTCGCTGACCTAATCCTCGCGCGCAAGCTGTTCGCGTACGGCACCCAGGAGGACTACTGGGACAATGCGAACTGCATTGGTTTCGTGCGCCGCGGAACCTGGGATAAGAAAGCCGGGCTGGCGTGCGTGATGAGCAACACGGGGCCTGGTCAGATTCGCATGGCCGTGGGCGACATGCATGCTGGCGAGAAATGGACAGATGTGTTGGGCTGGGAGCAGGGCGAAGTCGAGATTGACGCAGAAGGGTACGGAATGTTCAACTGCCCGGGGACGAGCGTGTCGGTCTGGGTCAGGAGTGATGCCGAGGGGAGGAATCAGTTCCCTACTAAGTTTGATGTGGATATCTACAAGAACTAGATGGACTTGGCTGGCGGATACCAGGGTAGACTGGTTTGGTTAAATGGTAGACTTTTTTAGATAGATCACGAGGATAGAGTTTTAGACTGTGGATGAATGCTACAAAGTAATGAAACCCAGGCGTATATCACATCGGACCAAGACACCACGAATTGCCAGCTACTTGTAGTCCAACCATGGAACCTCGAATACCAATACATCGTATCAGACAGTATGGAAGCAACGATCAGCTAGTAAAGGTTTCTGTCCTACCAGTCCACGATATCGATTTGAGGCTGCCTGCTGATGTAGCAAAGACTGGGAGACGGATCCCAATGAATGCCAACATGCTCGAAACCCCTGTACTACGCCGTATGGACAAGCGTCGCGTGACGAATAACCCCGTCCAGACCATCGATATCCAGCCTCAAATTCGCCGCCTCGGACAGTTCTGCGGGTTCGAAAACTGTCTGGTCGCACACTGCTTACGCCGTGGAGTCGCTTACTCTCGAAACAACGGAAGAGAATCGCAAGTTTCCCATGGGTCACAAATCGGATAGCAAAGTGTTTTCATCATATCAATCCAGGATCTCTACGATCGGCTTCCCAGCTTTGTTCTGCACCATCGAGTCCCGGCCTGTGAACGTTCAATCAGAAATATCCCTTAATCGCAGCGCTTCTGCGCCTCTCATGCTTTCCGAGGCAGGAAAACAGGAAATAATGGACAACGAAGACGTTCAGGCTGCGTTTGCAGACATGGAGACTATCCACACAGAAATAGAGGAGATGCATCTAAGTCTTGCAGCAGCGGCGAGGTCAACATCGTCAGAGCCCTTGTGTAACGATTCCAAGCAAGCGTCGGCGTTTTACAAGTCTACTATCCAATCAATTGCGAGGCGCATATACCATTGGGAATACAAGCAGCATTTCGACCAACTTTCGTTCGATCTTCCAGCTTCGCGGCAAGTGGATCGACTCACCCCGTAATGGTAATTCTTCAAAAAAGGTTCAAAGCAGCTAAGGTCATCACGATTCACCGCTTTTCGTGACCGACGTTGATGACCCCATTTCAACTGCCCCTGTCGATGCCGAGGATACGCTCAATCAGGCCTTGGAGATGATTTATCCATAACTACGCGGCTGTATCCAAGACCGGATGCCTTCTGAGGAAGAAGGATTCATCAATGAGATGGTTGGGCGTGGAGGGCCTGCTGACATAGGTTCCATGGAAACACTCCAAGGTCAAGCCACTACTGCTTCAGTAGTGGGTAATAGAGAAGACACACCAAATGTGGCATCGCACGTTCGACCGAGCAATGTTGGCGGTACGTTTGAGGATCTTGCTTCCAGGAAGGGACACAGCTTGGTGACTCGCTCGCTGAGTGGATGGTTTGGAGATTGAGATGGATATCAGTGAATGTATGCGTTCTTGGCACAGAATTTGCAATCCCATCATCGTTTGTAATCGTGAGATTAAGTTGCATTGCTGTGTGGAGCAGAACGTAGCTTAGTTCTCGCGATTATGCAGCTTGAGCTTTTCGACAGTTAGATAACCACATGAAATTTTAAAGTAAAATCGATGAACCTTGGATGTCACTCGTATACACCTAGTCTGAAGGACTTCTTTCCACGCTATCCATCTACCGTCTGAAGCCCTACCCTTGCTATCTATCTGAGGCGACTCTTGATTACGGGTGGAAGCAGGAACCAGACTGCGGCAAAATTTCATAAAGCTAGACAAATACATCTAATGTTAGTGTAAAGGCAATGTGCCTTGAAATCGTGCAGTATGCGCCTAGCACGCCCTTGTAAAAATGTGTTGTTGGGGTTCTATAGATTGTTGGAAACCCATCTTACCACTCTAGCTATGATATACGAACCAGACGACAGTACCAAGGACATTAATCTCTGCAACCTCGTCTAAGATACTACTGATACAATCCATCACACAGCGGCAATACCTGCACTGGAAAGACGAGACATTTGCAGCGACTACGTCTCTGAGCTGAGCAAGGCCAAGCACAACGTCAGGAAGAGTTGCAACGTCTGATAATTAGCCCGCATGTACAACAAGCGCACTTTGCTGCTTGAAGTTAGTGGCGATGGTATCACCGCTCTCCGTTCTCTTTGAGTGGTTGTACGAAGCGTGGAAGAGGTTTCTGGAGGCACTGATTGAGAGAAGCCGAAGTAGATGCATTAAATACTGCTGTGCGATATGCAGAACTGCGCTGAGCCTAGAGTATACTGTCAAAAACGAGCATGTGGAGGTTGTATACGAGGACAAGGACAAGGACAAGGGAAAGGTAAGCTAAGCGGTTGCATAACTATCCAACACACCTCACAGCAGCTTTCGAACAGGCAGCCCGCAGGACCAGTTGTTTGGCTTCCAGACTACGAAGAAGCAATGTCACTTGTGGTCTCGATGTCGTTGTGTGTGCGTGTGTTTGTGGACTGAAGGACTTTCGCTGAGTTGACCGGAACACGTGGAATCAAGAGCCGGACAACTACATACCAAGTTCATGTAAAACTTGTGAGCATCAAGTGTTACGTATCATATCCTCACGCATGACCGTTTGACAGCATCAATAAAACACATCCTCCAAACAAGTCATGTGGCTGGCCGAAAAACTTGAACCGAAGCTACGTTCTTATCAACACAATACAACTCAACGGCAAGATTGAGAAATATATTTCAAGTTGGTCAGGTGTAGTTGCCCAGCTATTGTGAGATGAAACTTTTGCAAAATCTCGCTAAAGCTTGATTCCAAGTATGCCAATTGGCAGAGAGCATAGAGTTTTGGACAGTAAAGCAAAACAGACCAGGGTATCGTCTGCTGATCTTGTGGAATGCGGGCAGTTGAAACGTGCGCCCGCAAAGTATTCCCATACTCTTGTGGGTTTCCATGCTCGGATCGAATCTCGGTGCTTGGTAGCAGACTTCCAAGTACAAAGTAAAACAAAAAGATGATCCAGGTCCCTCATATGATGGAAACATGTGTACGTTTTCTTCTCGTATCTAGTTATATCAGGCCCTGCGAACTTTGCTAACTGCTACTTGCACGCCCTCCTGACGGCCATCTCAAATCAGTCTGTTGATGCTCTTGCTTCTTGATGTGGTTGCTTGAACAAATTTTAACCAAACATCCATCTTATATCGCTCGATAGGATAAGGAGAGGAATGTATACATAATACAAAGAACAAGGATCTGTCACCCCAAAGTAGAAGTTTGACACCCATCTACAAGCTGATGTCTGGGCAAAAGCATCTTCCCTCCGTTTGCAGTCCACGACAGCAGCATCCAATTCGATTGCTTGATGCGTCAGATGTTGTGTCTAGATGATCCATGCCTGACGTGCTTGATGCCCAGGATTGCGAATATCAAACAGACGATAGCAGTGGTCAGAAGAACATGGTGGTGAGAGTCTTGGTGGTGGCTGTAGCGATCTTCCGACGGCACATCGCAGCCTAAGCCGGGAGAGGGCTAGTGGCATAACCCCACCAAGGGTCTTCCCTTCCGTTATGGTAGAGTTGTGGTAAAATTGTGACATCATGTTCGCATCCCCTCACGAAAAGGAGCTCGGCAACGTCCTGTCTGCAGCCATTCTACGAATATATAGGCCGATTCGGCTGTGGGTTCCAGCCACCCAAGCCATATGCATCTCCCTACGCCACCACTCCTTGGTACGACGAACGAGAATGCACTTCGCGCGCTCCTGCCGCGCGAACAAGTCGGTTGAGTGATCCAGAATGTTTCCAGGTCCCGCAAATCCCTGTATGCTAACAGGTACTGTGGATTTGCCCATGATCGGCGCCGCGTTTGACATGCCCGGTACCTTTTCGATGGCTATAAAACTCTGCAGTTGCCCGAGTTTCTAACAGCAATTGCTCGATCGTTCAGCTTGGAATATATCTGGACCCCCTCGTTCTACTGGCGTAGAGATTTTCGTGAGGATATTTGAAAGACAGATCCCTCGACTCTACAACGACATCACATCATCATGTCTAACAAACCCATCTTTGTGGCTACTCATCCAAGAGCCTGCTCGACGGCCTTCGAGCGTGTATGTGCAGTGGTGTCAACTGCGCGCGCTGTAAACTGATTGCGTCTAGGTGTTTATGACCCGCCGGGACACGCTTCAATGTGTTCACGAGCCGTTTGGTGATGCCTACTATTTCGGACCAGAGCGTCTCGCTGAGAGATACGAGAGCGACGAGAATGCGAGAAAAGAGAGCGGATATTCCGAGAGCACATACAGGACCATCTTCGATCGGATCGCAAGAGAAAATTCAGAGGTACGCTCCCTGCTTTTGCGATTGGCACGTCTGTTGTCAAGGGTGTTCACACGACTTCATCTTTCCGCGTTCTCGTCCACTTCGTTTTCTTTAGAGTTCCGTTTTCATGTTTCCTTACAACTAAACGGTGGTTTGCAACTTTATTGCACATGACGATGTAGCATGATTATGGGGAGTTCTTACGCAAAACACTTTCCGGAGTATATCCCTACGCTACATCTCGACATTTGTGTCTTCTCTTTACTCTTCGTCGCCAACTATGGATTTCAGGGGGAAAACGCATTTTCCCATTGTTCAACTTTCAGCCATGTGCATACACGAAAAAAGATACCCACTAACACCTCCCCCAGGGAAAACGCGCTTTCATAAAAGACATGGCGCAATACTGGATCCCGCCGAACAACAAGCCCGCCACCGTCGCCCCCTCTCTATCAAACTACAAGCGCGGCGTCGGAACCGACACGACAGCCCTCTCGCCCGTCCAAACCCGCGAAGACAACAACAAGAGCGGTCCACCATACCCATACAACACGCAAGGCGAGCCTAACAACCCCTCGGTCATCCCCGCCGCCCTCCTCTCAACATACCACTTCACCTTCCTCATCCGCCACCCCAAATTCAGCATCCCGAGCTACTACCGCTGCACGATCCCGCCGCTGGACAAGATGACGGGGTTCTACAACTTCAGGCCCGATGAGGCCGGGTACGATGAGCTGAGGCGGTTCTTCGACTACTTGCGCAGCGAGGGCCAGGTTGGACCGAAGTTTGCGGGTCGCGAGCAGACTAATGGTACGGAGAGTAAGGAGCAGGGCGTGGAGATCTGCGTCGTCGATGCAGATGATATGCTGGACAACCCCGCGGGCATCATCGAGGCGTTCTGCAAGTCTACGGGTATCGAGTATGATCCTAAGATGCTGGTTTGGGACACGAAAGAGGACCAGGAGGCTGCGACTGAGGCGTTTGAGAAGTGGAGGGGCTTCCATGAGGATGCGCTTGATAGCACTGAGTTGAGGGCCAGGACGCATGTATGTTCCAACTTCCTACCCATCTGCTAGTGGAGCGTGTTTGGCTAATATCTGCACAGAAGAAAACCCCCAAGACCGATGAGCAGCTGTTTGCCGAGTGGACGGAGAAATTCGGCGATGAGGGCGCAAAGGTGATTCGCGATACGGTTGCGGCGTGCGTGGACGATTACGAGTATTTGAAGCAGTTTGCCGTCAAGGTTTAGACTAGACTAGACAGGAGACTGATGTGTTATGATGGGATGGGATGGGGGTTTGAAATATGGGTATATGAACCTCTTTTGTAGGTATGGAATAAACCATCAACATTTTATTACAATGCGGTGCAGTGCAAAGCTACTATCTGGGTCTATGCACACTGACCGGAGATTCCACAACAGAACAAACGTCGTGAACTCGCTGATTTTCGTTCAGTACAACCGACCGTACCAACCCTTTCTTATCCCCAATCACCCTCGATCCAAACATCAATAAACAATATATACAATCCCACCCTTTTAAACCCCAAATCTAATTCCAACCAAACAATAAGTATTCCGTCCCAGATCCAACTGCTCACCCACTCCCAAACCCCAGCCCCCCAGCCCACCACCCCGTCTCAACCCAATACCGATTCTCCGCCCTCGCAACCTCAACAGCACGCGTAAGTTTCCTACGATCAAGATGCAAATCCGCATGCCCATTCGTAAGCTCGCCCGGCGTACTCTTGCCCGACCTCCTCTGATTAGGGTTGGGACTCGAGTCCGTGGACGACGAAGCAGGGGACGAGGGGCGGGTGATGGGATACGCAGCTATGGGCGATGCGGGGGAGGGAATAGCGCGCAAGATACGACCAGCAGCGAAGACGCAGCCGCCGACCGCGTGGCGGATGAGCGAGTCGCCTGTCAGACTGCCTGTGATGAAGACGTCTGGGGCGACTTCGAGGGAGGCTTCTGCCTTGGCGCGGAGTGTGCGGCCGGAGATTAGGGGGGAGGGGTTGTTGTCGTCGGGGGTGGTGGTGTTGAGGATTTCGGTTTGGAGGGCGGGGGAGAGGAAGGAGAGGGTTCCGCGGCGGCCGACGACGTAGGCGAGACTGCCTGCTTGGCGGGTGGTTTGCTCGCCGGAGGGGAGGCGGATGGTGAGGGTTGCTGCGCCGGTGGTGTGTGAGATGGATAGGTCTGTTATGTCGGCGTTGGGTAGGCCTTCGTAGAGAGACCAGTCGCGCTGCTGGGACTGGGCGTATGACTTCCGTCGCCGCATGGGCGATACCGCGGTTCGACCCTTGGTGGATGCGATGGCGGCGATCTTCATCTGGCGGTAGACGGTTGCGTATTCGGGGTATGCGGTGTGGTGGCAGCCTCGCAGCGGGGACGGGCGGGTGTGAGGGGCCCATTGGAAGATGTGGATGATCCTGCGGGTTGGGGCCGCTGAGATGATCACGTCTGCGGCTGAGAAGCCTGAGCCGATGACCAGCAGAGGATGCTGAGCAGAGTCGAGCTGTGCGACTGGCAGCAGGAGGCGCGGCGGTGGGATGTTGACGGTGAAGGTGCCAGACGCGAGGACGAGGTGCCTGCAGCGTATGCCCAGCGACCTGACAACGAAGCCATCCCCGGTCCTGCACACATCCTCGACCTTAGTCCCCGTGATGATCGCCTCGCTAATGCCCACAGCCTCCGGGTATGCGCTCAGGTAGTCGGCGAACTCGGTCCTCGACGGACGCACAAAGTCGCATTGGTCCGTCTTCTCCCTCTTGGCTAGGTGGTCGGCGTACGAGTAGCCCGGCAGCGACAGTTGCTCTGCGTAGCTCAGCGTGCCAATATCCGCGCTTGCCGACACGGGATTGTCCGCCCACTGTCCGCCCGCATGCGCCGTGTCGCCAATGGCAACATGTGAGACGGCCCTCTCAGGCTCGTACCGCCACTCGATGCACGACTTGGGGTTGACCTCGGTATCCGCATTCGGCCGGATGAGCGTGTCGAGGAGCGTGTTGATGGGCAGGGCCTGCGTCGAGTAGCGCAGCGAAGAGAGGAAGTGCGCGTAGAGGTCCGGCGTCAGGTGCAGCAGGTTGGGCTGTTGCTCGAGTTTCGCGGCGAGGATGGGGTCATGGTGTCCACCCACGTAGTACGGGACGTTCCCATGCAGCATGAACGAGAGGATCAGGGCCGAAGGGCCATTGCCTGGATTAATCAGCGGCCGTCACCACCAGCGCGGACTCCCCTACGCACCGATGATCACCGTGTCGACGCATTTCGGGAGCGAGCGAGCCATGGAACGTAGCAGACGGGCGGTGCCATGTGGAGAGACGGACGAGAGGATCAACGAGCGAGTATATAGCCCCAGACTCGGACAGACATGACGGCTCTATAAATCTTTCGGCGCTAGCAAATCCAACGGTCCTTATTTCGCATCGGTGGGGTACCCAGTTGTGCCGGGACTGACCTTCCAGATTGGAAGGGTGATTCCGGGACTGGCGGATGAACTGGTCGACCAAAGGGCACGCCCTCTGCTTGGGTAATCGTTGCATTCACCGCGCAAGTCTGTGAGCGTTGCATGACCAAGCTTAGGCGTGCGAATGTTTACGTGGGATGATGAGGTCACGCTTCCCACATGCGGGGCATGCGAGGTACATCAAAAACGCTGCTGCAGGAGGGCCGTTTGGGGGAATCCAACCATTGCCATCTGCTGCCCTCAGCTCTCTGCCTGGATATCAAACTATCAACTCCCGACTACACACGCGTAAGAACAAAACAACAACTGCGATTACAAGTAGGCCCGAAATCCTCCGCCAGTTCCCCCCACACTTCGTCGGCCTGAACTCCACCCGCCTAACGCCTGACGTTTGATTTGGCATCACAATTACTAAGCAACCCTCCTAGTACCTGTACGTGACCGTGTTTCGATCCGCGACTGGCGACACATCGTGCGCTTGTTGCATCGTTGGTGGCGTGCGTGGTCGCGGAACAGGCGGGTAATCTCGTGCGTTCTCGTCATCTTCTGTAATCGAAGGCTGCGCGCCGTGCATGGTCAGATTGTTTGCAGAGCTCTCTTGGCGGTGCAGGTATGACGGCGTGGACTGGAATCCTGGGTGGTAGGGCGCCAGAGAACCTGCCTGACCGCTGGGGTTGGGATTTTGCGGGGGACCTGGGGACGGTGAAAAGGTTGTTGTGTAGTGGTCCGCAAATGGATCCTCCTCTCTTTGGGGGATTGAGGCAGCGCGTGGCTGGTATGTCGCTGCCTGAGGGGGTGGAGGACTTGTCGACTCGTCGCTCTTGTACGTTGCAGGAACCTGAGCCGGCGGTTGAGCGTAGCCTGGTTGACCGTACCCTTGCTGAGCGTAGCCCGGTTGAGCGTAACCTGGTTGGGCGTAAACTGGTGAAGAGGCATTGCTGTGTGGAGGAAGCGGTGGACTTTCATACGAGTGTGTGGGCACACCTGCCGGTACGTTGTTGCCATTAGCTTGGTTCAGAGAAGAAGGCGGCGAAGGGTTCATGAGACGGCGGGCCTGAAGCACGGCGCGTTGGTGCTTGGACGCTGCAAGTGACAGCTGCTCGTTGGTTTCGATGAGGGTAAGCATCGTGTCGTCGTCGGGCGGGGGGCTGTCGCATGCGATGTAGCCTTGGACGCTGCGCTGTGCTGTTGTACAACGCTCTGCAAACTCCTTGATCAAGTCGTTGTTCAGCAGCTCGTTCGAAGGCGTAGACTGGACGAGCTGCAGGAGGAGCTTCGCGGACGTTCGAGCTTCCTCGATGCGCCCGACTAGTTCTGCTGGAGAGGGCAGCTGCCGGGATGACGACCTGCCTGAACCCGAGCTGAAGCCGCCTTCTATGTGCTGACCATTATATTGGGGCGCGTTGAGCCTCCGGGGACCAGTCTGCTTCGCCGCATGTTCCATGAGCCCCCTCTCCTTCCTCCACATGCCGAAGAGCGTGTTCAGATTTGTGTCATATGCCTTGTCGCGCTCTAGATTATTCAGCGTCTCCTTCAAAATCTGCGACACGCTCGGGTCGCGTCCGTTCCGCAGCAGGTTCTTGACCGTGTCGGCGAACTGCTTGTCGAGGTTCTTGGTGAAGGACTCGCCCGGGTTGTCGGCGAGGATGCGGATGAGCATGACCGCGTTGTACTGGATATGGGGGCGCGAGTAGTTCTCCTTGGACAGGAACTTGCGGATTTGGGAAGCGGCGGCCGCGGCTGCAGCTGGGCTCGCAACAGCCGACTCGACGATGGTGGGCAGGTGGAGCACTTCTTCGCCCTGTGCATGTTAGCGAATGTTGCGACCAGGCTGGTAATGACCATACCGAGTTGGCGGCGGCACTTTCGCAGAACAGCCTCTGTGATGCCTCAATTAGCCGCGTTGCTCGAGCTGCCGCGACATGGCGTAACCTACAACACCGCGGGCTGCGTTCGCTTCTGGCGTGTCGGCGCTGGACTCGGCAGTGGCATCGTGGGCTGCAGCACGGCGTCAGTAGAGCATCACAGGAGATAGTTCTACGCAAGACTCACACGACCGCTTGCGCATCAAGCTGCCAAGGCCCAGGCGCTTCTTGAGCGCCATGTCTGCCGTGGTGATGTTGTTTGGATGTGCAGGGTGTGATGGCCGTGACAGTCAGCAGGTATCGTGACGTGTGCAGGAAGATGCTTCAAAACAAAACAGTCGACAAGAGGGCACAGGGCAATAAGAGAGTCGGTGAATCGCTTGGAGCTACCCTGGACTCGTAGGCCACCGACTGCGCCTCCTCGCAGCCAAGCCTTGTGCTCAGTGACAGACGTCAACCGCTACGTATGGTGTGTGGCACGTATGCATCTTCTCAGAAGCTGTTGCGCTGCACTCTCGTCAAGTGTCTTGCCTTTCGACACTGTTTACGCGTCTTGTGCCGTCAGCCCGCGAGCCAAGAGACTGGCACACTGTTGATCTTTTTCGATTTCGAGGCTTCCAGGCCTGCACCTCGGACGCCTAACCACGTGCTCTCTCTCCATCAGACCCTTCATCGGACTGGGAGAGCAGCCGACATTTGTTCTCTCTCAGACTGTCGCAGAAAACCGAGTCCGTCTCCCCGCCCCATAAAGGGTCCATGGACGGGATGCAGGGTCCTTAGTCACTGCCGCTAAATGGAGGGGTGAAGCCTGGTGCGCGTGATTCCGTCTTCTATAATTGAACAACGGCTGCTTGTGGCTGTTCACAAACGACACTGTCACGCTCAGCGCGCAGCACTCTGACCGAACTTGTGCGACAGGAGCGTCTTGACGAGAATGGCATGTGTCGATATGCAACGTCACTCCATCTACAACGATGAACCGTGTAGGCGACAGCGAAAGACCAAGACACTCTGCTGATGTCACGGGAAGCTAGCTGGCAGGCTGGACAACCCGAGCTGCGTTGCATCAAGAGATGAAGCACAGCGTGTCGCGGAGGCTGTCCTTCGAAAGATGGCTCGACTCCACCTCATCAAGGCACCAACCACTGAGCTGGCAACCCATGACATCGCCAACATTTTCCTTGCACAACCACGGCGATCTGGCGTCTCGGCAAGCGCCATCGTCTCCGCATGCAGCTGAACCAATGCATCCTTGTCGCACGTCATTCCCACGCGTCTGCCAGGACTGACAACTCAGGTCAACTGCCTGCAAGTACATCACCAATTCTGCTACCCTCACCTCGCCCCCGTCTCGTGCAAAACAATCCCCTTCTGACTTCCGCCCTCCCAGACAACCATCCACCTGCCAAGCCTACAGCTACAGTCAAAATGGGTCCCCCATCCGCAACCGCAATGGCCGGCCGGGCCTGGCAACGCTCTCAAGAATCCGAACAAGACTACGAAACTCGAACCGCTGGCCATTTCCCTGAATTCGAAGCCGATATGCCTAGGCTCTCCCACCGCTTTCAGTTCTCTCTCAAGGACAACCTTTCATCTTATCTTGGCCGTAATAATCCCTTCTTCTCCAACGTGAACCCGGAGACGGATTATGTTTGGTTGCTCGACAATACGGCATACCAGAACCGGATTGGCCGTTGGAATGCTGAATTCGTAGCTGCCTACTTCAGAAAGGGCAGTGGTAAGGACCTGTCAGAGGTCGTAGCGTGGGTCAGTGAGAAGCTAGGCCTAGCGGATGATTGCGAGGAGAGGAAGACGGTTGCAAGACGATTGACACCCTTGTTGGACTCGATTCTGCCCGCACACGCCGTCACCATCGACCTCCAAGGCGTGAATGCTAGACTTGGACCGAGTGGGCGAGACGGTATCAGTTCGGACGAGCTATCTGTGCCTGGTTCAGACTACCAAGACAATCAAATCGTCACTTCACATGCAATCAACGCCGATGCGACGTCCCTCACAACTGTTTTCGCAAAGCCAAAGGGCTGGGCCATCATCAGCGACATCGACGACACCATCAAGAAGACGCTAACCCCATCTCCCGTCGGTATTCTGCAGACCACATTCGCCGACGAACCCGAAGTAATCCAAGGCATGCCAGAGCTCTACAAGCATATGGTCACCGCCCTCTCCACCCCCGCATGGTTCTACCTCTCCGCCTCCCCCTACAACCTCTACCCCTTCCTGCACACCTTCCGCTCAACCTACTATCCGCCCGGCACCATGATCCTACGCGACGCCTCCTGGATGAACCTCGCCGGCTTCCTCGCCGACCTGACCCAGGGCACCGAGGCCTACAAAGTCGACCGCATCGAGAAAATCCACGGCTGGTTCCCCAAACGCAAATTCATCTGTATCGGCGACTCGACACAGTCGGATCCCGAGGCATACGGCGAAGCGTACCGCAAGTTCGGCAAGTGGATTGGCGCAATTTACATCAGGAAGGTCATGGGTGTTGAGGGCATGAATGAGCAGATGAAAAATGCGCCGGAGCGCTTTGAGAAGGCGTTCAAGGGCGTGCCGAGGGAGTTGTGGCATGTGTTTGAGGATCCGAAGGAGCTTTATGCGAGGGTCGATGCGCTGGTTCAGTCGTAAACCGGGTGTTGGGCGGGGTTTGTTGAGAGGGCGTTCTTGCTTGGCGTGATACCAGTGTGATGGCTGCTTTTTAGTATGGTGGTGGGTGTTTGGCGTGTTGTTTTCTTCTTTCTATATTTCGCTTCGGTGGTATGGGTAGACGATTTACTATAGTCTATATACTAGGCTGTTGTCTATCTAAGTTCAGGCGTGTAAAATACTCCTAAAGCCGAGATGATGTAGAGACAAATGAAGTTGCCTGGCACGCCGCAAATGAAAGACAATCAATCTCGCGTTCAATAAACTCCCATCCTTCAGTCTGCGCAACATCGACACAACAGATGCCCATCACCGCAACCCCATTCTAATAACCATCTCCCTAATACCTGCATCCCCCTCCCCCCAAAAATCCACACAAATCATACCCCCAACGTAATCCCACCTCCGCACGCCAAGCATCACCGCTTACCTAATCCCAACCTCATCGCATCGCATCACCACCCCAGCACAACACAACACCCTCACCCGTCTAGCTACGGCAACCCACCAACCCCCAAATACAACCCCCCACCAACCTTCAAAATGGCAGGCCACAACCCGCCCAGTACGCTCCTCACCTCTGCCCCAAACCGCGCGCAATGCCTAACTAACCAACGCCTCGCAGTGCTGCACAAAGATCCCGCGATCATAAAATGGAACAGTACGTCCCGGTTCTGAATAGCACGATACGACACGCGCGCAGACCCTCCCGGGAAAAGACAGCGCATGACTGGGCAGGACAGCACAGGACAGCACAGGACTGGGCGGGATATGGCTAACATACGCAGACATGACGACGAACCGACACAAGTACTTCCGCTGGACGCGGCACACGGCCATGATCAACATCATGTATGTGATTGTTGTGCCTGCGTTGCTGGGGACTGCGGGGTATATGACGGATGTGAGTTTGAGTTGATTACCTGCCCTGGGTTGGGGGGTGTGGATAGGGAGGGATAGGGTGCTGACTGGATGTAGGGCAAGTGGGATATGCGCGGGAAGAGGCGTGGGGATTTGGTTTCTGAGTTTTAGAGAGGGGTGAAACAAGGGGATGGGGAATCAAGGATGGGGTCGTGTGGAATGGGGAAGCATAGGTTTTGGGGTTATTTATGGGCGGTGAGATCGTGCAATGCAATGAGGCTTGCCTGAAGTTTCCAATTCACATTGTTTGCGTGCTGATGATTATTGCGACTTGAGGTGTAGTGTGGTATAATTTGACATTTCAACATTAGACACGTACAACAACACCCTATTCTACGTCCACACACCAACACGCTACCTGAAGACCTATCTACTTATTCAACATTCTATCTTTCTCTGTGGAGATCGTCGTCGATCCAAGGCCAAACACTCAAATACGCAAACCCCACGCAATGATATGCAATGCTTTCAAAACAACGCTAAGTGAACAGACAACTGCGCAGAAAGAACTCATCCCAACATATCAACCCGCTACTCAAAATACAGCAGAAGTATAGTACTCAAACAGTCACAACAACCCATCACACCTCAAGCGACTGTCTCGGCGGGTAAATAGTCCCGTACTCCCTGGGCTCGTCTTCTTCCAACAGACTCTCCATAATACTGCCCACATCTGTGTTCGTCATCGTCATGGCGTCCTCCTCGTCCAGCTTCTTGCGCATGCGCACAACCTGGACCGTAACATATACCACCAACGCGGAGCCGATGAGGAAGGCGGAAACAGCCAGGAAGGCGTTGACGGGGATGGGATTACCAGCAAACGCGCCCTTAGTCAGCGCATCAATCCCCGTCTGCGACAGATTGACCAGCCCGGAGAAGCAGATGATGGTGCCGTAGACGCGGCCGAAAGTCGCGAAGCCGAAGACTTTGGTCGCGTAGTCGGACATGGCGGAGTAGTAGAGCGGGCGCAGCAGGACGAAGAGGATGACGTTTGTGTATCCGGCCCAGAGGGCGGGGATGGAGCCGACGACGCCGATTGCGGTGATGACGAGGAGCAGGATGAGCAGGACGCCGGGCGTGCTGACGTTGTCGAGTAGCATGCCGAGGAAGGGGGTGCTGAGGACGCCGCCGAGGGGCAGCGCCCAGTCGAAGAAGTCGTTTACGCGCGTGGCGAGGTCGAGCGAGCCGAGCATGTATGTGTACTGTTCGCGGATGGTGGCGATGAAGTAGTTCATGCGCACCATTTGCAGGACTGTGAGGAGGGTTAGGAGGATGAACCACGGCGTCATCATTTGCTCCTTTGCGGTTTTGTTGTGCAGGGCGCCCCAGACACCGGATGTTTCTAGGCTGTGTTCTTGCTTCTCTTCGCGCTGCTTTCGCGTCTCCAGGTCGCCGACGAGCTGGTCCAGCTTGGTTAGTCGCTTGCGACGGCGGACGCTGCGCGTTTTTCTGCGCCTCCACACTTCCTCGTCGGGGAGATCCTCGTCTGATGTGTGCACGTCTCGGACTACCGCCTCTGCTCGCTGGATCTTCATCTCCAGCTGGGAAGTCGTCTTGTAGTTCTGGCTTGGTAGGAAAGTGAGTTGTGCAAGTACGATTGCAACAGGGACGAGAAGGTAGAAAAGGAAAAACGTCTGTGGCTTGAATCCTCGGTCAGTCGCCTCGTAGGCGAGTCTGTAGAAGAGAAAGACGGCTGCAGAAGCGTCAAAAGCGCCAGTGACGAGGGCAACAATGGAGCCGCTGTATTTCGGGAACGCGTTAGCAATCTGGAAAGACGGCAGGAACACAAAAGTGCCTCCGAGCGCAAGGAAGAAATTGCCAATTGTATAGCCGTCAAACTCATCGATCTGGAACGCAAGGCTCATGAGCACACTCCCCGTAGCCAGACACGCGCTGCCGATAAGGAGACACAGCTTCGGCCCATAGCGGTCGAGCATGGTCCCCACCAAAAGCGCAGAAACATTGGCCGTTGTAGATGCGACGGAGAAGAAAAAGTTGAGCCGCAAGTCTTGGTCGAAGCAGACCTCGACATTTTCATCCAACTCTTCCAACGTGCAGAGATCCCTGTACACGCCCTCCTTGACAAGAATAGGTTTGAGCGCCGCGAAGCCAAAAACAATACCACTGGCGAACCAACAAGCAAGAACCGTCGCAATGACCTGCGCTGTATCATGGTGTTAGTGGTATGATTTTGGTATGTCAAGGATTCGGGTCGTCGCTTACCAACACGCATCGAGGTAGAGATATTGTACGGCGTGATACCTCCATACTCTTCACCCTGGGCCGGCTCCTCCGGTTTCTTGATAGCATCATAGCTAATGACTCTCCTGACAGTTTTCCCCGCACTCAAAAAGCCCGAGCACGAGATGGCGCTCTCCAAAGAAAGCCGTCGCTCGGTCGCGTGCTCTCGGTTGATTAGTCGGTCGATCGGCGGAAGGAAGAGGTCGACGAGCGCCTCTTCACGGTCAGTACCCTCTTGCTGCGTGACATGCTGGATCAGCGACATCAAGTTCTCAGCAATTGGCGTGTCAGAAGTGAAGAAGGAGCGCGGATAGAGGTTCAACGGGCAGTGGGTTACAGCAAAACAGCGGAGTTTATAAGGCAAGAAAAGCGGGAAGGAGCGAAGGGCCGACCTTAATTTGAGTAGCTAGACCATGACCCCCGGCCGTGGGCACGAGGACAAGGTGCTAGATCGGATCGCGGGGGGTCACAAGACATGCCTTCCCACTGCTATGGAACATTCCGCTGCTGTCGTGAGTTGCGTAATGTTGTACATGGTCGGCAACGGTTGCAGCCACTACATTGTCGCTTGTGTAAAGTGCCGCCAAAACCTTCCGCAACGTTGGATTCGTCTGCATGCTAGGATCTGGTTGGTCGGATTGCTACCAGGTGCCGAAACGACGCCGATCATTGCACCTTTTTCGGTCGGGATGATCACCGTCAACACAATGCAATTGAGTAAGCGAATGGTAATCGAATCGAATATGATTTGCGTCCGGCTGGTAGTAGGTAAGCTTTAGACTTGATAAACGAGTGCACGTATCTATCTTGAAGATTGATCAGGTTATCATGAAAAAACAAAGACCCTTGTTTCGGATCGGACCGAAAGAGGAATCGCGCCGGCGAATGGTACCTGTCAGATATGTCAAGGGTCTTTCACCGCAACTCGACTATCAATCAAGATGTCTGCAATGTCCGATTCCACAAGACGCACGAATATGACTAACATCCCTGTCATGTACTCAGTCAATACATATACAATATATGCTCTTACTCCGCGTGTGATATGGCTAACTACCAATGTTGCTTAAACCTTGACATGGAATATGGCTTCACATCGAGCCTCTTCACGACCATGCCTTCAAGACCAAAATCGAGTGACAATCACATGTGATGAACGTCTTAGTCGCCATGGTGCGTGTAGTGACCCAGGTGATGCGTACAAACTCCAAAGACAATTGCGCATCCAACATTACAAAACACTGTAGCTGCAAACCACGAACCAATTAACCATTCTGTTCGAAAGACCAAACATACAACCCCAATGAGTAAATTTCTGACGTTCCAGATTTTGGATGATTCGAATCTTAATGACAACTACAAACAAGGCTTTTGCGATGAAGAAGTTGATCAAAAAGCCAGTACCTCGTCTGGGGGTACTGATGTTTGTAATTCTGCTTCTGCTGATGCCATCCTAGCAAGAACAAGGTCGTGGCTTGACGCAAAATGCTTGCAAGAGCAGGCTTCTGCCGACTGGGCGCCAGAGTTTTCTCGTGAACGCTGGTCAACTTTCCAAGAACAAGAGGGCTCAATACACGGAAGTCCAGCAATCGACACCACGATTCTCGAGCGCATACACGCCGGCCGTGGACCGCGCGATCCGTCGTATGAAGTGGATCTTCTGGCCGCTGTACGCTTGGAGCCAGTGGAGATGATCGAAGGGCCAGAGCCTGAGTATGTAAGAGAGACATACAAAGCCACAAGTAAAGTTCTTCTGGAGTGGAATCTGCATATCTCCGCAGACAAATACGATCCCGAATTGTCGAAGGCGTTGGTAGGCGTTCTCAACGAGCGGGTAAGGCTCTTTGGTGAGGTCCAAAAAGGTACTGCGAACCCGACTATCCTCAACAAGACATCGGACTCCTCGCGACAGATAATCCAGGCTCTATGTGCGCTTCGACCTGAGGTTGCTAGATTCAGCACCCTCAATCCTACCACTATTTTGTATATCCTGTGGGCGTATATCGGAAGAGCGGTCCCGGACATGGACGACGACCTGAAATACGCAACGATGAGAGTTTTGTTGGGCGAACGCTTGCTGATGTCTAGCGTAAAGAACAAACGAAGACGTGAAATGATGGAGGATGACATAAAAACATCACGACAAAGAGGGGAAATGATACGAGTACAGAGACTGGAAGAAGAGAGGAGTAAGGAGGAAAGGATACTCTGCGAAGCTGCGAAGACTGAGACTAGACAGCGAATCAAATACGCACGCAGGGGAGTGAGAGAAGAAGCCTTGCGAGAACTGCAGCAGTTGACGCTGCTGCAAGCGGCACAGAAATGGGCGTTTGGAGATAAGACGATCCCGCCATGGACCGGATTACATCAAGCATGTGCTGACGCAGATACCAACTTACGACGTACACTCTTGCAGAAGGCAGATGATCTAGATGCAAGTTGTCATGCCCTCGACGCAAATGCGGATCTGTTTCGCCGCCTACACCGTAAGGTTCTCACTCGCGCGTTGAAGTTCGTAGGGCGCGATTTGAACTGCGACGACGCAACAAGAGAGAAAGTGATCAAAGAGCGTATGAACGACCCTGACACGTTGAGAATGATGATTGAAGTCAATGCCGACTTGGCTGGTCAGAAACAGGCAGCAGGACAACTGCATGAGCAGATGGATATGGTAGAGGCGTCGCTGAACCCGTTACTCGATGCTGCAAAGGTGCAGTACCGGGCACACGACGGTCTGAGTCGAGTGTTGAATTGCGAGCAAAGTTTGAGTGTAAGTGGAGATTTCGACGCGGAGATGCAAGAGAAGTGTGGACCCGATCGAGACGAGGTAGTGCTGATGATGATGAGAGAGCTGCAAGCAACGGGGGACGAAGCGAGCGAGCTGTCAGTTGAGGATGAGGATCAGGGTGCTTCACGAGAGAATAACTCTCACTTGTAGTAATGGATGTAGTTGGTACGGAAGTAGAAACGAGCCGTGCTCGAGTATTAGCCGGTTTGTTGAACTCGCACAGCCGTGATGTTGGCGACGGTGGAATGCTCGGGTCGATTCGAGCCGAGCCGTCGACTTCTTGAGGTGACGACTGGCTGCTGGTAGAGTGATGTTAGGGAGCCAGTATGAAGTCTGTCGCAATCAGCTGTCAAGAGAAGGTTCCCTGGAACATGGTCATGACTATAGTGAAGCGGTAGAGATGGCACCAGGAACGAGCATAGCGGCCTCCACTTGGAGGAGTATTGTTGGTAAAAGGAAGAGACCGAGCAGCTGCAATTGGGTGCACGCAAGCATCTACGCGACGTAAGTGGCTCGTACGGAAGAGGGTCGGAACAGATCGGAGATCAGCCAAGGAAAAGTTTCTAGCTACCGCCCACTGACCCTCATAGATATCTGCATCCTCGCCCAGCTTCGTCAACACCACACCTCTCCACTCCCTTTTTTTTTCACCCGCGCCCATCACCCGCCGCAGCAAACATGTCGACCTCTCCTCCTCCCACCTCGACCGGCTCGTCCAAGCTCGACGCTGCCAAGGCCCAGGTCGCAGCCAGCATCGACCCCACGGCCCCTACTGGCCTTGACCTGTACTCGCGATTCGCTTTCGCTGGTGCCGTCTGCTGCGCCGTCACCCACGGCGCTCTCACACCCGTCGATGTGTATGTTTCCCCGCCCAGTCGCTGTGTCGCAAATTTTTGCGATGCGCGACAGCTCCCAGCGAATGACGTCTGAACGCCAAGCTAACGTCTCGCAGCGTCAAGACCAGGATACAACTCGACCCCGTCACATACAACACGGGTCTGATCGGTGGCTTCAAGAAGGTCATCGCCGCAGAGGGCTCTGGCGCCGTCTGGACTGGTTTCGGTCCTACCGCTGCCGGTTACTTCCTCCAGGGCGCCTTCAAGTTCGGAGGATACGAGTTCTTCAAGCAGCAGTCCATCAACTTGCTCGGTATCGAGTCTGCCTCCAACAACCGCACTGCTGTCTACCTCGCCTCTGCTGCCACAGCCGAGTTCTTCGCTGACATCGCCCTCTGCCCTCTCGAGGCCACCCGTATCCGTCTCGTGTCGGAGCCCACCTTCGCCAATGGCCTCATCGGCGGATTCAGCAAGATCCTGAAGAACGAGGGTGTCGGTGCCTTCTACTCCGGATTCGGCCCCATCCTGTTCAAGCAGTATGTGTTTTCGAGTGCCCGCCGTCCATGAAGCACCTGGCTAACAAATCCACCAGGGTCCCCTACACCATGTCCAAGTTCGTCGTCTTCGAGAAGGTCAACGAGGCCATCTACGGTGTCGTCGACAAGTCCACCACCAGCAACGGCATGCAGACCGTCTACAACCTCGGCTCCGGTGTCATCGCCGGTTTCGCCGCCGCCCTCGTCTCCCAGCCCGCTGACACCATGTTGTCCAAGATCAACAAGACCAAGGGCGCACCCGGAGAGGGCACCACCAGCCGCATCATCAAGATGGCCAAGGAGCTCGGTTTCCGCGGCTCCTACGCCGGTATTGGTGCTCGTCTGTTCATGGTTGGTACTCTGACTGCTGGTCAGTTCGCCATCTACGGCGATATCAAGAAGGCCCTGGGCGCTACAGGCGGTGTAGAAATCTCCAAGACGAAATAAGCGTATCGAGCGTGAGGAGGAGGGTGAAGCGATGATATCAGGACAGCCACGACTTTGAGTCTTTCAAGAGAGACTTTGTAATCCACGGAAAAAGTCTGTCTTTCTTGCATATATATGGCTGGCAAGGTTTATGGGTTGCTAGTTTTCTTCCCGTTTTTTTCGGTGTTCACATTTGTCTGCAGCCTTGATAGATTTTTCTGTACGTTTTGCCCAGCTAGATTTGGCCATTTTGTAACAGTACCATCGATTAGGAGACTAGCTGCACAATAGACGGAGCTCATAATGAACCTGACTTGAGGTGCTGATGTGGATTATAAACCGAAGATTCTATAATTTGTTGAAATCGTGCAATAGCTGGATAAGCACATGGTCGATTTGAGTGAAGTTTATAAGCTCTGAGTATTGTTGTATACGCCTACCAGCCTGTTTTACCTGTAGTCCTGTCAAACTTGTGGTTGATTGGCGTTGCTTTGCAGAGGTGAACATAGCTCAACCCCAGGTATTTCAGTCAATCGAGTAGAAGGGTACAGTAAATGTTCTGATAGCTAGACAATTACCATGCGAAATTCTAGTACGACATGAGTGTCTCGAGTATTGCCGGTATACGCCCACTACGCTGTTTGACTTTCAGTTTTCATTGTGTAATTGAGTTGCGTTGTTCTCTCCTTGAGTGGGTTACCATTCACTCAATCAGTTGAGATAGCAGGTACCAAACTGCAGCGCCATTTTACAACGGCTAGGCAACTACTATGCAATTCAAGTTGAAATCGAGTGATGTAAGTGTTACTGGTATGCGCCTACTTGTCATCGTCTCCCATCACGCTTTTGCTAGACGAATCATCCATCCGTTGCGTTACCCGTCACATCACACATGTCAAAAGAGTCGCTACACAACTTTTGACCCGGCTTCTCATCCAGAGCCTCAGGAGGATCACGCTCCCGAGGTTCCGTCTCACCTGACCGCAACCCGCGAGCAGCTAGGCGACAGCATCCATCTGACGATCGAAGCCGTGGCATATGAAGCCTACTTTCATCTTGTTGTATGTTTCTCGCAATCATCTGCAGTTCATGGTGGCCGCGAATTCATCCAGAGATTATTTCCAACATATCTGCCGGGTGCACAACATCTCGTTGTGCACAGGAACACCTCGCCTCGACAGCTCTGATATCCCCACCGGGCAATCGACCGTTGCGTTTGCGCCCGATGTACTGTCGGACAGCGTGTTTCTGCTGGTCTTTGCCGCACCGCATGATCCAGAGTTTGGGTGGTATTTCTACCTGGAAGTCGAGTCGGATGAGAGCGGGTTGCTGAACCTGGGAATCATCTTGCGCCAACTGGATGAAGACAAGACGTTGGCAAAGGAGGAAAGTCTGCAGATTGGAAACGAGAGACACCGGAGGTTCATGAGCTAGCTGAGCAGGTGATCTGGAAGGAATGACGCCATGACAGAATGAGATGAAATTTTCTCGTATGAATTGGAAGAGCGATGAGCAAGTTGGACCAAGCTTTCCCGCTGGGCGTAGGTGAGGTTGTGAGGTGACAGGTTGTTGCTTGGTCAGGCTTGAGAAGAAGAGCAAAATGTTGGTGTTGGGAAAGTGCAGCATTTGGAGTCCCACGTGTAGATTGGATATCGAACAACTCTTAATTATGGATCTCCTGCAATGTCAAAGTGACAACCGCCCAGACACGGCAACCCTTGGGGATTGGGAAGGCCTAGACAGTACCGGCGAACCTATGTGCGAAAGTCCTGGTCTTGTCACCAACGGGGAAAGAGTGCCCGAAACGGAGGGGCATCCGAAGGGCTAAGTCTTGTCTAGGTAGATTTTCGAATGCTGGTGGCCGACGGGAATCCGACTAGTTGTAACGTTCAATGAGGCTATCATTGAGAGTCTATGCAAACAGCATGCTAAGCCTATGTAGCGGAAGGAGCTACTGCGTCGTTCTCGTTTAACAATGGAAGTATTCATATCTTCAACGCTACTCCGACTCCGCGCGGTAAGTAAACTCTGACCAGAAGAGTGCCTAAAGCCGGAGTGTCATCGATTAGGAGAAGCGCAAGATCCAGAGCACCCCCTTGGAACCCGCAGGTCCAGATCAGTTCGCTTAGCTGATGGCTGGTTTTTCTCGACACATTTCAAACTCGTGCGTTAGCTCAAATCACAAGCTCATGGTTGAATTACCATTGTAACTTGACCATAAACTCAGATTCGCCCTCGGATCATTCGTATGTTTGTGTGATGTGATATGGCACCGATAACCTCGATCACAGTTCAGACCACTGTTCAACAAGGTCGGTACGTTGAGTTTTTCTATCAGCAACGAGAGTTCCAACACGCGGCTATTTTGACCATACATGATGATCGGTCGCGCTGCCAGACGACCCCGGTGACTTTGGATTCCCTCCGACACATTATAACAGGCACAGCTTTGCCGTAACCTCGACGAAAGGAACCCGCAGGGTGAATGCGTCTATTGCTAAACCAGGTCATCGGAACGCGCATCCCTCAGACAGTGGCTTCCTTGTCCGGGACAGCTACAGCGAGTCTGGAACAGTAAAAGGTAAGAACAAGATGGTCTTGTAAAGAAGTACTCAAGAATTTAGTTGTTCAGTGATGAAGGTTATGCATAATTGTTGACTGCTGCACAACTTCAGGTTGTGAAACTTGAAGAGCATTCGAATATCGAACAAGTGCTCCATCGCGATTGTCACCCTCATACAACGGCTGTCTTGAACGTGAAGGTTTCAATCAGTCCATCAGACGTTGTATGCTGAACTTAGCAGCTTGTGTATTCTTGTAGAATCTACAGCGGGGTTTGCAATATTAAGCATCGCCTTCCTCCGATCCAGTTCTGACTACATTCGCAGAACGGGAGACAGATCCGAGAGGGATTTTGACCAGGTGACGTCGGAGAGAAAGATACGGAGAGGTATGATAGGAAGAAGCGGAAGTGGAGCGTTGGACAGGGATTGAGTGGAGAACGGCATGTATCCAATCCATACAGGATTGACAAACAAGTCCGCTACCGTGCGGCGGATGAAAGGCCTGTACGACCGGCTTACTGCTTACGGTTATCCAGCCGCGTACTCTCGACGAACTCTAAAGAACAATCGGTCGAACGCCTGGAAGTCGGAGGTACTTTCAAATCTGCAGCCCGTCCAGAATCAATGCGAGATGTGTTTCGGTGGCTGACCTAACGACCGTTGCTGCTTTTGACTAACACTTTACAAGGAGTACTTCCGCATGACACGTACTGATCAGTAAAATGATCCGCCGCGCTACGGTGGAGCCCTAGCATCTCCATCAATAGCATCGACGCCACGCCGAGATTCCCACTAATGAGGGGATAAGATTCTTGACTAGCGCGCCTCAAAGCTTACCGCGGGGCCCCGTGGGCGAAATTGGGTTAGGGTGCATATGCGCCGAGGCGGAGCCGCATCTTGTTTTCGCGATTTCTCCTTGGGCGAGTCTTGGTCAGGTCATCGTAATAGTCGGTAGTGCGACTGTCGTATCTTGGGGTACTCCGCGATATCTGCGACGTTGCATGGTAGCTTGAGTGGGTAAATCCTTGCTGATGGATTCATACTACGTTCTCCACACCCCCATTGAGTGTGGTGCACTTCGTAACTGGGACTGGGGCAAGGGTGACGTCTGAGAAGTAATGAGTACTTAAGTACTTCGACCCGCCTGCTTCTTGTTTCGCATCCCTTGTCTTCTGCTTCTCTTTCGCACAGAAAGTGCAAGGTCATCCAAAATGTCGTCAGGCATTGTCGAGGCAAAGTCTAATGTGTCCCACGTCGACAACATTGACCCCGAAACCCAGGGGAACAATGTTCCTCACACGGAGGTCCTTTCGGACAAAGAACTCTTGGCCAATGCCTTCGAAGCTGAGAATCGCGAGCATCATATGACACTCTGGGAGGCAGTCCAGAGCCATCCTATGGCTTGCTTTTGGGCGTTCGTCTTCTGCTTCACCATTGTGAGTACTGCTTTCCTCATGCGGACATCCACGCGTGTTGCGCAGAACGATAGCTGATACCCACCAGGTCATGGAATCCTTCGACATGTTTCTGAACGGAAACTTTGTCGCGCTTACGGCTTTCAAGGAGAAGTACGGCGTTATCGTTGAAGGATCTGCCGGCAAAGCCATCCCTACCAAATGGCAGAGTGCCCTTTTCCAAGCCGGTCAATGCGGAGCCTTTGTTGGTGTCTTCTTGGCTGGCCCGATCACGAACCGTCTCGGATATCGATGGACTACACTACTGGCCCTAGTTCTCATGAACGCCACAATCTTCATCTCCTTCTTTGTGAGTAACCTGGCCTTCATTTTCAGCTCGGTAACTGACTCTACCCAAACAGGCCGATTCACTCGAGGTCCTTGTGGTTGGTCAGGCGTTTGAAGGTGTCCCTTGGGGACTATTCATTGCCAACTCCCCTGCCTACGCCAGTGAGGTTGTGCCTCTTGTCCTTCGTGGTGCCTGCACAGCTACCCTCCAATTGAGTTGGTCCATCGGAAGTATCATTGTTGCCGGCGCCACCTACAGCTACAACAAGCGCAATGACGAGTGGGCCTGGCGAGGACCTCTTGCCTTGCAGTGGGTTTTCCCCGTAAGTATCTTCTTTTCGAAATTGCATCAACATGAGCTGATTGATTTAGATCCCACTCATGGCACTTATCTTCTTCGCTCCTGAATCCCCTTGGTGGCTCATTCGCCGCGGACGTAGGGACCAAGCTCTCCGCTCTATCAAGCGCCTCGGTCACAAGAATGGCACCCAGGCGGACGCTGAGGAAACACTTGCCATGATGGAACGAACCGTTAAGATCGAAGCCCATCTAGGAGGCGAGCCTTCCCTTCTCGACCTCTTCAAGGGCACCGATCTGAGGCGAACAATGATCACCTGCTTGATCTACGCGTCCCAGAACTTTGCCGGTAACTTGATTGCCAACCAGGCAACATTCTTCTTCGAGCGTGAGTAGCTGCCTACTAGCAAGTTTTGCGCATGGATGACTGACTTTACTTTTAGAGGCTGGAATGTCGACCGAATTCTCTTTCAAGCTTAACTTGATCAACTCGTGCCTCCAACTCGTTGCCAACATGCTCTCCTGGCCGCTCAGCGCCTGGTTCGGCCGTCGCACCATTTATCTCTGGGGTACCGCTACCAACGTTACTCTGCTCTTTATACTCGGTATCTGCGCTTCTATCCCACAAACTGTGTCGACAAACTACGCCCAGGCCTGCTTGGGTATAGTCATCTCCTTCGTCTTCGCCGGCTCCCTCGGACCGATCTCATACTCCATCATCGCCGAGACATCCTCCGTCCGTCTTCGCGCTTTGAGCACTGGTGTTGGTCGTGCTGCCTACTACGTCGCCGAGATCCCCATGATCTACCTGGCCTCGCAAATGCTCAACCCGACTGGATGGAACATGGCCGGCAAGTGTGGTTACGTCTGGGGAGGTACCGCTTGCGTTTGCTTCGTCTCGGCCTACTTCTTCCTCCCTGAACTCAAGGACCGCTCTTACCGCGAACTCGACATCTTGTTCAACCGTAAGATTCCTGCGAGGCAGTTCAAGTCGACTGTCATCGACGTCCGGGATAACGAGTAAGCCTTAGTATTTGAAGGAGGCTTGAATTGATAGAAGAAATTCAGTTTAGAAGCATAATGAGGTTGAGAAGCAGAGCTGGATTGAAAGACAGAATAAGATACCCTGAGTTTGATAGCCAAAACACAACTGTTCATCACAAAGACAAGTCGTCTTTCCCTGCTCGTAGCGTGCTTGGGTGATCATGCGAGTTCCAACTCTGTTCGTGCATAGTAGTAACTTGTATATGGAGATGTAAATGATGTAACATCCCACCATTGGAGATTGCCACCTGCTTGTCCATGCTTACGATGACACCATGTCCAGTTGGCCCTTCGAAATCGTCGCAACTAGACGACGCAGAGACGGAAAAAGCGTACAACTCTATGCTGATAGAAACGAAAATGTTGAAACATGGTCTCACGGGTGGGTATAGTTAGAGTATGAGTGAATGCTCAGGGGTTCTGTTACTACAAAAACCGACGTGACGAGAAAAAGGTGTGTTCAACATGCTCACAAACACATGACACGGACATCTCACGATCGCTGTTTTTCAGAGATCTTGATGCTCTTTGATCAACGCAGATAACATGAAATAGCATGTAGTTTGAAACTGAGTTTCTAGATGTTTGATTATTAGTAACGTCAAGCAAATTACATGATAGTATCTCCAGCCAGTACTTTTCGAGCAAGGGTTCGTCGAACAGTCCGCTACCACGTCGTCATCGTTGTTCTTTCACAAGAACAGACCCAATAAGCCAGCAACAACACCAACCACGCCACTTCCCAAGACGAGAGAATTCGCAGCAGCGGCTGCAGTTGAAGTAACTGCGGCTGTAGATGCCGATCCGGAGGCACTTGCAGATCTCGACACGCTCGTCGTGCCTGTAGCCTGCGCAACACTCGTGCTTGGTCCATTGCCCGTACTTGCAACCGCGACTACTTTATTGCTACCCGTCGGTGTTGCCGACGCGCTCGCAGTCATCTTCTCAGCCCCCTTCGTGACTGTCAGGATCATGCTTCCAACGTCAGTCGCATCATATGTCTCTGTACTGCTGCCCGGGAAGTTCGCTTCACTGCCGCCCGCCGTTTCCTTGCAAATTGCGCTGCTGGCTGCTATCACACAATCTTGAGTTGCGGTGAAGTCGGTACTGGGATCGGACATGTCCATATTGTAGGTCGACGGGCCGTATACCAGGGTTTGACGGGGGAAAAGACCGCAGTCTTCTCCCTCGGGACAGGAAAGCAAGATGGTCGTCGCTGCGGAGTTGGCCGAGACAATTGAGGCTAAGAAGGAAGTCTCATCGTACCCAATGCCTGGAACGGTGATGGTTGTTGATTGAGCCAGAGCGAGGCTGAGAATGGATGAGAAAATGATTTTGGAGACCATCTTGATCTTGACGACTGGAATTTGGACAATGTTTGGAGACTGTTCTAGCGAGGAAGAGTTTGGGACTGAGGAAGGACGCGAAGAAGTAAATATTACTCTAATAGGTTGATTAAGTTGTTGTTTTGGAATGTTGGGTCAAGTGAAACTTGATTGTAATGACTGAATTGAAAATCAGAACGCTGATTGTGTCCAACAAAAACAAGCGATGGAGGTAGTTAATATAAGATTTTCCCAGCCTGTGGTTGCCTTATGCTCACGATGGTGGCGTAAATAGGGGTAGGCGAGATGCTTGTTTATTGGGTGACCATCACGCCAATTTCACTCCGCGGCTCATCCTAGCTTGCTCGTGTCAGATACTCTTCCACGCAGTAGTATTTCCGTGAGAATCTGGCATCAGTCTGCTTTCTATAATCAGAGCGCCGATAACTACAGAAGTATGAGGAATCAGGTGCTCGGATGCATGTAGTACGACGCGACCAAAGACCGCGCCTTGCTCACGTTTTGCGATTCGATGGAGCAGGTCTGCAGCTATCTTGGCACCTTACTCGCGGTGGAATCGAAACCTTAGACCGTGGTTACCGCAAGATTGTGGAGGGCGATGTCAAGCCCAAGTGAGACAAGAAGAGCTGCATTCATGTCAATATTTACCTAGCACACGACTAGCAGGATCGCTCGCACGCCCTACCAATCAAATGGAGGAGAATACACATGAGTACGAATACTTAACTATCTTGAGAAAATACTAGCTACAAATCAACAACCTATGTTGATATATTATGGTCGCGAGGTATTCAGAGGTCAAATCGCACTGTGTTTCTACCAGTTCAGCTTTGCATATGTATACTTGCGATCCAGGTCGAAAAAGCTCTGACAGGTGCGAAGTTTTGCCCGCTGGGTGCCTAAATTCATATCGTGTTCTACCCCATTGAGTAAGCTCGGCTACATAAATAGCGGGGCACCTCTGAAACCTAAGTACGCGACATTGATGTGTTTCCACTTTACGATTGAGCGTAACCTCTATTGACCGTCTCATTTAGAGCCTTGCTGATCGCCGAAGACTGCTATGGCGTCCCCCAATCCAACCGTGCAGTTCACAGGAACTTTCCGCTTCTTCGATCTGCCGCGCGAACTCCGAGACATGATCTACCACGAGGTGTGGCCCACGACCCCGGAACTCTATCAACATGTCATAGACAAAAGCCAACGACACCTTGGCTGTCAGGGATGTAGGCAAGGTCTCTTTGCAGCGTATCAGCCTAGGACACCGAGAGATCCATGTCGGAACGAGTACGCGCTTCCGTCTTGGTTGCAAGCCAGCAAAGCTTTTCTTGAAGAAGCGATGGATCAGTACTACCGAAAATGCCAATGGATGGCGAAGGTTCCCGGAGGCCACATAACTACAACCTTTCATTTCGGTAATCAGCAAGTGACCGCTCAAACTTCAGTAGATATAGTCTACAATCTGCGCAGACTCCAGAAGAACCGAAAAACGACCCGCTGTCTTTCAGAACATCCCTCTCAAGCAAGCATAGAGGTGAAGAATATATGGCCAATTAACTCGACTTTGCTGAAGAGGATGGAAAACGGTCTCCGCCAACTTGATGGCTGTAAGAGCTTGCTGATCATGTTTGGCGTCGCATTGAAGCACATCAACAGCGAAGTCACCGTGGATCTGTCTGCCTTCGAAACTACTGGGCTGGAGTTGGACAAGCTCGTAGTGGACGTACACCAATCTTGTGCGGTCGCATTTGCGGAGCGCGCGGATATGCTCTACTCTCTCCTGCAATTAGAAATCGAACGGCTAGGAACGGTCTTAGTTGGCCCGGGAAGTCGGCTGACATGCGCCAAAAATCGTCCGCTAAGTACGCACTGGAATTTTGAGGTTTTAGGACTTGGCCTAGACGGACGCTGCAACAGACTGATGTAGTGGGATATCGCCGTCGTCCGCAGTGCAGAGAAGATATCCCCACTGGAACCTCTGACTTTGCCTCCAAGACTTCTCCTCAACACTGCTGAGACGAGGAGCCAGATCCGCACACGCGACTTGACGTGCTTCAGCTCAGGCCAGAGAAGGAATCAGATGCATTCTCCGTATGGCTTGTGATGTGGCGAGGAACAATCATGTGTGGTTGGAAAAGCTCCAGAGCCTCTCCATGAGGTTGTGTAAGATTCAGAAGATCGATTAGGTGGAACACGCATGGAAATGTCAGCCTGAGTTGGGGTGGCACATCGTACATATTCATCAACCGGTGTTCCAAAAGCTAGAGCAATACTGAATTGACCTCGACTACCCATAGCCTTTGTGCAAAATACACGGACATAGGTATTATTGTTCCATCTGAGATAGCCCACAACGTGAGATTGAGCCATGTCTTGTCATTGGTTTTGTGGGACCATGTCGAGGCGGTTTTGTCGATGATCGCGTACTGACCGAATGGCGGCAAGCATAAGGGAGGTCTTTCATTTTCCCTTGGCCCCGGAACCTTCATGTTTGTCATCTGCATCGCGTAGTAGAGGCCGTGACTTGAACGAATGCAGCGAGGTTAGATCCGAGGTTCCACAATAGCAGAGTATCATGAGTTCATACCATCAAAAGTTATCACCTTGAGATGTGTGAAGCCTCCATTCATCAGTCCATGGTAAAGGCCTGTAAGTGCTGTAGTCCGCAAGGATGGCCTCATGAAGGTAGACGAAAAAGTGGCTTCTCGCCTCGGCGTGCACGCCACTTATTAGTGGAACGAAAGAGATCCAAGCAACCAACGAGCACCCAGCTCCACGACTTTACAAATGTTTCCGTCACTTCCCAACCACTCGGGTCCCAAGGATCGCTCCAAACAAGTATTCCCAGGTCGCGTAGAGCATGGCAGAGTTCCTCCTCATCAAAGGCATCGAATCCTCGACGGAATATGTTGTTTCGCATCTCAGGAACAGGAAGCAAATCGATCCAGGGATGGTGTAATGATGCACACTGAAGATCAGTCGGTCGTAATCCGGCTGGCAGTCGTGCTACAAGCGATTTCGATTCCTCGGCTTCATGAAAACCAGGCAAGTTGAAGGGAGACGTAGCCTCGTCACTCATCTGTTCAGACGAGATACCTAGGACCTCTATATTCGCCAACAAAGCCCTGGTGAAATTGAATCGCGACAAGCTCGGCAAAAGCGTTGTTAGTGGCATGCGGGCTTGCCAGTATTGATACGCAAGAGCCTCAAAGTCCTGTAGAACTTTTCGGTTATACTCTGATTTAGGGTTGAGTATATTGACACATTTGAGAGCTTCCGTTATTGCTTCAATCTCCGAGTCTGCGGGACTTTGCGGTGGTGTGATAAGAGGCAAAGTTGAAGTCGTCTGAATCGGTACAGGCTGTTCACGTTTTGAGATGGCAACGGCGCCACATTCTACCTCAGTCCGCTTTCTTGATCCTACCAGACGTTAGTTGGTTTAGATCAGTCGTGAAACAAATGTGGTGGCGCACTGTGCATGCGCTGATTGCGACGGTTTTGAATTTTTCTCCTTCTCTTTGTGTCCGATATGCCCGACCAGTCGTCTTCATCTCTCACCCACATATCCGCAACTGTAGTTCGTTGTGAAGCGAGAACGTTCGAGTTCGCCATAGGCAACCCTAGTTTCGGCTTCGGTCTAACTTGATGAAACATGACAATAACACGACACGAGCTTTCTTGATGTTGACTACCTGCAGCAACTAGAATAGCACAGATGCAGATGGATGACAGAGAGGGTCGCCGGGGATAGTTATGCGAATCGTTTCCTTTTCCTCCTCGTTCCTCGCGGGGTTGTGGCGATCGACTAGGTCCTCTCCGTGCCAAGAGCACGCTTATGCAGCAGTCATCAACCTGCATTAGTGAAAGTAGCGGATTCAAAAGACGTGCCGATGTTTACCCGTGTCGCACGTACAAAGTCTTAACTAAAGTCCATGATAAGCTAGGATGACGTCCAGCCCGGGCACATTAGTGTGCGGGCGCAGCCGGAGTTGCCGGATACACTCGCAGACAAAAGACGATGCAGTGATGGTACTGGCTCGGCTAATCCTGCACCTGGCCGGTAGGATGCAAAACTACCTAGATTCCCCAGCAATCGCACCGAGACCGTAAAATTTCTGCACTCCGTGGCAGAGGCACATACCATCTCTATCTACTTGCAACTGTTATCGTCTGCAGCTGAGTAGACCGCTCATCCTCTCGGTGTGGGAACCTCATGGATGTGTTGTAGGATACTGAATGTCTGTTGTCTACTCTTTCATCGAAACGCCTCTTTGCGTACCTGCTTCGGCTTGCATGATTAGGTCATAAGGTTGGCTGCAGGTGTGAAACAGCCACAGTTCTATCCTCTATAGGCATGAGCTACCAAGGTTTACTTGCAGCGCGTTATGACCAGAAAGTAGTGAATGTGGATGGTCATTAATTTGGCGCGCTAATGCAGCTAATAGCTGGTGGATTGGATCTAGGTTCATCCGGGGTCTGTTCTTCGTTGGACTACATGCCCGACTCACCAAGCACAGACTTGGCGGATCTTAATATGCATAGCTTCACTCATCAATTCTTCATATTAGACACGTACTTGGCTCACGTCACTATGTGGAGAGGTATGCCGTGCTACCTCCGGGTAATGCCATCCACCAATTCATTCGTATTCGAAACGGATTGATGGACGAACTGATAGTATACATGAGCCGATGCTCGAACGTTGTATCTCTCCTGGGATATATAACCGGCCATGATCCCCCATCAAATTACTCAATCAACCGCCTCCATTCACTTCTTCTACTGCTATTGCGGTGCTCTGTTAAACAACTGAGCTGTTCAAGAACATCCCCAAACTTGTTCTTGTTGCCTCCGGCACGGTCATAGAACACTGTTCTTTAACATGTACCTGCCAAATCTTCGACAATTGCCTGTGTGGCTACTCACCTTGAGTATTGGCACATACGCATATCAGAACGACACCATCTCGTCAAACTGCCAAGATGCTGTAAGTACCAGAGTGATGGCCACATTGAACTAGTGGGGGTTTGTTTTCAACATACTGACTTCGCTCAGTGCCGGCAGCTGCAAGGCAAATTCGGTGCGGCATCTGTACACTATTACGCACAAGACAATTTCACCATCTGGGATGGTAAGCAACAGGAAGTCCAGTACGCCTGTCGCTTCCAGCCTGCCAACACAGCTGAGGTTGCTTCTGGTCTTCGTATTCTCACCGACACCTGGTGCAATTTTGCCGTAAAGTGTGGTGGCCATTCCCGCCACGCTGACTTCTCGAACTCGGTAGGAGGAGTGACAATCGACCTGAGAAGGATGAACAGCGTTCAGCTGGCAGCTGACCAAACACGTGCACGCGTCGGTGGTGGAGCTGTCACAGCGGAAATCTTCGCTGCTCTGGAACCTCGCAATGTGTCCTTTGTTGGTGGGCGTGTAGGTAGCGTTGGTTTAGGTGGCTTCGCTACTGGAGGAGGCACTTCACCACTTACGCCTCGATGGGGATGGGCGTTAGACAACGTCTTTGAGTATGAAGTGAGTAGCCGCTTCCATACTCTATAACTCTCACATGCTGACTCGGAGTAGCTTGTCTTGCCGAACGCTACGATAGTGGTTGTAAACGATCAACAAAATCCCGACCTCTACTGGGCTCTCCGCGGCGCCGGTGGCGGAAACTTTGGCATCGTCACTTCATTCGAAGTGCGGACATTTCCACAAGGACCGATATATGCGGCAGCCCGGACCTGGAACGCAACCTACGTAGAGAAGGCTGTGGATGAAATCTATAATCTGTACACGGCCCACGACGCCAACGCGGACATATCCATGGAATACTTCTACGGCTATGTCCAAAGTACCGATTCATACGTGCTGACTTCCACTCTGCGGCACTTTGACCCAGTTACCAGACCTCGCGTCTTTGATGCTATCAATAGTGTTCCCGCTGTTACGGCATCTGATCAAAACGTCACCTTGGGTACTCTCGCAGGACCTGGCACTATACCTGCTAGTCCTCCTCCTTCAAGGTAAGAAATTGAAGCCAACATTCTCGTGTATTTCCCTTCTAACAAGAAACAGACATTTGTTCCAGGCTACATCCAATCATCCATCTCGTGAGTGGGTACAGGAATCACTTCGGATATTCCGAGAGCAAACAGAACCCTTCAAGACCATTGAAGGACTGAACCCGAGACTCATCACCTACCCGATCTCATCAGCTGCTATTCGTGCCATGTCCGATCGAGGAGGAAATGCTCTTGGGCTAAACGACATCAAAGGGCCATTATTTAGTAAGCCCTCCTTTGGTCACTGATTTCCTAATTATCGTTGGTACTAACTACTACTGTAGTGACTCTTTTGAGCACTGCTTATACTTCGCCAGCGGATGATGCACGCGTTGGTGAGTTTTACGACAAAGTATTCGAGGGATTGGAAAACGCTGCCAAACGCCTGGACGTATACCACCCTTACAAGTACATCGGGTACGGCCGACTGGGTGAGGACATCTTTGCAAGATACGGGGCGGACAATCACGCAAAGTTGGTTCAGATTCAAAAGAGTGTCGACTCTCAGGGTGTCTTTACTGCTGGCGGTCTATGCCACGGTGGATTCAAAGTTCGCTGAAGATTTGTTTCGTTGTAAAAAATGGTGGTACTCTGAGAGTAATAGTTATGAGCAAGTAGCTTTTGTGTTTACTTGAATCTCATCGACAACTTTGAACTCTTGCATAATTTATTTCATATTCGTGCATCATTGTCATAATGATGACAAAAATTCACAACTACCATTTTTATCCGCCCTCTAGATACAGGAGATTGAGTTGGCGTTGCTTATGAGGTATATTTTACCCGAGTTGTTATTACATGTCAGAAATTCTGTCGGAAATTCTATCTATTCTCTTCTGTCGGGGATACGCTCGGATACACTATTAGAGATCACCAAACCTCGTGCCACACCTCTGTGAACACGTTGGTTGATGCATATGAGCGAAGAGAAGATGTATAAGAACCACCTTCATAAAGACCCTAGTTGTGCTGTAAGATGAAAATGCTAGACGTCAGGAGCCTGAGAACTCATCACGAAATGAACGAATATCAAATTGGGTAGTATCTTGGGGCGCCGCAACACCGAGGCCGATGAGTAGCCAAGTTGGTGCAATTTAAGTATAGGTGGGAACACCTCAATAAACTTTGTGTCCGTTCGACACAAAAACTACACTGACGGTAGACGCAGCAAGGTTTTCCACTTCGGACTGATAACCAACCCCCACCCCCCAAAAGCCAGTGATAGACCCGTGAACAGAATCAGTGGTCCGTACGTCGTTCCGTACCCAAAATGTCCCATCGAATCTGTGCTTCCCGCCTTGATCAGAGGTACACTGACAAGCCCACCCGCGACATATCCAACGCCTCTTGCACCATTCAGTAAGCCATAAAGAATTCCACTGTCAATCGCCTCGTTTTCTTCCGCAGCATCGTGTTCAAGATTTTTCATGATGCCTCCCCAAGTCGCACTATAGCCGCTAGCAAAGAAGCCAAACGTGAGGGCAAACAGTACCAACAAGGCTATATCACCTCGTGCAGCTAATCCCCAAAAGAGAAACGCAGCCAGGGCGGAGCTGATAGCAGATATCCCAGTCACAGTTGAAGCTGAGAGCTGAAAGTGTTTGTTGTCGCTCAAAAACCCGAAGAAGGTCGATGAGCATATGCCTGGAATATTGATCAGAGTAAGAAGAAGCGTTGAAAACGTCGGAGATAGGGCCGAGACGTTGCGGGCATATTCGCTCAAATATGTCTGCGGGATACCGTATCCAGCGCTCTGGAGTAGAGTCGCGATGCTGTAGACCCAGAAGGTCTGGTATTTGAGGAAGTGCCAGGGGATCTTTCGCTCTCGAGTGCTTATTGCTATGCTAGAGTAAGGTGTTTGTATCATGAAGATACAGAAAATAGCTGTTCCGACCGAAATGCCCGCCCATGCAACTAGGGTAGTACGAAAACCATAACGGTCAAGGAGTCCGCGGAATATGAATGGACAAACGGATCCTACGATATTTTTGGAGGACAAGCAGATTCCATACGCTATGGCACGATTGCAGATGCGATTCTCAGTGTTGAACCATTCTCCCAGAGATAGCGTTGTCGGACTGTAGATGAGTGCGCATCCTAACGCTGCAAGTACTCCCTGTGTCGCAACAAGATGCCAAACGTGCTTGCTTAACGAGGATAAGACGAAGCCGGAACACGCGAGTAAGGCGCCGACAACCGCTGCAACCTGGCGATAACGGGCCCACCGACTGGTGAACAAAGCAAACAGGAAAGGCATGGACAGGTACATAACACCGTTAGACGTCGTGCCAATGATACCAGTGAGTTTGCGATCGCCTTGCAGCATCCAGTGGTCGACGTAGTATTCCTGCATGACGCCGTAGCTCATGGCAAAACCTATGGTTTGTGAGGACAGTTCTGAGCCGACAAGAGATTTCAAGTACCCCATATCGGAAGCTGTAGCAGGGCGGAGCCTACAAGAGCAAAAGCTCTGTCTTTGTCTGACTCCCGATGCCTCCGAGCTTGTTCGCGACCAATAGATTCATGCTCGTTTGAGTGTGACGACAGAGGTTCGTGCAGAGGTATGACATTCGTCTCATCGCGGAGTGACATCGTGAATCACTGGAACGGATATCGTTGGGTGGACAACTCTTGTTCCAAATCACAGAATGACCATTGGTAACAGACGGAGGTTGCCAAGTAAAGAGTGTCATGATCAGGACGATCATCCACCAGCGGTCACAAGGCGCGCATAAGCTAATCCAGGCCAGGCAAAGTGTCGCGTGTCAGCATCATACCCCGCATCTACCCTTCCTTGGTTGCGCTGTCATCACATCAACTCACTACAGATTGCAACTTGAAATGAAAAGAGAAAGAATATGGAAAAATAAACTCCAAACGCTTGCGCTGGGCACCAAATCTATATATACAAACATTCTAGCGCGCTCGCTGAAAAGAGACAGGAACATTATGTATCAAAGCACGCACTACACTATCAAACGCTGAGCATCGCTCAAGCATCAACTTCTTCCGCCGTCACAAGCGCCATCTTCAAACTCCTCTCCCTTTCCAAGAAAAGCTGCTGCTCGCTCCTGCTCTTTCCTACATCCACAAAAAGGTATAACCATGCGCAACTCACCAAGCTCAGCGCGAACAAGAAGTAAAACGGACTGCTGTTGTTGCCCGTCCTATCAATGATTGCGCTGCTCACCAACGGTCCAATAAATGCGCTCGTTTTGCCAACAATCGAAAAAAGACTGAAAAACAGAAACTCCTTGCCTCGCGGCGTAACCTCGCTTATCATGGTCTGTGAGTAACTGTACCATGGACAAACAAGGAGTCCATAGAACGCTTGGTAGACCCAGACTTCCCATCTCTTGTGGAAACCAAAAGACTGCGTCCAGATACCAATCATACCCCAGCCGTCGAGGAGGACAATGCACACAGCGATAACCATGAACATGGTTTTGGTGGAGAGTCCATAATGCTTCTGGATGCGCCAGAAGGCGCCGATACCGACAGCTTGCGCGGCAATACCTACGATCAGGAGGTATGTCAATTCTAGACTGTTGTATGCGACAATTTCGTTCTGGAGAGTGCCAATGACAGTTACGGTAGTGTTGAGACTGTCGCCAAGAAGAAAGTACCCGATCAAATAGGCCAGACTTTGACGCAGCTGCCAGATCTGAGTAAGGGCGTATTTCAGCTGCTTGATACCTGCGAGCACAATGTTGGTTTTTCCCGGATCCTGGCCAGGCCGTCTCTTTTCAAGAACAAACCAGGGAATAGCACATAGAATCCAGACTCCGGTTGCAAAGGCGATGAGTACGGAAAGCCCCCAGTTGTTGTTCGCCTCGCTATCGTTCACGTGCAGACTGAACATGATACCTACAATAACCGCTAGGATAAGCACTTCGAAAACCGATTGGACATAAAAGGCAGTATTAGAAAGTTCGTTTCTCTTCATCATGTCTGCAAAGTCGTACTCTGCACGAGTAATTGTTCCATCGGTGAACTCTTGAGCTTTGATTCGTAGCTCCTGAGTGTTTCTGGCTAGGGCAGGGAATGCGGCCGTCCAAAATGTGATGGTAGTTTGATATGCAATGAGACCGACGATGTATCTGTAAAATTCAGCGAATGTCGGACGCATGTTTCACGCAGAGTCACTGACAGGCCTACGCCGATATGCCAGTCTTCCTGGGTGTGAACGCCCAGCCAGCCAAAGCTAATGCCGAAAGCGATAATAGAGAGGCCGATGAGAATGTTGGGGCGCCATGTTCCGAAATCCGCGAAAGAGCCGAGGATAAGGAAAACAACGATTTGGATCGCAAAGCTGATACCATTGCACAACAGAACGATACTATTGACGGTCCTGGTTCTGCCCATGAAGGAAAGCGTCTCAGAGTCACCAGCGGCCTGGTACATAAGGTTTTGGAAAGCGGTCGGGCCAAAGTTGAAGAGCGTGAGCCCATTGTCGCCGACATAGTAGCTACACAAGTCAGATTGGAATTAACAGCTGCAAACGCTACAGCTCACGATCATCACCGAGAACGACGGCCACATACCAATAATACGCCCAGATCTCCTTCTTCGTCGTCTCGAACTTCTCGTCGAACTGGTCCGGCGCAATAGGCACATCGTCATCAGAAAGGCCTACGGCACCTTTGGTAGGATCTTCAGCCAGCGCGCCAAGTGGCGCGAGTCCCGGGTCGTTTGCTGCCATGCCAATGTTTCGGGGGGGATGGAACGGCCTTGGAGGTCTTGGGGGACATGCAGCCTATTTGATCAATGGCTCAGGTAAGAGACTGCTGGTATACGCGCTTGCAAACGCTCCGACCGCGTCTATTGGTGGTCTCGATGCTCTGTGCGTATCACACGTGATCGGAGATAGCGGACATCGGCCCGCTATCTTGTACAACGATCCGGCCGACGGATACGGTCCGTCAACAATCCGCCACCCTCATAGTTAATGGGATATTCTGAAAGCCAAGAAACCGTTCTGATAATGAATCTATGGTTCGGTGTGCCAGCTGTTGGTGGTTGAGATGCAGCCAACCCCGTCAACAACTTGCAATCCTCGAGAAAAGAACGTCGGCAAATGAGGATTTTGGATGAAACGATGGCGGAGAAACGCCACATTTTGATCATCGGGGCCGGGTCAGTTATACTATGATTTGCAATAACATCGCTGACGAACATAGCGTCTCTGGCATTTTACTAGGTAAGCTAGAGCGTTGTCACAGGACGCGATGATCACAGAAACTCAAATTTTATTCCCTAGCACATCACTTCAAAAAGTACTTGTCACACGCCTACACATTCCAGATTGTGGAAAAGAACCATGATGTCGGAGGTACATGGCTGGAGAATACGTATCCAGGTATTTAACAAGATAAATGTGACTTGAATCAAAGACAACTAAATTCGTCAGGTTGTGCGTGCGATGTGCCAAGCGACATCTATCAATATTCCTTTGCACCAACGAAGAACTGGTCCACCTTGTTCGTGCTCAATCTCAGGCTTATTCAGATCAAGGCTAATGAAGGACTCGATTCGCAGATTCGCGTCTTCTGGAGAGATTCAAAAGTATCTTTCGCAAGTGGTCAATCATTTTAATTTGCGGGAACGCGTCGAGTTTTGCACGTCGGTAAAAAGATGTGCATGGGACGAGCACAAACGCAAGTGGATGGTTGACACAGAATGCAACGGCATTCTCACCACTGGAAGAGAGGCTGACTTCTTGATTAATGCTTCTGGGATCTTGAACCACTATCAGTACCCTGATATTCGTGGTCTAGATAGCTACAAAGGTCTTTTGATACATACAGCAAACTGGGATCATTCAGTTGATTTAACAGGAAAGAGAGTAAGTGTCATTGGAGCAGGAGCAAGCGCTGTACAAGTTGTACCACAGATCCAACCCTTGGTGAAACAGCTCTCGGTATACATTCGAACCCCATCATGGATCACAACACTACCCGAAAGTTTTCAAGAACTCGGAAGCGCCGCGGACACCTCCGACGATGAATATTTGCAGCGCTGCAAGGATTTTGAAAGCTATTACAACATGCTCTTTCCTGTCTTCCACAAAGACTCTTCAACGCAGAAGCAGAAGCGCCAGGAAATGGCATCGTGGATGGAAGACCGCATCGCGGATCCTGTGTTGCGCGAGAAGCTTATACCGAACTACGAACTAGGCTGTCGCAGGATCAGTCCAGGAGAACCGTTCCTTCGCATCCTTCAAGAGTCAAACGTCAAATGCATATTCAATCCTATCGCATCGTGCGAGCCCGAGGGCCTCAAAACGCAGGACGGGATTGAAGCATCCGATGTTATCATAGCCGCGACCGGCTTCAACACCTCGTTTCGTCCGCGGTTTCCATTACTCGGTCGTAACAACATCGATCTGCGAGATCTCTGGAGAGATGATCCGGCGTCGTACTTGGGTCTTGGGTGCGCCGGATTCCCGAATTATCTATCGATGCTCGGCCCTAACTGCCCGGTCGCAAACGGCAGCTTGATAGGTAGGCACCAAGCTTGATCCAATACACAGTTTTCCAGGCTGATAGTTTCGCAGGTAGCCTCGAAGCAATGGCAGATTTTGTCGTTCGCCTTCTTAAGCGTGTCGATAGTTTCGGTGTCGCCACATTTGACCCAGACAAAGGTGCCCAGGATGACTTCAATAATCAGGTTGAAGAGTTCATGAAAGACGCTGTGTGGACGGGGAACTGCTCGAGTTGGTGTATGTCTGCCTTTTTTCCTCATGTTGTTTCCCTCGTGGCCCTCCCAGAGAAGATATGGGCTTTCCTACTAACGTACAACGATGACAGATAAACGCGGGTATAATGGGAAAGTGACTGCTGTCTGGCCAGGAAGTAGCCTGCACTACAGAGAGGTATTGGAGCAGGATCGCTGGGAAGACTGGCATTGGACCTATCTTGGTGGAAGGTATAGGATGTGGGGTAAGGGACAGTCGGCTGTTGAAAGTGCAGATGGTGATCATAGCCATTATCTGAAACACGGGCCGCTGTTGCCGGAACCTTCGAGCAGTAGTAAGTGCCATCGCAAGGATTCAAAAGATGACATAGGCAACGACGTACGCAATGGGCACAGTAGCATCTTGAGCTCCGGACAAGGCGACAAGTTGAGCGACAACATCGGCGAAAGGATTGGCAGCGGATTGACGAGTGTGTAATGGTCCTTATGAGGTAGATCACTTAATGTTTCATAACATTTCCACGTTTATTCAATGATAGTCCAGATGTGCTTTATGCGTCGACACCATCTATGTGAGATGAAAGGTTACAGGAGAACCCGCTGCTCCGCGATCGCCCACTAACTCAGCATCTCACTTGCTAGAGGAATCAACCAATTATCCCATCTTCTCGAGTGCCCGTGTTCACATTATGAGATTAGCACGTGACCTATTACGTAACTGCTAACTCAGCGGGCTGCCTATTGCCCGCCCGTTGCCCCACGATTGCCCACCGACTCAGTATCTTACTTATTAGAGGAAATCAGCCTATTATCTAATCTTTCCTGTGTGCCTGTTCCAGGAGCTCATACAACGTTCGATTACCATCATTGTTCGCGTCGCATTTGACTACGACCCATCTCTATTATCTCTAGGCCATTCGCATACGCTTTTCTCCCCGCTGTTGTATCGGGCGTCTACCACCAAACCGAGCACATTCGTGTCATATCAAAACCTTCCTCCCGCTCCATTTATCGAAGCAGACCCACCTTTAGATCCGGTTCGGGCTTGCAAACAACAATGTCGAATAATATCCCTTTCGCAACTCCGCCGGCAGTAGCACAATGGGGTTGCACTATCACATATAAAGACTATAACAACATGCTGAAAGGCTATAAACCGCGAGTTATGGAGGACAAGTGGTTAATTGAAACTAACGCGCCTGACGACGCGCAAGGCATCACCGTCCACATCTACTTTGGATGGACATCTCGTGAGGAAATTTCGCTTGATATCGCCGCTGGCGATCCAACCAAAACTGAGGCAAAAGACTGGGCCACAATTGTTAAGATCTCCTGGAAAGCACAGCGAGCAGGTGGATCAAAGGTCTCTGAAAAAGAGGCTAAGACCATGGCTATTAGTTTATTCAATAATCTAATGGGTTGCGAAGTAGAGGACGAGGACGAGGATGAGGACGGGAACGAAGATGAATAATTGCGGATGTTAGATAAATATGCATCGACACAATCTGTGTGAGATGGCGGGTTACACATCTACACAAAACGCATACGTCACCCCCAAATGATGAAGAGCGTATTGAACACAACAAATTTCAAGATACGGGCGCCATAAGGTGATCTAGGGTTCCGGCAGGACTCCCTCCCTCTACAAGAACTTCTGGGTCTTATGAACATGAAGTCTAGACAACGGGTTATTCGTTCGAGAATTGATATCGTTTCAGCTGTCAGAAACTAGATTTTTCAGCAAATAACAAGCAGCGTCGCACAAACGTACAGTGTCAAAATGTCTCTTAAGAAACCATCCTTTGGAATAGCGCATCACAGCATTTCACGTTTCTCTGGAGATACATGTGCAAGATGGTAAGCAAAGTAAAATGAAAGTAGGCCTACTGCATGATTCGCTAGCTTGAATTGTGTGAAATTAATGCGCAGGAGGTGGGCTTATCTGCGCACAAGTATTCATTTATCACTTTACGTCGTTTGTCAGGATGAGATACTTCATTGTTGATTGCCGAAAAGTCTCTTCCATATAATATCACAGTTGCGACTTCTCTAGCGTCGTGAACTCTCGCCTTGCCGGACCACCGCGACTTCCATCGCCATGGAAGGTGTCCTCCTTGTTTTTGTATTCAGTTCTGAAGCGCCATTTTTGAGCGAGATCGCGCGGCAGAGAGTTTTCAAATCCTTGCACTATATATTTACCAAGCACGGGTAGGAACTTGAACGCACTTTCAGGCTGTCAGTAAGTGTGTTTGCGCGCGCGTGGTGTAGTAGACTTACTGGCCACTGCCGGCTGTGGCAAGGAATAGGTTCGAGTGGTCCGGATGGTAGTCGATGATAAAGTCGCCTGATGGAGTGTCGTTGTACCAGCAGACAGCTACACGCTCGAATTTTCGATTTGCCAACGCAGGTAGAGTTATTTGAAGACCAGCGCGTAACCTAGCAATGCCATCATTTGGGGCGAAGTTTGTACGTCTGCTTCGAACTGTTGTTGGAGGTAAGGAAAGGTCGTCTTTGTCTGTCGTTCTTGTGTAACCCCAGCCATGTACTGCGATCTTCAACAACCCGGTCTCTTCGTGGGGTGGAAAGGAGAACCAGCCAGAATCGTAATCGATATATAGGGGCAGGCTCTTGAGGGCCGTTACCTCTGCAGCAGTCAGCTTGATAAAAGCTAGTACTTGTGCAGTAGCAATTGTCGAGTTGTACATAGGAGCCAGCTTTGATGACCAAGCACCGGCAGAGAGGATGAAGTAATCTCCTTGTACATCATGTCCGCTCGCCGTTTTTGCCGCAAGGATTTTGTCAGTCATTTTGTCTTTTTGAAAAGCTACAACGGTACCTTGTGTGCCGCATATGAAAGATACTCCGCCCGCAATGCATTGATCACGTAGAAATGCAATCGCTTTTTGAGCATCAGCCCATCCTGAACTTCGATTGCAATACCCGTACAACTCTGACTGAAGTTTGTCACCGTACAGCATCGGAAACATATTTTTGATGGTTTCCTGGTCCGGCAATTGTTCCCAAGGGAGACCTAAACTGTCGAGTACATCTTTACATTTGTCGACGTGGGATCTTCCGTACGCTTTGCTAGCGATAAATGCGTTTGCACTAGGAAAGAATATGCCCTGGAACTCCGGAGCAGAATGCCAGACATCGTACGCTTCCTTCGCGATCTTGGCATAAACTGCATCTCTGTAATCGAATCGTATTACCCGGGAGATGTCTACACTGGAGCCATCGGGGACCTTGATTGGGATCAGCTTTTTTCACTTGTCTTGAACAAAAGTACGGACTGGAGGTACATGACGATCCAGAATCGCGATGTTCTTGTACCCTTTGCGGGTCAGTTCAAGTGCTGCCGACAGGCCAAACACGCCCGCCCCGACTATGATAATACGACTGCTCGTGTGCATGATGAGGTTCCGGTTCTACTCATGTATCGATTGAAGGGTCCCTTTCTGTATAAGAGAAAGAAATCCTTGACAAAACATACATTGATTGTTATGCAGGCCCTGAAAGCGGATGCGGCACGGAGATGTTGGAAGAGGCGGAAACGGATGCGGGATTGATGCGGGATTAATGCCGGCGCTAAAGGTGCCAGTCGACACTGTATTCCCGCCTTTCCTTGACATCGATCCGCGCACAACAGCAAAAGTAGCTTCGCATCATCGAGAATACAGGCACCATGGCTACTACATGGCCGGAGCAGTACACCCTCCCCAAGACTACCAACGTTCCAAACAGTATCCTGCCAGCTCTAATCTACCGAAATGTTCTCCCGGCCTCTATAAATTCTGAGCTCGCGAAGCAATTTTGCGAGAATAACGACTGGGAAAAAAGAGTGAGCTGAGACAGCCTCTTCGGCAAAGAATAGCACTTGAACTCACGCTGACGTCGAATCAGGGCGAGTGGGGAGAGATAAAGATACCACATTTTCATCCAAATACTCATGAATGTTATGGTACGAATGAGAATGCTAGAATCACGTTTCCTGATCTAATTGCAATCCTGCAGCCATAATTCGAGGAACTTCACGTCTAGCTCTTGGGCGAGCTAAGCAAGACGCGGGAACAGACGGCGTTGAAGTCGATGTTTCTGCTGGGGATGTAGTTGTGGTTCCAGCAGGTGTATCGCACCGATCATTATCCTCCAACGACGGATATAGGTACATTGGCGTATATCCTAAGGTAAATCTGCGATCAAAAGGTTTTGATCGTTAACTGATTTTTTAAAGGCAGCTCCGCGATGGCGAAATAACCACTGCGAAGGCGACGAATCTATGGAAGAATTGTCTGTCGAGATTAACAATGTGGCCATACCTGATTCAGATCCTGTATTTGGTCTCCACGGCCCATTGTGTCAGATCTGGAAGGCAGCTCGAGCTGACAGCAAAAATTATTGCGTGAAGGTGTGAAAAGATTGCGGAGTGGCGTGGGCATTGTACAAACGATGACTAGGGGTCGGGCCAAGGTACAATATATTTCACCCTCACCTTACCGCCAATGCCGTGTATAGACGAATTGACTTGAACCCCGCAGGAGAGTAACCGAGCGAAAGTTTGCCAAGTAAATCCTAATCGCCATATGGAATATCAAAAGTCCCAAAGCTATAAATAGACCCGACTGCAATATTCGGCATGCTCGAGTTCGTCGCCTGAACAAGCATACCGGTGGATGCATGTGGATTTCTAGGAATATGGAAGTCCATATCAATTGGTACGTCATCCGCATTCTGTGGTATAATGGTCATGTCAGGGGCCCATTCTTCGTCTAGAGCGTAATCTGCGTGCAACTTGGTAGATGTTGAAGCAAAGTCGAACAGTCTCCACATCAACTGCAAATCCTCTTCTTCAAGGTGTACTTGACGAGCCCCGTTGGGTGGGGCTGCACCATCGTACTCTTCCTCAACGGAGTTCATATTCGATCGGTGGCGGATTCGCAGTTGAAGTTGTTCAAGAAGGGAAGCCTGCTAGATATTAGCTCTCTCGTGGGACCTATCGCAGAAAGCATAAAAACGTACAGTAACTTGCATATTTGGCCATTCTTGCGAAAGTCCCCTCACGAAACCCAAGCATTTTTCAAACTTTTGTTTCGCAGAAGCAGCGACTGTGGGATACTGGCTTATAGTATGTTCTAGGTGTATAGATGCTGCAATTGCGACAATATGACCAATGAAGGGGTCATGTAGCACCAAGCCTGCGTCATCCATGTCATTGAGGAGTCTGAAGACCCAGTTGGCATGGATTAAAGAGAACTCGTAGGACTTTTGCAAGAAGGTCAAGGGCACTCGATGCTCAAGTTTTATTGTTTTGATGTGTATGATGAAAGGGTGGTTTCTGGATGCTTTTTAGTAAGTCGATCTATCATAGCTTGGGTTATACGAACAAGCAGCAGTTGATCACACAATGAATCAGCTGAAACCGCAACCATATGAGGAAGTAGTTCGCCAAGCCTGGTTCTTCCAGCACTCGAGTGGGTGAGCCTGTGCACGATAAACTGTGGCCCGCAGTTTCACACCCTAGGACACCGGTCAGATTCTTTCACACAGAAGGACAAAAGAACTCACTCATCTGGAAGTCTAAAAGTCTTGTCAAGATTGCGGCTCGAGGCGAGTCATGTCTCCATAGTGGCACATCGGTACTCGATGGAGGTTGGGCAATATTGGCCATAACGCACTCCCAAATCCGAATGATCTGAACTTGCAGACATACGGCACTTTGTGGTGAAACGATCACTCCCGATTCTACGGAGCTCAGTGAGATGTCCACCTCAGATAGTTGGGGAAGGATATCCGGGTGGGAAGGGCCGCCTTGTATCACAGGGAGCTCGAACGCTGTGATCGGACTCGAAGGGTCTCTTGTGTTTCCTCCCAGAAGCATTCTATCCAACATAAAAAGTGACCATACGATCTCTTGCCTACGAGCTCGATCGGCGAGCTCGAGACCGTTGAGCGAGTTGATACCTAACATACCACTTCCTTGCGCAAGTCTCAATCCAAGTGCCACCTGGGCACGGGCTCTATCGGACCTTCCATCTGCACAATCAGTCATTACTTGGTCTCTACAATCTCGAATTCATGTATCAAATTACCTCCAGAGTCTACTTGCGCCAGAAGACAAAGCCCTTGAAAGTAGGCATCGTCGATGTCGAACGCACAGTATGCCTTGCAGAGGAGCTCCCATGAGAGCTGTGTTAACTTGGTTAGACAATCCCGTATTTCTGTTTTATCGCTGAAAAAAGAATGGCCGCACGAGCGTAAACTGAGAGCGAGCATTGGATATAAGATTATCGGAGGTAAAAGGTCTCCTGGTTTGGGCTCAAGCAAACCGGAGTAAGCCAGAATGGGGCACGGCTGATTGCAGTGGTTTGCAAAGTACAGCTCAATACCCTCAGAGATGACTGCTTCTGGCAATTGTAGATCTTGCATGCTACCATGAAAATTAGCCAGTGGCAGCTGTGTCGCTGAAAGGCCGTACCATCGATGCATTGAATTTGGCTCAGCGACAGGGAATGTCGGTGAAGATTGGGTTGCCGGATCCCGTGACGACTGTGTGGTCGAAGGCTCATCACTGAGAGCACGGTAGATGGAAGGCTCGCTGGGTGCAGAAGGTCGCTGTAGACTGACAACTTGTCAGTGCTAAATATAGAACGTTTGATCTCACACATACTCGATTGCGGCAGCAAGTTGATTTAGCATGCTTTCAATTGCGCTGAGGCGACTGGACTATCAAGTTGTGAGTGGCAGGCGCAAATGTGGAGGACATGCATTACATCGTTGGTAGCACCTGTATCAATAACATTGTGGGGTTCTTCTTCTGGCCTTGCGCGGGTTCGACAGTGGTTTGCATACACACATCTTTGTCGTAAGCGCACACAACATGAACAGACTGGTTTCTCTCCTGAGCATCTTGACTTCTTGCGACTGCACTTGCGTTAATCACAGGTCGTTGAGGGAGCTGTCATTTCGGTTCGCACGGACCGGCAATTTTCGCAAGCCTGTCTTGCGCGCATCGTTGAAAGGTATGGATGACTTTGATCACGTCGCTGGGTTCCTGCCATCTAGAGAATGTCTCTTTGGGAGGCCAGTTCTGAAATTCCAAGATGCTCAAGAACTGGGTTAGTGTCCGCTGTCCACAGCTGTTCACGATGGGCCAAACGATCCCGCGCTTGTGGAAATTACCGCGCGACGGTTTGGGTGCTGGATAGCGAGGTGGCGATAAGCCAGATAAGCGATAAGCGTAATGCGAATGCCGGCCAAAATGTCCGATCATCTGACCGGGACTTCCCGGTCACGTGGACGGCTTTTGACTGTCGTCTCGTTATCACAACCCACCACCACAATATGAAGGGATATAGGAGAAGCAGAAGTCGAAGCAGCATGTCCTATATTGTCGAGTCTTTTGCTTTATTGACATCATGAGCCAATATCTTTGGAGGCTCCTTGGTTACACAAAATCCTCTAATGAGGACCGCACCACCACTACGTCGCGGAGTCTCCCATCGTCATGGTACAGATCTGATGCCCTATATCAGCTTGAGAGACGAGCTATATTCTCCAAGAGATGGATTCTAGTCACACACAAGCACAGATTTCCGACTACCGGAGATTTTGTGCAATTCGAAGAAGCGGGCTTCCGTTTCTTCTTGTGTCGGGATCGTGACGGAAACATCAACGGGTTTCACAATGTCTGCAGACACCGGGCTTTTCCTGTTGTGACGGAGTCCCAAGGTCGAGCGAAGATTCTATCCTGCAAATACCACGGCTGGTCGTATGGACTCAAGGGCAACTTGGCAAAAGCACCAGGATACGAAGAGATGGAAGGATTCGACAAGACCCAGAATGGTCTGTTACCGGTGAACGTCCACATTGACCAGAAAGGTTTCATATGGGTGAACATGGATGTTGCAAAAGAGATCCAATGGGAAGATGAATTTGCAGGGGTGGACACGCAACCTCGAATGGATATCTTCAACTTTGATGATTATCGCTTCGATCACACCTGGGAGATGGGCGGTGATTACAACTGGAAGGCGCTAGCCGACAACTACAATGAATGCTATCATTGCCCGACCGCTCACCCAGACGTAGCTGGCATCACAGACCTTAAGCTGTACGCGGTCGTTACAAATGGCGGACACATCCAACACTTCACTAACGCAGAGAGCATTGCTATGGATGAGGGTATGAGAGTTCGCAGCACCTACTATTTTCCTAATGCTTGCATGACCGTAACGTAAGTTGATAGATTTAAGGTTGTGCGAGCATCATCAGATGGACTGACAAAGAATAGGCCTCACTTTTTCTACATGATGAGATGCGTCCCGACTTCAGCCCGGCATTGCTCCATGGAGTATGAAGTGTATCGCCATAAGGATGCCACCGACGAGGAGTTCGAAGCGATTGACTCCATGTTCAAACGGGTTTTGACGGAGGATAAGTGGCTCTGCATGAACACACAAAAGAACCATGAAGCTGGGGTATATATCAGTGGAGAGATGCATTCGAGAATGGAAAAGGGTCCGTTGTTTGTGCAGCAAACTGTTCGTAGCTTACTTCGGCAACATCACGAGCGCGAAAAGACACTGGGGAGTGAAATATGGCCCGCTCGACAGGTTCTGCCAAAAATAGCTGCAGGGGTTGAGCAAGATGAGACATTCTGCTCGGGCTTGACATGTCCCGACGACAAGCTAGACTGGTAGAAGAATGATCAATGCAGGAATCCCAAACCCACAGAAGTCCGTGCAGCGATTTGATTGCAACACAGAGTGCTACTGTTTCGCCATACATGTGAAAGCGATTGAGAAATTCAGGAGATTTTGGCTGGGCTTGTAGTGTGTGCTGGCGAAAAGTTGAGAAGGCGGAGAGAGTTGTATGTAACCGATATATGCACGGTGGATCTTTGTACACCCAACTCATCAAAGATGAAAGCTTGAAACCATACCTGATTCAATCTTGGAAGTAAGCACTACCTCTCGGCGATTACGCGCGGGTCTAACAGTGATTTATGGGGAGAGCAGGACCCGTAATAGGATCAAAAGGTCAAGGCGCTGGTGAGTTTGACGTCCTTTATTTGTGGGTCAATATTCCGCGTTCTGCAGCTGAACTCCACGTCGGCGCACCATGTCGGGGGCCTTAAACAGTTTTGTGGATGCCAGCAGTGATTTTTTCGAAGAGAACATCAACATCATCGTTGAAATTAGATAGTAGATCTTTGGAAGCTCTTCTTCTTACACCAACTAAGAACAAAGAAATTAGTAAAAAGATCCAAGAGCTATTGTGGATGCTACGCAGAGTTTGTGCGTAGCACAGACCAGCACAGACAAGGAAGCAGGCATGCATGACGAGCGGCTCAATTAAGGTCCAAGCGGCTGCCGTCGTTCCCGCTAAAGCATATATTTTTAATGCTTCTCTGTCAGTTTGACTTCACATGTGACGTATCCTTTGGAAGACCAAACGCAGGTAATATAAATTTCAACCAATCTTGAGCATACAACCAAACATCCTCTAGCTCCTCCATTGCTATTTAATGAGGTGAGAGGGAATCGCTGGATATGATTTCGAAAGATAAGAGAGGATAACCCAATGACTTCTTGTACGTGGGCCTTCGCCGACCTCCGCATCGCAGTCCTGGGACATGTCTGACAAGTATTCAGATTTTTATTCATCCAAACAGGGCAGCAAAAAGAAGTATCCGCTCCCGGTGGGCTTTAACGATGAAGACGTCATTCAAATCCTGCACGATCATTCAATGCTGTCACAGATATTCTGGCCGCATTCCTCCACCGCAGTTCGGCCGGAGACGGATGCTAAACCCAATATGTCTCAGTTCATCGTTAGATCAGAAGATTCAAGCTACAAAGCGGCTATAAGCAGCCAGAAAAATGGGGTAACATGCACCGAAGAACTGCCGCTTGGATTCAAGATCACAATCACCTACGTAGTAGCTGGCTGGGATCAATTCGCCGAAGAACAAAGCAGAAACAGTGACAAGGATGAAGCAGCATCGAGCTCAAGCTTGCTCGAATACTCCGCGTCTCTGCCAAATCACCAACTCTATCTAGTGGAGGAGAGATCCATGACTGCTCTCAAACCAGCTATGTTATTGATGAAATGGAAGAACGAAGGGATCGTTGCAAAAACAAAGAATCTCTTGCAGGTGTTGGAAGACATAGGTGGAACCGGAAAGGACCTCTTATCTGCATTGGCGGATTTGACCAGCATGACAACGCTCGAAGACGCAAACACATTAGTGGAGAAAGCGAAGAATAAATAGCGACTGAGCCGCTTAGCTCTAGTCTATGTTGGTAAGTAGACCAGTTTTGGCTGTGAAGTTGCTCTTAGCGATGGAGGTGATCTTGAATGTCATAGGTTCTCGCAGTGGTGACTAGGACTACTGTCACAAGCCTCCATTCCTTTCATCAGCATCCACCCATCTTCAGCAGCCCGAAGACGCATCGGAGTCCCGACTTCCGAGCAGGAATCAACCTACTTAGCACAAATAGAGGTTTATGTAACAGCTGCATCCAACGACCGGGTAGTAGGCGACGCTAGGAAGAGTCTCCATATTTCTTCGCAGTGAAGGATGGGGCCAAATCCTCTAGATATGGATTCTTTCATCCATTTGCGTTCCTAGAGCCTGAATAGTGTGATGAGTTTGACTTCCCAATCGGGAGCTGTACGGATAGAGGCCACATCAGGCGATTAAGGTGGGTAACAATATCTCTGTTGGAGCAGAAAAGGTGGACAACGAGCAACTCGGCACGCTACAGTGTTGTACCCATTGTTTAGGAGAGAAATGTTTTGTCTATATAATGCCCGAAAGTCTTTTGAAACCCTGAGTTCATACTTCTCATCATCTCGCCTCAGCAACCATTCGTGCTTATATCTCTTTGTCGGCCACAAACCAGACTCTTCTACACGACGACCTTGGCGCAGAATGGAGAAACATTACGAAACTGACGGCTGCACGGAAGAGCAGTTGCTAGGCGGCAGCCAGACTACAACGATGTGGCGTTCCCTCAACCGCAATAACGGCCGTCTGAAGCAAGCTGTTAGGATGATGGGTTTTTTGACCGTAGTGATGGGAATCGTGCTCGTTGCATTTGTGCACCTCACCATCCAGATGGGCAAAGAACGAGACCTCGTCCTCCATCTAGAGCAACAGATCCACGAGTTTGAGCACCATGGGAACACTGTCACTAAAAGAGCCATACCTTGGTTTCTTGGTGCTGCTTTCTGGGTGACGAACCAAGTGTTCGCATTCTATGGACTAGCGACCAGTTGCAAATCCTTCACAGAAAGCCGTCTCGATGCAGCCACTTGTATCTGGGGTGCCATTTCAACAGCGGCCACCTTTATCGGCGTGGCCCAGCATGGTGCCTCTACAGTCAAAATCATCCACGACAAACTCGCTCAGAACAGCATTTCTATTGGATGGAAACGCAACGAAATGATCTTTGAAGCAGAATCCCAACTTAGTGAGCTGTTCAAGCTACCTTTCACTCTGGATGGTTTCATCCCGCACCACCATCCGAGAATTGCTCGCATGAAATTGGCCAATGGTACCATGTGGCCAGTGTTCCATATGTATAACCATCACAATACAAGTATGCATTTCACCATGACTGCTTACGAGGAGGATCACGCTGTCATGTCTTTTGGCTTTGGCCACAAGAGCGACCCGAACACCATCGGCAAGCGCGAAACGTACCAGGACGAATACTTTACCAACGGCGGAATCGATTTCACCGACTGCTTTAATGATTCGCAGAACACGTATCTGCTAAACACAGACGCGGATTACCAACAGATGGACAGGGATGTGCAATGTTATTACCCTGACCTGGCGAACACCTGGGGCGCTGAGATTCAGATCTACGACTCAAATGTGGAGGGTACTATAGGCTCGGGCTCTATTGCCGCTTTCCGAGGTAGCGATCACGCAAGTAGTGCTAGTGTTATGCCCGGATGCCCAGCAGGACTCTCGGCGTCAGACAAATGCCGGTCGGCATAACCTTGGACAGCACGAGACCGCTAGCTATAACAGATGCGCAGTAGCATGAGTATCTAGCATAGATAACGGAAGTGAATAAGAAAAATCTTGCAACCAGACCACAGAAGCTCTGACTGAAAAATAACTAGTTGGCAAAATGTGATGCCTTACATACCCGTCGACTTCACGATCGCCTGGGATACCTAGAAGTTCTTGTACTATGTCTTTGCCTACGTGTATGTTACAACGTCTTCTACCTGGTTGACTAAGTAACACAGTCGGCAGTCTCTGCGCGGTTTCAACATTCAGAATTCATCTCTAATAAATCTCATATTTCGAGCAGTTTAGTGACTTGGCATTCTTAAGACAATCATATCGCTTTAGTTTTATAAAGCGACAGTTTTTGGCTTGCTCGACTTTTAGCACAAGTTGTCTATGTAAGCGTTTGATGATTCCTACAATATCTTCGTTTTCGAGGCTGCTCTTTACGAAAAGCTTGGTATGGCCATGGATTCGAGCTAACGCTCGCGGAACTGCCCTCGCTTCGTCGAGTACGCTGCAGAGACAGGGTTCTGCCGACAAACGCCTCTCTTACAGCCTTCGCAAAACTCCGATTCATGTGGCAGGCGTTTCATGAAGACGTAGACTGTCTGTACAACCGGTACGTCTGCCCACACTCTTAGCCTGTATGCAATTCGCTCAACATACGAGGTCTCATCGAGCGTGAAGGTTCCCAGCCGGTCGCAAGCTCTGCATCTCTGATTGAACACAACAGCACTGTACCCATTCCGAGCATATCCCCTTATCAAGATTGCTACCACTTTGCTATTCCATTGCTGTGTTCTACAGGCCTTGGAAGTGCACGTAAACTTTCCCATGACGCTGGTTTGGTATTCGTGCTCCAGATTGTCGTCGCTGTCGTTTTCGTAGAACCATGTCGAGGCAATCTCCGGCGCGACTGCATCCGCAACACTCTGGTGGAGTGCGGGAAACATGAAAGACGTCTTTTTCTCATGTAGCCGCTCAGGCTTGCTCGCCCTGTTCCCCTTGAATTGTGTGGTGCTCGGATCTTGATCAGGCGAAGCAAAGGCTCGAAGGGATTCCTTGAGTATCAGCGTTGGCTTATTCGGCATGGAAGTCACGTCCTGGGCGTGGTCTGAGGTGGCCTGATGACTTCGCTGACTCTTGTGTTCGCGCACACGGGCGATTGGCGTCAGAGACGAGCGATCTCGGAGCGATGAAATAGTTTCCAAGGAAAGTACTCCCGGGATTTCTGGGTTTTCTCGATGGTTTGGTGAATCGCGGCTGTGTTGTTCTAGCGCTTGCTTGGTGCCAAAAGAGCGATTACATGGTTTGCAATTGAAGGTCTCCGCATGGACAGGCGCATCCTCCAGGTGCTGTCCAAGTGCTTTTTCGCTGCTAAAAGAGCGTTTACAAGTTTTGCAATCAAACGTCTCCGTATGCGCGGGTGAGTCCTTCAGGTGCTGTTCGAGTCCTTTCACGCTGCTGTACCCGCAATCGCAAGTCTCACATCTGAAGGTTTCTGCATGCACAACTGCATCCCGTTGGTGCTGTTCCAATGCAGATTCGCTGCCGAAAAATCGATCACATGGAATACAAAGATGCATCGTGATCCCCTTGCCTACTTCCTTTAACTGTATTGCGCGATAATCGATGAGTAACAAGATTGAAATCAACAACGGTCGGATATAGCATGTCCAGCTCTTAAAACCCTAACAGCAGGACAGGCCGATTCTGCTGTATGATATAGGAACGCATATTTCAGTCCAAAGACACACCGACACGTAGTTGTTAATGACGTAGGATTGTGACGTAATAGTAAGCGAGAGCTGCAGTAAGAATTGCTTGGCTCCTGCCAGCTTGCAGAAGCTCAAAGTACAAGATCTTGGCTATGCTGATACGTACATAGGCTTAGTACTATTTACAGTCAGTGGTTTTATTAGTAGCTGTCTATAACACTACTATACTTCAGCTTCAAGAGTAATTACAAGATCTTTTGACATATAGAATAACTTTGTATTGGACATAATTGCCTATAATACCTGTTGGCCACCAAGATAAGACATTCATGAGATTAACCTCTGTGCTTCGACCTGCTCCTGACGTTGATATAGGACCTTGCATTAAAGCCATATGCTCATCGAGTTTAAGAATAGAAATTCTATCAAGGAGAAAGACGTTTGGCATCACGCGGGAACAAGACAGTCTCGCGAATATCCGTCAAACCGACCAACCCCTGAACGAAACGGTTCATGCCCACTATTCACAATTAGAATACACCCCAGTCTCACTTCGCAAGGAGAGCAACTTACATCCAAATCCACCCCATGGTGGCATACCAATCTCATGAGATTGCACATACGGTCGCCACCCATCACAGTCCGGGTCAATAGGATGCTCGCGAGTCGTCATGGCTCTACGCAAGTCGTTGAATTCATTGATCAATCGGCAGCCAGTGATGATCTCTTGGCCACGGAGAATAACATCGAATGATTCGGAGTCGTTTTGAGCGGACGGATGGACGCTGAAAGAACGCAGATGGCGAGGAAAGTTTGTGACAACGAAAAGATCGGTGGGTGGTGCATATTCGGATGCTTCACTCGCGAGGTAGCGGCCTAGAGCTGCCTCTTCTGCGGTCCTAATGATGAGGTTCGTTAGTAAGAGCAGGAGCAGTAGATCATAATCGAAGGATGGCTCACGTAAGGTCGTCTTTATCCTCCGACTGCATTTTTAGTGCTTCCCGGAGGATCTTCTTGCACTCGACGAATGTGAGGCGCAACAGTTTCCCCTCTGCATTAAGCCCTAGTTTCAATGTTCCTGCCATGGGATACAGTGTTTGGGCAGTATGTATGAGAGAGAGATACTTATCACGTTCCTGCAGAGTCTGAACGAGGAATATCAACAGACCTTCGGCGAAGTCGAGAATCTCCAGCCAGTCGTTCTTCAAATTGAAAACGGCCTCCAACATTGTGAACTACATCGGCAGCGGAGCATCAGCAGGTGTTCAAATCGCGATCTCAGAGACGAACAACGCAAGATTGTATACCTCAGTAAGATGTCTTGAATCAATCTCCTCTTCCCGGCGGAACACGGTATGCAAGTCATACACTCGTTCAAGATCTGCAGAAAGCGCCATGCCCAAATGCACCTCTCCAGTCTGGGTCAACCACGCCGGTCTGTCATGGAAATACGGAAGGCCGAATTGCAGCCACTCTTCACCCGGGAACTCATAATTGATCAAGGTCGGAGTCGGAACAAAGTGGAATGAACATGCTGACATATACTGAACAGCAAGTTCATGCACGCCCGAGGACAGTCTAAAGATGGCATTCGTCGCCGCGACCCGGACGTCCAGAAGTCGGTTATCCAGGCGATCGTTGAGCGTAGCGTTTAAGTCCACTTCCCCAAATGGTTCGCCGGGGGCTCCGTGAGAGACGACACCGCGGAAAATACCTGGCTTTGCGTTGGACAGAATGGTAAGTCTGTGGACTCTAACAGTCGTAGGGAGTTTGTCATTCGTTTCAGAGCCATTTGGTTCAATGTCGGCATTGTGAGTGCTCCAAGCCAGTACACGGAGCAGCGACTCCGGGGCGATGTTCCTCGATTTATCAACGCTTGCTGAATCGGTGAATGACAAGTCAACCAGTGCATCGATGAACCGGCCATGGAGTCGGAGCTGAATTATAGTAGTTTCTCGGTCGACATCATGCCCGCTCACGGCATGGACGCGGGCATCGAAGATGTCTGGTAACCCGACGAGATGCTTTTTCGATACGCCAGTCTTTGCCCCAGAGGCTCCGTCGACGATTGAACCAACTCTTGTCCCATTCCGATCATTCGAGGTTGGAGGTATATCCTCTACGGTAGGCATCTGTGTGTTGTTAGTGAGATAGCACGTTTCTTGCATTCGATGACCACAAATGTACGTTGATACGAGACGGAACTTTTGAAGGAAAAAGTGAAGACAGCATCTACAAAACATCTGCGTTTGAAATACCTATAAGTAGTCTGCAAATCCCTAAGTACTTTCAGCCTAGTTATATCCCCAGCTGAGCTTGGCCATATCCACATGAAGAGGGTCCCGAAGGATTTGGCCTGCAAGCTTACCCCTGAAGTCGTCGCAAGTTAGCGTTGTATCATATGCGAAGGTCAAATGGTCGGAACGTAGAGGATGAGCGCGTGACAAATGCAAGATATAAGTGTCGTCGCTACGTATAAAGTCTCTGAATCTGCGAAAGCGCTCTTTGATCAATAGCATCCACGAATCGAATTTTGAAGTGCTATCATAATCACACAAAATTGTAACAACAATGGCATACTCCTACCCAGGCCCCAAGACCTCGCTTGATGTCGTCAACTACTCCGCCCTCCAAGCGAACGATGCAAAGGAAATCTGTAAACTGGTGGAAATCAGCCAAACGTCCGGCATCTTCTTCCTCGACCTTGAGACCGGGTCCGCAAGCGGAGGCGCCTACGATGACATGCCTTCCCTCATTGAAGCTCAGCGCAAATTCTTCAGCCGAGATGCAGAACAGAAATTGGAGTATGCGGATGATGATCCATCCAGAGGGTAGGTCACGCAACCACGGTTCAAACACGAAACTGACAGTATTCCCAGCTTCGACATGTTCGAAGCCCTCTCAGTCCAACGTCTAAAACTGTCCCGCAAACAACACCTCTCCAACACTCTCCGCCTGCCTCCAGACCTCCAGATCGTCTCAGATCGCATCTCTTCCCTCTTCACCTTCAACGATACCGTCTTGAGACAAATCGCTCAGAAACTCAGCACAAAAGCCTCCCCTCCTCTCGAAGCTTACAAGTACTCCGACTCCACCAACCCAGGCGCTTCGAACATGTGTCTTGGAATCGCATCCGCTCGCGCAGGAATGGAAATACTTGGAGACCACTTGGACGAGGATATTCTGACGATTACGTATTATGACGAGCCATTTCTCGAGGTTCAGGATCGAAAGACGAAAGCATGGGGCTTGGTGGAGGTAAATGAACATATGCCAATTGTGAATGTTGGTGATGAGTTGCAAAAGGCGAGTAAGGGGAAGTTTTATGCGCCACCGCATCGGGTTGTGCAGAGTCCAAAGGAGATTAATCTGGTCATGTACGATTTGAATGAAGGAATGAGCGATTTTTAAGAAAAAGGGGGACAGTAAAATCAAGGAAAAGAGAAGGAGATGCGGTAGGTGATATTGTGGAGGAACATAGAGCTGGAGATGGTAGAATCAGGTGGTCTATTGTGCAGATCACTACTCTACTAGTAACTACAAGTAGAGCAGCTATATATACGTGTAAAGTGCTCGGAGAGAAGATTCTCCTGCTCCTGGGAGCGGCCAACATGTGATTGGGGAGCGTGATATCTTGTGACAGATGTCAATACACAGAAAATGATCTAAAGGTTTCCGTGTTTTACTCCTGCTTCTTACCAAGTTTCCCCAGTTTTCGTAGACCACCGGCGCCCACGAGGACGACAACGACAGTCCATGCAAACAATGCCCAGAAGGTCGCGCGATAGCCTTCCAGGAGCGCTGCTGGGGATGAATTGTCCGTGTAACCTGATTTGGCTGTCATAGAATCCGAAATGACTGCTGTGATAGTCAATCCAATTGAAGTACCAAGTTGAGAGCAAGTATTAAACACTGCTCCACCGAGAGCCTGTGTCTTCGCCGGGAAGACGGCCGAGGTGATCAGTACTCCGACCGTAAATAGTACATCAGGGCATATGGGCTGGAGGACCTGAAACAAGAGAGTAAGCAGATATCGGCTGATTTGAAAATGATGGCATTTAAGACACGTGATGCAGGGTGTGACGAGTTCGAGTGGTTGTTCAAGGGCATTGTGCCACGTACCTGTGCAATAAAGGCCATGTACCAGTAGGGCCAGTCGGGGTCGACGACAGCCATAAGTAGCGGCGATATGGCAGATAGAGTTGCAGCGACAAGTACCACTAAGACGACTGGCATGCGATCAACGAAGAAACCGGTTGACACGTTGATAAGGACGGCAGTCACAAGGGCTGGAAGGATACGCAGCGACGCACCTAAGGCTGAGGTGCCTTGAACCTGTTGGAAACTAGGAAACTGATTAGCGAGTCGCGAAGATGCGTCAGGTTCTCGAAAACTCACAACAAACTGCTATACAGCTCCATGCTATTACTAACAGCACTTATAAAAAGAATCATGATGCAGATACTTGTAAATGTGGTGTTCCGCCAGAGGTGGTTTGGAATCAGCGCAGGGCGATTGTGCTTTACCCGAAAGTGCATCCAATAGGCAAAGGCTGGTGCCAAGAGAAGTCCAATGACGAGCAACACTATTTGAGGAGCTTTGCGGATATTGTGAATGTCGGCCGATAGCATCCTGGAATGTCGTCAGTCTCGCATGTTTCCTTCTCAAGGAATAAGGGGCAACCTTACGCCAAGACGTAGGACACTATTGCTAGTCCGGCACTGGCAATCAGGGTGCCAACCCAATCTAGGTCGTAGACAAGTCGCTTGCCCAGCGTGTTCCACGATACCTTGGTCTGTGAATCTGCTGGCAGCACCCACAGACCACACACTCCCAAGACGAAACTCACACCAGCAGCGAGATAGAACGCTGGCGGGAAGCCCACCAGGTCTATCATAACACCACCAAGTACTAAGCCTAGCAGGAAGCCAAGGGGCCCAGAGAATCCTAGACAGGCAAAGGAGAGGTTGCGGGGTCTTCCAAATTCAACACTCGTTGAAACGATTGACACAGAAGCAGGAACAACCATAGCGTTCACAACACCTTGGAGGGCGCGAAAGGCTATAAGCGCGCCTCCCGTCTTAGAAAGGCCACAGCCGATGGCAGTTGCAACCAACAAAACATTTGCAGCTAAGATGGTGATTCGGTTGCCAATAACATCAGCAATGGAGCCAGCCAGCATTAGACATGATCCAGCAGTCAAATAGAAGACAGAAGTCGGCCAGAGAAGGAGACCAGCTTCGATGTGCAAGGCCGTGCTGATGGCGGGCAGACCGATGACGACAATACCATTGCAGAAGCTGGTGAAGAGCTGCACGCCGACCAGCTGCGTGACCACAATAACGGTCCTGCCGGTGGAAAGGACGACTTTATGACCGAGTGCTTCAGAGGAGGAATGGTCTGCGCTCGGTGGGTCTTCAGACGAGGCGGTGAATGGCGCGGTGGTGGGTTTTCCGTCGGAGGCGGCGAGGACTTGCAGCTGAACAGCTGGCGTGTCGCCGGTCATCCTTTGAGTGTAATCTGGCAAGGACGAGTCGCCTTTGATAGACATACGCAATTACGGCGTGAGATGTAGTTGGGCTGACGGACGCTTGGACGTGTGTAGAAGCACGAGTGTTTGCTATGAGAGAGGATTGTGCGTAAACGCAACTAGTAACTGCCCAGGTAGATGTTCTCTTTGCCTGCCGGAGTCTTGGCTAGCGGCTGAGATGTGACCTTCGCTTGTGCCATCCCTTTATGAACTAATGATGGACGCCAAAATCGGTTCATGCAGGCAATGCTTGTATCCTTGCACGCAGCAGCGAGGCCTAGCGAGATCTGGTCGTACAAGCAATTGTGGGCTCGCTTTGGCCCGCTCTGCTTTGGCACCGGTTCTGATGTGAGCCCACCGAGGTACGCAAAAGGATAGGGTAGGCTTTACAGCGAATTCGCAAAAGATCCCGCGACAGTCAGCAAGCGTGAAGGCACGATAGGACGTCGAGGTGTGGTCTGTGTACCCTGGTAGCAAGATCCAAGTCTCGTGCGACCCTTTTGCCTGCTTGTTTTCGACACTTAGCCATAAAGATGCACAAGTGCGAGAATGATCGTAAGTAAGCACAGCTGCTGGCGGCAAACATTTTATCATGCGGATCAGTGCCCAAATAAGGCAGGAGACATGAGCCTGCGACACCAGTTTGACAATGCAGTAGCGTTGACGTGATCCTTTGTAGTTGGTGGAATAATACAAATTCTGCGCCGCAATTGTGCAGAGAACCTAATAGCACGCGACGCACTGTACAAGAACGAATATTCAGATAAAACCATGCGTGCACGCCACCAAGCTAAAACACGAAAAGCCTTGCTAAGCTTGCGGCACAGTTTAGACACAGCTGCAGGGAACAAGGCGACAAGCTTGCCGGCCGTTAGCGGCGATCCGAGGCTCTGGGAAAGACGTCATTAGCCCCTGCTAGCGTAAATCATCTCAGCTAACTACGTATGGAAAAGTGAGCCAATATACCGTTGACTCATACTTTGACAGACATCTAAGATATCTGAGGATGGAAACCATTTTCCCTAAAGGCTGTAACCTCTTGAACCTTCTACGCGGTATTGCTGCCTCATTCTTACCCACCATAAGGCCCCCGATGCCAACCAGAAAGCCTTCCCTCCTTCCTATTCAGGTGCAAGCGGCCAATCGAATCACTATGTACTCGCTTCTCGGATCGTGTTGTAATTGCGGAGCGAAGCGTAGCAATAATAGATCTGGGCTCTGAGAAACGCCGGCAAAACCTCAGCTCTAACTAGGAAGTATTCGCTTCTTTAGGACAGCCAAACTTTATGCGAAAGTTGATATGCCTGAGAATAGAGCCGAAACTTCGTGATCTCGTAGTTTAAGCCTATCCATGAACTCGCGATTGAATCCACCAACGAGCTCGCGATTGAGCTCGGATTTGGGTTCGGACTTGGGCTCGGATTTGAGCTCGGATTTGAGCTCGCGATTGAGCCCACCGACGAGCTCGTGGTTAAGCCCACCGTCAAGCTCGCGATTGAACTCGGATTTGAGCCTGCAAGTAAGCGTAATTCACGCGTGCAGTCTAGCTATTGAATCGGACCAATACACAGCTAAGACTCTTGACGCTTTGCTTCGCAATTTCTGAGTTTACTTGTTAATAAGAATCGTTTTTCATAACCAACTTAGCGCTGTACGAGAGTGTGCCGTCACATATTTTCCAACATATCGTTCGTTTCTCCTTGGCTTATCCCCATTTCTCTCGGGGTCCAGCACAGCCTTGCGCACAGACCTTTACCAAAGCAAAGCCGCTTCAATTCCAAAGACGTCCGTGCATAGTACGTACAAACGGAAAATCTGCCTCCCTCAGGCGTCGGGCATGGCAGCGGAAGAGGGCCCGCCATGCACAACGCCAAGTAAGATTGAGGCTGCCACGGCGCTCACGTTCGACGACGAAACGGCATGTTTGCTAGAACAACTCCATCGTGCATGGGCCACCCGCGCTCCCGCTTCCACCTATGTCGCCATCCGCGATGCGATTCTCTGCCAGCAGGAGCATGTCGACACGCGCATCCTCACCCTCACCACTGTTGCCCGCCTAGCCTGTCCGCGCGCCTTACATGGTGAAGTTGATACTGACCCGCAATGGCATGAGCTGCTGGCTCTGGCGGACCGCGCGAACACGAGATCGCGCAGGGATTGGGACGACAGGGACGACAGCCAAACTAAAACTAGCAAAGGCAACAGCCGGAGCCGCGTGTACAATGAGTCAAACCGTCTGCGCAACCTTGCCATCGTCGCTGCTCTGTGGTCTCCCAGCCTTGTCGACTACTACGGCTGGAACACATCGACGCAGGTCCAGATGAACATGCTCCGGGCCTGTGCAACCCGCTATCCCTGCTTCGACCAAGACTTCCGCCCGCGGTTGAACAGAGTTCTGATTGCTCGACACTGTCTCAGCCTGAAGAATTCTCGATGCAAGAGCCTAAGTGAGGCTCCGCTACAGCCTCATCGCGACCTTGACCTCGTCGCACTGGCCGCTGCCGTTCCTGATGAAGCTCTTGAGGCTCAGTGGGTCTCCAACCAAGACGGCCGCATCCCAGTGGACGTTGACGGCACTCTTTTACGTGACTTGAGACCGGCTCACTTTCATATGCACCTCTTGTGTCGCGATCGCTATAACCTACTTGTCAGCAGGAGCGATGTCGATGCCTCATCACCCCAGATCAGCTCTGCTGACGAATCATTCCTGGACTCGGTCGCCCCGAGCATAGCGGATATACAGGACGTGCAGTACAGCTCGCCGTACAACATGGCAGGATCTTCGTCTAAGTCGTCTCTCCCGTCTACCACTGCAATTTCTACTCCCCCACAAGCGACGGGCTCAGACATGCAGTTCGACACACCGTTGACCGATCAACTCTATGACCAAACTCTTGCCTACGAGAATTTCGATTTGGGTGCTGCCTTCGATTTCGACGCCAACGTTATTGTTACTGATCCTGGCACACAAACATCTTCTTGGGAACGGACAGACTCGCAGGTACGCACGCAGCTCGGCACACTCTGGGATGAACATTCTGTTGGTCAAACTCGAAATTACGAGCAGTTCGTCTTGGATGCTAACCATGACTTTGAAGTCAGCACTCCTGCCTTCCTCCCTGGTTTCGAGACGTCTTCCTGGGCACAAATGGACTGGGAGGGCTTCATGGAGCATGATTTGCTACCACTGTCTCATGCAATCGTTCGATCCCCGTATGAAAGCGTCTCTCAATTCTCTCAGGAGGTGAGAAGCGTACTTTCCAACCGACATCTGGACATCTCCTCGCCTCCCTGTCTAGCGGAAATTACGACGACGTATGAAGAAGTTCTTCATGCCAGGTACTGCAGCCTGATATCCACCTATACCGAGTCCGTCTTCGCTGACGCTAAGCAGCCCGGGGCCATGGAACAGCACCTCTCACGCGCACAATGGCTCTCCCCTGAAACTGAATGGGCATCCGTGTGGACTCATCCCGACAGTCAGCTCCTCGCTGGTCGAGCGCAGTCCTGCGATGAAGCTGACATCATAGTCATTAGGTCCAATGAACTTATAGCGGCTCTTCGGCAGGGCCATGTGTTTCATAGACCAATCGTCGTCAAGGAGGCGTTTTCAGACTCTGGGTTGCACTCTTTGGACTTTTTCGCGCGATTGTTGCGCGAGATACTGCCAGATACTCATTTTCAACCACGTGGAGTCGATACAGACCAGCCAAAGGCGATGTCAGTCGATAGAGTACTCGAAAGCATGCGTATGCACGATTGCGATGACAAACTCGGCTGTACCTTCAAATTGCGTGCCATCACACGCTCTCATCAGCCACTTCTAACCCTGTTACCACGTTTTCGGTTGCTCGACAATTTGTTAGAAAAGCTTCGAGGCGCAGACCTTTGCGAACCTACCACGGCCAGTATCCCAAGTTGGGCTCGCTCCAATACACTTAGTCTCCAGGGGGCTTTTACAGGCGCGCAGCTCAACGCAACAGGTGGTGTCTGGATGCGCAACCTCAGTGGTATTCAGTTCTGGACCTTGATACCTCAGAATAATATGAATGCTTCAGAGTGGCCAGAAGATGGGTCTATTAGCAGCAGCTGGGCCCCACGGGGAAAGCAAAGATTCTTCGTCTTAGAGCAAGACGATGTTCTTTTCATCCCTCCGGGATTATGCGTTGCGCACGCATTACACTCGCCCACGAACGTGTTGTCCGATCGAGGCGTGTTGTGGGACTCGATGAATCTGGTCCAGACTCTGAACTCGATGTATTGGATGCTGAAGCGCCAACCAGATCGAAACGGCGTTTGGCATCAGCTGCCACAGTTGTTAGTGGAGCTCGAGCGCCTCGTGAAGTATCAGGTGGATGAGTTTACAGGCGAATGTCCGAAAAGCGAACCTGTCGACGCTTTTCGCGAAGCAATATCAAGGCTTCAAGACCTGGGGGACAGATACGCAGATCCTCCTTACGAGCAATAACATTCTTGAAGCTCGCAAGAAGAATTGCTTGGATCCAGTGTCATGGTGGATATCATGACACATGTTGGTGTGATGCAAGGAGGACATCGAATGGGACATAGAAATGGTGTCGCAACAAAAGCATTAGATGAACAGTTTCTAGAAAATACACTCTTCAAGTTTCTTGCCCTTCTTAGTTACACTTGGTTGACGTGCGTTGTGCGGCTCCTGTCAGCTGGCTGTATTACTTTCAACAGGTGACGCCAATTGATCGGCTCAAAGAAACTGTATGTCCTCCCTACCGGCGATACGTGCAGTGCTCATCTACATAATCCTTCATCGCACGAATTGAGCATGTATACACTTGAAGTTCACTGCGCCATTTATCTACTTCTTCCTGCCTGCTCCCTCTCCTCGTGTCTGACACGATCGCTTCACCTCTTTCCACATTCCTACTCTCGTTTACGTTCGAGGTACACGAAAGAACGAACAGCAATTAGCCGCAACAGACAGCACTCGCTCCATTATGCAGACAATCGTCGCTAGTCACAACCTCACCACGGGTCTCTTCATATTTGCATTCCTCGCCATATCACTCCTCACAGTGCGAATCATCCACGCCCTATACTTCTCCTCTCTCGCACACGTTCCCGGCCCTGCAATAAACAAAGTCACCGAGTTGCCCCTCCGATACCTTAATGCACGACTGGAACGCAACGAACGCATCTTCGAATGGCATCGAAAATATGGCCCCGTCGTGGCGATTGCCCCTGGCCAAGTCTCCTTTTCCTCAGTGCATATTGCTAAGGAGATCTATAGTGCCGCGGCGAAGCACCCGAAAAGCAGCTACTTTGATAGCTTGGCCATGTTTGGATATCGGAGTGTGTTCATGGCAAAAGAACCCAGTGATCACCGACGATTACGAAAAAGGATTTTTGCATATTATCAGCCAACGAAGGTGTATAAGCCAGCAGTGTTGGGCTACATAAGAGAATATGCGAGACGAGCCTGTGTTGAGATGGGCAAGGCTATCCCTGCGAAGCAGGCTGGAGACTTCGCAACAGTGAATATTTTCGTCCATTGCAACAACTTCTCTTTCGACAACATCACCCGTTTCTGCCTAGGACCGAGTCTCTGCAGCGATACGATCCGTGGCGGCGAAGAGGCACGAAGTATCTATGTGGGGTGGGAAGAGTGCGAGCTCTGGGCGCCACTTGGATCGAGCTTTCCAATGGTTCTTAGCCTCGTTAAACTTTTCAAGAAACAGCTACAAGGCAATGAGCTGTTCCTCACGGGTGATTCGAGACTACAAGCATGGTGTACCCAACAGCTCTCCATCGCAGCCAAAGACCCTACAAAAGCCGGGCAGGAATCTGAGTCATTGCTGAGACAAATGCTCGAATACAAATCCGAAGATGGAAGTAGATTACCACTTGACGAGATTGCAGAGGAAATTTTGGACAATTTCTTCGCGGCGCAATCAGTCGTGACAAATGCGCTGATATTTTTGCTCTGGGATTTGGCTCGATTTCCAGCATGGCAACAGAAGATTCGAAAGCAGTTAGAGAGCTTCCCTACGGAGCAGGATGGTCTACCGTCTTGGGCAGACATTGAGACGGCTTCGATATTGGATGCGTGTTTGCAGGAGTCAAGTCGCGTGCATCCGTTGGCAAGTGGACGGGCGGAGAGAGTGGTCCCTGTGACCAAGTCGTATGGTCAGACGGTCATTCCGAAGGGGGTGAGTTAATACACACCTTCCTTCATTACGATTATATTGACTTCACTTTAGACAATCGTCTCAGCCTCAACGAAGTCCCTCCACTATAACGCCACCGCGTTCCCCCAACCAGAAGTCTTCGATCCCGCTCGCTGGCTGGACGCCTCCGAGACACAACTAGCCGCCATGAAATCATCTTTCATGCCATATGGCCAGGGTGCACGCACCTGCATTGGTGTTCCTTTCGCTATGGCGCAAATGAAGCACCTTGTCGCGTTCTTCATTCTTAGTCACGAGATCTTGGAGGACAAGGCTTCGGCGACAAATAAGGCTAGTATGATGCAGTTGGGCACGCAGAGTGCATTACCGCGTGGATTGAGATGTGATTTGAAGGTTAGGAAAATCAGTAACTAGCAACTTGTCTTTCATTTTGGTGGCAGAACTCTTGTCGACGTTCGCATATGTAGCCTAGTTCTTACAATAGAACAAGCCAAGTCTTCCCCTAGCCACTCTGACAACTACTTCTCTTCTTCCACGCCAAGAGCAGAAAATTACAATACGGGAGTCACGAGTCTCCGTTAATGTGCGTCACTATGATTCTCTTCTACTCGTACACTGATATGTTATTCCTCAACCTAGATGAGGCCTCGGCACCAACTTAATGCACGTGCGGCTCAACTGGATCACTCGCTAATGGATGTTACTGCGGTCTGACGACTTTTTTCGTTCCTTGGTGGCAATATCGGTTTCATTGCAGCGGGTTCCCGGATAGTCGATGATGACTTGACCGGTATGAATGGTGAGCCCGTCTTGCCCGTCCGATTGGAGGCCCATGTGCTACCATCCGACAGGTATGATGGCTTTGCTGTAGCGTGCTTACATCTTTGTCTGATCTTGTCTCGTGTTTGGGGGTGTATTGCGAGGCGGTACGCGTCACCGGTGCTAACTTCTGGGATGAACAGCCCTTTGCAAAAATACAACGCTACGGCACGGTCAGCTCTCCTAAGCATTATTTCTGAGCAGCCCAATTTCGTTCTTGCCGCACCGTTGATCGTTGAGTTAACAGCTATTTCGTGATCGGTATTAATAGTGCATCGCCCAAGTCTCTCACTCACTGTGAAAAGTCATTCATCAGTATATCTCATGGAGCGTTTCTTCAGCCTTGAGGACAATACAAACGACCCATACCTTATGTTATTCAACACAATGATCGATCTTCCCATTCGTTTCGGGGCTTTTCTCCTTCTCGTTGTTCTTGGTGCCGCTCAATACTACCATGTTACTGTCTCTGGAAAGAAACGGTCAGTCAGCCTCGATCAGATGAAGGCACTCGGAAAGCGAACAGCCAAGACACCCGCCCAACTAGAGAACGAAAAAACTGAGATGGCGGCCATCAAAGAATTCTACTACAAATTGCAACATCTTGAGGAGTATCCAGATAGTCTGCCAGGGGCATGGAAGTTGTTGCGATCAATGCTCGACCGGTCTTCATTACTGGGACGATACAAGGCCACAGCCAACCGAAGCATCTTGGAAATTGGGAAGTTTGACGCCCTAAGACTCCAAGAGTTCTTGGATGCCGAACTTGCAGACACGATGACCGAGTGGGAAACATATGTCCGCCGCAGACAGGCTGGAGGGCCCAAGGAGAAATTCCCCGATATCAAAGACGCTCACACCTGGCTGAAGAACCTTGCCCCCCTCAACTACATCGATGGCGCTTGGGTAAGTCGCGTCCACAAGGTCACTACTCCGTATGCCCTCCGCCGCGTGACCAAGGACGCGTGGCAGACGTACTCCGAAGAAATGGGCGACGGCGATCTCGACAAGAATCACGTCCACCTCTACCGCCGGCTAATGAAAGAGATCGGAGCTGGCCTCCCTGCGGCAGACCATCCTGATTTCACCCATGAACGGCACGGTATCGATGACATCTCTTACCGGGAGGCCACCGCCCATCTGCTTATTTCTTTATTCCCCAACGACTTTCTCCCAGAGATCCTTGGATTTAACTTGCACTTCGAAACACCTTCGCTTGGATCTCTACAGGCGATGAAGGAACTTGGAGAACATAACATCGACCCTGAATACTTCGTCTTGCATATTTCCATCGACAACGCCGACTCTGGTCACTCGGCTATGGCCATGGCGACTGTCATTCGTTTTATGAACATCGTGGAAAAGACTGGGTTCATGGACTACGATGAGGCCTGGCGTCGGATTCAGAACGGATATCTCCTCTCCCAAAACTGCGGCAGCGAGATCACCGTCGAGTCATTCGAATCGCAAGTTGCGAGCATGCTACAGCGCAAGGCAGGACTGGCCCGCAAGATTCACTGCACAAGCCGAGCACGAATTGGCGGCCGCAGCCTCTCTGATTGGTTCACCGCCGACTGGAGAGGACTCGAGCCGGCCAAGGATGGCGTCGACTGGAAGCAACAGTTTCTCACAGCTTTGGCTGACGCCAAGCCATGGGTGTATCGTGGGAATAGCCAAAAGAGCCTCCTTATGAAGGAGCTCGCATGGAAGGGAAGGATGTTTGGCGCCTTTACGGAGAATGAGGTCGAGCTAATGCGAACCTGGATCGACTCACTAAAGACGGGCGATGGCGGATATGGCGAGGCTGAACCAAATCTCAACCCATTTAGCCAAGATGCGGCCACATTCCACCCGGCTTTTCCTCCACAGCAGCCAGTGCCAGACCCTGTTAAGTACGGAACAGTCCTCACTCCCCGACAGCCGCTTCAATCATCAAAAGTGCGACTTGATGTCCTTCTTCCACTATGGTTTACCCACCCATGCCTGCTCGAGAACATGACCAACTCGCCGCACCAGATGGCCAACCGCCTAGAGTCGCACCTCCTACAGATCATTCGCATTGACTCTGCGTACAAGCCAGACGCGCATGGCGTCGCCGGCATGGATGAGCATATGTACGTCGCATCGCCTGACCTCATCGCCCTCGGTCTGTCCATCTGCCGCAAATACGAGCTTCCAGAGCCCACCAGCCTTGGGGATGTGCTTGGGAGCGACGACGGCGCCCGTGAGCAGCCTGATGCCGTAGCGTTTGCATACAATCTGCTCAGCTGGGCCATGCGACCCAAGGGCAATGCCATGTTCCTGATTGGTCTTGCTCGCGCCTTCCTCGACTTTGAAGTCTTTGTGGCCAGTCGTGACGACCTGTTGCCACGAAAGGAAAGGACGATTCTGCAATCTATGGCTGACCGGAAGATGGTGTGCTTTGAGGACTGCTTACACGAGCTCAAATCGGAGAGCGAAAAGCTCCGGGCCGTTGTATCTGGCTATGAGTTTGGACGTAACGAGCTGGAGCAATTGATGGCTTAAACTTGTGCGTCAAAAGTTATAAATTTGGAACAGTAGTATTTTATTTGCGTTTTGCGTGTCTGCAGCATCTTTAGCCTTACAGTTCCGTTGATCAGTGTGTATTTCCTTGCAATGTATATCTACGTCACGTGTTGTCACAGCATATATGTATAGTCGTGATATACACCCTAGCTCTTGTGAAGTAGAGAAGTATTATGAATAACGCGTATTTGACAGGCAATCAGTGGATTTTGGTAGAATGAGGATGCCTTAAGACACAAACAATACGAGCAATCGCGTTGTACTACCGTAAAACCCCTGCTCTTCCGATAACCGCTGGTAGGAGGTTAACGGCTGGAGATTGTAAGATCTTTATAAATTGGCCTAGAATGCCTCTGCTTGCGGGAAAAATGTGGAAACTTTAGGGCTTTCAACCTTTACTAAGATTAGAACCCGTGCTGAGCCTCAATTCTCCCTCGCTAGCGTTTATTGAAAGAACAGGAGTTTTACAGTATCTGGCCTCGCTTAGGCGTTGATGCGCGGGACAGGGTACAAGGTATCTTGTTCCTAGCTAGCGTCTTCACTAGTGCAGAGAGTCCGTCATCTCAGCAGAGACCTTAGACCGACGCAGCTGAAGGCTCCTCTCTTATTCTTTCTGTTGCCAACCAATACTACTGTTGGAATCGACTCAATACTTCTTTGCCGAATCTTCGACCGTGTTCTACAACCTTCACTATCACTATTCCTACGTCCAGTACCCACGCACACCACATGTACACAACGTCGTATGTCTACTCCGTAGGACAATCAACACAGTTTCTTATACGCTGTTGTTGACATCTTGTCTACTCTGATACTTTCGTTGCGAAGACACACCGTCCAATACAACTGGCTGCACTATGGTTTCGCAGACCGAGAACAATTTCGCAGCAGAGTTATGCGTATTACGCATAGAACCCCCACGTGAAGACGAGACGTTCGAGAAAGGGAGAACAGGGTCAGCCGAAGTTTCGGAACCTAGCAACGAGGAAGAACTTTCCTACCCCGAGGGAGGCCTAGAAGCATGGCTTGTGGTATTTGGTTCATTCTGCGGAATGTAAGTACTATGTGTTGATCAGCTTCAGTTGCTTTCATCCGACTGACTGGTCTCTTAACAGGCTATGTTGCTATGGTTACATGAACAGCATCAGCACTTACCAGGCATATCTCTCCACTCATCAGTTACGCGACTACAGCGGCAGTTCTACCGGATGGATCTTCAGCATATACATATCCCTGACCTTCCTTTGCAGCATCTTCGTGGGGCCGATCTTCGATGCTCAGGGATCCAGAGTTCTAGTTCTTGTCGGGAGCGCTCTGATGATGCTGAGTATTATGCTCATGGGAGTGTGTACAGGTAACGAGCCCAACTTCCAAGACTGCAGCTCTCCCACTGACTCGTTGCTAAGAATACTATCAATTCCTCATCACTTTCGGTATTCTTGGGGGAGTTGGAACATCCTTGGTCGTTACTCCAGCCACTACAGCCATTGGTCATTTCTTCATGACCACACGTGGCTACGCTACTGGTATCGCTTGCACAGGAGGGTCCGTTGGCGGTGTCGTCTTCCCATTGATGCTCGAAGCTCTCTTCCCAAAAGGCTGGGGCTGGGCGACCAGGATTCAAGGTTTCGTATTCCTCATCCTGCTCACTCTCGCCAACCTCCTGATTCGCGTCCGTCTCAAGCCAACCGTCAACGCAAAACTTTTCCCGCTGCCCAACCCAAGGATCTTCAAGCAGGTGGATTTTCTCATCGTCACCGTCGCCGCTTTCTTCCTCGAATGGGGTCTCTTTGTCCCCGTCACGTACCTCACCAGCTACTGCGTCAACTCTGGCGCTTTCAGTCCGACCTTTGCTTACCAAGTCATCGCTATCTACAATTCGACTTCTACCGTCGGCCGATGGCTCTCGGGTTGGCTCGCTGATAAGTTTGGAGCATACAATGTCATGATTGTTATGGCTTTCTTCTGCTCAAGCCTTTCACTTGGTCTGTGGCTCCCTGCAGCGGCCTTTGCGAACGGCAACGACTCGATTACAGAGAACTCGGGTCTCGCAGGATCTATATATAGCCTCACAATCGCATATGCCGTATTGATGGGCATAGCTTCTGGCAGCAACATCTCGCTGGCGCCCGTCTGCGTGTCCAAGCTCTGCGATACGAGGCAATATGGAGAGTACTACGGCATGTGCTACGCTGTCGTAGGTTTTGGTACGCTCGTGAGTGTTCCCATCGCTGGAGCAATTATCGGATCGGACCGGCTTTACTGGGCAGGAGCGTTATTCTGCGGCCTGTGTTACACCATTGCCCTGCTTGGTTATATTACAATTCGAGTAGCTAAGGTAGGATCTAACGTGGCAACTAAGTACTAAGTATGAGTTGTCTTATATAGTACTACGCCTCTCAGCTACGTAATAGCTAAGCTAAGAAGTATAGAGACTTTGCTTCTTATACAGTAGTGAATAGGTTAGAATTAGGTTAGAGTTAGGTTTTACTGTTTCGTTCGCGGAAGACCTTTCTAAAGTCCTTTGCATACTAAGTTACTCGATGGCACATACCACAAATACCGAACGGTATGGCACAAGCTGCTTCGATTTGTGTACAGGCTTGTCGAGCTCTGTATTGCAAAACGAGAACGTTGAAACATGCATTCCATCAGCCGAATTCCCCACTACAAACAAATCGATTTCATGTTCACTTTCTTTCTCTACTTGTCCAAGCTTGTCCGTATTCTCGCAAACCCACTTCCCCGCCAAAGCCACCTCTTCGTCTCCAGAAGGGAACTCAGCTCCATGAGACAAAAGCCTGCAATCTGGGATCACGACCGTATACTCGAAGTTCCGGGCAAAGAAAGAAGCTACGTTTGCATGTACAAGTCCATCAAGTGTGGGAAGAGGCAGTGTTCGATGTCCTTGGACGAAGCCGCCGCCGTAGAACAAGAGGAGGACCGGACAGCGGTTGTTAATGACGCTGGGGTTGGGTGGAATGTATACGTCAAGTTGGTGGCGAGAATAGGGCCGTAAGAAAAGGTTGAGGAGGAAGTGGAGCGGATGGTGGAGGCTCTTGCGCGTAGGAGGGGGGCGTTGCGCGCGAAGGTTGGGAGGATTTGGTCTTGGAAAGAATCACCAAAATCCTAAGAGACGTCATTTTAAAGCGGGAGGGTAGGTTGGGAGGACAATCTATCCTAGAAAAGCGGACGTTATGCTAAATCCACTTGCAAGACATGCCAAACAAGCTTATCACCCAGCCTCGGCTAGGTATTGTAACGTATCCCAAGTGCCTACTGGAGCGCGGAGCCCGGAGTCCGACATGCAACCTAACATTAGGAGCACTTGAAGCAGAGGTTCAGTGGTGAGCAACACTTAAAAGACTCATGTAAAAAGCTCTATTACAGTTCTACAAGTAGATATCATCATGTCTACTCAAGACTCGTTTGACAACCCCTCAGGGCTTTGGCAGCCACGCCTTCATCTAAAGGATTTGTATTACGGCTCGGGTTGTGTCGGACAGCACCTTCTCGATACTCTGCCCGGTCCTTCCTCCAAAGTTTTCATTATCACTAGCACTTCACTTGCGACGAAAACGCCTCTTGTGCGCCAATTGGAAGACAAGCTTGGACAGTTTCATGCCGGAACGATTTCAGGCATCGGACAACATGGCCCTATAGTTGACGTCGAACGAGCTATTGAAATGGTTCTGAGCAGAGAAGACGTCGATACCATCTTATCGCTTGGTGGAGGCTCAGCCATAGACACTGCCAAAGTCATCTCGTTGCGGTCCAAACAGAAACGGGACTTATTCCTTACTCATCTGACCATTCCCACCACTCTGAGCGCAGCGGAATGCACTGCAGGCGGTGGTTACACCAAGGCAGATGGTGTTAAGATCGGATTTCGAGCGCCCGAGATGGGTGTGTCAGTCATTTTTTACGACCCCCAGTATGCGCGCTATACGCCCAAAGAGCTGTGGTTGAGCACGGGCATGCGTGCGATGGACCATGCCGTCGAATGCATGTATCATCCTACCTCGGCCGAAGTTCCCTGGAAGACACTATCAATATGGGCTGTGGGCGAGCTCTCTGAATGTCTTCCCAAAGCCCGAGACTCACATCCATACAACGAAACTATCACCATTCGACTAATGCTTGCAGCTTATGCGAGCTCAGGGCTCAAAGGAGAGAATCTCAAAGGAGGTATGGGCCTTTCACATAGCTTGGGGCATGCGCTAGGAAGCCCATATGGGATTCCCCACGGCATAACGTCATGCATGGCCCTTGGAAAATAGTGAAGTTGAAGGCTCACGAGTCGATGGGGTCAGCGAAACAGATTTGTCGCCTATTGCCAGCGATGGGAGGGCGTTTGACTGGTGACGACGTACGCGATGCACTCGAGGTGGGAGACCGCATCATTGCTTTGGTCAAATCTCTCGATTTGAACGTTTCTACTTTATCTGATCGAGGTGTCGGCAAGGACCAGAGGTCTATAATTGCGCAGAGAGCACTCGGTGGGATCAAAGAAGGGCCAATGTACTATTAAGTGCAAGAGTTGGTGCAGACATTGTTTTAGCTAGCGAAATCAGGCGAGAATTTCCAGCACTCTTGTTTGAAAGTATACTCGAATCTCATGTGTCCAAAGCAAGTTCCCAGAGGCCGTTGCAAACATGTGTGCTGGTCTCAAAATCTGTCTTCACCTGTCTGCATATCAACTCTGTTCAAAACTCATGCAGAGAGACTCACACTCAAGCCTGGATCAACCCGTGAAAACATCTCGAGCCACTCTACTTGCGTTCTTTGCTTCACGTTGTGCATCGCCATAGTGGTAATGTCCCGTCTTCGATATGCAATTTCAACGTGTGGTGGAAACTGTTTAGGTACTGGTGACACGCTGTCTGTGACCAGAATACGTGTAGATGGCGCGGCTTTAAGTGTAGACAACAACGCATGGAGGAGTTTAACTGCATCACCGTCCGTCCAGTTCCAGAAAACATTGCGGATGACGTATACGAAAACGCTGGTAGAATCACCAGTGGGGGGTGGATCTGACAGGGAGGCTACAGTGGTAAACGCAATGCGATCCTTGGAGGATGGACCGACGAGGGCCTCTCCGCGTCGCAAGAAGTCTTGCGAGTCACAGCGGATTTCGAACGAAAGGTCTGGTCTCTCCTCCGCAAGTGGAATAGAAGCGAAACTATACCTCCCACCTGCCTCGACGACGCTGGTGAATCCTGAAGGAGGGTCACGTTGAATGTTTTTTCGAAACAAGGAGTCAGCCGGATCCAGGGCTGATACTATCAGCAAAGGTATGAAGTGATAATCGCGTGCTCGATAACTTACACTTAGAAACTCCTTTCTTGGCTCGGGGAAATCGATCACCCTTTTCACTGTGGCCAGAGTGCCAATCGTACATCTCGAAGCCCCATCTGAGAGATATATTAGCGACAGCATCAAGCTGTAAAAATACCACATAGGATGACTTACCCTTGTTTGAAACCTGAGGTGCCTGTTATATGATCATTTGGCTTGTTAGTAAGCGCCTGCGCAAGATGAGCACTTGCCACCCGCGTCTCAAACAGCCTGCAGCATTAGCATACAATGTCCATGTTGATAAAAGGTAAGTTACATACTGGAACTCAACCCAAGCCCGGAAATCTTCATCTTTTACTAGCTCCTCTGACACAGCAGTCAGGGTAAAGATATTTTTTTCAGACTCATGGACGATGTTTCTGCACCGCAGTAGAGCAAGTATACGCGCCATTTTGTCATCAGGGATTCCAGATACGGTCGATAGGCTAGAAATAGAGGCGCTACCCCCTGAAGAAACTATATGTTCTAGCGCCGGTGACTGCAGAAAGGCGTAAAGCGCACCGTGGTCCCAGTTGTGAGCGACAAATCCATGAAGAAATCTGTGAGGCCCTTGCAAAAGCATAGTGAGTTTTTCCAACAAGCCAAGCGCCTTTTCCCGAGAGGCGGCAAGGGTAGGTGCTACTTCTGACCAGAAAGCCGTGCTTGTGCCTGCTAGCATGCTAGGCGGAGAAATACTGTCTCTCTCACACTGTATCTCCATTGTTGAACATTCATGCATGATTTGACTGGCCAGTTGAGAGACGCTCCTCGTTTCCAACTCCTCTTCAGAAACAAAGTCGTTCCCCATTGCGATGAACAGCATTGAGGCGGTTGAGGCGAACGTCGACAGCGAAATAATGAAAAGACGAATCTGGAAAGACACGAAAGGTCAAAGAGTGGACTATATTTCCATAGGAAGACAGGAGTCTTAAGCACCATGTTGGAGTCAGATGCGAGAGACTGATGCGCTCCGCACAGTACCAATCCGCTGCAGCTCCAAAGGCCGATAGACGACGGGTTACGGCGTCCGAAACGCCGAAGATCGTGCCGGCCAAAGTTGAGTCGCCATACACTTACATTGCAAAATGTACTGACAAATATCACTTGAGTGTTTAAGTAAATGAGAAGGAAAGCGGTTCGAAGGAGTGAAGTATCATTGCGCGACCGAGAGATATCATCTGAACAACAAAACACAGTTATGGTTACTTAACCTAACAGGCACGCACTCAAATACGTAAAGATAGTACACTAGGTAGGTAGCGTTACAACCTGTATGTAGGTTAATTTTGGAAAAAGTTCCTCTTGAAGTTGGGTTGCTGCGTGCTGCACAAGAGAGCGACTTGCTGACACATCTAAAAGTCGTGCCATTTTCTGTGACACCCCGGTTGGAACAGTAATATATACGTGACTCAAACGGTGGACCTTTCTCAACTCTAGCATCCCCCAACACCTGTGATATGAACAGAAACCCGTTTCCGCGCTTACGCCAAAATCAAAGGATTCGCTTGGAAATACTCATCCAACGTAACCAATTTGCCCCGCGCCTGTTCCGCTGACCATTTGACCTTTTCCTCAGTATTATCGCCGTAGTACCCATAGTCCTGGATATACTGTAGCATCTCAGCAACATGATCCTTCATCGTGGGAGGCAGGAAGCCACGCCACGTCTCTTCCGGTAGCTGTCTGTACGCGACCGATTTCCCCGAAGACCGGTTCATAGAGTCCACAATCTCATTGAAGGTATAGAGGGCTGTAGCAGCGCTAAACACCTTGCCTTCGTATTTGGGGAAGTCGGCCAGGATGGCACCAATCCATTTACCAGTGTCTCTCGCAGTGTGGATCAAGGGCAACTTCGTCTCCGGACTGACGAAGTTAAACAGAGCGTACGTGCCGTCGCCGGCCGGATGCGGCGCCATAGTCGCGCTGAAATTGGACATGAACGAGCCGGGAGCGAAAAAGGCGCTCTTCAAGGGCAGTGTGCGGATATACTGCTCCACTTCAGCTTTGCCATCGAAGTGACCCATGTTCTTGAGCTTGCCACCCGAAATCTTTCCGGCATTGGGTAGGGTGGAGTAGATGTAGAAAGGTACGCCAACGGCGACGGCAGCATCAGCAAGGGCTCGGCCATGAGCGACTTCGTGCTCGTATGCTTTGCCGTCGTAAACGGTGACAGTGCTGGCAAAGACGACATGTGCTCCTTCGAAGGCTTTCTTGAGTGAGGCAGCGTCGTCAATATCGGCCTTGACGACTTCAACTCCCTTGTTTGCGAGTTCTTGTGCGTTATTCTTACTCGGGTCCCGAGTCGTTCCTCGGATGGAATATTCTTTGCTCAGCTGCGCATCTCCTAGCACAGTGTCGACAACGGAGCCACCTTGTTGGCCTGTAGCACTAAACACAACAAGAAGTTTCGACATATTTGAAAAGCTTAATAAGGAATGCTATACACTAAGGTACAAAATTAGGTAATTTACCCTGCAGCTTTATTAGGTAAAAAATACAGAAGAAAGACTACATTTTACACTATAATACAGTATAAAACGTAAAGTAAATTTATATAAACTTAGTATAAAATAACTATAGTTTATTATTAAATAAGTAAGTAAATTTATACTTTATTTTATAATAAGTATATAAAGATATTTATAACTATTATATATTAAATTATTCTATAAATAGTATATTTTTTAACTATTATAGCCTAGTAAGTATATTAGTAAAGGTATCTTTATACTATACAAAGTTTTTATTATTAAGTAAAACTTTAAGTACTACTACTATTTTAAGCTTAATAAAGTAGTAACTTTAAATACTATTATTAATATTCTAAAATACTCTACTAGGTAGTTAAGAGACGCTAAAGATCTAGTTAAAGCCTATATTTATTACTATTAGTATTTTAATAATAAGTTATTTAACTTACTATATAAACAAATATACTTCTATTTAATAAAAAAGAAATACGCCTTTTATAAAAAGCTTTTCTAATACTATTTAAACTTTTCTTTTAACTTATTACCTTTAAAGTTTATTACTAGTAGAGTAATTATAACTACTAAGTTAAGTACTATCCTTATTATAGTTAAAGCTAAAGTAGAATAAGTATAATTACTAAGTTAAGTACTATTTTTATTATAGCTAAAGCTAAAAGAAGAGATATACCTTTTATAAGAAGCTTCTTTATTACTATTTAGAACTCTATTATAGTATACTTTTTAGAAAGTATAAAGTAGTAATAAAAAGTATTCTTTCTATTAGTAAAGTTAATACTAATATATCTAACTTCTTTATTAGATAGATATATAAAAAGAAGCTATTAGAAAATATACTAATACTTTTTTTTTTAGTATATTATATCTCTGTTAAATATTAGTTTTACTTTATAGTAGATATACTCTTAGCTTCTAAGTAAAAAGATACTTTAATAAAAAAAGCTTCTTAAGTACTATTTAAGCTTCTTCTAAGGTATACTATCTAGTAAGTTTAAAGAGATAGCTAATAATATTATCTCTATTTACTAGGTTAATACTAATATATTTAATATCTTTATTAACTAGATAAAAAGATACTTTAATAGAAAAAGCTTTTTTAGTACTATTTAGGCTTCTTT